TTGATGTGTGCTAGTATGTCCGTTATTAATAGAAATAATTATAATAATAATAAACACACCACATCACATTTTTACTTAAGAAAGAAATAGCCTGCGCTAATTAATCCCAAGCATTCTTGTCTTCCATGTAATCCACAATTGAGTATTAGGCCCTCTGGCACAAGCCACGTTTTATTGTGGATTTAAATTTGTTAATACTTAACTCTTGAATATTATTTGGGATTTTATTTTAAAAAATTGGACACATAGACCTCGAAAAGACTTGTTTATCTTTTGGAGCCTAGAGGCGGGTACTACAAGTTTATTTTTATTTTTTGTATTTATGACATGTACATCACTTTTTTTCAAAAAGCTATCTTTGTTTTTATGAACATATATGGCTTGCCACTGTCATTATATTTCTTTCTTTAAATTTCTGCTTCAATGAACAACGATTGCCTAAATTATAAAGTGCTCGCATCGCTCTCTTTTGCAGCACAAAAATAATTTGAATGTCGGCAGCATTCCCCCACAGCAGAATACCGTACGACATTAGTAGTAATAGTAATTTTGGTTGTTAGTAGGCCTTTAAAAAAAACTCACATTTATAACAGGAATAGGATTGTATTATCAACATTCAAATAGTGACCGATGTTTATTGTTTTTAAGCTAAAAACTTAAATAATAATTAATGTAACAATACTTATAAAATCAGGGTCATCACTAGCGGTTTATAAAAACTATTATTTAAGTGTTGTAATCTAAGATGTGATCATATTTATAAGGATTAATATTATAATTGACGGCCAGATAGCGTAGTGGCCTCAAAGGTCGGCAAAATAGGCCGAACAGGGAACCTATCGCAACACAACGGGCTCTACAATTCGTTTAAATGAAATGTAGTAAAACACATTCGTGTAAGTAAGTACAAATACAGTTAACTAACGCTATTTAATACTATTCCAATATATTTCCGCAGTCCGTGTGGTGACGGATTAAGAATACAGATTGTCACCACCCCTATTCATCCCGTGGGTGTTGTAAGAGTCAACTAAGGGAAAAAACTACGCCAGACAACAGCACTGCAGAGAGAAGGAAAACTTGACACAAACCCTATACCAACCCGTCTGGCCAGCGTGGTATAGTAGGCCAAAACCTCCTTTCTAAGGAGAGGCTTATGTCCAGCAGTGGACTATTAAAGGCTGTTGATGATCATTGATGATGATGGTGATATATTTCCGCAGAATCCATTACGTATCTATAAAGAACTTTATACAATTGATACGTAACATAAGCCATGGAATTATTTTCATAATAAAAGCACTTAAAGTATTAAAGAACAATTATTATTGTTGTTGTACGCAGTCCTAAGATCAATCGCACAGCTCAATCGTCAGACACACATATGTGGCGGTAACGAGCGATGTGAAACAACACAACGATTGGTAATGCGCAATATTTTGATTATATGTATTTTTAAAATTACTTCGGCAATGTTGGTATACAAAAGAAGCTCCAAATTATCGTAATTGGTTAACCATTCTTTTTTCTGTGTGGAAATCTCCTCGGATACAACACACCGGTGGTTATGTCGGACTCGAAACGACTGAAAACCGCACGACGTCTCGGGTACCAGTTGCCGGGGAACCAGGTGTACCCTAGGAAGGAAATCCCTAATACCGTCATTGGTTATCCTGTTATGTGAACAGCTACTCATATCAGTCAGTCACTGACAGAAAACCGGTGCCCAGCAGTTCGTCTTTGCCTTTCACCTGAGTGAGTGAGGTTAAGAGAGGATTAGGACATCCTCCCCCCTCCACCTATCGCTGTGGAGGGCGGAGAGACTTGTATCTCTTGCATTGCTGGTGTACATGGGCGATGGAAAACATTTTACATCATATGACCCGTCATTTTTTTATCATTAACTACATGGGTACATATTTTGAATTACAAAACTCTGCACACCTATTCTGACAGTTTGACTGAAGGATAGTGTTTTCTCTTTCCTAGCCCTTTCCCACTTGCTCTCCCTATTTTACGGCGCCAAGATGTTCTGTCAAGAGTACTCGGATCGGGTAAATTCTAGGTCTTCAGAAGCCAAACTCATGTCAAAGGAAGTCGTCCTCGACCTCTTCTGCCTTCTGGCAGGCTTAGAGCCGTCCTCACGTCGTGCTGCTCTGACCTTCTCATGACATGTACATAGCACCACATCCATATTATGTTGGCAAGAAAGTATTTGGAAACAAAAAAACCTAAAAATAAGTACCTACAGCTGAGATTCAAAATGGATCATGCAAAACTCTAGAAAATTGTAGAAAATTTTACTATCTGAAGTACAACGCGGTAAATAATCCGCACAAAACAATTTAACTCTTTAAGGGGCAAACATGCAGAGGTGCCCCTGATGGAGCGTAGGGATGGAATCAATTCACAATCACCTGTGATAAATCATATGATTCATAAATCATATAATCACAGCTAGGACTAATCTACTAATTTTAATAATTTCCTGGGATTGATTTGGCTGGGATTTAATTTTGACTATGACCAAATCACAATCACAGCTGCAAACGCAGTCACTAAGACCAATCATTTCATCATATGATTATGATTTATAAGTAGCAATGTGTGACTACCGCCGCCCATGGCGACCTGCAACAGCTTTCCTGGTCTGTCTACTCCACAAGCAAAGGTACGCTATGTAAACAAATTGTAGGTAAGTTTTTACACATATATAAGGCATACACATTTCACTAATGGCGTAGTGGTTTAATCGGTCACCTCGCTTTCTACTGCGCTCTGTGTTATGGGTTCGATCCCCATATGGGACGACACTTTGTGTGATCCACAAATTGTTGCTCTGAGTCTGGGTGTTCTTTGTGCCCGTTTCATGTGTGTTTGTAAAGTCCCCCGAGACACAGAATTACATTCTTAGTGCGGGAGTTGTCTAAAAAAAGCGTTCATAGGCGGCGATGGTCACTTTCCATCAGGTGACCCGTCTGCTCGTCTGCCCCTCTAACATAAAAAAAAGAAAAAAATGCCCACTACCAGCAATGTAGGTATCTAATCAGTGGAGGTACAAGCCCATATCCACATAAATTAATTGTACATAGAGTTTAAACGTCTTTAGAATTGGTTGTGTCCGTAAAATTCCCGGACCTGAGCCGGACAGGTTGTCTTTATGTTAAATCTTTTCTTTAATTCTTTATATATAAAATGAAGGCTGAAATTAAGTTTTTTTGGGCAAAATTACTTAGGTACTTTAATAATTTAAAATATTGTTATTGTAAAAAAAATCCAAACCTCATAGAATTCTCCAAAAGACTCAAGAATGTAACATAACATTTGTATAAACCAAAACATAAAATGTTTTCATTCTAAACATGGAATTTTGGCTGTCAAAGAGTCATTGACCTATGACCTTAGGTACCTATTGCTGATTAGTCTACAGATAAAATTATTAATAGATTCTAAATGCAATATTTCAAATAAAATCTTGTTTGATTGGAGTCATTATAAGACTGATTTTTAGAATGATTCGAATAAATTGGTAGGTACGAAAACACGGTAGTGGTTTATGACGTCAAATCAGCCAGCGTTAAAAGGCTGGACTGTAAGGAAGTTTGTTTTTAATAATGATAATCTTAGTTCTCCATGTTCCTATTTGTCTTAGTTCCTCATGTTCCTATCTGTTTTAGTTCCCCATGTTCCTATCTGTCTTAGTTCCCCATGTTCCTATCTGTTTTAGTTCCCCATGTTCCTATCTGTCTTAGTGCCCCATGTTCCTATCGGTCTTGGTTCCCCATGTTCCTATTAATATTAGTATATATTAAAAAAGTTATGCTTAAGTAAGTCCTTGAGTATTTTTATTATTATTAAGATACTTTACGATGAGAGCATAAGTGCACAAGTATCTAAGGTGCATAAGTACTCGTAAGTACCTAAACACCACAAAGGACAAATTTCATCGGTAAGTAGGTATAAAGTATTACACAAAGTAATAGAAACCTTACAAGTAACGATATAAGTTATAAATAGAACCTTTTCCGATCGTCTCGTAATCATACATTACAATAAAACTGGATTTCATTAATTCGATTAAAGAATTACTTATCGACGCCATTAATTACAGATGTTCTCAGTTAATATGAGATTTCATTAAGTCCATCGGATTCATCCAATAATCTTTTTATGACATTTATATTAACGCCGTTCTAGATGTAGGTAATAATGATTAAACAATTTCCTGTCGGGAACAAGTTTTACATTTCCAGTAAAAGGTGAGATACTGCATTGAAGGCGCGGCCGAAAGTCCTTTCGCGCGATAAATCCTAACGTAGTTTCTGTCGGAGGTGACACGCGACGCGCCGCTTCGTGTGACGTCCTGAAACGTCCGGGTTCCTGAGCGCGTCCGGCGGCCGGCGTGCGCCGTCCGGCGGTGTCCGCGACGCGTCCGGCGCCCGTGGGCGGCCGCTGTGGGCGTGCAGGCGCTGCACCGCCCCGCCCCCCGCGCCCCACGCTGTTTATTCTCGGCCCGACTGGCGGGGCGCGCGACAGTCGCCCGCGTGACGCGCACCCGAACGCACGCGTGCGTCAGGTATTACCGGACGCGGACGGACCGAGCGGTGCATCTAACACCGGACATCACAAAAAAGTACAGTTGTCAACATTTTCGGATGAATTCGAGCGACAATAGTGCTTGCGTCGCGAGAAGGGTGTAGGGCGGTGGTGTGCGGAAAATGCATTTCCCGTGTGCATGGCGCAGGCGGTGCGGGCCGGGGGGCGGGTGCATGCGATGATGGACATCGTATTGATTTCTATCTGCCCGCTCCTCCCTTATTGTGGCGGTGCAGGGCGCGCCATCGCATCGATCGTTGCACCGGCCCTTTAAATTAACACCCCGCGATCTCGCCGGACAATCCGGACATACGAGATTCGGACGTATTTAGTCAACCCTTGTAGTGCCGTGTGTGTCATGTTCAGTGCAAATTATTAATTTTGTATTTTATTGCGTCACGTGGATGCAAAGTACGTGAGTTATTTTGAAGTGCAATTAATATTAATTGTTTTGTTTGATTAAATGTAATTACGATTAATTGATTACTAAAAACCAGTTCATTTGATTTCGTTCGAGTGCTGATGTGACTCGTCTTGCAATATTTTCATATTTTATAAATCTCGTAACTAAATAGATATTTAATTAAGTAAATTAAAAATCATTAAACTTTTAATATAACAAAAAAAAAAGATATTATTTTTTACCTAAATTAAAAAATAATTATACTCAGTTCAAAATAAATAGTTACAAAGATAATAAACAGCTATCGCCGCTCTACCACCCTTCTCCGCGTACACAAACATATCCTAATGCAAATTTTTCTAACACCAAGATAACACCGCTCGATCCAACCGCGATATTTTAAACATATTTTTTTTATTATTATAAGTACAAAAACTAACTGTGAACAAATAAATAATTTCAGAACAAAATAAAACACATCCAATAATTCGCAATACTCAAAAAACAAACAAGCTTTAAATGTTAAACTACATTTTTTAAACTGACGGCAAATAAAATTTTGCGAGAAAACAGAGCCAAGGAGGCAAAGAGTGGGATAAAGAAGAGTACATTTGTTTTGAAAGTGACGAAGCAAAGGCATTAAAGTGGCGGCGACATTAGGTGCGAGGTTGGAATGCGCGGGATTGGATTCGTTTAGCGCGCGCGCACGCCCCGACACCGTGCCGCCCTCCGAACATCCGGCCATGGCGACCGACACTGGTAAGTAAAAAAAAATATTTACAAAAAAAACACCACTATGGCCAGCTGAATTAAAACGATTATTATGAATGTTTCAAATTTGTTTTTTGAACGGAAAAGGTCTTCCACCTTGATTAATTCGAATTCGAAACTTAAATTTCAAATCATCAGAATTTAGTTTGCATAGAATTTAAATAGTCCTATACAAAAATCAACTTTTGCAAATCGCTTTTGACTTATACATGAGATATTGTTAAAATTCTCATGAAAACAAAATGTATTTATGCTCGGCGATATTTGAAATCGTCTCTTCAAAAATACAGAAGTATTTCTTTTATTATAAAACTTTCCAATAAGAACAAATTTATTCGCCAAATTACTATTATAAATGAAAACAATATTCGACTAAAAGTCTCGTCCGCGTTTTATTTTCAAAACATAATGGAACACCCTTTTAAAAAGCAATTAAAATAACCAAGATGGCGTTGCAGTGAGACGCAATTGTTTACCAACAGAATGTATACTATAAGTACGTACGCATGTCGTCCACGTCACACGTACGTATGAGTTCGTTGATATTCGCCCACCCGTCCTGCCCCACGCCAGGATCATCCCCCGCAGGACTCAAGGGGGATGGGGGTGCCGGGCCTGCTTGTTTAATGACGTCGCCGTTCACTCGACATCCCGAGCTTTTCTATTATTTAAGGCAATGCATTTAGAAATAATTATTGTCTGTGGTAGAACACTTGCGGTGCTTTATTTACAGTTTTTTTTTTGAGCGTAATATGTATTATTGTATAAAATTAAACCGAAAATACTGTTTTGTCGAAAGTTTTTTTTTTATTTCGAATTCTAATCAGAATTAAGACTAAAACCATTGACAAAAAAAAACCAATTCATAATTCATACGTGGAATACTCGTCTTCATTTTTATTGCCGTGGCGCGTTCGTAGTCGCGATTTCCAAAGACTCATAGGGTTAATATTGCGCCGAGTATAGATATACGCATCATAAAAACGTTCACACCGCCACCTTTGCCTCCCCTCTGAGGGGCGCATTCACGGACAGGGGATCAAAAGCCGTGCATTCACACTCAAAATATATTATGACCTTTTCGATACGATCTTTTTACTAACCATGGATTGTGTTTTAAAATGGTTTTACATTCCTTATGATTTTTATTTTGTTGTAATCAAGTCTGTTTCAACTTAATGTATGTATATTTGACAATGAAATGGTGATCGCTTAAAACTGGCTAGACAGATTTTTAGACCACAATATGTAACTTTCTATAAAGTGTAATAATTAAAAGTTTTTTTTTTTATTTAGACAAGGCCACGTTAGTCGAGGCAGATACGAGGTAGACAACTTACCTATTAAATTTGTCAGTTTTGGGAAACTAGTATGACGTTCGTACTAAGATTCAATGACGCATTTAAAAAAACCATACCTATCGCAACACTTACTGATACAAAATCAACTCTAACGGGTTGCCTGAATAAAAAATATTTTCCTTAAACATGTTTCTCTGTTCTAAATGCATCACAGCTGCATTAGTCTGACAAAATTATACAAAGATAGGAAAATAGATATAGGCATAACTAAGTTAATAGCTCTTCTATAAATTTTGCCATCTTGGTAATCCTTGAGTGTGACTTATGGAGCGGATACTTTAAGATTAATTAGAGCCTTAAATCTTTGTAACAGGACCACGACAATCTCAACATGCCGACTTACAAACTCTCAGTAAAATTTTAAACTTCCTGTCGAACAGCCCTTAAGAATTTTAATATAAATGTAAAGTGTGTCGAATGATTCCTTTTAGGCGCGTAAAAATATTACTTATTTAATAAATTACTTTTTAAAGTCAATATTCTATCCTATAATAAGGATAGTAAGATTGGGTATTGTAAAACTGTGTAAGTGTTTAAAAACTTAACAAGAACACTGCACAATGTTACTTGCAGGCAATAGGCCTGTTAAAAAAAAACATAAAAAATACAAAAATCTCAATCTCAAATAGAACAATCTTAATGGAATCTTTTTTTAATGATTCGATTTTCAAACTTTTTTTATGTATGCGTAATGTTATCATTTCTTTTTGAAACAAACAATAAATTAAACTTTATAAACAATACTTTCAAAGCAGACAATTTCGATGTTATTGACTCATGCAAAACATTTAACATCAATGGTAAGCAAGTACAATAAATAATTTATAACGTGTTGGCCCGTCGAAAACGCGATTTTAATTTTAAAAACTCTCCCCGTTGTTTCCAAGATATGAATACGGGCGGGTACTTCGACCGTGTGCAAATTTCTAATGTATGGAGTTACGACTGATTGGCGGTCACAGACAGATGTTCCTTTTTTTAAATTTCAAAAAAGATTCCCATTCTTTAAATGACTTTTTGCTTTTTGGCATTGTTTCATTATTCAATTTTTTATAACGTTTCAAATATTATTTTAAGTTCTAATTATTTTATATTCTAGTAACACTAGATATTTTTTATTTGCTTATGGATTTTATTATTTTTAATGATGATTTTATTTTGTTTTTGTTTTAGATTTTATGTTCCAAGGGGGCGATCACAGGACTACCCAAACTCAATACAGTCTTCGTGGTAGGTTTTATGATATATTTATCGTATAAACTTATTATAATTAACAATCGCTTCAAATATACTAATAATATTCATAAAACATTGTAACATTTCGTTGCACGCAAAAAAAACTTTAACGTAAGTAAATATCACAAATTACAAAATTTATCTAAAACATCTTAAAATTGAGGAAAACAACAAAATATTAGCGCATAAATACGCGTACAAAGTATTTTGTATTAGTCGCAACCCGTACGGATATCCTTGACATTTATTATAATTAACTACCAATGAATGCTCGTCTAATACATAGCATCAAACCTAGTTTTAGATACTGATTGCTATTCAGATAAAAACGATTTTGCTTTAGGTAAATATATGTTTATACTGTCAATTCCGACAGTACAATAATACTCCACGCAGTCGCCCTGGGATCACTGCTATAACATTACTTCTTGACCATCGTTGTTAGACATTAACATATATTAGGGATATTTCCCTACACCATTCTATAGTACCATATATTATACTCATCAAGAAGTCAAACAGTATTTAGTATTTTCTCAGATGTTGGCTTTTAGACAGATGTAAGTCATTTTAATGAGCGTCATCTATGGTCGATGGTGGTCGCACCTTGTATTTAAAGCGTCATACTTCGTTTAGCAAGTAGTAACAGTAAACAATGAATTCAAAATGTACACAATTTACCGTGCTATGTAAACATCATCATGAAATATTAATGGTATTCTTATAAGAAAAAAATTCTATCACATTCAAAGATACACATTGACAATGATAAAAACAAATATTAAAAAGAAAAAAAACAAATACAACAAAGATAAAAACATTGACAACTCTAAACGGCAGCCATTTTGAAAAATAAATTCCAGAATAATTTTATAAAAGAGTAGTTATTATTTACGAAAATGGTTACATTTATAGTTGCATGACTATATTTTGATCGGTATGTGATTAACTCAATGTGAACACTAATGACGTCACATTACGTACATAATTAAGAATTTTAGTAATTAAAAGACAAAATTAGATGCAACATGGTGTTGATCGTATGACATTTTTATAACTATATAAGATTTTATGAATTAGCAAGGTTTTAACCTCAAAATGTCTTTCTAAGAAATACAATATCGGTGTTTTGGTTAGTGAAAGGTCATTTTTATTCTTGGAATGAGTTTGATACCATTCGTTTATTAGTATATAAGTATTTAGAAAATCGTAGTGATCATCAACGGAAGTTAGATTTGACATTTAGAAACTTTAAAATCTGAAAAAAACGAATTCCGTTTTAATTTCGTTAAATATTTTTCTTTTAGTAATTACAGAGCTTATTATAGGGATGTCCAACAAGATACAGATAGGGTCCAATAAGAACTTTAGTGAGTAGTATTCATATTTATTAAAAATATACTAAATTGGTCTGTGGCAGTCTCTAGTTATAGACGCGACAGAGCTCTTTTTTCGAGGAACAAGGCGTCCTGCTGCGACAGTGCCGGGCATCATACTGAAACGTCTTTGGACCCTGCGTTGGATTGTTGACTATCCCTTGTACTGTATTGCAATATTGTTAGGCACTGTGGTATTTTATGACTTTTACTTCTGAAAACGGGATCTATTTCGTGGACTTTATGTTACAATCGAAGGCTTTACTCCTGAGGTTGCAAATATTTATGGTATACACCTATTAGTCATATAATTAGTACTAATATCTTCAGTTAACGTTATCAACAATGATTTCAAAGTTAACTTACAAGTCTCAGTAAGGTAGGTATTTGTCGTCGTCAAAAAACTCCACGATAAGTTTATTGGTACTATTAAACGTATTAATAGGTGTGCTGTCGATGTACCTGTGTTTTTAGACAAACTAGTGGTCGCCCAGTTGCCGAAATTCGACCATACGTAGGTAATTCATTTAATTTTGAAGTTTGAACTTTAATAGGGTTCTTATGTCAAAGACTATAATTCTATAATCAAAGGTTTCATCATGGCTATAATGTATTTCTAATGCATTTTATATTAAAAAAATAGTTTTATGCACTTCTTCTCCATATAAACTTTAACTGTGTTAAATTTCACGATATTTTTCTCGATTTTTTTTAAAAAGGGTGCCAAGTTTCCGCTTCCAGACCAGACCAGACTCTTGTATCCAACTAGACTTTAACTCAGAAAAACTCTTACTCAGAAAATGTATAAATGTCATGTATTAATATATAGATAAACAATACTTCCATTTGTAATTCGATACATATGACTAAATCGAATAGCAATCGAATCTATTATGCACTCTAAATGTTTTCATTAGATACGCAAACTTATAAACCAACATTTTTGATAAAATACTTATTAGATATTTTCTAAAACTGGCAGTAATTTGGTAAATTTAAATATAAAAGGTAATAAATACTTTCATTCCTTTTGTCACAAACAGTAACTACAAAACTTAGAAATCCAACCAGACTCTTGTATCCAACTAGAGTTTAACTCAGAAAAACTCTTACTCAGAAAATGTACCTACTTTTTTTTACGTGTAATACCGCTTCATTGAGTACGAGATTATATCATGAGATGGAGAACATTCAATAACATACACCGATACGATTTACTGATTTACGATGTATAATAATTAATCTAACAGTTAGTCATAGAGTCACTTCTTTTATTATGTCGCTCTCGTCAATGAGCGCCGGTTGTCACTTTCCATCAGGTGATCCGTCTCCTCATTTGCCACCTATCTTCCATGTTAAGATCGCCATTATAATACCCGACACCGTAACATTTTCACTACTAACTAACACACGGATGGCGTAATGGTTTAAGCGGTCACCACATCGCTTCCTACTGCGCTGTATTGTGGGTTCGAACCCCACATGGGTCATCATTTTTTGTGATCCACGAATTTTGTTCTGAGTCTGTTTCATAAATGTCACGCAAATCCTAAGGAATGCTTTTATATTTAAAAGTTATAAAAGTCTAAAAGTAATGTTACTTATTAAAATCCAAATAACGAAGATGAAACGAAGATAGCCATCGTTCCTAGAACTGTGACTGAGGACATTATCACCAAAATCTTGGTGAAAGGTGTTATAAACACGTTTTTGTTGCGCAAACGCAGGTTTTATGGCAACTTACGGATATATCACATAAAATATTCTTAAATAGTGTGACACGCCTCAGTTATAAATGGATGTTAAAATACGTACTTTTGTTATTTAAATTATAGAGTCATAAAATATATTTAGAAAAGAGTACCTACAAAGAATAGACTGAGGCTTTTTAATAGAACAAAATAATTAACTAACTAAAAATAATATCCGTACCTATATATTAACGTAAAGAAAATTATTTGTGCCTACCCGTTTTTAAACATAAATGGCCCTCGGTATCGTATCATATTTACAATATTAAATGTAATCTCTTTAAACAATATGTGTTATGAACTTAAAAATTAATGTAAAAGCGGCTATGTATAGACTGTAGCGGTCTAGAGCATGCGATCATTACTGCTACTCTGGCAAGTGACGAAGGTTGGGACGCAATGAAAACCGCTGAACGTGATTGGGAGAGGGCCAATCCCGAGCGTAGAAGACTTCGGCCAGAGAGTGAGGACTGATTGGCGGGGCTTCGAGACAGGTCCTATTTAGGTCTTTGTCTCGGTCCTCCACAGAATAAGGCTTATATTTTAAGGAGTGAATTATAGAGGAAACACCACATTCTCCTGGCTCCTACAAACTCAAGGAGCCGGAGATCCGAAGGGATTTTTCACTGCGTGATAAAAATAAGGGGATCCAGTATATATTTTGCCCTGTCACAGCGCAAAAGCCTACACAACGGCAGTTCAATTTACACTGGTCAATGAAATAAAACAAGACGATCTAAAATGTGACCTCTGGTATATATCAATATTTATTTTTATAAATGTTGTGCTGTAGGCGGCGCCTCGGCCGGTGGAGAGCAGCAGTACTCTTTGAGGTGGAATGACTTCCACTCGTCCATGGTGTCGTCATTCCGGCGGCTGCGTGATGAGGAGGACTTTGTTGACGTCACGCTCGCTTGCGCCGGCGCAACATTCACCGCTCACAAGGTATGTTACATACATTAAAAAATATTAGCATTCGCCCCTGTCTAGTCAATTCATTTTTACATGAGGCATATTCTTCTTTATCCTCAGTTTCTATCAGGTGTTTCATGTATTCCATTACCAAATAAAAAGAGAACTATTATACAAAATACCTATAATTTTATAGTTTTTATGACGTTTTTATATAAACATCTCCAAACTCATCAGGATTCAAATGATGTAAAACATGTTGAATACGTTTCATAAAATAAAAATACATAATTATCTGAAAAACTGAGATATGGCCACACTTTACCTAGTTGTAGAATCTGAATTTAAGCAGTAAGAATACAAAATGATAATTCATTTTTGACACTTTTTAATGAACGTTTCAATGTCATATCGAGAAATCATCCAGACAAATAAAATTAAGTTCTTAGAAAACCGTTATCTTACTACTACCATCTTACTATTAAGGGTCTCGAAATATAGTAGGGTATTTAAATGTAAAGTTCCTTACCGAACAAAAGCTCTATTTGTGCAACATGGGTTTTTAAATCAGCATGAGTCGACTATACCTGATTAAGACTACTCTACGGACTATGCTCAGAATTCATGATAACAAATCTCTTCGATCATTTTCTGATACAATAGGTGGTGTTATCAGCGTGTAGTCCATATTTCCGGAGGCTGCTAAAGGCGAATCCGTGCCAACATCCTATCGTCATTCTGCGTGATGTCCACGACAAAGATATGGAGAGCCTGCTAAGGTGAGTCATTGATGATATTCTTTGCCATATTCTCCTACTGATTCTAAAGGAGATGTCCACTTTTTGTATGGAAGTTGGTTTTTAATACCGAGTATAGGAAATCAAATTACACTGATGTATTGGAGCTAAAATTAGGAATTGGGAATTGGTTACATAACAATTTTAAAGCCTGCATTTAACATAGATAAGAATTTAATTTTTATTTTATTTTATTCATTTCTACTGTCTATATGTAGGACAGTAGAAATAAAAAAAAACCTACACGCATATTAACAAAGTATACTCGTATTTAATGGGTTTGTAGTGACAAGCGAATGTGCTGGTGAAATAAAAATAAAAAGGAGAAGTTACATTATCCATTTTATTAATATTTCATTGAAAAGTGTATCCTAAAAGTGCATTGCAGACATGTCAGATAACACAGGTAAGGATAAAAAGTTATTATGTACAAGACACTTGTTTTCTGTATTTATATGTTGGGGATAACATTTTTTTTACTATTTACAAACATATCATTGAAAATTGAATTTGGAAATGAGATAATGAGAAAAGATATTAAAAAAATATTTCTGTAAGTAAATCTTTTTAGATATTTTTACAAGTCGAACTTTACAGCTAGAAGGAACCGGCGTTTCTTAAGACTCATTCTGGGAAGAAACGCCGAAACAAACCACAGAGGTGTCTTTTTTAGTCTGTAAACAAAGTTAAATCAAACTGTGCGAGTACAGTATTGGGTCTGGGTAGGCCTTTTGAAGAAAGGACCAGTAGTTTTGAGTCGGCCTGTCCATACAGACGGCATACAGGCCCCAGCCATCGTGTAGCTTAACCGATATTGGTCAAGATCAACGACCCGAAGCACGACACTACCAGCAGGACATTTGGGTAGGCCGTGACAACACTCAAACCCACCAGAAAGTTCCTAAAAATATGGATAATTAAAATTACAAGCCTACACTATACTCACATTTACATACTTACACAAAAAAATACTATATTATTCAAATTCAACGAAAAATAGACAAATTGAAAACAAACAATACAAAATACACCAAAAAAAGAACGCAAATTAAATGTCCATCACTCTCAAACATAACGACAATAATAGGAACGTAAATGTACGTATAATTCTGTACATGTACACTTACCTAATGGAGTTCTACATATAGGACAATAGGATAATCCGAGACTCTCACCGTTAGCAGCACATTAAATTTTGGATGGTTCGAAAATATTCCTAACGATGAAGATGACCACAAGAAAAGTGTGATATGCATTCTACTACCTCCTGTTGAATACCACCTGAAGAATATTATTCTGGAAAAGAGGATATTGTAACAGTAAACTAACCACGAAACTACGAACTATCAATACAAGGTGAGTTACCTGTAAGTCGTACTGGAGAAGAACCTACTGCAAGACAAGCTAAACGCAGGAGAAAAGTGACTTAAATATACATATCTGCAGTGGTTTGGCGTACTGGGGAAGAACCTACTGCAAGACAAGCTAAACGCAGGAGAAAAGTGACTTAAATATACATATCTGCAGTGGTTTGGCGTACTGGAGAAGAACCTACTGCAAGACAAGCTAAACGCACGAGAAAAGTGACTTAAATATACATATCTGCAGTGGTGTGGCGTACTGGGGAAGAACCTACTGCAAGACAAGCTAAACGCAGGAGAAAAGTGACTTAAATATACATATCTCCAGTGGTTTGGCGTACTGGAGAAGAACCTATTGCATGACAAGCCAAACGCAGGAGAAAAGTGACTTAAATATACATATCTCCAGTGGTTTGGCCTCATATCAAAGGACCTTGCCAAGAAAGACATCCCATCGTGTGGTTCAAAAACTTTATTGATGAATACATGTTGGTGTCAGAGAGTAATAAATATGCTATAAAAAAACAGCAGATATTACCGCTGAGGATATTTATTTATTTAAATTACATTACAAGCTCACAGTCTCACAACCAAAACGCTTATATGCAATACTACATTGGATCAGATATACAGACCACAGATCATTGTACAAAACAATACATTTAATTATTTATATAAGTTACAAATAACTAATAATTCATTCAATCACACAGAAATAGCCACTAAAGTCAATGCAATAAAATGTCATGAATTAAAGAATTAAATCAATAAGATGTCATAAAAATTAGCAAGATATCAATAAATATTAAAAGCTATATTATAGGTAACAGTTATTTATGAGTACTTAAAAAGATCATTACATTTTGCATTTATTTGGGTAACCTGTCAAAAAATATGTCTGCATCTACATTATTTTACAAAAAAACATTAATTAGGATAGCTTTTCCCGTGGGTTTATCTAGTGGTTTTGTGGTTTTTGGGAGAACTCTCTTGATACACGAAACGAGTCAGTAAGCGCTGACCTGCTATGACCGGGAATTGATTTGATTTAATTTTCAACAATAATCTTGATCTAAACGACAAAAATTCTCTCGTGCCATTGCTAAATAAAATAACTTTTTTTGGATTTATCGATGAACATTATAGCGTAAAGACTACGCAGATAAAACCATGATCCCTCATTACGTCAGGCATAGCTGCAAACAGTATATAAAAAGAAAACCCATCAGGTACAGGTTCAAGACCCAAGAATGTGATTTTGTAGTATTTATTAAGTATTTTTAAGTTAAACCAAACACAAATAAATATTTTTTCAATCTGCAATCTACTAAAATTAAGATTTAATTTTGTATATATATTTTAAGATTTCTACGAATAAAATGTTGATTTGTTAAACCACCATTTTTACTAGTTTCCCTGAAAGCCTTACAGGTGATATTATTTTCTGGATTTTTCCTACATTACTTATGATTTTAGAAATTAATAGTTTTAGGCTTATTACATACTTACATTTAGGTTCAGAGAAAATTAAAAATTATTTTGTGTTATATAGTAGATATTTTTATTGGAGGATGGCAATACTAAATACACTATTTATTCAGAAGGTAAATCAATAGTAGGTAACGCTTTTCGCTTTATATCTGTAGAAATCTCACAATAATTCTTTATAGCAAACAATCGTCACCCGTATGTCACGTGTGACGCGTCAGAGACAACTTGTTATTACATTTTTAATTGGGCATCGGTAACAAAGTTTTATTCGTATTCGGTCTTAAAATATACTAAAGTGAAAACGATGTTTTCCCAAAATTGCAGTAATTTAAATATTAGTACTTAGGTAGTCTGTTCAAAAATATTTAGTTAATAGGCACTGACATTTTCAAGAATAAAAAAACATTTCTGGACCCCTTTCAAGTTCAAAATATTGTTTCCTTTTCAATGCAGGTTTATGTACCAAGGAGAAGTGCACATAGGTCAAGAGCAACTAAAAGAGTTCCTGAGAGCAGCTCAGCTGCTACAAGTACGAGGTTTGACGGATGTACCAGCACCAGCTCCAATGACTACTATTGATCAAAAGGCTTCACCTGTAAGTACTATAATTAATCTTGAAACCCTCCCGATCAATGTTTCGGCGCCTTTATTACTTTACGGTATTTTGCGGTATTGCCGGACCGATACAACCTTCAAACCTTCAAGAAAAGAGCGTACTCCTTCCTAAAAGGCCGGCTACGCGTTTGTGACTCCTGAGTTGCAGACGTTCAATGGCGGCGATGGTCACTTTCCATCAGGTCACCCGTTTGCACCCTCTAACATAAAAAAAAAACAGTACCGATCGTGCAAAAGAGGTCGCTTAGCCATTAAACTGCGGCTAGTGTTCTGGGTTCGATTCCTAAATGACTAAAATTAGTGTGATCATCAAACTTAGTATAGATACTTTTAGTATCTTTAAAAAACCAACATAGGAAGAAATAAATAAAAATTGATGCATGGCACTCTTCTAGTCCGTTTGGTGACGGATTAAGAACACGGAGTGTCACCACCCCTATTCAACCCATGGGTGCCGTAAGAGCCAACTAAGGGAGCAAACTACGCAGAACAACAGCACTGCAAAGAGAAGGAAAACTTAAAACAAACCAACCCGTATGGCTAGCGTGGTATGGTAGGCCAAAACCTCCTTTCTAAGTTGAGGCCTATGTCTAGCAGTGGACTGTTAAAGAATCGTCATCATCATCATCTTCGAGTGACTATACGGGATCTTTCTATTTTGTAACAAAGATTTTCAATATAACTGCATAAAGCTATAATGTAAGCTTGCATATTTTAGCCTATTATTGTTATAACAGTCAGCATCGTCATGGACGGAAACCGGAAGCGGTGGTTCACGTGAAGGTCGAGAAACTCAACAACGCGAAGGACGAAAACTCCGAAAACCCGATGAAAATGCAGCAAACACACCACCACCAAAGCGCGCCAGGTCTTCTGATCTTTACCAAGCACAACTTAAATCCAGGTATTACGGAGTATTCCATGATATTACACAATCCTGTATTTTGCTTAAATAATAACGAAAATTTTAATCATTTTAAGGAATATGTGTACTTATGAATATTTTCAACAATTGGTGTAGGACGGAACAACTGTTGGGACAAGGTGCCAGCCCTGAGCGTCTCGGTACAAACGGTCATGAACTGTCTTTCTTCAGCCAACCTTTGGATACTTCACAGAACCCGCATCTTTCTGGAGTTTCCAATAATTTGGTAAATATTGTCATGTTAATTTGAGAATTAAATAATTATTTGATTTTTATAATCATATTCAATTTGTGTGTGTGTTTACAGTCTGGGGACGGTGAGGAGTCATCATCTGATGCCGGAGCGAGCGATACGGAAGGCGAACCTCGTGCCAAGCAGGAGCCTTTGGACTACGACGACCCCACAACTATGGCCAACACTAACGGAACGCTGCCGCACAATTTTCCCGGACTCTTAAATTTACCAGGTAAAACGGAAGGGAATTAGATAGAAAAATTTGGAATTAAATTTGCAAATTTACTTATTCAGATGTGCTCATTTGCATCGCTAATGTTTCAGGTTTTCCCGGACTCGCTGGACCATCAGGCATTCCAGATAATTATGGTGAGTTTCCTTCTTTTCTTACACTGATTCCCCTACCATTAATATGACTCAATTTACTACAATTACTATGGAATGTTTTAAGATAATTAAAATCGATTCAAATAATTCCTAATCAACGATGTTAATGACACTAGAACAAAGGAAGTCAACTGTATCATTAATTGTACATTATTGAGTCATGTATCTATTGCATGTAATAACACTAACAATTAAATAACGAGAACGACACCAAAGCGCTTAATTACTCCTTAATACCGTGTTTAATAAGTACGAACTCGCCCCCGAAATATGTCGGTATCGCAATTAGGAGACGCACTATTGGCACCGGGAAGTGACGTAGAGCGCGATAGGCGGCCGCGAGACGGTACGCAGTAGTGGGTCGCACTGAACGAGACTCGTCTGCGGCAGGAGGCGGCTGGGCGGGGGAGCGAGAGGCGCCCAAGGACTTCGCGGCCTACGGCGCCTACTCTAACGGTGAGCCGCCCGCCAGGCCCGCCTGCCCCACGTGCGGCAAGCGCTACAGCAACAATAGCAACCTCAAGCAGCACATCCTCAACGTGCACGCGGCGCACCAGCTCGCGCACTCCTGCCCCGTGTGCGGCAAGGCCTTCAAGACGCGCCAGTACATGCAAATACACATGAACTCCATACACGGCGTCAAGCAGAGGAGGCGCGACCCCGCCCCGTCCGCAGAACACTGCGATCGATACACTCACAATAGCGCTTAATTCTGTGCGGATCCGATGTCTAACCGCCGCCTCTGTGTTACAGGGGCGGCTCTGGCGGGCGGGGCGGCCATGGGCTACCGACCGCAGTGCCCGTTGTGCGGCCGCGTGTACTCCTCCACCTCCAACCTGCGCCAGCATATGCTCAATGTGCACTCGCAGACCGACCGAGACCAGTGGTTCCCTTGCCAGCACTGCGGCAAGAAGTGCAAAACTAAGCACTACCTCATCAACCACCAGCTGCAAGCGCACGGCATCCGCCAGCGACAGAACTCTTAGAGACGGCGGGACGCCGAGCGAGTCCCGCTCTTCGCGAGCCCGTCGCTCGGCGCCCGGTGGTGACGCCGCGATACCGACCCGCGCCGCACGCGTGCCAACGGACGGACCCGCGCTAGCCGATCGACGGCGGACAGTCGACCGACATCGTTTTCAAACATACCTAACGCGATATCTTTAGAGAGTTCATTCCGAGGGTTAGGGGGCGTAGAGTTAGGAGTCGGGTTTGCCAACCGCCCTGGCCGCAGATACGGAAGTAACCTGGTGCTGTCGGCCTTGCAGATGGCGGCGAGTTGGCAAGCCCGGCGGGGCAGGTGGGCGCGAGGGGGGGCGGGCTGCGCTGCCCGCTGTGCGGCGCGGCGCTGCGCTGCGCGGCGCTGGCGCGGCGCCACCTGGCCGCGCACTACCCGCGCGACTCGCCCGTGTGCCCGGTGGCGGGCTGCGCGCGCTACTTCGCGCACCCCAACTCCGTGCGCAACCACATGCGCATCAAGCACCGCCACCAGTGGGAGACCATGAAGACGCTCAAGTGGAGCTGCGGGTGGGCCAACTGAGGCCGGGGACGTTTGGCTATCCGAACTTTAAATTAAACGGCTGTGAAAAGGAACCGCTCACTCGAGTGGAGCTCGGAATCGTGCCAGAGAATGTGATGATCTCCCGGATGCATTTTTTCATGTAACGCTGTCATGTTCGTTAAACTTGTATAAAGCGGTAGAATAAATCGACTGAAAATTATTTTTGTAGTAGAATAGACTGATATTGTTTAAGTAAGGTTTATATTATAAGCGCATTATGACATGTGATGATTGGTGCCATTGATAGAATACGAAGTGCGACTTGTATGTCGATCATTCTGATGACTTCCTGAACGACTTTAACTTCCATTGTTGCTTCTACGGTTATAGTCGTTGGTTTATAAGCGTTATTGCTGAATATATCTCTTGTATTTATTTATGATGTACAATGTTTCCTGCGACCTGTGGTAGTGATTTCATGAAATCTGGTGCAAAAACCCGTAACAGTAAGCGGGGATTCAAGCGCTTTTTTGATTTGACCAATGAACGCTCGCGGTGTTGGAGTTGTCTTGTCGTTCAGATGGTAGATTAGATGTTACACACGCGACTACTGTAACGTTCACTTATTGTTTTACCAAAGCTATGAACGCTAAATCGTTTTAACCTGCAGGTCGGGTCGATACACTTTTAGGTTAAAACGACAGTTCACAATAATGTTTCAACGCGGTGCACTGAACGCTTATAAACAAACGATATTATTCTTCTATTAGCTATTCGTCTTTAGACCCCTTGTCTTGGGAAATAAGCGTAGTGTTAGTTTCTTCGATTTTTAATCGGTTCTCGTGTGATAACATTAAACGCACATTTTACCGCCAAAATATCCCGGCTGTCATTAAAAGTTTGTCAAAAGTCAAAACCGATGTAACAGTTATTTTGTAGCTTGTATTTTATAACGTTGCAATACAATTAAATTATGATATTTTAGTTAAAACAAGTTTTTATAATATATATATGTACATGAACACATCGAAAATGACAAACAAGCTCTCTTAACGAGAATTTCATATTTTAAACAAGTATTTGTACCAGTGTGCTACATAAATGTATACTTTGACCATAGATAAGACAATACGAAATAGATTTAAACGAAAATGAATCTAATGCCTTTAAATGCAATAGTTAAGAATAAGTTCACTTCCAAATCATAGAGAATTTATTTTCTAAACGATGTTTGTTCGTGATGTTCTGTGTAAATTAACAATCTAAAACATATCTAGTCAATGTAGACAACATGAGGGATTTATTTTAAATGTACATATTTACACAACGGTTCCACTCGCATATATTTTTCTATAGTAATGACATTAAAAATATAACGTAAAAATATATTGTGCACTGTCAAACAGCTAATGGTAGAATTCCCGTGCTTATAAACAAGCAACACTGCCTCTAGCGATTTGACAGAGCACTGCTACCTGCCAAAGATATAAGTAGAAAAATGTTAGAAATAATAACAATATTTAGCCTTTAGAAAAGCAATAAATACATATGTAATTTATCACTTAGCATTCATAGGCCTACAGATTTAAATACATTTAACTGATAAATGCGTTGCCTTAGACTTTTAAAGTATTTAGAGAAGTCTTAGAGTCCATTTCGTAAGATCGTGTAAATAATAACGGAGTTGCCTTTAAAATATATGCGATTGAAACTGATACAAAATACATAGATCTCCATAACGAAAAAAAAATTGGTTAATTTAGCGAGTAGATGAAATTGTTCCTGACGCCTGAGAGGCAATGTCGTATATCTTAATAATTATGAAAAATAATAAAAAAATATTTTTAAGCGTAAAATTAGTCAACTCAATAACCAAATGTTCAATGTGAGTAAACGATTCTAGTTGCGAATGTATTAGTGATACGATATATACGTAATAACTTAATTTTTACCAGAAAAAGTGTCTGCTTATATAAATACATAAACAATAAAACTACGAAGTAGAAATATTTTTTTATTTATAAACACACTTCATTATACTTAAACGTAAGCTTTTGGTATCGTTCTAATACTAAAAAATACTAAAATCTAAAAAAAGGTAAGAATTTTCATTGACAACTCAACTTTCGGCGTTACTTATCGATGCTTAAAATTTCTTATTCTTCTGTTGCAGGTGGTTGCCGAAGAACCCAAGACTTACTTCGCGTGCGAGCAACAGACCCCCGGCCGTGTCCGAAGTGCGGTAAGATATATCGGTCGGCGCATACGCTAAGGACGCATCTTGAAGACAAGCACACTGTCTGCCCTGGATACCGGTAATTATCTGCGGCATTGTACTAGTTTATTGCGTATAAATGTGTTGTAATGTATCTGTCTCCTTTAATAATATATTTCTCCCTCTCTTTATAGTTGTGTGCTTTGCGGTACGGTAGCAAAATCACGTAACTCGTTACACTCGCATATGTCTCGACAGCACCGTGGCATCTCTACCAAGGACTTACCTGTGCTTCAAATGCCTACACGGTTTGATCCTGAACTTGCCAGTCAGTAAGTAATACACAGTACTGACTTTACTTTTTCAGTTGATGTGAAATAAACTCGTTGTATGTGGGAAGATTTGGGATAATTACGAAAATTAAACAACTGGACTTGTTTCTAATGACAGAAGTGAACGTGTAATAAAAAATGACATACAGTTTTTACAAATATATAAGAAGCCTATCAAGATCCAATAACACTCGCTCCTTTCATGCGCTGCCATTAGTATTTTGATAGGCGCTTGAACACTCGTACTAGACTCCCTGGGCAATACTCTATTTGGTATTGTCTTGTAATCTAGGGCTCACGGTGCGTAAAATGCAAAAAATTCCTTTCCTTTCTTCACTAAAGTATACCATGTGACAATGTTACTTGTCAATAAGAAACGTGATAATAATAATTATAGATTCGAGAATTTTATACCACACAATGTAAAAACCAATGTGACTTATCTTTAAAGTCAGCAACAAATCGCGTATACAAGTATTATTTTTCAAGTGTATAACAACGACTTCTTACTTTCAGGTTGCTAGCTAAAGCCGGAGTGAAAGTTTCTCCTGAACAACTTCGAGCTCGTGCGTCGCCCACTGGTCCTCGTCGATCTGATATTAAATTAGACGCCAAATCAGCTGCTTCAGAAAGCAGCTCTATCTGCGGTGACAATGATAACGATGACCTCAGCCAGTCAAGATACCAGGACAACATACCTGTCTCACCGCCTCGTAAGTAAAAACTTTAAATGTAGGTCTCGGTAGCAGTCGAGACTATTAGCCAGGACTAAACCACAGCAGAAGTTTTCTTCTGATAATGAAATCACATGTGAGATCTGATGGTAATGGTGGAATGGTAAAAATGGTATAAACTTTTCAATTTTCTAGACATCAACAACCTGGCAAATACAACAATCACCAAAGTACCTGCTGTGCGAGCTGTAACTGCTAAGACTATTGAAAATATCCCACATGGGCTACCTACGGGAATGAAACATGATGATTACCCACCAGGCTATGGAGGCAGCTCAGCATTGTTAGACACTTACCTGCAGTACATCGGTGAGAATATGTTCGGTAAGTTAAATTACTTTCATAATGATTAAATTCAAACGTCTAGGAACACATTTTGTTTACTACATCGGCATGTTGTATGTACAGGTATGAATGCAAAATTGGCACAAATGACAATGCACATGGATCGAAAAATATACGAAGAATCTTCGCCGCAAATGGGATCTCTACCGCCGCCGCCGACCAACCTTGCTCACCAGCGTTTCTTAAAGCAAATGCAGCGACAATATACTGAGAACATGAGCAAGCCTGACATTATGCGTAACTCAGATGAACCTCTGGATCTTGGCAAAGAAAGACAGAGGAATGATAGTATAAGCGAGACTGATGATAAGCACGAAACCTCAGACAAGGATAATGGTAAAGATTATTACAATGATGACGAAAGGAGAATTAACAACTCCGAACAAAACCCGGAGAACAATGGTCAGGATGACGGTGACTACTCTGAAGATGAACACAATAAAAACTCGTCATGAAATGATCGCGTCGTAATCAGTGTGTTGAATTAGTCGCGTGTTAAGTGAAAGAAGAATAGGACAATGTTTTGTTGAAATTATCAAAAGGTGCTTGAGTGTTATGTTTTGTGGTCATTAGCTTGATTCGTTTTATGTAATAACGATTTTAATTGTTGACCCGTGGAATGTCATTAGTGCCATTTCCGATAGTAATGTAAATTTAAAGTTTTAGGATTAAAACGGTTGCAGCTAGGTTGAGTCTGGTTACTTTGCGAGTATTGGAAACTCACAAATTTGTAATGATGGTGTTCCGAATTGAACAGAGAGCCTAGTGTAAATTTATTTCACTCCTACTCGCTCTCGACAGCGAGCGCGTTCGGCATTGCGATTGGTGAAGATTTCAATCACAGCGCCAAACGCCCAATGGTGACTACCATGACGATCGAGTAGAAGTGAAATAAACTTACACTGAGCGCTCAGAAACGTGGTTATGAATTCGAGCGTAAGTTGAACTGTACATGTTCGTAATACGCGCTTAACTGTGCGTTTGGTTTATAACCTGTTAGTGAGATATTATTTTTATACCCGATGTGATACACAACCATAATTCACTTTAGCATTTACCTGACACATTAGTCCAGATCAACTCGCCACATGATTGTGAGATTGTTTTAGTAGTTAATGAAACTAGTGAGTAGTGTTTTTGTATTGTATATGTAAAGGACCTGGTCACATAGTAGGGCCCCTTACATAGTAATTCCATCCATCTACCTCAGCATTTGGGCCAACACGGCAAACGTTATAAAGTAAAAGAAAGTAATATCCACACAAATTGTGAAATTCCATCCATCTACCTCACTTCAATAGATTTTAATTAATATTTTATACAATTTATAGGTATAAATAACTGTTATTTTATGCATTTTGCAGATTGCATTTATATATATACTATATAGAGTATATCGTAGGTAAATATATGCAAGTCATTAGGTCATTGTTAGTGCTGCCCGTAGATACTCGTATACCATTATTTTATAGAATGCGCACTCACTAGAGAAAGATTAGACTGTGTCACGACCGTAGCGAGTAATGAACATAACCGGATAATATCAATGAGCACACTAACTTTATACGATGAATATTGTATACGAACAAATATATCAGAGCTTAAAATCATACTATTATTATAGTAAATATACATATATGTGCGTATACTGAGTCGCGGTTGACAAATAACGCGATAAATACATCATGTATAACGATTAAACATTTAAGTGAATAATAAAGGTAACACAACTATAAATTGTTGATGCATTAGCGCGAGTTTGAAGTGGGCGTCAGTCATCAGTTAGCGTTCCTAAACAGTGTAACGCAAGTTTTGCCCTTATGTTAGATCTTGTGTGGTAAAAAACAACATCCTTACCTTGAGACTGAGCACATCCCAGAGATGAACACTGAAAACTTATCGCGTTATTTCATATCTACGCGATTCGTCAAAAGTTCAAATTTGACACGTAAACAATATATATTATAAGACGATATTAGAGCATGTATATAAGTCGAGGTGATATAAAGTACATAAATAATAATAAAAAATAGTAACAAAAAGCAATAAATAAAGTATACATTGACGTTGCCTTCGAATTGTGTAAATACGTCGGTAGTGAACGGTTTGCGTTGGTATTGTGGATAAATATGATCCGTATAGTGTACACGTGAAGTTTATTTTGTAGTAATGATGTGGGCTCGTTACTTAAATAACAATTACTGTGATTACAATCTCATGTTAGCCTTCAATACTTATACATATTTTTTAGAGTACAATGTTATAGTTATTTAGTATATTGTAAGAGTATTTGTAAGCGAGTCACAAAATTATATTTACTACCCGCCCCTGAACGTTAGGATTCACGTTATTTAAGTATTTAGAGCAATAGGTCAAAGCATTTAACCTTTTATATGAGAGATATTACATTTTGGAATTTATTGAGATATCTCACTTTGCCACCGGGGGGCTTGTAAACAAGCTGTCAGTTTGACACTTGCAGAAGTGAAATTGATCATGTAAATCATAGATATTAAAATAAGATTAAGTTCTACGGGTTGATTGATAAATAATATTTTTTGTTTAGTGTGTTAGTGAGAAATGATCATTTAGGTCAGTTTGTTTTGCGCAAATATAACCTTGTTGACATTTAACAGTGTTGCCATAGTGAGTAATAATTTTCGACTGTATATAAAATAAGTTTTGATTGTTTATAGGTAAATGAGTGCTTAATAATTGGTTTTATTGAATAGATGCAAGTATCTTTTTTTTATTTAGCGTATTCTGATTACATTCTCGCATAATAGTTCTTTTAGATGAATAGAGTTGATGCACAGTACTTAACAATATACAATAGACAGTTACCAAATTGTGATTAAGAAAATTATATATATATATATTTTTTCAACACACATACATGTCACTTTAAATACAGATAATATAGGAAGATATACGTCAATACTGCTGATACTATTGGCTCTCTGAAAGTTGGCGAATGTCTTTCAACGCACTGTACAGTTGTTGATTATGCAGAATATTATATACCTACCAGTGAAAAAAATAATTATTTAGGACTATAAGTCAATATGCTGTCAATATATAATTACTTACGTTTAGTTACCTCGTGAACTGGAAGTTCGATGTTTCTTTTTATTTGTTTGATTATTATACTAATTTACCTCATTAGCATGACCTATCATGTAAAATATTTTATTAGTTAAACGCACACTGTAATGTTGGTGTCGATGCTATGTTCGAGTAACTGTTGTACGCAATTTACTGATACCGTACAGTAAGAGCTTCTCACAATACTAAAGTACAAATAAAGAATTGAAGTAGAACAAAATAAATACCTGCATGTTGTATAAATAGATAATATATTTTCATAAATTGTTGTAAACAGTTTCCCTCGAACACTCGAACGGATGTTAGCACAAATATTAAGTTTGGTCAATGACACAGTACCAACTAGTTGAAGTTAGTTCTTTGTGAAAAATAATTGTTACAACTAAATACTTGTTTTTGTACAAAACTAAATTTTGACGTCTAAAAATGGAATTGATGCCCAATAATATTTGTGTTCTGCAACCTTTATTATGTATTAACATGAATTTCCGGAATGCCACCACCCCTATTCATCCCGTGGGTGTCGTAAAAGTCGACTGAGGGAGCAAACTACGCAGGACAACAGCATTGCAAAGAGAAGGAACACTTGAAACAAACCCTATATCAACCCGTCTGGCCAGCGTGGTATAGTAGGCCAAAACCTCCTTTCTAAGGAGAGGCCTATGTCCAGCAGTGAACTGTTATAGGCCGTTGATGATGATGATGATGATGATGATGATGAACGTGAATGAAACAAACTTACACAAAAGTATTTGAACAATAAAATTGGATGAATAACGACACATCAGCATTCACTAGACCTAACTTAAAGATTCCATTTTCAGAATAATTTTATACGTCAAAATTTAGTTTCAAATGATCTCGTCATGTTCGTCATTTCCGTTTATGATGGCGCCACTGTATACCTCTACCTTGTGTTACCACATTTCATAAACGTTTAACCTGTTACAACTCGGTGTACAATATCAGCGAAAATTCTTAGATTGGGTAATTTAAGCAATAATTAATTTAGATGTAAACGAAAAGAGGGATTATCTGTTATCTAAGTATTAGTGTTGCCATAAATAAAATACAAAGTAAGTCTGTATTGTCGATCACTTTGATGATATACTCAATTGTAACCATAGAGAGAACACAGGGTACAGCTGCCTGTAAGTGGGAGCGATACAGGTAACGAGATAGATGCCCAATATTTCCCTCTGTCTCTGTTTAGCTAAACTGCGATTGGCTACTTATTAACGCCTCATATTCCTTAGCCAACCACAGAGCTCAGTTAGAAGGAGATAGAGGGATCTATCTATTATCCATCTCTCTCGTTGCCTATTGCAAGATTGGGGCTTTTGTTCACTCTACGCTTATACCTCTAAGATTGTAACAGGTTGCACTGGTCTTCTTTGGAATTATGTTTTTCTAGTGTTGACCCACGCCTAAGCCATTATACGTTAGAGTACTAGGTATATGCCGCTTCACTACAATACTATATACAAAAATAAAAATAATTGTTTTGAAAGTGTTGTTTTACTCGTATTGCCTTCACAACGATAATATTACCTAAACTTCTATTAAATTTGAGAAAGATTATACTTTGTTTTTCAGGCCGTTGATTTAGTTTTCAAAAAAAATATAGGATCAAGTTTTTTTTTTAATATTAAAAAAAGCGTCCATTTTTGTTCATTTATCTTGGCGACAAACGTGGCTAAGACAAAATTTAATTAGAATAAAGGGGCTATCTGACCCAAATGATTGTTTAAGTAAAAATTTCAAAGCTCAATATCAATTTACTGTGTGTCTGTAGTTTTCAAAAACTTAACGAGATTATTTTCTTATTATTATTTATTAATTTGGAAAACAAAGAAAAAACTTACTCTGACCGGCAGTACAACCTTAAAGTCGTGTTACAACTTATTTAATTTACATTCGAAAGGTGGGAGAATTTTTAGCTAAGTCAATACGAGGTTTTGCTGGTCAGGGTCTGAAGCCCCCCTAAGCTTGCACAGTGCACTTGTGCAGTGCACAGCACCGTCTAGCCCTTTTGTAGCTACGCCACTGTGTATATGTTATCACAGTGTGATACGAAAGCTTCAATGTATAACGTAGGCATTTTTATATTGGCACCAGGGACTTCCTTTCTAGGGTATACCTGGTTCCCCGGCTATTCGTACCCGAGACGGCGTGCGGTTTTAGTCGGTTCGAGTCCGACATGCTACCGATAGGTGGTATCCGAGGAGATTTCAGCACGGAAAAAAAAGGCATTTTTATATTTGCTAAATCGAAGCGCGGTACGTGTTCCACACGCAACCTAGCGAGAGTGAAAAGGACAGACGCGCAAACTGTGGTTTTCATACAAATAATCATTTGTTCAATCTTATCGAAGGTACGATCGCCCATTAGAATTGTAGATTTTTAAAGCATAGGTGTCGCGGCAACACCTTTTATTTTATTTATTCTTTATGCACAAGTGATAGTACATTGGCGGACTTAATGCCATAAGCATTTTCTCCCAGTCTACCTTATGGTGGTGCTGAAATGTGTGGCTAGGTGCACTAGACATTAATAGGAGAAGTAAAAGAAAATGATTGATAAGTTAGGCAGAAGTAATGCGATAAATATACATACATTCATACCTACCAAAATACATACAATACATACTTTTTTTACATCTGATTCTTAACGCAGTAACAACCACAAACAAGTCCAGTATTGCCAACATCTAATATATAGATATCTCGTGGCACTGCGTTTATGGTCGCATTCCTCCAATGATGCGTTGTGTATTTGGTAGGTGAGCTATTTGATGTCTTTGATAATTAAAATGGCCCAAAGTTTGCCGGGTCACCTAGTTTATTTATAAAAAACTACTGTCAGATGGTGATTTAAACAAAAGAAAACTTGTATAATAAAAATAGGTTTAGTTTTAGGCCAAAACCTCTTATGGAAAGGCCTATGTCCACCAGTGGACTATTAAAGGCTGTTCTCTGTACCTACTGTGTGAGTGGTGGTCGTGTATTTGTTTGTTAACATTCATAATTTAAATGCCCTACCTTATAATTATGATAATAAACGATTTCTAGGGTATTCTTAAACATACGAATTAACCAAAAACAAAAAAACGTGTTTATTTAATGGAATCACATTGACAAAATCACTTTTTTTTTAAATATATTGACTTCTTATATATAGAATAATGCCTAAAGCTAACATAAATATATTACATACATATATTACTCAACTACGTGCTAATTTTTATTCTTACACAAAAAAACTATAGCTAATCAATAATCCACACATTGGTATAACTTGACCACAAAAATCAGAAACCCCATTACGTCATAGGTATAGTACTCTCTCGAATTACATACTTTTATACTTTAACCAGCATTCATATTTATGTTTCATAGCAGTATGTCTCTTAGCTCACTGCAGCTTAACTCTCCACCTTTTGATTCTATTATCGGACTATTATAACTAAAGACCGGATTATATGCAACGTAAAAAGCTTGTTATATGCATGCAAATATGCACAAGTAATACACACTTGTAACAGGCATGAAAATTGGCAGAATATACCAAATTAAATATAAGCTTTAGGAACCCAAAAAATTAAGAAAAATTAGCCCGAAGATTATTATAAATGTGTCGATAATATGCACCATAACTAGATTTTAGGTATAATATGCTATGCAAATATGCAAAGGCATATGCAAATGCATATAAACCGGTCCTTAATTATAATCAAGCCTAATCTGTGGAACTCGAGGGTTTCTAGCAACTGAAAGGTGGATATCCATCCCTAGCCTCCGTCATCAGCTCTTCATCCTCCGAGCCTTTTGCCCAAACTAGGTTGGGGTCGACTTTAAGTCAACTACGATACGGCTGAACTTCGATTTTTACGCGGACCGACCGCCATCAGACCTCCACAACCCAAGTACTAGGCGATATCGAAGTTCTGTAGAAAGACTGTTATACTTTTACGGACTCCCAACTATCCGTAACGATTGCCACAGATGTGTATGGCAACAGGGACCGACGGTTTAGAGGGGTCTCGATATGAAGAATGGTCACCCATCCATAGACTGACCTGGCTAAGATTGCTTAACTTTGCAATGTGTTAACCTACTAGGTAACTACTTAGCCACGACTTCCTCCAACCTCTAAGATAGCAATTATAGTTTTGTTTTACAACATACACATGCAAAGGGTTAAAATTGTCTTCCAACATTTGTTTACACAGTTACAAGTGAAGTTTAAAAGGGTTTGGACTGATTTTTGTGGTTTCAAAACTAGAAGCGTTTCGAATAGGTATAATTTTATGAAATAATTATAGATTTTGTTTTTGTACATACACAAATATATTATAAATTCTAGTTTGCGTGAGAGATGTTAAGTCTATGTGTAACCTGTCAACGGCGTCTAGTCCTCTTTAATTTGCTTCTTCTTTGCGAAGAGATAATGAACGCCTAACAGAGCATTCATTCTGCAACAACGGATATATATTTACTTATAGTTATTTTCAATTAATATTATTTTCCTATGTACAGCGAGAGAGAGAGAAAAAGAGAGAGAGAAAAAGAGAGAGAGACAGAGAGAGAGAGAGAGAGACGATGAGATATAAGATATGGTGAGATATAGAAACTTCCTTCCTACATTATTCCATTTGACTTAACATGAAAAAAAAAATCTTTGTTTGTTTATTAATGCTAATCTCTGATACTTACAAGTTGGATTAAAAAAACACTCGTGTTGGATAAAGTAGTGATTGAGGTCACCACTCTCTCTTTCTTTCTCTCTCTCTCTCTCTCTCTCTGTCTACATAATCAACATACAAGACCACAACAGCACTTACAACAAGGCCCAATGCTATTTCTTGCTCGCGAGCGCGAAGCCAAGGCCGACGATTCCTCCGATGGCCAGCACAGCACCGCTAGCCACCGCAATACCAATCAGACCTTCTTTCTCCATGCGTTTGGTTATTTGACGCTGAAATAACATAAAAATATAATTTAATTTGGTATCAAATGATGATGTTTTTTAAATTTAATATATAATATACAATACAATATATAAACCATGAGGTTGTTTGCCTTTCCTTCTCATAAGGCTCAACCCCTTGGAAACAGGCGGTTGTAGATCGGCACAGGCATATCATAGATTTTGTATACGTTTACTTTTTTTAATTTATTTGCTTACTATTTGACAAAACAGAGATTGTTGCTATTGTGTGTGTAATAGGGATAGTGATGAAAAGGGACAGCACTCATCAAAATGTAACTTTGATGGTGCAATAAACTAGTTCGTTTGTATGTAGGTATAATAATATTTGATACGAGAGTGAACGCTACGATGATATTTATAAGAGACTGCGTACGTGACGTAATCATTTCAGGGGTGACCTCGACCGTAGATGTAACCTTCTACCGTCGAGGTCACCCTTGAAATGATTACGTCGTAATAATATTTTCTTTGTTTTGGGACTGACAGTTTATTGTGTATTGTTATATTCACAAATATTCATGCAATTATTTAAAGTTAGGTTATTAATCTAACTCATAGAACATGCCAAAATGAGTTTATAATTATTTAATAAACTCCCAGTGGAGAAGTTCAACAACATAGTAGGACATTTAGTTAATTAAAATCTAAATAAAAGACGTAAATAAAACAATTCCGAAATTATTTGAGTTTGATATTTTTAAATTATTATAGGACAATATATACGAAATATATGCGAAATAGTAAACCTAGCGTTCAAGCTAAGTTATAATAATAGTTAAGTAAAATTAAAAGAAAAACGTAAAGTTAAACCATTTCGCCAGTGGAGTGTATTAAAGAAGTAAACACACGCGTTCCTTACAATGGTTTATTTCAAACTGCTTTGACAATCGTCAGGCGCAAGTTACACCGTGCGTTTATTATAAACATACACTACAGCCAGCAGAAACATATGTACTTGATTAAACTCTTCGATCAATTATAGTACTATTATTATTGATCGAAGTACTATTATTGATCGAAGATTAAACTGAAGAAAAATATTTCTAATCTACGAGTATAGGAGTGTGTGTAAAGATAAGCATGCAAGCAGTTTATCTATCCTAATATTATAGAGGTCAAGTTAATTCTTTCACTGTTAGAAAGGTATATGTACTTCTTGCCGCGATAACCAACACATACGAGGGCGGAGCCCGGGCACAAGCTAGTTGTTAATAAAGCAATGTCGCAACACAGCGTGAGAACTAATTAATACAATCATCATCATCAACAGCCTTAAATAATCCACTGCTGGACATAGGCCTCCTAGAAAGGAGGTTAATACAATAATAATATAATATTCTGCCACATTCACACAACGCCATCTTGTCCCAAACTAAGCAGAGCTTGTACAAGAGAACTGATATAAATACATATATTCTTTGTTAATATTATACATAGAAACACCCAGACTAAATCAAACATTAAATGTTCATGCACATAAATTTCTGTCCAAAAACTTGGTGAGGTACATTTTAATTAGTTATTGAATGTGACAAACCTCTAAAGTCAGCACTTGTTGGTTAGCTGGTTCAATTTCTAGGAAAGACTTCACATAATGTAGAGCTTTGTTGTACTCCTTGATTCTGGCATTGCCTATAGCAAGGTAGAAAAGGTAGTCCCTTTTGCCTTCTGGATGCGAGTTGAACAACTCTTTAAGGAGGAGTATACCCTGGAAAATAGCAAACAATATTATCTAGCAGTAATAAAATTTATTATTGATACTCCCTGTGCATATTAATGACACATTTGTTTAGATTTTATTTAAAAGACAACTCCCGTATTGGAAATGTATCCTGTATCGCAGGGGACTTTACAGACATACACGAAACGGACACAAAGAACAACCAGACTCAGGACAACAATATGTGGTTCACATAAAGTGTCGTCTCGTGTGGGGATTGGACTCTCAACACTTAGCGTAGTAGGAAGCGGTGTGGCGACCGCTTAAATCACTACGCTAACAGTGCAGCATCTATAGCATGAAGGGAACCACTAATTTCAGAATAAATAAAAAGTGACATGGGAGGAAGTTATGAGCAAACTCTCTCAACCCATAGAAAGACATGTAAACATTTTCATACTTATTAATTATAATGAGATGAGCAATGATAACATGTCAATTAGGACTGCAGTGTGTTCAGATTAAGAATGTCATAACACCAATGAGTAGAAATACTTTTTGTTTCAAGATTTGCATACTGCATAATATATGCTTTTAATCGTTTCTTTTTATATGGAAGAGTAGGCAGATGAGCAGATGAGACACCTGATGGAAAGTGACTACAGGTGCCCTCAGGCCTGGAACAACTTCTACTCAGGAGTCACAAACGCGTTGTTGGCCTTTTAGGAATATTTATTCTTGAAAGTCAATTGGCTATTCCTAAACTAGAATCTTAAACTTTAACTAAAATTGGATTATAAATCCAACCACACAACAGGTGGTTTTATTACAATTTTAGATTCAAACTATTATCTTTTGCCACCGAAAGATGAAGTAAACAAGATTTTTGAAGTTTTTTTTTTTAAAAACATCTAAAATATTTATTAAACAGTCATTTTTGTGTACTTTGAATTTAAAACACAATAATAATCTTTTATCTCATAGCTACACATCATCATCTAACATAACGTGTTTCTTTTTTTTAAAACAAAGCTTTTAAAAGCAAAGGTATATTCTTACAAACAAAGATATTATCAAGGAATAAAACAAAGAGTGTATCATAAAGTAAATTACATAAGATAATTTTGACAACTAATTAGAAGTAACAAAAGAATGTAGACAATAGAATAATAATCTGACACATTAATTATATAAATAGACAAACAATTAATATTACATTGTTTGAACACAACAATTGCAGAGGAACTTGGACTCACAAGTCACTCTGTTTACATTCTCCAATCCAACTTTATATTTATATGTAAATCTATATATATCTATCATCCCATTTCTTCCACTGCTGTCCCGATTTTCCCTTCTTTAATTTCCCAAAGTTCCCTAGTTGATGGCTTGCCATTGCTTATAGAACCAAATTGTATTCACAATTTAGGGTGTTTAATAAGCATCGGTGCACGGTGTTTGTATGTTACACTCACTAACAACAAAATATACACTACATATCATTAAATACATAATAAAATTAGTCTGTGAATGTCCCCTGAAGTGTTGACGATTAACTTTTGATACAAATACAAACAAAACCAAAATAAGTTTTATTTTTAATATTTTCAACACTGAGATAAAACCTTAGTTGCCTTACTGCAGATAATGCGCATTGTCAACTTTTGATCTCAGCGACAATGCACTCGTATGACGTCAAATTTCACAAGAATATTTTAAATGTTTTGTTGTCTTATTACCTTGCGTATGTCTGTGGGGTACTTGCTTCTCACTAAACACCATGCATACTCAAATTGTGCCTTGTGTGTTACAGTCCCTCGGTGTAGCTGCTCGTGGAAAACTTTCTCGAACTTCTAAACAATAAACACGCACAAATATCATTACCGACAATTTAAAATGACTCACGAACAATATGTTACACAAGTTTAAACATTACTTGCAAATCTTCGGAAGATACTATCTCATCTAAAACGTCCTCCATTGTGAATCAATCAACGACAGAACTTTTGAACTACAAAATTTGGTACTGCTTTGAGTTGGAAGAGAAATATTACAATTTTATTGTAAGCTTTATCAAACGTGAAAATTGAAAATCAGTTTTGATTTGACGTATGTCTTGACAGTCTATGTATTGACAATTATTTCTAGGGTTGAGAGTTCGCGGATCTGGTTAAAAAGATTAAATGATAAATCTTTTGAAATTATTTTGACGCCGTATAGCACAATACATTTTAAAAACCTCTTTTAGATACCAGAAAAGCCCTACACTCTGGTACTGGTTGGACATCAGGAGAAGCTCAAGTAGTACGAGAAAATCGACTAGTATTATATTATAATTTTATATTTCCTAAAAGTTTGTCGTTGGATTTTTGGTCGGTGAATTCACTGAACTGTTAAGAGGCTGTTAACAATTATTGTGACCACATCGAAACAGTGATAAAACTGACCAAGATGGAGAAACGTATGTTTTTGTCAACGTGATCATTTTAGACGAAGGTCGTGACCGTTATGTGCAGGGTATCACAGTCGAATTAAAAGTGGGAGAAAAATAGAAGTATTTTAAAGTATGCTTTATTACTTGCTAGTTACAAGTGAGTTTTCCTTTATCAAAAAAAATGAATTGGGTCGATAATTATAAGAAATGAAAAAATGATACAATTTAATGTTTACTTTTCTTTGAGAGTTTCTTTACTTCTAAGCCTATTTTGCAATTTATTTGGTAGAAAAAAGTTCTAAATGCAAAATACACATTTAAACTTAATACTTAAATAGAGATCATAAACTAGTTACTTTATGCTAGTATATCAAGTAAATACGCAAAAAAACTATCTAATAAAGTTCAAATACTTAAAAACAATTATGCCCATCCTACAAAACATAGCTTACATTACCCATTCCTGAATGTCAATGTCTAAGCACTAAACGTCAACTTAATTTAAACTGTCAAATTGGTGGCAAATATTTTAGCAGTTCTAGCAGCTTCTTGTTCAGTGCTCGTATCAACTTCTCTAATAATATTACGTAGTTTTCACTTAAGGATCACATAAATAGTAAAAAGATGCAAAGTGTAATCAACAGTGTTAAGGGTACAGCGTTGGAAGTTGCGGGATATTTAACACCGGTGTTGAAGGTACTATTGTTTTCTTTATCATATTTATCTTTGTATAATCAACAATGACATCGAGTACAACCCGTGCAGAATACAATTTAATACGTAGATATATATTTATTTAGTTTAATTAAATAATACTTGGTTAATATGGCAAGAGGAATAATTCATGATTGTAGGTTTACTCTTCATAATTAATTAATTCATTGTTTGTTCAATTTTTAGCGATTTTGTCTTATATATATATATATATTTTTTTTAATTTTAATATAATTAACTTTGTAGGGAATATTCAAATTTCGAATAATGTACATTGTATGGCTCAAATTTAAGAAGTATTAGTTTATATATTACACCAGTTTCTCTACATTGGACATTAGTATTCCAAATACTTATATAATGCTTCCGTGTGCCATGATTAGTTAAAAAGGGGTACAAAAAAGATCTTTGTCATATAGATAAATTGTGTATAGACATAACTCATTTCACGTAGATGATGCTTACAACAGAAATATTGGAAACCAATTCCTAAAAATATATGTAAATATTCCATCTATAATAACTTATCATTTTATGTAGTATTATTGCTTAGTAAGAATTGCCTTTTGAAGATTCATATGTATTTACAACAATATCACATCGTAGTATCTTTATCTAAGTTCTAAAACCCAGTGCCATAGTACATGTACGATTGTACCAGTGGTATGTTACTATTTGTTTCAGAGTCTGGGTGTGTTCTATGTATAATATGTATTTACAAAAAACATGTATAAGTCTTCTATCGGTCCATCTAGCTTTCATAGTACAAGCTCTGTTTAGTGTGAAACTAGATTTGTGTGTCAGATTTCTGAAAATATTTTCTTTTTAACCGACTTCAAAAAGGAGGAGGTTCTCAATTCGATTGGTATTTTTTTTTTATGTATGTACACCGATTACTCTGAGATTTATGATCCGATTTACGTGATTCTTCTTTAGTTTGATGCGGAATAGTTGCCATTTGGTCCCATAAAAATTTAACATAGTTAGGCCCAGTAGTTTTTATTTTATGAACATTTTTAATGAAAATTATTGTTTACTTGGATGATATAATTTTAGTTTGTGTACAGCCTTTTTAGGAGTTTTCATTTAAGTTGATTATATATTATTTATTTATGTAAACACAAGATTTTTGTTTGAAATATGTAAGTACTTATAAATTAAAATTTGATTATTGATTTAAGGAATCAAAGTTCCAAGAGACAGGAGTTCTTACTCCTGAGGAATTTGTGGCAGCCGGAGAGCACCTAGTGCATCACTGCCCAACCTGGCAGTGGGCTAAGGGTGAGGATGCCAAGGTCAGAAGCTACCTTCCAGCAGACAAACAATACCTGTTCACTAGGAATGTACCTTGCTATAGGAGATGCAAGCAAGTATGTCAAAACTGTTGATTATTAATTGATTTTTATTAGGTTCTTCATTAGTTCTTTGATAGATTATTATGTACGATATGTTCAAGACTAATAATTAGAGACATGAGGAATTACCAAGTGTGCATAAGTGGGGATGGTGAATTATCAAACTACCTGCCATTTAGACACAGTACCGGAATAATAATAATTGATGGGCCTGTTGGTCTAGTGGTCAGTGACCCTAACTGCTAAGCTGTTAACAAATATTGTGTGATGAGCACCATCATTTGATTTGTCTGGAACAAATATTGTGTGATGAGCACCATCATTTGATTTGTCTGGAACAAATATTGTGTGATGAGCACCATCATTTGATTTGTCTGGAACAAATATTGTGTGATGAGCACCATCATTTGATTTGTCTGGAACAAATATTGTGTGATGAGCACCATCATTTGTTTTGTCTGGAACAAATATTGTGTGATGAGCACCATCATTTGATTTGTCTGGAACAAATATTGTGTGATGAGCACCATCATTTGATTTGTCTGGAACAAATATTGTGTGATGAGCACCATCATTTGATTTGTCTGGAACAAATATTGTGTGATGAGCACCATCATTTGATTTGTCTCTAACAAATATTGTGTGATGAGCACCATCATTTGATTTGTCTGGAACAAATATTGTGTGATGAGCACCATCATTTGATTTGTCTGGAACAAATATTGTGTGATGAGCACCATCATTTGATTTGTCTGGAACAAATATTGTGTAATGAGCACCATCATTTGTTTTGTCTGGAACAAATATTGTGTGATGAGCACCATCATTTGATTTGTCTGGAACAAATATTGTGTGATGAGCACCATCATTTGATTTGTCTGGAACAAATATTGTGTGATGAGCACCATCATTTGATTTGTCTGGAACAAATATTGTGTGATGAGCACCATCATTTGATTTGTCTGGAACAAATATTGTGTGATGAGCACCATCATTTGATTTGTCTGGAACAAATATTGTGTGATGAGCACCATCATTTGTTTTGTCTGGAACAAATATTGTGTGATGAGCACCATCATTTGATTTGTCTGGAACAAATATTGTGTGATGAGCACCATCATTTGATTTGTCTGGAACAAATATTGTGTGATGAGCACCATCATTTGATTTGTCTGGAACAAATATTGTGTGATGAGCACCATCATTTGATTTGTCTGGAACAAATATTGTGTGATGAGCACCATCATTTGATTTGTCTGGAACAAATATTGTGTAATGAGCACCATCATTTGTTTTGTCTGGAACAAATATTGTGTGATGAGCACCATCATTTGATTTGTCTGAAACAAATATTGTGTGATGAGCACCATCATTTGTTTTGTCTGGAACAAATATTGTGTGATGAGCACCATCATTTGATTTGTCTGAAACAAATATTGTGTGATGAGCACCATCATTTGTTTTGTCTGGAACAAATAGTGTGTGATGAGCACCATCATTTGTTTTGTCTGGAACAAATATTGTGTGATGAGCACCATCATTTGATTTGTCTGGAACAAATATTGTGTGATGAGCATTTGTTTTGTCTGGGTGTAAGTTATCTATAAGTATGTTTCTTCAAATTATTTTAAGGTTGGATAGGCAGGTTATATGCTATATTACATCCCACTATACCTATAAAAGCTGAGCATCAATTAAAATATTGCAAAGTTGGTGATAATCTAATAATAATAATATTTTCACACATTTCACACACACCCGTCTAATCGCAAACTTGGCAGAGCCTGTACTATGTTAATCAGACTGCTGATAAACACACTTATATACTTCTAAATACCTGCATATTATGGCTAAAATACAGACCAGACACAGAACAAATGACCGTGCTCATCATACAATTATTTGTTCTGGGTGGGAATCGAACCCACGTCTGGTGTTACAGTCTGTGTCACTAACCACTAACCCAAACGTACCAATAAAATTATTGCTTTTGAGAGACAGACAAAATTGAGTTAATTAACTAGTAGTTTAGAAGGTCACAATATATACAGACAGGTGTACGTTATAATTAGTGAGCATCATAGTCACCATTGCTATCATTGACACATTTATATTTGATAGAAAATTTATGTTTAGGTGTTAATTTATTGTAGTTTAATTAACATTATTTAGTACTCACACTCAAATGTTATTGTCAACACCATAACCTTATTACTAATTGTAATGTATTTGCTTTTATTTATTTTTTACTTATTTTTTTAAAGAAGGAATATATATTCTGTTTTTTTTTTATGGTATAAGTGGTTAAATGAGCAGACGGGTTACCTGATGGCAAGCAACCACCGCCGCCCATGGATACCCGCAACTCAAAAGTCACAAGTGCATTGCCGCCCTTGGAGTCCCTCCCGCTTGAGTCAGCGGAAGGGTGGATTTGTGTGTGTGGGTCCAAGTGAGATATGTTGACATGACTGTTAGTTTTTTTTCTCAGATAGAATACTGCGAAGACAAAGAGAAAGTGATAGAAGATGAACAGGACGCAGACGGAGGCTGGGTTGATACACATCACTATGATAACGCTGGCTTACCCACGGTTGAGGAAAAGGTATGATAAAATGTTTTTTTTTTATTTCATTATATCGTCGGCACTTATGTATTTTCTTTGTGCCTGTAGTTTAATGATATTTCATGGAGACCTGAAATTACATGGTTTGGGTCCTCCCCAGGGAACCTAGGGTGACCGAGGTTGGCCTTCGGGGTCCCCTAAAAGCTTAGTGAGAAGTTAGCGAAAGGTCATGGGACCGATTCCCACCCATAATTATGTTTTATTAATATTAATTACCCTCTCCACTTTTAATTTATTGTTATTATAGGTATGTGAAATGACACTGGAAGCCGCCGACACTGGCGACAGTGACGGTGAAGGCGCTGCTGGCGATCACGAAGACGATGAAGACGAGGACGAGGATGGCGAGGCTGAGGACATGGAGGAGTTCCAAGAGTCTGGCTTGCTGGATGAAGTTGATCCGGTGAGATTTTACCCTTGGATTATTGTTCAATGTTGTATTTACCTGGTATACCTTAAAAGCAGAAAAAGTTTTAAAGTGGCCCACGTGTTAAACCAGGTAACCAGACTGCTGATGAACATACTCAAATATTTCTAAATATATTTCAAACGATCGAAACGATACAAATTACACGATAAATTGTATCTCATCTCTCATCACAAAATTCAAAAGTATTAGTTCTGGGTGGGAATGGAACCCACGACCTACGGCTACTAGACGAACAGCCCCGTCAAGCTCTTCGTAGGAGATCCCACAAGACGTAAAAAGAAATAGAACCAGAGTCAATTCAGTATTATTATGATCGATGTTTCCACCGACCTTTGGGAATGTTGCTAGTTAGGGTTCCGTACCCAAATTGTAAAACGGAACCCTATTACTAAAACTCCGATGTCCGTCTGTCACTAGGCTGTATTTCATGAAACGTGATAGTTAGACAGTTGAAATTTTTACAGATGATGTTTTTCTGATGCGGCTATAACAGGCAACATACAACAGACATGTTTTTTTTTCCGTTTTTATAGATAATGGTACGGAACCCGTCGTGCGCGAGTCCGGCTCGCACTTGACCTGTTGTTTTTAAATAACTACAAGCACAATACCTAGATTCCGATTTCGTTCACGTAAACAGTGATATCAAGTTCCGAAGGTTGATAATGTCATGTAAACTTACTACATGTACCTACCTATTTACCACCTATCCACATTGCCTCCGTTATCGGGCTGTGTTGTATCTGAATACATTGTATTGAATACAAATCTTTATTACATGATATCTTTAATAGGGGAGTTGACTATCGTGCGGAGCGAGAGTGCGTGGAACTCTGCCGTCTCCTTCTGCGAGCAAGTTATGCTCGCGAAGGAGACGGCGGAGCGGGACCGGGAGAGGTTTAGGACTCTCCCGGCCCGCCAGGCCCGGGAACGGGCCAGGTACCGCACTCGACCTCCGTCCTCCATAAGCGCAGGCCTGGGGGTGACAGGTGAGGCCATCTGTCACCCTAGCAGAAGCTGACCTGGGTGGCGGCGAGCGCGTTGCGAAGCGCGCCCGCTTCCAGGGAGCACAGGGAACATGGGGTTCCCACACGGGGGGGAGATCGTCTACTCGTCTGTAGATGACCCGAGGTATTTCGGGGCACCAGGGACTTCCTTTCTAGGGTATACCTGGTTCCCCGGCTATTAGTACCCGAGACGGCGTGCGGTTTTAGTCGGTTCGAGTCCGACATGATACCGACAGGTGGTATCCGAGGGGATTTCCGCACGGAAAAAAAAAGGGGAGTTGCCTCTATCATAAATAAATAACAGTCCGCCTTATTAAATTTGTTTTAATAAGGGGGAATGTCTATCTATCTAAAAAAATCTCGGCAAATATAATTATTCTAGCTTTTTATAACAATTACGAATTTAAATCAAATGAATATTAACTCAAATTCTTCAATTGAGAATCAATTCTATCTTAGACTAGATAGTGACGTCATAAGATGCTTTTTAGTACATTTTAATTATTGTTTTGACGTTGACGTTTAATTGTCGGTTTGACGAGATGATAAACAGTAATTAATTTGACTTAGGTGTCAACTACCCTATTAAGTGTACGATAATCTATACAAATAAATAAAATTGGAGTGTCTGTTTGTAATATTAAAATAAATGCTTTTTACTAAATGCATATGTATGTTTACACGGTACATATGCCAAAATAACATTTTTTTTCAATTTTTGTCTGTCTGTCTGTCTGTCTGTTTGTTCCGGGTAATCTCTGGAATGGCTGGACCGATTTCGACGGGACTTTCACTGGCAGATAGCTGATGACATAAGGAGTAACTTAGGCTACTTTTTTTAGACTAGCTTCGCCCCGCGGCCTTGCCGGCGGTTATAACAAACGCGGGTAACACCGCGCGTCTCAGCTAGTTAATAATAATATCACACACAAGGCCGTCTAGTCCCAAACTAGGCAGAGCCTGTACTATGGTAACCAGACTGCTGATAAACATACTTATATATTTCTAAATACATACATATTATAGATAAATTACACCCGATACAGAACAAACGATCGTGCTCATTACACAATTTTATTGTCCTGGATGGAAATCGAACCTGTGTACCTCCGGCTTAGCAGTCAGGGTTACTAACTACTGGACCAACTATCAATCAATAGTTATTTTAATGTTAATATTGCATTAAAATAAAACTATTTCTGAGTGGTATTCGTATTGAGTATAAATATAATTTTTTTATGGAAGAGGGAGCAAACGAGCAGACGAATAACCTGATGGAAAGTGCCTACCACCGCCCATGAACACCTGCAACTCAGGAGTCAGAAACGCGTTGCCGGCCTTTTACGCTCATTTTTTTTAAGGTTTTTGACTAGTTAACCTAAACTTTCAAGAAAAGTGAGGCGTTCATGGGCGGCGGTAGTCACTTTCTATCAGGTGACCCGTCAGTTCTTCTGTCCCTATATCATAAACTAGCTGACCCGCGCAACTTCGTCTGAGTCTCTCAATAGTAATAAATTTTCTCCGTTTTTGAAACATTCATCATTGGTGCTCCGCTCCTATTAGTCTTAGCGTGATGATATATAGCCTATAGCCTTCCTCGATAAATGGGCTATCTAACACTGAAAGAATTTTTCAAATCGGAACAGTAGTTCCTGAGATTAGCGCGTTCAAACAAACAAACAAACTCTTCAGCTTTATAATATTAGTATGGATAGTTCATTCTATCAAAAAAGTGCAATTTTTAAAAATTAGAATAGATGATAAAAGGAAGTCTTATATTATCGCAGTCAACAGACTTAGCTCAACGCAAGGAGGACAAACCGAAGTCGGTGAACAAGTCGAAGTCGGACGGTGATGAAATTATTCGTACGAGGACATACGATCTTCACATCACTTACGACAAGTACTATCAGACGCCGCGGCTCTGGCTCATCGGATACGACGAGGTGAGATTTTACATTTTTGAAAGGAGGTTTTAGCCTACTTCGGATTGGTATAGGACAGGGATTCCCAAACTTTTTGGGCGAGAGACCCCTTTTCCAAAATGAACTTATACCTCAGACCCCATAGCTAAATTTAAAAGTCATATCTGTAGTTATTTTCCTATTGATACAAAATACTTGTCAATTTAAAAACTTTGCCGTTTTATAAAAAAATAGACATATTAGTCAGTCTTATAACAACACGTAACACAACTTGTGCAGTATCTCAGAAAGTTTCAAATAAGAACTTTTGTTAATTAATAGGGGTCAATTTTTGGACCTCGTCGACCCCCAAAATCGGTTTTAGTTTATGTCGACCTCTGGGAAACCGATTTTAACCCCAAGGGGTCGATATCGACCACTTTGGAAATCTCTGGCATAGGGTTTGTGTCAAGTTATCCTTCTCTTTACAGTGCTGTTGTGCTACCTAGTTTGCTACCTTAGTCGGCTCTTACGACATCCGATGAATTGGGGTGGTGACACTCCGTACTTCAAATTCATACACAAAATTCTGTAAATGTAGTATTTCCCCAAAACAAATAGAAAAATCTGAAGAAAAATAACGATTATTGTGACGACTGCGTTAAGATCTAAGAATCTAATTAGTCATACGCAACTGGTGTAAATTTATACGTTCCGATGTGATTACTGTTTTTTTAGCTACAATACTGTGAATCATATACACTTTAATTGCATTGTTTACATTTTACAAATTGTGTTACTGTGCGGACTAGCCGTGACCTTGCCGGCTTTTGAATAACAACGTTTGTGAGTAAACTTTAAAATCAAATTAATACGAGTCCATCTTGTAATGATGATATTTGCTTTCCTACACATATGTTAACGTCCTTCTCCAAGGTCCTTCCTATCTATCTCTTCACCGAAATCCATCGAAAATAAAACTACATTGGTTGCTTATGAAAAAAAAGATCCATTAAAGAATTTCCAACAAATAAGGAATCGTAAAATCGATCTAAGTGGCGTGCAATGGGAGAGGCCTATGTCCAGCAGTGGACTGCGATAGGCTGATGATGATGATGATGATGATGAAGGAATCGTAAGAATAAGAAATGTAACAAGAGCCCCATATAATCGATATATGGTTGACCTGAGGAAACACAATAATAACTATAATATTATATAGGAATTATTTGTTAAATTTTCATGCTATTTTCATGGCTTAAAGGGCCTGTTCTATTTATATCAAACTTGTTTTATAATACCACATTATGTACTACCCCCTTTAAAGCAAATAAACAATTTGATTTTGAATAGTTTAGGTGTAAAAAGTAACATACAGACAGAGTTACTTACTGTTTTATAGAATTATAAGCATAGATAATTAGGATATGAACGGTCCAGTGCGAGTTTTAATAGTGTTGACATTTGGTGTCAGGATCGAACTCTCCTGAGCGTAGAACAGATGTACGAAGATGTGTCCCAGGACCACGCCAAGAAGACTGTCACCATGGAGTCGCACCCGCACCTGTCCGGACCCAGTATGGCCTCCGTACACCCGTGCCGGTGAGTTATACTACTCTTTAGGTTAATATGTTACGTGGTTTATTTACAATTATATGCAGTTTATTTAAGTGGTACTTCAGGATTGCGACCATGTATTGTAAATCTCATCTCATTTTCTTTTTGTGTAAACTAGCTGCTTGTGTTCGCGACTTCGCCTGCTGTGGGATCTCACCCAATCTCACAATTTTATGTTTTACTGTCAGTTATATTGTGATGATTAGAAGACTAGTTCCTGGGCCTCAATTCTGCTATTTTATGTTTACGACAAGCCAGTGTCATACCACTGACACGCTATTGAGAGGCCATCGAGTGGCCATTGGCATCGGTATTGATTTTCGGTAGTCTGCACTAACTCAGTGTCTTTACAATGGCAATGGAATGGTAGTGGCTCATCAGTGGTGATATCAAAAAGATTGCCATGTTTGGAAAAATAAATAAATCATTTAATTATAATTTGAAAATGTATTACGCTTTTTTTTTGGTACATGAAGTTGTTATGAATTTATCATATTTATTGTTAAAAATGTATAAACTACAACGACATAATACACCGTAATTAATAAAATTATCGTTGGCTGTTTGTAAATGCTATTGCCAAATGAAAAAAGTGTCACTGACTTATCTATCATTGAAGGAACGGACCAGCAAATTTAAAATGCTTTCTAAAGAAATAGTAAGTACTTACTTTCGTATTTTTTAGATGTTATGGATTATATAAAATTGTATTATCTATTTCTGCAATCAATATATATTAATAAAATTATAGTTTAACACTTCATAGTGCATCATTGTCTTTACTTTGAATTTTTGTAATTCAAACTCCTAAATTCGTTGCAGAAATGGCGAGTGAGATGCAATTAGATGCGTTTGATGTTCCTGGTTCAAGAAAAGATGCAGTCTGGCGAAGCGATTATGGATGGAGTGCGCAAATATATGGTGTTTCGCTTGACTGCCAGAGTAGAAAGTAGTGAGTATTAATTTACATTTGTTCTATTCTTCTAGGCACCCCTCCACCAATCTCTTTCTTTATGAGAAGGCAATAACGAAATAAGTTAGGGCAAATAGTCCACTACGTTGTCTGCTAATTTCAACAGGCTTTCTTTATTTTAATAATATCCTATTAAAAGTTAATATTTATTTTATTCTTTTGAGGTTTATAAAAAATACAAATTAAAAAGCAAAGAACATAGAGAAAATAAAAAACAAATATCTGTGATGAACTTTATAAAAATAAAATAATAACAATGGTAAATATACATAACTTTTATTGTGAAACTAGTATAATATATTTTGTTTTCCTAAGATGATCTTCATTGTTTTCAGGACATGGCCCAGCAACTCTCATCACCTTGACACCACTATAAGAGTGGTTATATTATATTATGGACCGAGATATTGGGGAAACATTTAGAAGGTGTGCCGAATGTTGTGCATGTGCCCTTGCCATATTTGGAAGTGAAGTACTTGAGCAGCAAGCCTGAAAATAAATATTGTGAATTATATGTTGTAGTAACATTTTCTTTTTTTTTCAGAAATGTAACATTCATGACCTATAGCTGTCCCTCAAATAAAAAAAAATTCAATGACTATGTTGTTTTCTTTTACTTTTCCTTTTTTGATAGCACACAAAATAATAAGTATTTCATTCATTGAGCCGCTGCTTTAAAATCTATAATTATTATTATTAATATGTCAAAAAACATGAGAGAGTTAATTTGTCATGATAGATTCATTTCACAGCGCTCAACAGTATTGGGTGACATGCAAATTATAATAGTAATGCTCTGCAGTTCTTTCAATGTTGTTTAAAGCTGGAGTGATCAACCACTTGCACAAGGTGTATCACAAAGAAATTTTAACATTTTGTAATAAATTCTTTAATATAATAACAATACATTTTTAAAACTACTTGGCTACTAATTGACTAATACAAAACTGAAATATTATACAAATGGTTTCTGGACTAGTACATGTTATTCCAACAAATAGGGTATTAAGCTTAAACCAAAATAAAATGAATTTATTTTGTTTTAGTCAAAGTTATTAGGTAGGTAACTACCATCATAAAGTACCATGTACTCACCTGCTAAAAATGAATGATCTTCACCGGGACCAGCTAAACCCATTAAGTGTTGGCTGTGGATTACCGGAGTCATAGGCTGCATCAGGGATATTGGCCCGGACACACATGATGTTAAGATCAGAATCACATGCCTATAAATTATTGTTAACATTAAGTAAACTGAAAAATTGATCACTTATAAATAAATTGGTAAAAATAAACATTTAATTTAATAGGTGGGTGTACATTGTCAACACTGACCCTTCAGCCTTCATTACATATTTCACCAAGAGGCAATCATCTCTTAGGTAAAGTTTTATGGGATTTAATAGTTTTTTATTCATTATGAAATATTATAGATAAGTGGCACCGGCTTTATTATCTCTTAAATTTTTTATTAAGATATAATTATTATAGATATTGTCTTGTAAGTTGTTCCACTTAGATAAATTAAAATGTTAAAGGTATATACTTACTTGGCATTTATGTCATTTCTTTCTTGATGATTCTGTATGATGGTAGGATGATTCAATGCCTTGGTCACTTGTCTAATAGTTTGTGAACATTTTGGAATGCACTTTACTTTGATATGATCCTGGCATTTAAAATGATATCAGAAGCTGAAATACAAAGTAGATATCAGAAAACTGTAAAGTTAATTTAACTGAAACATAAATTACCAATAGAACATTTGTTTTCATATTATTAACTTTACCTTTGTCTGAAGGAATAATGCTGATATCTTCTCCACAAGGCTTTTTGTTAGCCTAAACACTTTTATAAATGTGTCCTCGCATATTATGTCTAATATTTACCACTTTGTCTCGACAAACCACGAGCTCATCGGCGATTTCAAACCACTTTAACTCGACGATCTTCGTTGTAAGCAGCTTCTAATATTTGCCTCCGTTGCAAGTTGAGGCATTTTTGTTTACGCACTTTAATTACTTATCTATTGAATTAACGTAAATAACTAAATACGCACATAACACTCTCAAAAAAGCAGTGACTGCTTGATGGCAGATCAATGATAGTTTAACAACAATATTATTCACTCTGAAGCCATCGTGGTGTCATTGAAACAACTGTCAATTCTGTCAAACACTTGTAGACTACCGTTTAGCAAACTATTGAACAGACATCGAAAACATTTTGTATCAGTGACAAGTCATCGGGAGGCCATTGGTCTTTATTTAGTTAGCAGATTACGAAAAGTGCCAAACTATTCCGACGACACTCCATCGACACTCTATTGATACAATATTAAAATAGCGGAATTGGGGCCCTGGTCGACTACATTGTCCTATCTGCCTCTATACCAAAACTCATCAAAATTACTTCAACGGTTTAGGTGTAGAAAGGTAACATACAGACACAGTTACTTTGGCATAATACTAGTATGAACTAATGGTCGGCCCAATGGTAAGCGCTTACCGCAATGTTCACAACACCTCCTATTTGGGCCCTTTCTTGTCTCAAACTATCTCAAACTCAAAATATCGGACACGGATGGCGTAGTGGTTTAAGCGGTCACCTCGCCGCTACCTACTGCGCTGAGTGTTGTGGGTTCGATCGAAATTGTTTTTCTGAGTCTGGGTGTTCTTTGTGTCCATTTCCATGTATGTTTGTAAAGTCCCCCGCGACACAGGATATATTCCTAGTGCAGGAGTTGTCTTTTTTAAAAAAAGCTCTGTTTTGTCTAATATTTAGCGTACGAAAATAATTAACCCAGAGGCCTGAGCTACGCTATATTTATTTAAAAAGTCTTGAAATCGAAAAAATACTATTAAATTACAGGCACGCAGAAGTAATGAAGAAAATTATCGAAACTGTGACGGAGAGCGGCGGCGAGATGGGTGTGCACTCGTACCTGATTGTGTTCCTAAAGTTCGTACAGACTGTCATACCGACCATCGAGTACGACTTCACGCAGAACTTCGCCATGAACTAGACGCTGCAGCTTGGAGACGATAGCTTAGTTTAGCTTTTGTATGTGGCGCGGTGGGTGTCGGGCGAGGCTGAGACTGTACTGAGACATAACTGAGAGTGTGAGAAAAAGGAAGTGTTGTCGAAACTCTCTCGTATCTCACTTTAGTCAACCCCAAATGCGAGTTTATTTTACACCTACTCGATGGTCACGGTGAGCGCGTTCGGCGCTGCGATTGGCCCGCACTGAAATCTTAACCAATCGCAACGTCGAACGCATTGTGAGTGAGTTAATAATAATAATAATAATATATCTCACACACTCACACACGGCCGTCTGATCCCAAACTAGGCAGAGCCTGTACTATGGTAACCAGACCGCTGATAAACATACTTATATATTTCTAAATACATACATATTATAGATAAATTACACCCAGACACAGAACAAATGACCGTGCTCATCACACAATATTTGTCCTGGTTGGGAATCGAACCCTCGACCTCTGGTTTAGCAGTCAGTTGATGTGAAATAGACTCGCACTTGGCCCACAGAAGCAAAATTTTTACTATTTAAACACGTCTAGAAACCTTCTAACGCTAACTTTGTTTTATCCTATCTAGAAGCCCCAGTGCTGCTTATTTCATCCCAAAATTTGGGAGAAATTTCCAAACTGCCAACACAATTAAGTTGAATTAAAGGAGCCTACCGCGTCTGTGTATTGTATATTATCATGGTGTAGCTGATTTTATGTTTAGTCGTGTTATTGTGTTTGTTTAGATATTATTGCAATTATTCATGTACTAGCAAAATTTACTCAACGCTGTGTAGTTTCTAAGTTCTATTGAATTTGTGTAAAGCCCACGTAAATGTCAGTCAATGCAATATCTGGGTACCCGCCTTTCACAGACAGCTAATATTGTACTTGAGACAAAATCACAGTGAAATATGATTTATCATTTCATTTTTTCGTGCGTAGGTTACTTGGTGATTGCTCACGCATTGTTGCCAATAAGCTGTTTTCAGACGCTATTTAATAGTAAATCTAGTGTTTTTTAGTTATTATGTAGGAAATGCTAGCTATTTATAATAAAATTATTACTAGATTTACTGTTAAATACGGAAACCGGCTTATCAAATGATAAATCACAGTTCACTGTGATTTTGTCCCGTATATCGCGATCACGTAATACAGCAATGGGGTAGATGTAAAGCGTCTGTCCGAAATACGGCTAGCGCTGTGGGTTAGAGTGAGAGAGGAGGAACCTACCTACCGCTGCCGTATGGAGAGAAAGGGAAGCCAGACAGACTGGCGCCGTAACGCGTTACGTAACGAAGCGGTGGATGTTATGCTTCAAGATCAGTGCAGCTGTGGCAATGGGGAAAACTTGAGACAGCCTTGCTAAGCCTTCCTAGGACAGTTGACGACTTCTTCTCCACGGTGATCTCATATGCCGAAGCCTTTCTCCGAATCAGAGACCCCATCTCAGGATCACATTTTAAGAGTATCTTGCTTATGTTGTTACCACGTTCTAGAAATAGTGTTATAAGGAATAATAGGTCAGTTGGCGCATCATTCTTTTCGTACATGTGGAACGTGAGCCCGCCTGGAGATCTCATTTCTTTTGATGTGTCACGATCACCCCTAGCTCCTTCCTTTGCTTTGCGCAAAAATTCCTGGATTATCTTTCTCGGGTCGGTGTACCCTCCCATAAGAAGTTATCACTTCAAAACATAAAATTGAAAATAGAAGAAAATTAAGTCTGGTTCTTTAAAGAGTTTTGCAATTTTAAATGTAATTATAGTGGATCTATAATAAGTTTTTTTACAATACGGCCAGTGATACCATGCCAGTTAATGTTTTTTTATTAAAAGCTTTAAGTCAAGCATTTGTATGTTTACATTTAAGATGATAATATAACTTGCCTATAATATTTTTGTTGTGCTTTTATTTACTTCAAACAAAGCAACAGATATAAGATTAAAAAGAAAAACGGCGTAAGGGGTCTATGGAACCCCCCGAGTAGCAGTCTACTATATATGTGAGCGCGCCAACTGAATTTTTCGGTTTCGCTGCCATCCGCTCAGAGTGTAACGCGCGGTAAGGAACTTCGTTCCATAATAGTAATTAACGCGATAATCCGAAGAAGAGGGTAATGACAAAAGCTTTGGATTTACGATCGAAAGATTGCAGGTTTGAATTCCTCCTGGTAAACTACAGACGTAAACACTTTGTGTACACAACCAACAAGACACATGTCTAAATAGAGAGGTTAATCAGGAATACTAGTAATGAGTAACCCAAATTATGCCATAAACAATAGTTAGAAAAAAAATAATTGCGTTCCTAACTACCCATAATGTGTGGCAATTGGTAGTGTGCATTCCTTTTCATTCTATTACAAAATAAACTTAATTAAAAAAGAAAAGAAATTATTTCCGCTAAAATTAAGAGACCGATAAATTGAGTTCTCATTAAAGTAATGTTAGTATACTAACTGCGTCCTGCGGTGTTGCCCGCGGTTGTTGTGGTACCTTGCTCATCCAACGGGAACACTACATTTTTTCGGGATTAAAAGTAGCCTATGTGTCAGACTAAATTCTATTTCTGCGCCAAATTTCATCCAAAACCGATCAGCTGTTTTTGTTTGAAAGAGTAACAAACGTCCATACAAACTTTATGTAATACTAACTAATATGTAATACTAATTGATAACTGTTTATCACTTAAACAAACTTTTAAATGAAAAACATTCTTTAACGCCATCTAGCGAAGACATACTGAACTACAGAGTAACTACTAATCCTGTATCGCGCAATAAAAGTTCTCGTACTGATTAATAAATGTACACCCTTAGGCAGCAGTGTAACATGCATGATCACTCTGCCTGGTCGATTGATCTGGTCCTTTGAGTTCAAGGGCCCACCCGTTACTCCAGTGTCGACATTCCTATTTAGTGTGGGTATGATATTTACACACAACGAGTGTTGAAAGGAAAGAAAAAAAATTTTGCAAATAAAAGCATAACAAAAATGTTTTACGATACACTTTTATATCTTTCGTAAATCTCACCTAATTATTGTAGAATAGTTTTTAATGTATTTTAGCTAATATGTAATAGAATGATTTTTAAATATTTTCATGTATTAGCACAAATGTGTTATTTTTGTACACATTTTAATGTTTTATACCTATTCAAATATTTGCATAGCAATGCTTTGCTTTACTGTGGTATATAAAAGCATTTTTTATATAATTTGTTATGAAGATTCTTGTTTTTTGTCTTAAGTACACAAGTTTTGAGAGATTCCATTACGGTCACGAGTAAACCTGTCTGGATTCTCACACTTAATATAGGTTCAAAACAGGGATTCCCAAACTATTTTGGGCAAGAGACCCCTTTTCTACAATGAACTGATACCTTAGACCCCCGCAACCAAATTACTTTAAAAATCCTAGCAGTGTTTCCATATTGATACACAATACTTAAAAAAACTTTGCCTTTAGTTAAGGCAGTAAACTTGATATCATTTTCACATCAAAATTCAACAAAATATATAGATATATATTAGTAATTCTTATAAAAAGTTAGTACTCGTAACAAAACATATAAAGTATTTTGAAAGATTCAAATAAGAACTTCTGTTAGTTAATAGGTGTCGATTTTTAGACCTCGTCGACCCCCAAAATCAGTTTTCGTTTATGTTCGACCCCTGGGAAACTGATATCAACCACTTTAGGAATTCCTGGTTTAAAGTTTTATTACTTTTGTAGTTGCTAACGAACCTATCAACTTCAGAACCTTTCATTTAGTGTGTATGTACAATACAATGTGTCATGTATCCTTCATTGGAAACAATTTTACTAAAGTAGCTTATTTTTTTTTAAAATAAATTACATACTATGTATAATCTATTGCCATGCAATGTTTGTTTTATTGTTAATGTTACAATACTCTTTTATTTCGTAAGATTTTAATATATAATGGGCACCGTTTGGATTATATATTTAATAAAAGTTATTTTGCCTACGTCACCATCATGTTTTATTTAATTTGCTTTTTATTAAACTTTACAGCTTTACATTAACTTTTATATTTGTAAGCTTAGTTTTCTAAGTATGAAGAAAACACCTTAAATGCAGATGCAGATTCCCAAGATTTGGTGCTATTGAAGGCCACAAATCTGCGGCACTGTAACTATAGTTGCGGCGCCTCAAGCCTGCAGTGGTATTTCTAAACCACTGCACCATTCACGCTCACTTCCTCAGCACACCACAAAAAGCCGGCACACTACACGTTTACTTACCTCCACAAAGTACAGTAATGCTATTAGAGACCTACCACCTTCGTGGCGAATGTAGAAACTCACCTTTAACTAAATGAAACAATCAAATCATTTCTAATAATAATAATTTATTTCACCTATAACATACATTATGTACAAATCACCATGCTTTACAATAAAATATAATCAGTACTAAGCGATAAAGCCCTCTTTACATGAACATAACCTACCCATATATTACAAAATAATACAACTTTATATGCAAATAAATATACATTGTGTTACAAGATTACCTAATGTGATAGTTTATATATAGGGTGGTGAAAGATTTGGTCGTCTAAACGAATTATTTAAAGAGATATACCTAGTAAATTATTTATAATAATCTCAAAAAAAAAAGAAATAATATTAAAAGTTAAATAATGAATTAAAATACATTGATTACCGCTAAATTAAATACAATTTGAACATATTATAATGACTTAAAATCGATACAAACATAATCATGGAACTTAATAACTAGCTGCATTTACATTGATCACAGAATATTCCGACCTTAAATAATTACACAAAACCTGTGATGTTTATAATCATCCCATTTTAAAATACTCTAAACCACATAATACTTCAATGTAAACATAGTGACGCATTTACGAATGTTTTAATTAACAAGGAAATAGAAATAACATGTTTTTTGTGGACCAAATTATTTTTTGTACTAAAATTATTTTAGGTGGACATGTAGAGCTTTTCGGGAGCACAAAGGGAACATAGGGGTTCCCAAACAGGAGGGGGTCATCTAACCGCCGTAGATGGGCCGAGGTAGGCTTTCCTTTCTAAGGTACAGCTGGTTCCCCAGCTACTGGTACCCGAGACGGCGTGCGGTTTTTACTCGGTTCGAGTCCGACATAGCCACCGGTGGGTGGTTTCCGAGGGGATTTCCGCACAGAAAAAGAAAGGTGGACATGTAGAGAAAGAAATTAATAAATGTAAATTTTTTATCAATCAGTAAAATATTTCGCATGTATGTTTAATGAAATAGATTACGCATTTCAACTCCATACCATTTTGCAACTTATTTCTATACTAATAAGATTGAAATGGCCGCGGTATTACGATATAGTGGAATGGATGGCAAAATTTTAGTAATAACATTTAATATTATAGTTCGCCGGATGGTTAATAGTGATTGTCTATGCACTATAAAGATACTAACCTAGCTGGCCTCGCTTTAGCGGACCATCCTTAGAAAATTCAAACAAAATACGTTGTAACATTCAAATATATCATTATAGCTATCATATAACCAGCCTATGGAGACCTGAACTCAAAAAGTCACAAGTGCTCTTTGATCTCCCCTCCCTCAGAATTAGGGGCAGGGGGGGGCTGGGGTCCAAGAACCAAACTCGGTGAAAGAAATTGCTCAACACCGGTTCCCTGTGAGGCTGCGGTATCACTCCGGTGGAGACATATGGCCAGATGAGGATAGCTTAGTGGCATCCTGGACTATCTACTCCCTTATGGAAAGTAGTTTCAGAAATATTTGTATTCTAACACCACTTAAAGAAAGACTTGAGTTAATACAAAATGGCCTTTATTTAAGCGCAATTTCTGTAAGACAATCGCATCACTATTTATAAGCAACGTCTTGGTATACCCTGGGACCGTCTTTTGTGTTTGAATAAGCGCCTGACCGTAACATATCTGGACCAACATCCTCTTTTCACTCAGAACCCATTAAAAACATAGTTAACCATAACATAAACCCATAAATAAAGCACAAACTGGGGAATTCAATGATTCGATTTTCACTAACAAATAATTGTACTCTAGTAGTCAACACTGTGGTAATATTTTTATCTCTTTCTGACGGTTTTAGATAAGGGAATGCTAGAAAAGGACGCATCAACGATTCACTATATCATAGTGATTATATTACACTAATAAATACAGAAGTGGGTTACTCTTACATTCTTACATTGGGAGGATATATCAGTAATATTAAAGAAAAACATGCTATGTGTGAAATTTAAAATATTTTAAATAATTCGCATGACAACAAATGGAAAGTTCCTTGTGTATTTTTAATAAGATGTATCTTACACATCTCACACACGGCCGTCTGATCCCAAACTAGACAGAGCCTGTACTATGGTAACCAGACTGCTGATAAACGTACTTATATATATTTTTAAACACATTCATACATTTTTATAGATAAATAACACCCAGACACAGAACAAATGATCATCCTCATCACACAATATTTGTCCTGGGTGGGAATCGAACCCACGACATTCGGCTTAGCAGTCAGAGTCACTAACTACTAGACCAACAGGCCCGTCAAATATTATTAGGTCTTGACATACAACTCCTAATAGACATTGGTATTCGAAGTAGAAGATCAGAAGGATTTAAATTTGGTATCAGTGCGAACAATACGAGAACAGATGAATTAATAAGTTGGCAAAAAACTTGCTGTTAAGGTGCCGACAGGGCAAGACTAGTGGCAAAAAAATATGTTAATACTTTTGTGCTGAATCCATTGACATTTTGGGTATACAAGGTGTAAGGGACATCGTACCGAATACTGAAAAACTCATTTTTCTGTTTAATAATTATGAAATATGATATCACAATGAGTAGACAGAACATTTTACCGAAAACAATTTTATAAATACCAAAAAACTGCAATGTAATTAATCAAACAGCCAAAGCGCGCGGGGCCTGTCCTCCTGCCGCAATTTTGTGTTAATGTGCGTAGACTGTTTGCACGGAATACACATGTAGTTATTACTGTTGTGCGATACCTACGGGGAATGACCTGAACCTATGAGAGCTGATTGCATAAAAAGTTTAATTTTCCGGCAGAAAATTCCAATGATTTTCGACAGAATGATGGCTTGATTACACTTCGTTCAGATTTCAGTATTCGTTACTACGTGGTAACGAATACTGAAATCTAGTTTTATATACAGGGTGTAAGGGACGTCCCTTACACCCTGTATACAAAACTACTCCTATTGTTAAACGTTACAACTCTCCTAGTAAATACTTGAAATTGAAAACTGTAGCTAACATGAGACCTCTACTCATAAATAATTTCGAAGAGGTTAATTTTTTTACTTTACCAAAAATAATAAAGAGGCCTTCCTATTATTCTTACTAACAAAAAAAAGTTTTTAGAAAACCGTAAAAAAATAGATTGAATAAAAAGTGTATTTAGAAATATTTATAAATAATTTAATTTTTACTTTAGTATTGTATTGGCTTGGGTCCTTGATACGTGTGCAAATGTTCAAGTTACTAGAATATCTTAATCTTGGTGGAAACTAAAAGCTAAAAGATAATGGTACATAAATGGCGAAGTAGATATTAAAATAGATATATACAGGTCAAGATGAGCGAAGAAGTCTTGTCAAAACGCACCAAGGTACGCCCGTAGCCTAAAAATAGATGGCGTAGTGGTTTAATCGGTCACCACGCCGCTTTCTACTACGCTGAGTGTTGTGGGTTCGACCCCCCACATGTGACGACACTTTGTGTGATTTACTAATTGTCGTTCTGAGTCTGGGAGTTGTTTGTGTCTCATTCATGTATGTTTGTCGCGGCACAGGATATATTCCTAAGGCGGGAGTTGTCTTTTAAAAAGATAAAAAGATATTTGATTTGACGATAATTAGTTAACAGTATTTGTTTTTTATTACCTCACACGCGGTAACACACACGCCAGAGATTAATGAACACTTCATTCAGAAATCTGATAATCACAGACCACAAACCTGGTGTCAAAGTGTGGTACAAACTAGTCCCATTCTAGCAGCAGGACATCTGGTGAACTCACTTACAAGGAAAACATATGTAATTTCCTGGCGAGGTACTGTCTAATGCCTAATAATCTGCAGTGTTGCCTCCTTTTTATTATTAAAAGATTAAAAAAAACGGTACTTAGCATGTTTCTCTTGTAGACTACTGTATGAATATAGAAAAAATGAATAATATCATATAACAAGGCGCCATATATTTACGGTTAATTCGCACTAAAATAATGTAAGTATTAAAAATATGAACTCTCTCACTCGCCATACGATACTGTACCATTAATATCTACAATACACTGAAGAATAATATACTCTTTGACATTGGACTAACATTGTACATACGGTAAAAACGGTTATTCTCTACATTTCCTAGGACTACTAATACATATCAAAGGCCATCTTCGATACGGTGACCACGTCCTCTCGTCCCCCAGCTATATAAAAATTCATACGAATTCAAACCTCGAGGCTCAAAACACACAGTCCATTTTTCTTTAGGAATGTTCAGATTGTCGAATTGTAAAATTTATTTATAAACATTTGAATACATCGTATTTTCGAATAATATATCGTTTTTGTATCGTAAAAATTTCGCTACAATGTCACTATTCTAAAACCACTTTGTATAAGAAAAATCTTATTTTTCACAAATGTTTTATACACACAAAAGGGTCTTAAGATCCTTTTATTTTGTTTTAAATACAACTTTATTCAAAGGCAGTTAATGTTAATAATTATATGTTGTTGTTGCTTTCAACTTACAGCAGTGTTCAGTAAGATTTGTGCGGCACGATGGCGACTAGGCGCAGTAGCGCTAAGGACAGCAGTTTGTCGAGAGGATCCAGGGTGCCGCGCTGCAGCCACTTGGGGATGGTGGTTCTGGCGTGGCTGAAGCCTAACTTCTGTAGGATATAGTCGACTCCGTAAGGCTCGATAGATTTACCGGCCCACGACAGTAACCTGGGAAACATATGTTTAAGAATATTTAAATTATGGTTCAAATTATTTTCAAAAATAATATTTGGATTGCCGAGGGCATTTATCAACAATTAAAATAGAATAGAATAAATCTTGGCCATTACATATATTTCACATATTTCATTTGGAGAATTTCTTTTTTTTAGGGGAATAAATTTAAAATACCTTCTTATTAAAAACATATCTTTAAATTGTTACCTGTCACAACAGAATCCATTAGAATATCTATATTATTACACTTTTAATTATACATCTTGCATGTATCTTTACTTTTTTTAAATGTTCATTTTTTGAAGGGTTACTAGCAATCGAAATTACTAGTATTCCCGTTAACCCCTCCAGCTAAGCTACAGTGCTTGTGTTAGGAGTGGGTTCACGTTGGTAGTGTTCTGGTCAGGATTCGAACCCACGACCTCTTGATCGCAAATCTAATGCCTTAACCATTAGGCTAACGCCGCTTAAAGATTTGATCTTTAATAAAAGAAAACGAGTGAGTTTTTTAATAGTCGCCTGTGACTTCGTTGCGATTGGTGAACATTTCAGTGCGGGCCAATCGCTGAACGCGGTCACCTTGACCGTCGAGTAGATTGGGACTAATCCCATCCACACGCCCACCACTGTAACTCCTGTACACCAGGATCCACAGCAGTGACCCACGAACACACCGAGTTATGCCACTCGGGAAGTCCCAGGAAGAAATTAAACTGTCTTGGAACCCGCAACGAAATTAATCAGAAGAAAATTGGAGGAGTTGGAAATACAGTAAATCCACTTCCCTCCTTAGCAAAGCGGGAGACAAAATGAAGTAAAATGGGCATACACCCTTTTAAACAGGGAAGCACCACGGCCACGAAATATTACGGGTCCTAGGTGAGCTATATTTGATTTCTATAATATGTATGGCAGAATCGCCTAAACGCACGGAAATTCACCCTAGTTGACACAAGATCCCCATAGTATACCGCCCCAGATGTCACCTGCAAGCTATTCAGCATTATATTACGTTCATTATACCAAAGACTACATTCCCAGAGGATATGATGAGCAGACTGTTCGTAGTGAGAGTTAGGTGTTGAGCATTGACACAATGGCGACTCGACTAATTTAAATGAATAAAGCTTGCTCTTAAAGTTACCATGACCCGTAAGAAATTGACCGTCGAGTAGATGTGAAATAACCTCGCACTCGGGTTTCCGATTGTGGCATTACCTGTTCATTGATTTACCAATAAAATGAGACATCAAGAGATGCTTCCCGTTACAGACTTCCGTTCTTTTATATGAATTACTTCCCGTAGGTCGCAGGAAAGCACAAGGATAGTTGCTGCACATTAAAGGTCAATTTGGCAATCGTTTGTTAGTTTCGATATCAAGTATGTGTGGTGGTGGTCGCTTACCTGACGGTGGGCTCGAGGTGCCAGGTGACGCAGCGGTAGTCGCGGTAGTCCTGCGCCGGGCCCTCCGCCCGCGACCGCCCCGCCCCCGCCGCCCCAGACCCCGGCATCTGTATTCATTCATACATATACATACATATTACGATTCAATTAAAACGTGTAAAAAAACGGCTATTAATATAAAACTAACCTTATCAGTATGAATGCAAGGATTATTATAAATCGCACCTGAAGTCTAATTAAATATCATGTGCTTATGAAGGGACTTATGCTACTATTATTATTATTACTTAAGGGCTATATCAACTGATACTAACCTAACAATAGCTGAGACCCAGCAAATAATTTATCAGGGATAAGATTAAATTAGCATGGGATCTAGTAATAAAAAAACAAGGTTGATAATTACTACGTAATTCAACTGGTTTTCACTAGATGGCGTTAAAGCATATTATTCTTCGCCACTATCAAAATTCCAATAACCATCAGATGGATGTTTTCTAATGCATAATTATAAACATACCACACGATCTTTCTCCTTTATGTACGAAGATATCAGATCATGGAGGAACAGGAACGCTTCAGCGTCTACTGACACGAAGATGTGATCCTCGAATTCCGTGATGAAACTGCATTCCACTACAGGTTTCTCGTCTGTTAACATTGAAATGTTATTGCGATAAATAATAAATTTACAAACAGCTAGCAAATACTAAATTTAATATTTTTTTAAAAACATGCAATAATTATTTCAAAAATACAGAGGTGTATCGTATCGTAGGTCAGAATTCAAAACTCTTTATGTGTCATATAGTATCTTGACCGTTTTACGAATCATGCACTCATGCGCATATTTTTCTTCAAATAAAAAAATAGATCAAAACCATAAGACGTTACGTAGTAAAATTACGTAATGTCTTATTGATTCTATGTTAAGACAAAATGTTTTTAATAAAAACATATAGGTATTTATTTTTGTTTCATCATCACACATCAACAGCCTCTAAGAGTCCACTGCTGGACATAGGCCTCTCCTTAGAGAGGAGAATTTGGCCTACTGTACCACGCTGGCCAGACTGGTTGGTATAGGGTGTGTGTCAAGTTTTCCTTCTTTTTGCAGTGCTGGTGTCTCTTACAACACCCACGGGATGAATTGGGGTAGTGACATTCCGTATTCTTAATCAGTCACTACACGGACACTTATTACACAAATTTTTGTTTAACAAATATTTTCCTTATAAAATTATTAAGGTGGAATAGAAGTGTCACTTTCTATCAAATCACTTTCTTATATAAAGCTGGTAGGTACTAGTACGGTGGCCATTTCTGCAACGTCACTTCATTTATTATTATAGGTACTCATTTAATATATTGGGTATTAAGTCCGCCGATATACAAAAGTGCATAAAGTTAAATAAATAAATAAAAATATTAGAGAATACATTACTCTATCTAATACTCACACAAAAATCTTAATTTTTAATTACCAGAAAATTAAATTAATGAAAAGCGAAAGTAGAAATGATTAAATTATTAATAAAAAGAGACCCTATTAATTTGATCGGAAGTGTACTCGTCGTAGTTAAGTATGACAAAACGAACCAGAAGCAAATATCGGTGAGCCAATCACTGGGCGAAGTTATGATTTAAATGCCCCCCGTCCTACTTCATACCACCAAAAGGACCCAAAAATCGACTTCTGCGCAGGTGAAGGTCAGTGCTCAAGGTCGGTGCCGGTGTCTATATTTATGTACAATAAAAAAAGTGGGTACCATTCTCAGTGGGCGGCGAGTTGGCTTGAAGATGGTGTGTTCTAAGATGCAGCTGGAGTGAGGGCAACGCGAATATCACCTGTAATAATAATAATAACGTAACTAAACTGCTGGTTAACATACTTATTATATTTCTAAACACATACATATTATAAATTACACACAGACACAGGAAATATAACCGTGCTCATCACACAATTATTTGTAGTGTATGGAAATCAAACCGACGGCCTATGGCTTTGCTTGCTTGCTTTAACTATACCAACATGCCCGTCAAATGTAATTTAGTGTATTAACCCCTATTATTATTTACCTAGTGTTTACACTAACTTTTTTAAATAAAACTACTGTCCAATCTTTGCACTTGTCCACGCTTTTAGGATCGCGAACAGCAAGAACTAATAACAATACCGACAACCGTTATTACTAGTGATTTATTGGCTAGAAACAATTAGTTTACAGGTCAATTTAATGAAGTTAATGAAAATCTTTATATCGCGATTTAGAACTACGCACAGTGCCATCTAGTTATGATTTGCAAAAATGAATATTAAAAACATAAAAATAAGTTTTATTTATGGTTTACAGTTATATAACCACTAAAATCAAACTGATTTTTTCAGAACTTTCTACTTTTAATTAGACTTATATTAAATATTTCAATTTCGATAAATATGCATTATTATTGTTTAAGTACAGGCAACGCGATTTTGTTAAGCTTTGGATAATTTAGTGCCCTCTAGTGTGTATGTTTTAAAGATTTTATTACGTGCTCTATTGTTGTAAGGCAACTCTGTATAGTTGTGATTAATGGTTAAGTAGCTCAAGAAAAAAACAAATTACAATGTTCAAAACTTTGAAGGACATTCTGTCAATAATGTCTGTGGCAGGTGGTATGTCAAGTATCCTAACATTGTATACTAAAAATGTTTGAGGTCAAATCCGACAGAGGGCGTTGTACCGTTCCTCTGAATCGCGGTATGGTTATGTTACCGACTGCACCTCATAAACCCAAATTATTTAAAACATCAGGACAGTCTAAATCAAAATACAGATGGTTTATTTCTAAACACCTAGTATTTATATCCCGTTGAGTTTAACTGTGCAAATACTGTAAGTAATAATAATTAAAATCAGTCGTATTGTTTAAGTTAAAAAAAAATACAACAAGAAAACGGAGGATATTGCAGTTGTGATGTACGAATGTGATGTAATATAGTAAGTACACAAGAATGCCCAGAAGTTTGTTCGTCCTAATTCGAGTTTTTTTACCAATCGAGTCTTCTGACTCATCTGAGGAACATAACCCTCTCTTCTGAGGGTTATGTTTTTCGAGTGTATATATTATGTATGGCATGCTCTGTAGGCTAAACAGCTTGATGGGTTTTCACGTTTGAGGTGTCGTTAGATTCGTCTTAGTGTGAGGGTATATGAAAATAAAAAAAAATCGCCGGTTTGTAGATTTTAAGTATACATTTTCAAGCAGTCGGATTATTTTTATTTTTTTAATAATTAGCTTGTTTTCTCAGCTTGTGAAACCCCGCTGGACCTTTTACGTGAGTGTAGCAAACAGACGGAGGAACATGTCATACTGACCTCCCGCACGTGCTTGTCCCCCGCGGCCCTGTTCCGCTCGGCGCTGGCGGCGCGCTCGGTGGAGCCCGTGTTCGTGGCGCTGGGGCCCCCCGGGGCCCCGCTCGGGGCCTCGCGCTCCAGAGACGGGAACAACTCGATCGCTGGGGAAAAACACTTATTTTAGCTACAGTAAAATTATAGCGGTCAGATTCAAGTATGCAAAATGTTTGATGAGAGAGATAAGCCGATCCGTAATCATTTACTTTAAAATTATTTTCAGACGAAGCTACAAAGTCAAAATTATATGGCTCTTTTGTAAGTATTCAATCATAGGCCATTTGTATTTTTTTTAAAGACAACTCCGCATTAGCAATATATCCTGTGTCGCGGGGAACTTTACAAACATACATGAAACGGACACAAAGAACACTCAGACTCGCTTGTGGGGATCGGTTCCACAACACTCACGCCATCCGTGCCGTCAAATATGACCATAAATTGAAGAATGAATAATTCTGAAATTCTGCGCATGCGTATTCATCGCATTTAACTTTCGTTTCTCCATTACTCCAAACGGCGTCTGAAGTTTAAAGTGTTTATAAAGTCAACTCAACGACACGTAAGAAAAGAAGCTTATATGTATAAATGTTGAGCACATACCATCAATCTCGCTGTTGGCGAAGGCGTAGTGGAACCACTCCTTGAGGGTCTTGAACTGCGGCGGGAACAGCATGCAGCGCGTCATGCGACACACCGTGGCCATGGACAGGTGCGAGCGCGTGGCCCCCGCCCCCGCCCCCGCCCCCGCGCCGCCCGCCGCCCCGCCCAGCGACGCCGTCAGGCTCTGCACCACGTGCACCTCCAGCTCGCCTGCCACACCCACTCATCTTTATATTCTATACTAATACTCGGTGCACAGGAATTGACTTATAAATAATTGCGTACGCACGCGTGCACGCCGACACGTATAAACGCACACACACCCTGATAGTAGTTTTGCCCCAGCTAATTTTACGGAATTGATCCGATAAGAAACATATATATAAACAATAAAAAAAAAATGGTCACCAAAGTGTTGTACCACATAACATGAAATGATACGAAAGTATGATCAGAAAACTGACCATCGTCGTTGGCGACCTGCTGCGCTTCGGTGGCGAAGCTGATGCAGGGCTCCTTGAGACTGAACAGCGCCCATGATTTGGCCTTCAGGCTGTTGCCGTGGAAACACGCCAGCGAGATGTTGGTGCCGTGCAGTTCCATTGTACCGCCGAGCACGGTACCTGTATAAAAATAAATAATATTTGGGTTATGCACGTAAGTACAACAAAAAAGGCGGTTTAAATGTTTAAAATTAGAGTTCCAAAGGATTTAAAACAGTAAAGATTTTATGGGTAAATTTATCTAGTAAACCGCAACTTAACCTCTCCTGTTAAGTAATTATATTTATAGTAATAAAGGGAAAAATTCATAGCGTGATACAAGATCGGTAGTTACTAAATAGTTCAAGCTATTTTCGGTAGATGTCGCTCTGAACGTGGAACATGGTGGTCGCATTATTCTAAACTTTCTTTTGTTATTATATATTGAACTTATATCAATTACTTACAAAATAGTACTTGTGTGTGATAGTTTAGCCTAATTCATTGTTATTTTAAGTAGGATTCGTATATATATATACCATTAGAAGGTAAAGGCGTGGCGAGCGTAGACAGTTGCATCCCAGAAACTAGTTGCAGCACTTTCTGCCAATGTCGGTGGTGACGCAGCTCTTGGTGTTGCGGCGGAGGTTGAGCTTCTGATGACGCAGAGGGGGCTGCTGGCGCTATAGATTTAATTGGTACAGGTAAATTACAAAACATTGCAAGATCATCAGAAAATCTGGAGTTAAAAGAAGTTAAAATGCCCAGGCACACCATACAATTCACTGACAAGTTGTCCTCAGTGCAAGCACTTCGACTAACCTACCAGAGGCAATTAGGCAAGCTAAATCACTGTAAATATTTAAAAAACTAGTCACAAATCACTTTTTGACATCATAGAGGAATTTGTGTATTCATGGACCTCTGTCAATATGTATTTATATATGTTCTATGTAATTAAGCGTATTAGTTGTATGTATACTGTAAACGTACGTAGTAACCTCAGATTTATTTCATCATCATCAACCTGTCGCAATCCACGCATATCCTAATCTGTTCTGGCTTACACTGCTCAAAACTATCCACATTACTAATCATCATCATTATCATCAGCCTATCCACTGCTGGACATAGGCCTCTCCCATTGCACGCCACTTAGTTCGATTTTGGGCTTCCCGTATCCAGCTCCTGCCGTACGCAAATCGTCACTCCACCTGGCCTGTGGGCGTCCTACACTACGTTTACCGAGACGCGGTCTCCACTCAAGAACTCGTTTCCTCAGGGTGTCGTTTCTGCGGCTATTATTTATTTAACTATTATTTATTTTCAATATATTGTAATAGTACATCGCAGGCTTCCCTAATTTAAATTTGACAATATCCGTTATAAAGGTTTTCTGTCAGGGATCGCTGTGAGCTATAAATTCGCCTATTGTTACATCAAAATTTATATAATATCTGTACAAATAATACTGCAGTGTTGTACAATAAAGAGATAAATAAAAACCAGTAGCGAGGTAAAATTAGTCGTAACTTCAACAAAGATAGAATTTCAAAATTGCAGATTGTTTAAAAAAAAATACTAACGTTCCTTCCTGTCTCTCTTGGCTGCTGTATAATTTGGATGTAACGAACTAAATACTCTCTTGCTAGACTTGAACTGCTGCGTGAAGAACTCCTCGAGCTTCAACTGCATTTTTAGAAGATCAGGTGTCGTGCTTCGGGACATCAGGATTTGTAGCTGGTGCCAGCTCAGCGTACCGTGGGTCAGGATTATCGCAGGTCTAAGTGAAAAGGAGGGTATATGACTAATAATTTAAAAACATTGCGACTTGATGACTAGAGCCTTTGGGGGATATACAGCTTCGTAACTTCTGCATTTTTTGTCTCTTTTACAAATCTGATACCTTCATTCTAGTTCTTTAGCCCTATGCCTTTTCTCAATCTCGTTTTACATTCTTTCTATGTCCCGTCTGAAAATGTTTATTTTCCTGGAGTAAGATTGCTATTATAAAGACCAAAAATATTTTGCAAAGAAACACATTGCGCCGCATGAAATAAGATTTGATACTGGCAGAAACGTGATGACAATATATTACATTTTTTGATGTTAAAGTAATAAGAATACAGAAGCATGAAACGAAAAGACAGACATTGTAAGATTGTAATCTCACAATGTCTGAATCTTACAAGTTAGACATTGTAAGATTGTAATCTCACAATGTCTGAATCTTACAAGTTAGACATTGTAAGATTGTAATCTCACAATGTCTGATTTCTCACTTAATGTTTCTGTATTCTTAGCACTTAATAATTTTCAGCAAAATACCGTATAAATAGTTGTCTACATAAATTTGGATTGCGGTTCGAATGTTTTATGTGAGCGAGTGTTACCTGGAGGTGGGTCGGTGCGGATGGTGCGGCGGGTGCTTGGCCCGCGCCAGCCACTCGTCCCTGAGCGCGGCCTGCAGGCGCGAGACCCTGGCCAGCAGCACGGGCGTGCCCATGTACTCCAGGCGCAGCTCCAGCGCCGCCAGCCTCACGCCGCACACGTGGCTCGGGTTGCACCCGGCTTCCTCTTCGATGTGGACTGTTGTTACACATAGTTACGTTCATTACTACTATACTATCGCTATCTAGACTATAAGGGGCCGTCCAAAAATTACGTCACACGCATTTCATGGTTTTTGACCCCATCCCATTCGTCACGTTCACGGCTAGTCATATTAATGAGACCTTCCCTAGTATGACATCACATTTACCATTTGACAATTAGAATATATTGGTGTCACCCACGATGTATGGTCTTACGTACCGTGCGTGTGTATGGAGCTGAGCGAGATGGCGCCGCCCACGATGTACGTACCGTGCGTGTGTATGGAGTTGAGCGAGATCACGATGTACGTACCGTGCGTGTGTATGGAGCTGAGCGAGATCACGATGTACGTACCGTGCGTGTGTATGGAGCTGAGCGAGATGGCGCCGCCCACGATGTACGTACCGTGCGTGTGTATGGAGCTGAGCGAGATCACGATGTACGTACCGTGCGTGTGTATGGAGCTGAGCGAGATGGCGCCGCCCACGATGTACGTACCGTGCGTGTGTATGGAGCTGAGCGAGATGGCGCCGCCCACGATGTACGTACCGTGCGTGTGTATGGAGCTGAGCGAGATGGCGCCGCCCACGATGTACGTACCGTGCGTGTGTATGGAGCTGAGCGAGATGGCGCCGCCCACGATGTACGTACCGTGCGTGTGTATGGAGCTGAGCGAGATCACGATGTACGTACCGTGCGTGTGTATGGAGCTGAGCGAGATCACGATGTACGTACCGTGCGTGTGTATGGAGCTGAGCGAGATCACGATGTACGTACCGTGCGTGTGTATGGAGCTGAGCGAGATGGCGCCGCCCACGATGTACGTACCGTGCGTGTGTATGGTGCTGAGCGAGATCACAATGTACGTACCGTGCGTGTGTATGGAGCTGAGCGAGATCACGATGTACGTACCGTGCGTGTGTATGGAGCTGAGCGAGATCACGATGTACGTACCGTGCGTGTGTATGGAGCTGAGCGAGATGGCGCCGCCCACGATGTACGTACCGTGCGTGTGTATGGAGCTGAGCGAGATCACGATGTACGTACCGTGCGTGTGTATGGAGCTGAGCGAGATGGCGCCGCCCACGATGTGCGTACCGTGCGTGTGTATGGAGCTGAGCGAGATCACGATGTACGTACCGTGCGTGTGTATGGAGCTGAGCGAGATGGCGCCGCCCACGATGTACGTACCGTGCGTGTGTATGGAGCTGAGCGAGATCACGATGTACGTACCGTGCGTGTGTATGGAGCTGAGCGAGATGGCGCCGCCCACGATGTACGTATCGTGCGTGTGTATGGAGCTGAGCGAGATCACGATGTACGTACCGTGCGTGTGTATGGAGCTGAGCGAGATGGCGCCGCCCACGATGTACGTACCGTGCGTGTGTATGGAGCTGAGCGAGATGTCGCCGCCCACGATGTACGTACCGTGCGTGTGTATGGAGCTGAGCGAGATGGCGCCACCCACGATGTACGTACCGTGCGTGTGTATGGAGCTGAGCGAGATGGCGCCGCCCACGATGTACGTACCGTGCGTGTGTATGGAGCTGAGCGAGATGTCGCCGCCCACGATGTACGTACCGTGCGTGTGTATGGAGCTGAGCGAGATGGCGCCGCCCACGATGTACGTACCGTGCGTGTGTATGGAGCTGAGCGAGATGGCGCCGCCCACGATGTACGTACCGTGCGTGTGTATGGAGCTGAGCGAGATGTCGCCGCCCACGATGTACGTACCGTGCGTGTGTATGGAGCTGAGCGAGATGTCGCCGCCCACGATGTACGTACCGTGCGTGTGTATGGAGCTGAGCGAGATCACGATGTACGTACCGTGCGTGTGTATGGAGCTGAGCGAGATGGCGCCGCCCACGATGTACGTACCGTGCGTGTGTATGGAGCTGAGCGAGATCACGATGTACGTACCGTGCGTGTGTATGGAGCTGAGCGAGATGGCGCCGCCCACGATGTACGTACCGTGCGTGTGTATGGAGCTGAGCGAGATCACGATGTACGTACCGTGCGTGTGTATGGAGCTGAGCGAGATGGCGCCGCCCACGATGTACGTACCGTGCGTGTGTATGGAGCTGAGCGAGATCACGATGTACGTCCCGTGCGTGTGTATGGAGCTGAGCGAGATGGCGCCGCCCACGATGTACGTACCGTGCGTGTGTATGGAGCTGAGCGAGATGTCGCCGCCCACGATGTACGTACCGTGCGTGTGTATGGAGCTGAGCGAGATGGCGCCGCCCACGATGTACGTACCGTGCGTGTGTATGGAGCTGAGCGAGATCACGATGTACGTACCGTGCGTGTGTATGGAGCTGAGCGAGATGTCGCCGCCCACGATGTACGTACCGTGCGTGTGTATGGAGCTGAGCGAGATGTCGCCGCCCACGATGTACGTACCGTGCGTGTGTATGGAGCTGAGCGAGATGTCGCCGCCCACGATGTACGTACCGTGCGTGTGTATGGAGCTGAGCGAGATGGCGCCGCCCACGATGTACGTACCGTGCGTGTGTATGGAGCTGAGCGAGATGTCGCCGCCCACGATGTACGTACCGTGCGTGTGTATGGAGCTGAGCGAGATGGCGCCGCCCACGATGTACGTACCGTGCGTGTGTATGGAGCTGAGCGAGATGTCGCCGCCCACGATGTACGTACCGTGCGTGTGTATGGAGCTGAGCGAGATGTCGCCGCCCACGATGTACGTACCGTGCGTGTGTATGGAGCTGAGCGAGATGGCGCCGCCCACGATGTACGTACCGTGCGTGTGTATGGAGCTGAGCGAGATGGCGCCGCCCACGATGTACGTACCGTGCGTGTGTATGGAGCTGAGCGAGATCACGATGTACGTACCGTGCGTGTGTATGGAGCTGAGCGAGATCACGATGTACGTACCGTGCGTGTGTATGGAGCTGAGCGAGATGGCGCCGCCCACGATGTACGTACCGTGCGTGTGTATGGTGCTGAGCGAGATCACGATGTACGTACCGTGCGTGTGTATGGAGCTGAGCGAGATCACGATGTACGTACCGTGCGTGTGTATGGAGCTGAGCGAGATCACGATGTACGTACCGTGCGTGTGTATGGAGCTGAGCGAGATGGCGCCGCCCACGATGTACGTACCGTGCGTGTGTATGGAGCTGAGCGAGATCACGATGTACGTACCGTGCGTGTGTATGGAGCTGAGCGAGATGGCGCCGCCCACGATGTACGTACCGTGCGTGTGTATGGAGCTGAGCGAGATCACGATGTACGTACCGTGCGTGTGTATGGAGCTGAGCGAGATGGCGCCGCCCACGATGTACGTACCGTGCGTGTGTATGGAGCTGAGCGAGATCACGATGTACGTACCGTGCGTGTGTATGGAGCTGAGCGAGATGGCGCCGCCCACGATGTACGTACCGTGCGTGTGTATGGAGCTGAGCGAGATCACGATGTACGTACCGTGCGTGTGTATGGAGCTGAGCGAGATGGCGCCGCCCACGATGTACGTACCGTGCGTGTGTATGGAGCTGAGCGAGATGTCGCCGCCCACGATGTACGTACCGTGCGTGTGTATGGAGCTGAGCGAGATGGCGCCGCCCACGATGTACGTATCGTGCGTGTGTATGGAGCTGAGCGAGATGGCGCCGCCCACGATGTACGTACCGTGCGTGTGTATGGAGCTGAGCGAGATGTCGCCGCCCACGATGTACGTACCGTGCGTGTGTATGGAGCTGAGCGAGATGGCGCCGCCCACGATGTACGTACCGTGCGTGTGTATGGAGCTGAGCGAGATGGCGCCGCCCACGATGTACGTACCGTGCGTGTGTATGGAGCTGAGCGAGATGTCGCCGCCCACGATGTACGTACCGTGCGTGTGTATGGAGCTGAGCGAGATGTCGCCGCCCACGATGTACGTACCGTGCGTGTGTATGGAGCTGAGCGAGATCACGATGTACGTACCGTGCGTGTGTATGGAGCTGAGCGAGATCACGATGTACGTACCGTGCGTGTGTATGGAGCTGAGCGAGATCACGATGTACGTACCGTGCGTGTGTATGGAGCTGAGCGAGATGGCGCCGCCCACGATGTACGTACCGTGCGTGTGTATGGAGCTGAGCGAGATCACGATGTACGTACCGTGCGTGTGTATGGAGCTGAGCGAGATGGCGCCGCCCACGATGTACGTACCGTGCGTGTGTATGGAGCTGAGCGAGATCACGATGTACGTACCGTGCGTGTGTATGGAGCTGAGCGAGATGGCGCCGCCCACGATGTACGTACCGTGCGTGTGTATGGAGCTGAGCGAGATGTCGCCGCCCACGATGTACGTACCGTGCGTGTGTATGGAGCTGAGCGAGATGGCGCCGACCACGATGTACGTACCGTGCGTGTGTATGGAGCTGAGCGAGATGGCGCCGCCCACGATGTACGTACCGTGCGTGTGTATGGAGCTGAGCGAGATGTCGCCGCCTACGATGTACGTACCGTGCGTGTGTATGGAGCTGAGCGAGATGTCGCCGCCCACGATGTACGTACCGTGCGTGTGTATGGAGCTGAGCGAGATGTCGCCGCCCACGATGTACGTACCGTGCGTGTGTATGGAGCTGAGCGAGATGGCGCCGCCCACGATGTACGTACCGTGCGTGTGTATGGAGCTGAGCGAGATGTCGCCGCCCACGATGTACGTACCGTGCGTGTGTATGGAGCTGAGCGAGATGGCGCCGCCCACGATGTACGTACCGTGCGTGTGTATGGAGCTGAGCGAGATGGCGCCGCCCACGATGTACGTACCGTGCGTGTGTATGGAGCTGAGCGAGATGGCGCCGCCCACGATGTACGTACCGTGCGTGTGTATGGAGCTGAGCGAGATGGCGCCGCCCACGATGTACGTACCGTGCGTGTGTATGGAGCTGAGCGAGATGGCGCCGCCCACGATGTACGTACCGTGCGTGTGTATGGAGCTGAGCGAGATGGCGCCGCCCACGATGTACGTACCGTGCGTGTGTATGGAGCTGAGCGAGATGGCGCCGCCCACGATGTACGTACCGTGCGTGTGTATGGAGCTGAGCGAGATGGCGCCGCCCACGATGTACGTACCGTGCGTGTGTATGGAGCTGAGCGAGATGGCGCCGCCCACGATGTACGTACCGTGCGTGTGTATGGAGCTGAGCGAGATGGCGCCGCCCACGATGTACGTACCGTGCGTGTGTATGGAGCTGAGCGAGATGGCGCCGCCCACGATGTACGTACCGTGCGTGTGTATGGAGCTGAGCGAGATGGCGCCGCCCACGATGTACGTACCGTGCGTGTGTATGGAGCTGAGCGAGATGGCGCCGCCCACGATGTACGTACCGTGCGTGTGTATGGAGCTGAGCGAGATGGCGCCGCCCACGATGTACGTACCGTGCGTGTGTATGGAGCTGAGCGAGATGGCGCCGCCCACGATGTACGTACCGTGCGTGTGTATGGAGCTGAGCGAGATGGCGCCGCCACGATGTACGTACCGTGCGTGTGTATGGAGCTGAGCGAGATGGCGCCGCCCACGATGTACGTACCGTGCGTGTGTATGGAGCTGAGCGAGATGGCGCCGCCCACGATGTACGTACCGTGCGTGTGTATGGAGCTGAGCGAGATGGCGCCGCCCACGATGTACGTACCGTGCGTGTGTATGGAGCTGAGCGAGATGGCGCCGCCCACGATGTACGTACCGTGCGTGTGTATGGAGCTGAGCGAGATGGCGCCGCCCACGATGTACGTACCGTGCGTGTGTATGGAGCTGAGCGAGATGGCGCCGCCCACGATGTACGTACCGTGCGTGTGTATGGAGCTGAGCGAGATGGCGCCGCCCACGATGTACGTACCGTGCGTGTGTATGGAGCTGAGCGAGATGGCGCCGCCCACGATGTACGTACCGTGCGTGTGTATGGAGCTGAGCGAGATGGCGCCGCCCACGATGTACGTACCGTGCGTGTGTATGGAGCTGAGCGAGATGGCGCCGCCCACGATGTACGTACCGTGCGTGTGTATGGAGCTGAGCGAGATGGCGCCGCCCACGATGTACGTACCGTGCGTGTGTATGGAGCTGAGCGAGATGTCGCCGCCCACGATGTACGTACCGTGCGTGTGTATGGAGCTGAGCGAGATGTCGCCGCCCACGATGTACGTACCGTGCGTGTGTATGGAGCTGAGCGAGATGGCGCCGCCCACGATGTACGTACCGTGCGTGTGTATGGAGCTGAGCGAGATGGCGCCGCCCACGATGCCGGCCCGCGCGTCCAGCTCTGAGCGCACGAGGGCCAGCGCCAGCAGCATGTTGCGGTGGCCCGTGCTGCCGATGCTCAGCCGCCCCGTGCAGTTGAAGTCGCGGCTCTGCCAACTGTACAATGTACCACAAAACTCTTTTTAACTCAACCCTCTACATCACTTCTACTACAGCTACGATTTTCAAACCTATCTTAAATTAATCGGTTTTACAAATGTAGTCAATTTGCAGTATGACCTCACGGACTCGATTTTGCGACATCTTTCATAAACAAATATTAAAATATTTTCGGAAGTAACGTTAGTAAGGTGAAACGTATAAGTTTTGTAAGTTGACGAGCCTGTTGGTATAGTGGTTAGTGACCCTGACTGCTACGCCAGAGGTCGTGGGTTGATTCCCACCCAGGACAAATAATTGTTTGATGAGCACGGTCACTTGCTCTGTATCTGGGGCTAATTTATCTATAATAAGTATGTATTTTGAAATATTTAAGTATGTATTTCAACAGGCTGGTTACCATAGCACAGGCTCTGCCTAACTTGCAATCAGACCGGCGTGTGTGAAGGTCTCAAGTTATTATTATTATTAATCAACAGATGAATTAATCAATCACTTGACTGCACGGATGGCGTAGTGGTTTAAGCGGTCACCTCGCCGATTACTACTACACTGAGTGTTGTGGGCCCGATCCCCACATGGGACAACACTTTGTGTGATCCACAAATTGTTGTTCTGAGTCTGTCTGAGATGTATGTTTGTAAAGTCCCCTGCGACACAGGATATATTGTAATGCGGAAGTTGTCTATTTTAAAATAAAAAAAAAACACTGATGAAAGAACACTGACCTGACATTGCCCATAACGTTGCCCATGTTCATGTGCACGTTGAGCTTGGTAAAGTTGACAGCGAACAGCACCAGGGTCTCCCAAGCGGCGCCTATCGCTGGCGCCGGTACTTTAATATCTATACATCATACAAAGATAATTAGATGAGATAAACAAATTTGTGATTTATGCAAAATATGCTTTATCCAAATCAGTGTTGTTTTGCAGAAAAAGCAGGTTAGAATTAACCGAAATTCATTTAATGATAGTAAAGGAAGGTCGTTATGCACATAAGGATAAAAGCAAGTAGTGATTTTACCTAAAAAGAATAACGCGGTATTAAAGATTTTTTTTTTTTATTTTAATCTGCTTTTTTTGATTAATAAAATACTAGATTTTCTTTTCAGTGATAATAAATGCTCTAGGAATCTGATAGAATTTCAGATTCCTAGAGCAAAGGTTATATATAGTTATAGAGTCACAAACCTTAGTTTGGGTTGCCTCTAATACTATTTTGGAAGTGATTATTTGCACTTGACCAAGAAGAAGAATTGTGAATACAGTACCTTTAGGTTTTTGATGATCAGTAACAGTCTTTGTTTTCTCTCTCTGCGGCAGTACCGGCGATACGGGAGCATTGCTACTCGATGGGCTGTAGGCGAAAAACCGAATCATCGAAACGGAAATATCGAATTTATCGGACATTATTCTATCTTTTCAGGAGATATTCGTGAATTTCTTACTCTTATGTCAATCAATCAATCAATCAATATTGACGACCGAATGGCGTAGTGGTTTGTGTAACGGACTGCTATTCCAAAGGTCGCGGGTTCGATTCCCGCTCAAGTCAAACATTTGTGTGCATGAACATTTAATGTTTGATTTGGTCTGGGTGTTTCTATGTATAATAAGTATGTATTTACAAAAAAAAAAGTATATATGTATTTATATCAGTTGTCTAGTACCCATAGTACAAGCTCTGCTTAGTTTGGGACTAGATGGCGTTGTGTGAATGTGGTACAATATATATATATATATATATATATATATATATATATATATATATATATATATATATATATATATTAATATTTACAGGTTTTCTTTGCGTTACATTTAGGCGATATTTGTAAAGATAACATAAGATATTTTCAAAAATACTTACCATGTCACGCTTAATCGCACACACATCGAGAATATACTTTCATATAAAATGGGATTCAACAAATGGTCCTTCGAGCCAGTTGTTCTACACCTCAATATATTGTGAAACGTACTTCACACGAGCAGATTACGTAAAGTGCAACGGTATTAAATATCATTTTCACATTTGAAATTTTGTATTGGAGTGTTCAAGATTACAACTATTTAATTCCAAGTAATATTATCCAAATTAGAATCATATATTCTAGTTAAAATGTCACACAAAGACAAAAATTTTACAATTACACAACATTTTCTTTTATTAGGGAACTGAACGAAGAATGTCGAAGAATGTCCGTGTGGTGACGGATTAAGAATACAAATTGTCACCACCCCAATTCATCCCGTGGGTGTCGTAAGAGCCGACTAAGGGAGCAAACTAAGCAGGACAACAACACTGCAAAGAGAAGGAAAACTTGAAACAAACCTTATACCAACCCGTCTGGCCAGCGTGGTATAGTAGGCCAAAACCTCCTTTCTAAGGAGAGGCCTATGTCCAGCAGTGGACTAGTATAGGCTGTTGATGATGATGTTGATGAACGAAGAATTATTTATATAATTCCCAATGACTCAACTAGATATTACAATAATGCGAAAATAATCATATGAAGACAACTGTTTTTGGTTTAAAGGTATCAGCAGTATTGGACCAAATGGCATTAGGAGGAATTAAGGATTTAAAACAACTCACCCATGATTTCTAGTGTCATTGTGCAGACTAAGGTCTCCGAGGAACATGCGCCTTACGATGGTCCGCCTGTACCACGCCTTGGGGAACGCGAGGATCTCGCCCAACCGCCGCATGTCGTACTTGAACCACGCTGAACCCACATCCACGATCGCTGTGGGAGAGACATTTGCTTAATGCGTATTTTAAATTAATAAATTAATTTGACGGTTTGAAAAATAGAAAATTAGTTGATCTAGTGGTTAGTGACCCTGACTCCTAAGCCGAACCTCGTGGGTTTAATTCCGGTCCAGCCCTAGGACAAATATTGTGTGATGAGTTGAAGAGGCCTATGTCCAGAAGTTGACTGCTATAGGCTGATGATGATGATGAGTTGATTTATAATATGTGTGTATTTAGAAATATATGGGTATGTTTGTCAGCAGGCCTGTTTCCATAGTACAGGCTCTGCCTAGTTTGGGATAAGTAATGTATGAAGTTATTATTAAAATTCAATAAATTGTTAATTAAAATAATGACTTGAATAGTTGTAAATAAATTTTTATGTGTGACTGTGTTTTATTAATTTGAATTTAATAAATCAAAGCAAAGATTGATTAATTTTTTTTTGTTCCTGCACTTGCACCCCTTAATTGAGCTTCACATCACATCAAAAACAGCCTTTAATAGTCCGCTGCTGGACATAGGCCTCTCCTTAGAAAGGAGGTTTTGGCATACTATATCACGCTGGCCAGACAGTCAATAAGGTCTGTGTCAAGTTTTCCTTCCCTCTGCAGTGCTGTTGTGCTGCCAATATATATTTATTTATTCATTTGCTTTCGCCGAGGTCACGCTAGTCTTTATTATAATAAACTAGCTCACCCGCGCAACTTCGTCTGCGTCTCTCAATAGTAATAAATTTTCTCCGTTTTTGAAACATTCTTCATTGGTGCTCCGCTCCTATTGGTCTTAGCGTGATGATATATAGCCTATAGCCTTCCTCGATAAATGGGCTATCTAATACTGAAAGATTTTTTTAAATCGGACCAGTAGTTCCTGAGATTAGCGCGTTCAAACAAACAAACAAACAAACTCTTCAGCTTTATAATATTAGTATAGATAATCTATAACTTACTAGAGAATCTAACAGTAGCTTTCGACAGATCCTGGTCAGTCTGAAAGTCGAGTTTCCTGGACCTCGACAAGTGGAACTTAACGAACTCTACATTGATGCTCAGCGAGTCCTTCCTCTCGGTATCAGAGAGTGGGGACCACTGTGCCTCCTTGAGACTTGACTTCTTCCCTCCATAGGGGTGGAACATGTTCACTGAGAAGTCGGCTAGACAACCTGTCACGCTGAGGCCGCCCATGGCCACTGCGGGCTCTGCCATTTCCCTGTAAGATCATTTTTAATTTAGTTCGGTAAATTTGCATTGTATCATTTTATTTAATTCACTTGCACTCTAAAACGATAAACATAAGAAATTATTAAAAATAAGTATGATTTATTTCTTGAATTAATCTTACTTGCTAATACAAAATCAAAATCTATACAATATTATATGCACATATAATAATTATATCTGTACAAAAATACCTCTAACTCAGACTTCTTGCAGTACAGTTTTAAATTCATTCATTCAATCAATTCAATTTTTTATCATAATATAATTTCTGAAATGGGACGGAAGTGTGTAACAGGGAGACAGGAAAGGGTGTTCCTGTTACCAGCTTCCTCGTACACCTATTGGTCAACTCAAGTGATTTGGCTAATAAGAGTGCTCGGTGCTAGAAATGGCTGTCAGTTACAAAACGTAGGTAAGATGCAAGGTCCGCTCGTTTTGTTTTAGTAAATGTAGCATGTAACTCACTCATCGCTGGCCCTCTTGGAGCTAAAGACGATCTGCAGGCTGGGCAGCTGCAGCAGGCACTCGACGCGCGAGGCCGGCAGGCAGCTGAAGCGGAACGTGGAGGGCTGCATGTGGAAGTGCACGATCACGTCCACCGGGAACGACGCGTACACGTACTGGCCGTACGAACCCTCCACCGAACGAGAACGGAAACCACTCTCCGCTTCTGTACATACATATATTCACGCCTGTAGCTCAGAAAGTAAAAGGCAGATATATATATATATCTATACTCTGGCTCTGGCTCAATTATATTAAGGTTTTTCTGGCAATAACTGGAGTCCTGTAACTCAAACTTGTTGATGTTCGGAATTTGAACAATTGAATTATTGAAAAAAGCTTCAAGAATCCATCACATCACATCAACAGCATTTAATAGTCCATTGCTGGACATAGGCCTCTCCTTAGGAAGTAGGTTTTGGCCTACTATACCACGCTGGCCAGACGGTTTGGTATAGGGTTTGTGTCAAGTTTTCCTTCTCTCTGCAGTGATGTTGTGATGTTTCTCACTTAGTAGTTCAAGAGTCCAATATGGATATATTAATTAGTATTACAATGATACTAGCTAATGATGATTGTATGTGAATCTATTATGTTACGATATACATACGTGTATTTAAGGCCAAAAGTGAGAAGAGCAAGAGAAAGTAGTGGTTTAAGCGGTCGCCCCGCTACTCTCTACGCTGAGTGTTGTGGAACTGATCCCCACATGTGACAACACTTTGTGTGATCCACAAATTGTTGTTCTGAGTCTGGGTGTTCTTTGTGTCCGTTTCATGTATGTTTGTAAAGTCCCCCACGACACAGGATGTATTACTAATGCGGGAGTTAAAAAATAATAATTAATTTAGCCTTAAAATACTTACCAGGTGTAGGTGTAGAGAACGATGCTTTAGTCGGTATAGGTTCCAAGGTTTGTTCCAAAAACTCCAATATGTGAGGACTGATGATAGTCTCTTCTGGAATGCTCTGCACTGTGATCCATGCGAAGAGTGCCGCTTTCTTGGTGTTGAACTTCCGCGTGGGTAGGTTCAGGGGTAACAGTGGCACGGTCTGGGGGGATGTCACTTCTTCTGGCAATGTCTTTGATTCATAGTGCACCTGTAGATTATATACATACACATACATATCGCACCCTCGGTGCAACAAAGTCACAAGTAGGCAAAATTGCCAAAATGACTTAAGTATGATAAATTCATAGACATATGGAAATCAAAGACAGCCGCGAAAGTATTTGAATACATCGATAGATGGCATTAGTGCCTTTGTGGTTCTTGCTACTTTTTCGACGAATATTGGGAGAACAGAGTATGATTGGTAAGTAGTGACCCCGCGCCCGCATGAGTCAGTCGTGACTTGGAGCTACACCGGCTTAAAGGTATTAATGACAATTTTTATTCGCGTATATTAAAAAAAAAAAAGTGCCATTATAACGCTCAAATAATTAAATTATATTTGTACCTGGTGCGACACAGTCACAAGTTACGACTTTTTTTTTTGTTTCCTTTTTTTTCAATTTTCTAATGAAATCAAAGAAATCTTTTTACATGATACTGTAGTTAAAAGAACAAATAATATAATTTTAATGAGATATCCCAACTGCTGTAGGTAGTAATCTAGAAAAAAGGAAAATTGATCGAAAAAAAACTTAAAAGTCCGTTCCTGTAAAATTACAAAATGACCGTTGTTGACTGTGTTGCACCGAGGGTGCGATATATACTGTAGATAGATTCTAATTCAATACTATAAATATGAACATGTTTTTCCGCTTTTATTCCTTAACTATTTCACCGATTCTCGTGAACTTTTGTATATACGCTGCTAGTATTGTTACTCGAAAATACAAACATAACTTTTGATGTTTGTTTAAAGAAAAGGCAGTAACATAACAATTTTATGCGTCGAATGATAATCCAAATTCATTGAAAAATTTAGGCATAATAACAAACGTAAAACCGGAGGCTGCGATTAAAAGCTTGTAAAATTAAAATATATAGTTTAGTAGGTTTTTTATTTACATTAATTTGATCTTCAGATGCCTCGATTCTAGTATGCTTGAAAGTATAGACTGAGGCGTATAATATAATTATATTTGCTAGGTCATAAATTGGTATAAGCAAGGGAGCAAGTTAAAATTTGCTATATAGTAATATTGGTCTGTAATTAATTGCGGTGTGCAGTAGTGCAGGTCTCGTGAGGTACCTTGAGGTTGAGGCCGGGCACCCGGAACACGGTGAGGTCGAGCGCGGGCGACGGGCGCGCGTGCGGAGCCTTGCGGCGCGGCGCCGTGGGCGAGGCGGCGCCGGGCCCCGGGGCCCCCGTCGTGCCGGGCCCCGGGGCCCCCGCCGCGCCGGGCCCCGGCCCGCCCGACCCGCCCTCCGCGCCCAGCCCGCCCGACGCCGACCGCCCCACGCGCATGCGACTGCCGCTGCTGTGACGCAGACAAAATCATTAAGTATTAATAAACAAAAAAAAACAGTGCCTCATTCTTTTCTCTTTTTCGTCTTTAGCATCATTAACGAGTTATAGTGTTACCAAGGTCTATAACATTAAAAGGAAATAGCCCACTAATGGGCCCACCCGTTACGGAAAAAAAATTTGTGGAAAAATTGATTTTCTATGTTAATCCAAAAACACAACAAATAGTTTTAATTTCCAATTGCTAAATAAAATATTTGTATTTTTATTAAGTTCCAAATTATTAAAAAACATTCCTTAAACAAACATTAGTGTCAAAGTATAAAAATCAAAATGCTCCCAAAATACCACATTATCTTTTATGGGTTTCCTGTTTTTTGTTGCATTTCTAACCTTCTGGTGATATTTTTTCAACAACTTGGACTGCCATACTACTTTACTTACCGTACTTTACTGCTTTATGAAAAAAAAAGTTTCGCTTACAACATGACTAGGGTTCAGTGTCATATTTTAAATTATCCAATCAACCTGAAACTATGGCAGTCTAAAGTTCATGTTTTTACCTAACTAATGACACTAGTTCGACACTTGTAAAAGTTCACCATTATTTGAGCCAGCCATTCTCCTTTAAAGAAATTATTCCACCACTAAAATTGGAAAATCGGAAGCGAAAAATACAGATTATTATAATTTATCATGATTTACTTCAATCAATTGTACTTTAAGTTAATAATTTAAAAACTACTTACACATATTTACATCTAGAAAATTATGTTTGCTTTTAAACTGTAATACGTAGTTACGTATTATATCCAAGTTGGGGTTTTTAGGTGTTATTAGACCACTTAAAAACCCCAACTTTGTTCATGTATTACAATCGACCTTAGTATCATGTACATGAACACTCCATCCATAGAATCAATAGCACTAATATCATAAGGAAAAAAATAATTATTTTCTTTTTCTATAATTATTAAAATATTTAAAACTACTTTAGTTAGTAATATAGGACTTACATTTTCAATTCGTCCTCTTTGCTCGGCTCCTTGGTGTGCAGCACACACTTGCCGCTGTTGATGTCCACCTTCACGTCCAACTCGAAGTCAATGTTAGGCTCTGAAGTCTTCGCTTTACTGCCCTTCGCCTCAGAACTTAGAGGGTCGGATTGTGGCGCGCTGCTGTAAGGTAAAGAATTGAAAGTAGAATAAAACAGATACAAGTTACTAAGTACTACAATCGTTTAAATAACTGATTTAGGCCACGGCCAACACGGCCTTAGGTTTTCTGGAAAGCAATTCTTTCGTTAAGGTAAGAGCCCTTATTAGATTGTTTTTTTTTTTTTCGCACAGTGTCCAATGTGGGTAGTACTGTTCTGGCACTCGCCGGCCGCTGCTTATTCTATACATATTATATGTTTCAACAACCCACCTATAGTCAGGTTTCCTCCTCAGCTCGACAGGATCCAGCTCATCAGGCCAGTGGTCCGGGTGGGCAGGCAGTGAGCTCTGCCTCTGTACCCCGGGGGGTTGCGAGGGACGCAAGTTGCTTGAGCCCGCGCCGCCACTCGATCGGGGTCCTCGGAGCGATGCTGAGCGAGATGGACCTGCTAAATGCCAAACGGACATACTAAATAATTTTACCATTATTACAGATTGTTACTTTTATATATTTATTGATGAAAAATAATTATAACCATTGATTACAACTGTACTTACCTTACAAGATTTCTACACCACCCAAAAGTTGGCTGGTAGAGAATACCCTGAGCTTTAACTCCGCTGATGTACATAAGTGCATAAAGTTGTAAATAAAATAAGAAAATATTATAAGAATTTAACTTATGTATTCTGTTGGTGTATAAATATTATATAACAATATCAAAATGAATGTATGTCTGTGCGATGCTGTGCTGTTCATCTGATCATCATGAGAGGTAAGGAGGTAAGGAAACTTACATTCCGAAAAAAAATATTCGGAGAAAAAGTCGTAAGAAAAAGCCAATAAATAAATTAAAATACGTTGATCATAATTTCAATTCAAGAGATAACAAAAGCTAAAACGTCTCCCCGTTTTAGGTGGGAAGTTGGGATAGATTAGGTTAGGCCAGCTAAGAAGGAGGTTTCGGTATATTACTTTTAGTTACAAAGAATAAACTTTTTATGTTATGTTTTTATGTATTAGGTAGAACTAACTAACCAGTGAGGGTTTCACTCTCCATGGAGCTCCAGCTGCCCCCCTCGATGATGTCTGCGAGGCGGTTGTCCTCGTCGCCCAGCAGCAGCGTCTCGCCGGAGTCGCCCACCGCGCTCGTGGACATCGCCAGGTTCGCCTCCACCGGGCTGTATTCATTATCTATCATAAAGTCTTCTCCAAAGGAAGTGAACCTAACCCAGGAGGTCCAAATCGCTGTCTTACTAATATACTAGTAGTTTTTTAGTTCCACTTCCTAGGGTCTTGCGTGATAGATGCCAAATTTCCTCAAGAATTGGATTACAAAGTGCACAAAGATATTTTCAAATCTCATTTTTACTATAAGAGGTTAGCGTTTTCAACAAAACCAAAGTCATATGTTTATCTTTAGATTAGATTAAATATGATTTATTTACGAATAGGTACTATCCATAAAAAGTCAAGTTGAAAAAAATATACCTATTATTAAGTATTTTATTTTCTTTTTTTCACTCGTCATAAGCCTAGGGTTGTAACACCACCACCACCACCACTTGAAAAAAACACCCAAATCCATTCTATTTTTAAGCTTACTATAATTTTCAAATTGTCACATCAAACATTTAAAGTAAACTATTTAACCACAGCAATGTATGTCGTTATTAAGTACATACAACTTTCTATAAACCTAAAGGTTTTTTTTTACTTGATTTGAGAGTCGCCTATCGTATTCAATTTACTATAACCCGCAACATGTTATTTGTATATTATACTTAGTTACAAAATGTATTACTTTAATAATTTTTATAAAACTAAATCAAATCATTAGTCAAAAAATAAAATATAAGACAATTCAAGGTAAAAATGTAGGAAAGAAAAATAAAATTGTAAGGTTACCTGTCTCCAAACTCTTTCCGCTCTTGTGGTGGAGTGGGCACGACGAAGGACTTGCTGCGGTTGGAGCCCAGCCCCAGCTTGCCCTTCGTGATGGAGCTGGCCCGCACGCTCTGACGACGAAGTTTCTGGATCATGTCCCTAAAATACACAAATTTTCCATGAGCAATAGACTCAATCTGGTATACATATACTAATTGTAACTATCTCAAAGGAACAAATTTTCGTCCAGAAAAGTGTTTTTCAAAGGAAGTGCGCCCTGGATATACAAGCATCGGGAAACTACGTCAAATGCTTCTTATCAGGTTGTATGTGTGTTTGTTTGTCACCGACATGGCTGGTATATAAAAATAAATTATAGATGCTAACGGCTAAGCTATGTTGAATGTTCTTGATCATAGTATATTCTCTAGAATGGGAAGCAAGTATATTTTTATAAACATTAGAAGCTAGAGTATTTCGACTGGTGAAAGTGTGAATTTTTTACTTTAGTATTGTATCAAATATTCCATTACACTGACATATCATCTTGTATTCGAAGTTTGATTACAATACTCAACATCAAATATAGACACCACATCACACACAAACATCAACAGCCTTTAACAGTCCACTGCTGGACATAGGCCTCTCCTTAGAGATGAGGTTTTGGCCTACGCGGGCCAGAAGGGTTGGTATATGGTTTGAGTCAAGTTTTCATTCTCTTTGCAGTGTTGTTGTCTGCACAGTTTGCTCCCTTAGTCGGCTCTTACGACCCCCGCGTGATGAATAGTGGTGATGGCACTCCGTTTTCTTAATCCGTCACCACACGGATATAGACACCACAAGGCACCATAAAAATGCTTCTAACCTTGATGATGTAAAGCATAATACAGTACCTTCTAAAATCTTTGAAGACCAACGCTTCAAGTTCGTGCAGTCGCTTCATCTCGTACTCGATGGTGGAGTGGCTGGCGCCCAGAGTCCGAAGGTCGTTGATGATCTTGGCCTGCTCGTTCATTTCTTTCTCTATAAGCTTCGAACGCTTCTTCGCATCAATGCTGGTGTCGAACACGAAGGCTGGCAAATGGTCTGTGTATTTGCGTCTAAGGATAATGCTTTCCTGTAAAAAAGTTAATTCAATTTACCTATAACATATATATAGTTATGTCTCAAGCCATGAATTACGTTTATATCGCGGGAGAGTCTTGCTTCCGCACAAACTGCCGGCTCGACCGGAGTAGCTATACCACGGTGTACAAAAAACCGGTCTTTAACAGATATTTTGTTGCTTTTCACCAAGTGAGTTCCCAAAGCCCCTTATTCCGGGGGGGACGGAGGGTTGCTTTTCACTAAGTAAGTTACTAAAGCCCCTTATTATTGTAGACAGGGTCACAGAGCTCAACTTTTTAATAAGGGAGTTACCAAAGCCCCTTTTACTGAGGGCTGCTTTTCACCAAGTGAGCTACCAAAGGCCCTTATTAGGCCCAAGTGTGAGTTTAGTTTACATCTACCCGCTCTCGACGGCGAGCGCGTCAAGCGTTGTGATTGGTGGAGATTTCAGTGCGGGCCAATCGCAACGCCAAACGCGGTCACCGTCATCACTTTTTGTTATAACTCACCATTCATGACAAACTGAACAAGTATAATGTTTAAAAAATATAAACAAACCTGTGAATCTTTGCTGTTATCAGCTTCGTCGTCAATATCACTCTCATAGTCCATCTTGAGAGGGTCTTCTTCCTCGAACCCTGTGAGCATAGTCAGCGTGTGGCCCAGCGCAGACAGTTGCTTGCCCACGTTCACGTCGAGGTGGATGTCCACACCTTCCATCTGCCAGGATACGTTCAGGAACCACTTGGCATTTTCTGAAATTTGAGAAATAGATTCACTAATCACATCAACAGCCTTTAATAGTCCACTGCTAAACATAGGCCTCTCCCTAGAAAGGAGGTTTTGGCCTACTATACCACGCTGGTAAGACGGGTTGGTATAGGGTTTGTGTCAAGTTTTCCTTCTCTCTGCAGTATTGTTGTTCTGCGTAGTTTTTTCCCTTAGTCGGCTCTTACGACACCCACCGGAGGAATAGGGGTGGTGACACTCTGTATTATTAATCTGTCACCACACGGACCAATAGATTATTCTTTAAAAAAAAGTAGGAAACCCCCCCCCCCCCCCCAACCAGATCGATTGACGACCTAAGGAAGGTAGCTGGGGTAGATGGGACAAGGAAGACGGAGAACCGTGAGCTATGGCGTACTTTGGGAGTGGCCTATGTCCAGTAGTGGACTGCCTGCAAAAGACTGATTCATTGATAGCTGTCTTTTAGACTAAGTAGTATTGAACTTGAAAACCTTATACCTACACTTACAGTTTAAACATTTAAACGCCAAAAGTTTCTAACCGTTATGTTTAGCAGCAGTAGTTCTGCTGCAGACTTCATAAGTCCCCTCGGAGACACAGCACACATTGAGCTCCGGTTCATCAGCCCTCGGTTTCCAGTCATCCAGCGAGGCTTCGAAATCATCGGCGAACCGCAAGCAGAGCCCAACAAAGCGCCCCTTGGACACCAACGCCCCGGAGCTGCAGGCGCCTATGGTGGTGCTCTCGAGGGTCACGACCACGGCCCCGCGGGACTCGCTTTCTCCGGTCCACGCGCCGAACCCGGGCCGACCCATGCCCCAACGTGCCTAATGGTATACAGATATATTTAAGATATACATATATTATATATATATAGGATTTTCTTTGCTATATTAACATTTTAACATGAACACAGCGTAAGTCAATTAATTGCTTATGGATTCGTAACGTACAGGATATCTGTGGGAATTTTTGACACTTGCAGCTCAGACAGAATAAATAACTCAATATTCTGTAAAAAAAACTTTTTGTGTGTTTTAAAAAAAATCATGTGATGAACTGCCAAAAATAATTGCCTCACCTTGAGTTAAAAAACAGTTGTTTGACTTACAACTTTTTAGGTCTACACTGATGACGTATTGATTGAACATTACAACAAACACACAACTTTTGATCTACTTGTTTAATTAACAAACAGTTAATATATATCTACAACTAACTGACCCGTGCAACTTCGTCTGCGTCTCTCAATAAATTTTCTCCGTTTTTGAAACATTCTTCATTGGTGCTCCGCTCCTATTGGTCTTAGCGTGATGATATATAGCCTATAGCTTTCCTCGATAAATGGGCTATCTAACACTGAAAGAATTTTTCAAATCGGACCAGTAGTTCCTGAGATTAGCGCGTTCAAACAAACGAACAAACAAACAAACTCTTCAGCTTTATAATATTAGTATAGATTTGATATGACCTTAAGTAGCTGTAGTTTTGAACTGTTTGGTGTATCGACCTGTATATTGTATTTACATTATATGAGATGTTTGCCTTCCAGATCCATCAGTACAAGTTTTGTTAAATTTGTCTCTAAATATCACTGTGTAATATGTTTTTATTAGTAATATTCTTTGAATATTATTAATAAAAAATTCAATAAATAATTTAGTTCAAATCAAATTGAAGTATATTTCTTACATTATAAAGTATATATTTCATTACTTCAACTATGTAACTTACCACCACAGGCGGTTGATTAAGTGGTAGACATATTCCAATATCATCGACGTTCAGTTGTAAGAACAACGTGCTGAGGTGAGGGGTGGTGATCTGTGACGTCAGTTGTACCTAATCGAAAAAAATAATGTTTAAATCAATTAACATCGATATCCCCAATTCGATTCGATCGATATTCACAAAGGACAGACGTTTTAAACGCCCACAATATACAGTTTATATTGTGATATTACATCATAGGTATTTAAACTAAATAATGAACTAAAATCTTTCATTTTTTATGGTATAAGGGGGCAAAGGAGCAGAAGTGTTACCTGACGCCGGTGACCGCCGCCCATGGACACCTACAACTCAAAACTCACAAGTGCGTTGCTGCCCTTGGAGACCCTCCCGCTCGAGTCAGCGGGAGGTGGGATTTGGGCTCCGGTAACCTCACTCACTCAGTGAAAGGCAACGAAAAAATTACACACACCGTTATGTAGCAGTTGAAACAAACGAAACCGAAAATGTAAATTTAATATATTTTAATTTAACCTTTTGGCAAAGTGCTTTGGAAGGAAATATAAACCATTCACTGCCAATAATTTGCCAACTCTTCCAATATTTAGTTTAAAACACATGAATGATAGTTTTCAATACAAATATCTATATGTAGAGCCTGTCTTCTGAAATAAGCTGCAGTGCTATTCTACAAGGAAACAGCCTTGCGTACAGCACTGCCACAGCGTTGAACTTCAAACCAAGTGTGTTTGAAATTCGACGCTTACAGCGCTGCCAGAGGGTCGAATTTCAAACTATGTCAGTTTGAAGTTCGACGCTTACAGTGCTGCCATAGGGTCGAATTTCAAACTAAGTCAGTTTGAAGTTCGACGCTTACAGTGCTGCCATAGGGTCGAACTTCAAACTAAGTCAGTTTGAAGTTCGACGCTTACAGTGCTGCCATAGGGTCGAATTTCAAACTAAGTCAGTTTGAAGTTCGACGCTTACAGTGCTGCCATAGGGTCGAATTTCAAACTAAGTCAGTTTGTAGTTCGACGCTTACAGTGCTGCCATAGGGTCGAATTTCAAACTAAGTCAGTTTGAAATTCGACGCTTACGGCGCTGCCATAGGGTCGAATTTCAAACTAAGTTAGTTCGAAGTTCGACGCTGCGACAGCGCTGTACGCAAGGCCGTTTCCTTAGAGAATAGCACTGCTGAAGTCACACCTATGACATTCCGACACGGCTAAACTTTCACTTGTATATATTTTTACACGCTTTATATTAGCTTCACTTGTATGCTTGTTTGTAACCGACTCCTTTGGGCGTGATTTTGACTGACTTTAAACGGTCAGAACTCGTTCAAACTTTCTAGATATATCGAGGACCGATGACAATAGACTAATTTAAAAAAATATATATATTTAAAAAAAAAAAAAAAACCACGCTTTCTATAGAAAACCAAACTAAAAAATAGAAAATAAATTGGTAAAAAAGCGTTGGGTGCCTGTTGTCAATAGTAAAAAGCACCCCACGCTTTTTTTCAAATTTATTTTTGAATTAGAAAGCGTGTTTTTTAGTTTTTTAAAACTATAATTTTTTGACTTGTAAAGATAAAGTATTTAGTTTAAATGACTGTAATACATTAAATAATCTGTCTTACTTTCTCAAAGACCTGTTGCGTAGCTGTCAGCACCTCCTTATTGAGATTGAGCCTCTTCTCGTTCCAGTACTCGTAAGCGTTCTTGTAGTTGAGCCACACGAGGATGGCCTTGTCCACCGCCACCGGCTGGATGTAGATGAGAGGACGCTTCAGAGTTATCAGGACCACTTCCTTGTCATCCCCACATACCAACTCATCTTGGAATGCATTGCGCATCGCTGTAACAAAGCAGATTTAAAACAATTAAATTATTAATCGATAATAATCATCTGAAAACATCACAATACCCTGCCTTTATTGCCAATACAATATTATTATTATGCCGCAGTTATTGGGCGTCGGCGTGTCCTTGTGACACAAAGGCCTCCTCCAGCTCTTTCCATTCTGCACTTGTTTGAGTTATTCTATGCCACAGTGGACCCGCGCTCTTTTTTAAACCCCCCCCCCCTCCCCCCAGCTACTACAACAGCACAATACTAAAGCTCCTTAAAGAATGGAAGAAAACAAAATTTGGACAATATTTCCAGAGAGAACGAGCTTGTGGCTCAAGTTTCCTACAATTTTCAATTTGTCAGCGATAATTCTAGGAGGGCCACTAACTATTCTTAGCATCTGTTTCCCAGTCGAGTTATAACATTGTGAGTATATTGACCGGTATTATATATGTATATTATTTATTCATTTTATAACTTATATTTTTTTTTCACTTGAACTCTTAATTCTTTTTCACAGAATTTACGTTGAAATGACTTAGTTATGGTTTAATATATTACTATAAAGTATAAATATATACATTTAAAACAAAATTGTATACACCAGTAAGTTCACACTCTATAAAATTTAATTCTTAGGGATGGCCTTAAGAATTAAACTGTTTGAAAATCAGAAACACTTACATATTCTGGTATTAAAGAACGCGTATTGCTGGAACTCTGGCTCGGCCTCCTCAAACATGGCATTGCGGATGACCTGTCCTAAGCTAATGTTGACGTCGACCTGCGCCCTCGCGAACAGCCTCACTTCGTGCGGTTCGGTCGGCTGCTGAACGTTCTGTACGCGGTTCGATATCTCGAACTCAACTGCGCCCGTCTCTAGGCGTACTGCCGAGTTGCTCGGAGTCGTCGCCGTCAGTTGGATGCGCTGTAAACGATAATTTAAATATATATAGAACTGAATTGACCGCACGGATGGCGTAGTGGTTTAAGGGGTCGCCACGCCGTTTACTGCTAGGCTGAGCGTTGCGGGTCCGATCCCCACATGGGACGACATTTTGCGTGATCCATAAATTATCGTTCTGAGTCTGGGCGTTCTTTGTATCCTTTTTTGTATATGTTTGTAAAGCCCCCCGCGGTATATATAATTTATTTTTAATGCAGTAGTCGTTTTTTAAAAAAATCAAAGAAATATAGAAATATCTTATAATAATGGCCTCCTTATATAAGTTATTAAATATAACACGGGCGCGGTAGGATACCGTTTTCCTTGAGAGAGGACTTCCCTCGGTCCCGAGATTACATTTATATCTTCGATAAAGTAAATACTGCTGCACGTCAATTTTTTACCCGAAGGTGTGACCGTGAAGCGCTTACCTTGATTCTGATAGTGAGGGAGAACAGTATCTTGCTGAGCGCAGACGCGGAGGCCTCTTCTTCGTTCCACAGCGGCACCGGTTTCTCTCCCCCGTACACTTTCTGGACCACTTCGTTCACTTCCTGCGAATAGATGTTGTTTATACTAGTCAGTGTTTAGCTCCTTCCGCTCAGTTCTGCGGGCGCGCAGTCCACTGACCTTCATGAAGACCTTCTGCACGAAGACGAGGTGGTTGAGCAGGTCGGTGGAGAGCGTGTGCTCGAACAGGCCGATGTCGGCGGCGGCGTGCACGTAGCGGCCCGCCCGCAGCAGCGCGCCCTCCCTGCGCGCCGCGCCGCGCTGCTCCAGCACGCGCCCCGACACGTGCACGCCGGGCAGCCACACCGCCGCCTCCGACGGGATGTTGGCCTCCGGGACCTGCGCACCCGCACCGACCGATACTCTCTTAACTATGTTTCGACACCTGACATTCACCGACGACGTCGAAGAGGCTTTCGACCTTGTCGCTTCCAAATTTTATCTCACGTGTCGGGCTAATATGTGCGTATAGGCCGTCGTCGATCTCGAGCGAGGCACGCTATGAAACCGTTTCGAATTCGTAACTACTTTTTTGTGGCCTTTACTTTTAACGAGATAATATTTCGTAATATTTCGTCGAGGAGTACCACAGGGTTCACACGTGGGGCCTATTGATTTTTAAAATATTTACCGATATATTTATATTATCCAAACTCACCGGGAATACGTACGATTAATAAGTTGTTGTAGTTTAAATTAAAATATCCGAGAACTAAATAACTATTTCGTTGTAAAGAATTGAGTTATTCATGTAACGAGTTAAGATTTTTAGAAACGGTCTCCATACAAATCCTTAAAAATGCTCAATTTACATGCAATCAGAGAAATGAAAGTCGATCGATTTAAATGACGCAAATGAAAATTGTACTTACTTGCAATTTTGTAACGAAACTCAAAGAATGTTGTTGTAAATCGACCGTGAACTGCGCCTTATTGCCCGTCACTCCAGTACTTTGTACTTGCTCCATCTTGTACTGAGCTTGCAACGACGGCAGCAGCGCGGCCGTTATGCTCAAACTCTACGATGCAAATTGACATCATTATTGAGCCAATCTTACGAATTGTGGTATCCCTTTTGTAAGGGTTAAAAAAGAACATAGGCAAAATTACTTATATGCGAGCGAAGCCGTGAATAAAAGTTCACTTGTTTTAGAAATTTTATAATACAAACCTGCAATAATATCGAGAAGTGCAAATGCAGCGGGTTCAAGAGAGGATGTGATGGCGTGGGGCGCGGAGGACGAGGAGGACGTGGGGCGGGGGCAGGCGAGCCCTCCTCCGATGAGCCCGAGCCCGCTCCAGCTGCCGTGGCGCTGGTGCCGGGGCCCGAGCGAGACAGCCGGGATGAAGTACGAGTCACTCCCAGTTCCTGGGGGTTTTAAATTTGTTTAAGAAAAGTTAATGCTTGTTACAGCATATTCCTCTTTTCCTATTGAGATATTTAGTAAGAAAAATTCAAGCTGTTTTATTAAAATAGGCTGGTTGACTCAATATGAAAACTTGGTTAATTATATACTTTAATGTCTATTTTCCTCAAAAAGCCTATATTTTAAAGAAAAAGCAATATTTACATTATATATTTTGTATTTAAAAGAACCAATATTTAACCAATTAAATTTCCCTTGAAAACGCTGATGGCGTCTTGAATGACATCACAGCCTGCGAAACAAAATTGTTTGATCTGTGTCATGTCAACTGAAACTGTATTAAGGTGAGAGGATATGCTAAAAACGAAAACAATAAAGAGTAACCTGATCTGTTGTTTGAAACCGTCAACAACAACAACAACAATGATGTTTTGCGTGGCGTGACGTAACACTTTCTGATCGGTGTTCGCTGTCACGTGACTTAATACCTATTTTGTTCCAATTTTTTTTTAAATATTAATAATCTTTAACTTTTATGAGAAATAGACTGTTTTTTTTCTTATCTATGTCTCTTGGTTTATAATTTGAAATTATAAACCGATTAATTCGTTATTAATGGACACAGGCCTATTATAAACAAAAGCTATAGTCAAGTTAGAATTTGAAGGCGAATAACGTAGGTGTAAATGTCGGCGCAGACCTGCAGCGTGGAGGAGAGCTGCCTGCTGGAGCGCGTCATGACGCCGTGCAGCGCCACGGGGTGCTGCGGCAGGTCGACGCGCACGCCGCCCACGCTCAGCAGCGCCGACGCGCCCGGCCGCCCCGTCTCCCAGCTGTACAGCGCCTGCGACTTGCCCACGCTCACCCGGACCACCGTTCTGAGACGATGCCGACACGCAACCTTACTAATTGTATTTTTTAAAGACAACTCCCGCACTAGGAATATATCCTGTGTCGCGGGGGACTTTAACATACATGAAACGGACACAAAGTACACCCAAATTAAAAACAACAATTTGTGGATCACACAAAGTGTTGTTTTCGTGTGGTCTATCCGTGTGGTGACGGATTAAGAATACTGAGTGTCACCTCCCCTATTCATCCCGTGGGTGTCGTTAGAGCCGACCGAGGGAATAAACGGCGCAGGACAACAGCACTGCAAAGAGAAGGAAAACTTGAAACAAACCTTATACCGACCCGTCTGGTCGGCGTGGTATAGTAGGCCAAAACCTCCCTTCTAAGGAGAGGCCTATGTCCAGCAGTGGACTAGTAGAGGCTGTTGATGATGACAAAGTGTTGTTTTATGTGGGATTCGAACCCACACTCAGCTCAGTGGGTAACGGCGAGGTGACCGCTTAAACCGCTACGCCATCCGTGCAGTCGACTGTCCACTGATATATTTTCTAATATATAGCACCTAAGCTTTTATTGAACATTAGAAAAAAAGCCGGTAACTGCAATAATTATACTCACTGATGATTGGGTGCGACTCCTTCGAGTAAGACGATCATGGTTCTGCCGAGGTTACCGGACAGAGACCACTGGCGAGATCGCGACGCCGACAGAGAAGCTTGCAGTGATGTTATCTCCGCTTCCAACTTCAGACCGGACAGGGACGCCAGGAGTCGAGTACGATGGATCCTGGGGATCAGACTTCTATGTTGTAGAATAGTGATTACTAAAGTGGGTTCTGGTTTTTCTGGAGAAACAAGTGTTAATGTCCCTCCAAAACAATGGGAGAATCCTGAGATCATGAGTGGCGAGCTGCGACTCCACGGTTGATATTTTGAAGTTGAATATGTACTAATTGGAGCGAGAACTTTTATTATGCGATACAGGATTAGTAGTTACTCTGTGATTCGGTGTGTCTTTGCTATATGGCACTGTAGTGTATTTTTGTTTCGTCCAAGAATTTATAAATTCAATGTCACTCACTTGGGATTTTGTGAGGATTCTAACTCTAGTTATATTTGAACCTGCTGGTGTTTCTTTTGGTGGAATTACGAAACCCTCAGAATATTATAAATTCACTAGCTGACCCGGCAAACGTTGTTGTGCCAACATTTTTTCAATATTTTTTTGTCAGAAATAAATAAATTAGGGTTATGAAAAATAGATGTTGGCCGATTCTCAGACTTTTTGGAGGAGTTCAATCACGCACACCGTGACACGAGAATTTTAAAACTATTTTTCTATTTTTGGCAGTCGTGTAAATAAGATAAAGTGTGTAACCTAGCTACTCCAACGACGACGATGCCCATGTTGGTGGCGCTAGAGGAGGAGTTGCTGGTGTTCTGTTCCCGGGAGCTGGGCCGCGCCGCTGTCTTGCTGTGGCGGTACTGCTCCGGGATGTCAGTCGTCACCGAGAATCTGTATACAAAACAGAAAATCCATTCCATTATCCATCCAAAATCCATTAGTTTGGTACTTTTTACATTAACGAGGGTTTTTTATGGTCTAAGGGGGCAAACGAGCCGACGGGTCACCTGCTGGTAAGCAACTACCGCCTCCCATGGACACCTGCTGCCCTTGGAGTCCCTCCCGTTCGAGTCAGCGGGAGGGTTTGGGATTTGGGCTCCGGTAACCTCACTCACTCAGTGAAAGGCAATAAAAGAATTGCTTAACACCGGTTTTCTGTGAGGCCGTAGTATTACTCCGCTCGAGCCGGAGCCATTTGTGCAGAAGCATGGCTTTTCCACAAAGTTTAATGATGTCACTTTTGCCTCGCACTACCAATCTGTGGAACAAGTTATCGGATGTGGTATTTCTGGACCGATACGAGTTTCAAACCTTCAAGAAAAGAGCGTACTTCTTCCTTGAAGGCTGGCAACGCGCTTGTGACTCCTGAGTTGCCTCCTGAGTTGACTCCTGGCGTTCATGGGCGGCGGTAGTCGCTTTCCATCAGGTGTTCCGTCTGCTCATCATCATCATCATCATCATCATCATCAGCCTATCGCTAGACATAGGCCTCTCCCATTGCACGCCACTTAGATCGATTTTGGGCTTCTCGCATCCAGCTCCTGCCAGCCATCTTGCGCAAATCGTCACTCCACCTGGCCTGTGGGCGTCCTACACTACGTCTGCTCGTTTGCCCCCTATTCCATAAAAAAAAAGTTTGTCAGAAGTAGAATTGTAAGGAGAGAAAAAGCTATATAAGGAAGGGGAAGAACCTGTGGGTGATGGTCTCGGCGTCGGGCATGTTGGCGTAGAGGTCCAGCAGCAGGTACACGGTGCGCCAGCAGCGCGGCGCCAGCTTGCCGTCCACGGCGTCGGCCGAGGGCGAGGCCGCGGGGCTGGCGCCCCCCGCACCCCCCACCGCCGCGCCGGGGAACATGGGCGTGTGCGCACCCTCGTTCAGCGAGCTGTAGCCTACCCGACACAAGCCATAGTTTATACACATCGAACGAAAAAAGGTCCGCGCCCAATATTAAGATCCCCAAAATAGAACAAAGCGATTGTTGATCTTAATATCTTTTAATATCATTAAATTTCATAATATTTATGAAATTACTTTGTTTTTCGATATATAATGTACTATGTTACTAATATTTTTAATAGTTATACTGAAATTTAACTATCTTTATAACAACACTAACTTGAACTGAAAAATTATTTTAGTGTTAGTTCTTTCCTGTTCTTATTTCAAAATTAAGACGGTCAAACGATCTCTTTAGTTTTATAATATAAATCTAACCCTAAATCTTAGAGATGTGTATTAAGATAGAAGAAGAATTAGAATAGTCGAAATATGTAAACATGTTAAAACAATTTTCCAGTACCCGTGTTCCAGATCAAGAAACTAATAACTCCTGTTCGCAGATCTAGACAATAACAATTTGCATTTGTATCCGTATTCAAAGATCTAGATCAGGAAATCCCAATTTATTTTGGGCAAGAGACCCCATTTCCAAAATTAACTGATATGAGGAATCAGTTTATTTTGGAGAAGAGTTCGGGACCATAGCCAAATTATATCTCTAGTTTTTTTTTTTCTAAGCAAACTTGATATCACTTTCTCACCAAAATGTAACAAAATAAATTAAATTAATTAAAATTAATTATTAAATTAATATTAAATTAATTAATATTACTTAATTAAAATTAAGTAAATATCAATTGTAATTATTAATAAAATAACGTTAAAATACTTAAGTAGGTAAATATAAAAAAAAAAAACATTTAAACACAAATTATACGGTATTTTGAAAGTTTACACTAAGAACTAGTGTAAATTAATAGAGGTCGATTTTTAGACCTCCTCCAAAATCAGTTTTCGTTTATGTTGACCCCTTTTTTTTTCCGTGCGGAATTATGTTGTCCCCTGGGAAACCGGTTCCCCAGGTCGATATCGATCGATGACTTCGGAAATCCCTGATCTGGACACGAATATTCCATATTCGTATCTGTGGATATCCATTTTTAATGATCCGCCATATCACTACATAGATGGTATACCCGCCGTTTTATACCTTGAAATTGATTTTAAAATATAACGTCTGACGTTGCAGCAGCTTGCTTCCCCCCCCCCCCCCCCCCCCCCCCCCCCCCCCCCCCTCTATAAATAAACCCCTGTCGAGCAGATAACTAGTAGGGAATTCCCGAAGGACACAAGAGAGTGTGGTCGTATAAAAAAGTTTATTACAATTATCATCACTGGCAATACTTACCCAATTTCCCCTTGACACTCTTCCCAGTAGACCTCAACTTCTGTGCAAAAGATTGAGGCCTTGGTCTCGGAGGTTGGTTTAGTTTCTGCTGACTAGAAGACTGTGGCACTGACACACCCAGCTCTGGAGTCAAGGTCGGTGCGATGAGATCCCACTTCGGCTCCAGAGTCGCGTACTGGACCTCTTTCTCTAGTGATGTTACACTTGTTATGTTTTCTCTGAAGTCTGACACTGGAATATGATAAAATAATTTTAAGCATAGAGAATGCCTATTACCTGCAATAATACTTAATTATTAATTGCCCCCATACTGTATGGACTCACATCATCACATCAACAGCGACTGCTGGACATAGGCCTCTCCTTAGAAAGGAGGTTTTGGCCTACTATACCACGCAGGCCAAACGGTTAGGTACAGGGTTTGTTTCAAGTTTTCCTTCTCTTTGCAGTGCTGTTGTCCTGCGTAGTGTGCTCCCTTAGTCGGCTCTTACGACACCCGGCTCTTACGGGATGAATAGGGGTGGTGACACTCTGTATTCTAAATCTGTCACCACACGGACAGTACTCATGAATAGACAAATACCGAGTGCCAGTGTACCCTTCTATGCCATGATTAATTAAATCTTGGGACAAACTAGTGGACGGATCACGGTGATGGTAGGTACCGTGGATATTTGCAACTCAAGTACCACATGTGCGTTAACGGCCTTTGGGACTTTCTGGTATCTTCACTCACTCAGTGAATTACAAAGAAAGAATGACTGAATACAGGCTTTCTGTGAGGCCGTGGTATTCTCCGATCGTGGAACACCATATGTGCCCATAAGTATGGCTTAAATCTCTATCTCTTTGTAAGGAGCTAACAATTTGTTATTTCTAATAGGGCTGTTTTATTACTAAAAAAGGAGAGATCAGATCATAAAAACTAATAAGAAATATAAGAGCTAATATAATAAAAACAGCTAATAAGCAATCTACAAAACTTACCTGATGAGGAAGTGTGTTTGTTTTGCCGATGAGATATTTTGGTCTGACTCCTCAGTTCAACTTGAGTGTCCTTTACATTCTGATACATGTTGCTGATCTGGTGCAGCAGCCGTAGTAAGGGCATGTTTACCTGCAACCGAAAATTTCACAATGCAGAATATGCAACAATGATATAAGAATTATGATATATGGGCAAACTAGCGGACGGGAAACCTGATGGACTACAATTAACTTTATTGTTTTCTCTCACACAGTTTACAATCATTAATAATACTTAATTAGTACAGCGTATGTTTTCACATTGATTTAGCGCGCGTTAGTGCGTCTGTGTGTGCGTGTGAGTGTGTGCGTGTGTGTGTGTGTGTGCGTGTGTGTGTGTGTGTGTGCGTGTGTGCGTGTGAGTGTGTGCGTGTGTACCGCTGTCCATAGACACCAGTAACTCAAGGTGTGCTTTGCTACTCTTCAGCCCCCTCTAGATTCAGGAGAGGGGGTTTGAGCTCCGGTAACTTCACTCACTCAGTGAAAAACAAAGACATAAGTAATTTTTTTGAGGCAGTTTTTTTTAAATAGCCTAAAAGTGTATCCTGACTTTCGAGTCATCCAGCCATTCATCTATTACCTAGTGATTGTGACTAAAATTATTTTCTATCAATTAATATGAATTCCAAAAACTTCAATCATCCATACTTACATACATCCATACAGTAGGCCAAAACCTCCTTTATAAGGAGAGGCCTGTGTCCAGCAGTGGACTGTTATAGGCTGTTGATGATGATGATACATCTATACTTATATTATAAATGTGAAAGTGAATTTGATTGTTTATTTGTTACGCTTTCACGCCTAAACCACTAAACCGATTTTAAAAATTCTTTCACCAATAGAAAGCTACATTATCAGCGAGTAACATAGGCTACTTTTTACCGCGATAACAGAAATACATGCGGGCGGAGTCGCGGGCAAAAACTAGTAATGTTAATAGTGAACATACCTGCTGGGAAATAAACCGTATGCTGATGTTAAAATTAAGCATGGTGCTGATGTGCTTCTTGAGCTGTCCTCGCGAGATGTACAGCACATTCTGTCGCTGGATCAGATCGTCCACTGCCATATCGGCCACCTTCTTCAGGTCCATTTCGATGGATACCTTCTCACACAGGAATGCTGGGGTTTCCGAGGGTATATTAGCGTGAGATTGGGTACCTGGCGAGAAACATATTTTAGCATTCATTTAGAGATTACTTTTTTTTTATAAATAAATACATATTATACATAAGAAAAACCATAACTTCGAAACAAATATTTGCAGATCATACAAACATTTGGTGCGCCCCGGGAATCGAACCTGAGGCAGTCAATGATGTTCTGTTCTTGAGGTTCAGCGTTCAGTTTTTATCCATAAATAAAGAAGATATTAAGAGAAATTAATAAGAGTAGACAAATGGAGATACAGACCTTTACCCTTGCTAGGATGTCTTCTATCTCTTGTCGCGAGTTCGCTCACGACAATGTCAATGCGGAACATATCCATCCACGCGATGAGAGACAGCTTGGAGCCCAACGATTCCAGCACCGGAGCACCACCACCCTCGCCTGTTTTGTTCTTTGATTCACCTGGAAACAGCAGGAAGTTCATTCTGTTTCTGCCAAGTAGGTTACTTATAAAACATTAATTCACAGACATACTGCTAGACCATGAGTTTTGTTTATGGTACAGCAGGCATACGACCAGATTGGTTACCTAATGGTAAACGACCAGCGCCGACCAAGGACTCCTTTTTTTTCCTGTGCGGAAACCCCCTCGGATACTGGTGGTCATGTCGGACTCGAACCGACCATAAACCGCACTCCGTCTCCGGTCCGTCCGTCCCTCTCCGCCAGTAGGGGCAGCAGGTTAAACCTCCTTTATAACTGCGCTTAATGGTAAAATTCAAAGAAATAATTGCTTAATATTGGTATTCTGTAAGATAAGTATCATTGCGTTCGAGTTGGTCTCTGCCAAAAATATGATACAGATATAATGTTCTGTAAATATGTACCTTGTGTAACCTGATTCGGTGATACTCCTAATGCAGATAGGAATGGCTGGAAAACAAGGTGAGCATCCAACAGCATCAGCGAGCCCTGAACCGGGTACAGGCTGCACGCTGGCATAGCTGCCACAGATCGGGGATGCATCTTGGACGGTGGGATAATCGACTTCTTACTTTTTGGCTCCTAATCAAGGCAGAGAAACAAGTAAAATTTTAACAAAAAAAACCGACTTCAATAGTTTTCTCATGGATTCCATGGTCAGAACTAGACCAAATTGAAATGGGACCACACGGGAAGCACCAGCTTTCCAATAAAAAAAGAATCATCAAAATCGGTTCACCAGTCGAAAGTTATGAGGTAACAAACATAAAAAAAAAAATACAGTCGAATTGAGAACCTTTTTTGAAGTCGGTTAAATAGTTAAAAATGTAGTAAATAATCTGTGGTCAACTCATAGAGGTGCCATCTCACTAAGGCCAAAATTATGTTTAGATGCTAGTGATCGCTTGCCATCAATGGTCCATTTTTCTTTTCCCTTAATTTTACAACGCCCGCACTAGGAATATATCCTGTGTCGCGAGGGACTTTACAAACATACATGAAACGGACACAAAGAACACACAGACTCAGAACACAACTCCCCATGTGGGGATCGAACCCACAACACTCAGCGTAGCAGAAAAGCGGCGTGGCGACCGCTTAAACTACTACGCCATCCGTGCAGTCAATATATGATTTTGATTTTAATAATTCTATATTTGAAAAAAGCAACCTTTTTAAAATAAATGTCTCTAATTTTTAATTTGTAGTTTGCAAGTAAAGCGTATATTTCTGCCAGCATTGGCTTAGCCTATATATAGCTAAGTATTTATATGTGGTATTTATAGTTTAGCTTCCTAGTTATGTTAAGTTCCGGTTTTGTTAGTTTCGGATCCGACAGATAGCCTTTATCAAGGTGTTAAACGACATATTGTAACGACGTATTTATAACGACATATCTACTAAGGGAGCAAACTACGCAGGACAAAAACACTGCAAAGAGAAGGAAAACTTGAAAAAAACCCTATACCAACCCGTCTGGCCAGCGTGGTATAGTAGGCCAAAACCTCCTTTCTAAGGAGAGGCCTATGTCCAGCAGTAAACTATTAAAGGCTGTTGTTGAAACAAAGCTTACCACTTTTATGGGCTCTTGCTTAGCCATCCATTGATACAGATCCTCTCTCGCTCTATCGTTCCTGATGTTATCGTCACTGCCATGCGGAGAGTACAGTGAAGGATTCGAGCCCAGTGTCGGCAGGTCCTCTTTCAATGTACCATAGTCTAGAAGAACAAAGGTTGATGGAGAAAAGAGTAGTATGAGTTTGGGAAATACATATCCTGTCTTAAAATTGACAATCACGAAGGTCATTCGATCTACATATATATAAAGGATATGTTAAAATAATGTACCGTATAGACAACTTGCATAGCTACCGATAGCAAAATCTTTTTTTTTTATTTATTGCAGGCAGGCAGGTTTACTGCAGTTAGTGACAAGAGCTTTTCAAACAAAAATACATAAATATAATATTATAAAAAAAGGATTAGTTAATCTATACCCTTATCTGATCGTATGTCTTATCTTAATCTACCAACTGTCTCTTTGATAATCTTTTGGTGAAATCTCAATTGAAAGTGACGTACTGAAACGTAGTTCGCGGTTTATCCTGATTTATGATCATCTCCTAAAAGCCCTACCCTTCAACATTCTTCAAGAATAACACTATTAATTGCAAAACCAAGTATTAGTTTTAATTGATAACATGAGTAGAAACTTGGGCGAACTATACGAGTTTATGTCGACATACATCAAGTTTTGCGTACCTACTTTTCTGACATACCCTGGGGTTAATACAAAAAGAAGGAGCAATGTACTACTCACTAGCTATTGCATCGTCATGGAAGGCAGGCTTTCTCGTTGAGAACGGCAGTGACGGGAACACGAGGCTTGCGCGACTGCTTTGTGCTGCGCGTACTGTGAGCGACGATGTATTAGCACATGATGCGTGAGCATTGTAGGGGATATGTTATAAGGTAGGGTACATTCATTTACAGAAAATTATATCTATTTAGTTTTATTAGGTTTTTATTGTGTCTTAATGAAAATGCAATGGTGTTATGTAACGGTCAACTGGACAAACAATTTTTATTTTTCAATATATTGTATAAAATTTACAAATTGCATTAATCGCTTTGATCATATGTACCTAGATGTTTAGCGGGGTATTAATTGAACTATGCTAAAGTCTATTGTATGCACGGTTTTACTATCAGATGCATGCGGTGTGACGCTTCAAGTGTAGTAAAAATGCGAGAACTACTACTCACTACGTACTACAGAAAAGGTAGAAAAATAATAAAATCGAACGAAATGCGTACGTGTTTGATAAGTTCAATGTTTTAAAGTGCAAGAATAGCAGAGGGCCTTGATTCTGCTATTTTAATATTGTATCAATAGACTGTCGATGGAATGTCGTCGGAATAGTTTTGCACTTTTCTTATTCTACTAACTATGTAAGACTTTATATATACAAATAGCCGATGACTTGTCACTGATACAAATGTCGTTGATGTGTTTGCAATAGTTTGGTAAACGGTACATTTTAAATTTGTAAGAAAATGATTTATTTAATTTTCATGATATAACAATGTTATTGATATCACCATTGTGTATTTATGATGGTAGAATACCGATATTTTGACCGATGTCAGTAGCATCTCAATAGACTAGAATGACAGTTGCTTGGCGTTAACATAAAATAGCAGAATTGAGGCCCTGTACACATACATTTACGTCTTTTAACCCAATAGGGCGTATCTATCTATATATAAGGCGTATTAATAGTACTGTACTAAATGATAATCTTTAAAGTTATTTATTTTCAAATGCCTAGATTTCGCACATGTTCATTTGGCTAACGCGAACCTGCGTGTTAACACTTTAAGAGAATCTAATATGCCATCTTGTATTAAGCAATAAACTACTGTCGATATACATTGCAGCTTTATAGCGAACAATTACAACAATTGTATTTATTGGGGCATTCAATGTACGTACGCACGCACGTAAAGTGTGTTCGTGGTTTTAGTGGAATGTGTATCTATGGTTCATATGATCAAACATTAATCGACATGAAAATTATCTTGATAACCGCGCTCACGTTGTAGGTACTAGCACTGGCCGTGGTCACACAGGTGATCATGTGATCACATCTGTGACTGTCACAGAATGACTGACACAATTATATATCATGGAACGTGAATCTTCAAAAGTTGTTACAAAAACCTTTTTCTAAATAAATATAGATGTTTTATGTGTATGACGTGTCAAGCAATTTAGGAGCTCAAGATATCATAAAAAAAACAAAAATATATATATCGTATGCGCTGATAGCTAACCGTAATAAATATTTCTTTAAATAAAAATCTAAATATATAACACATAATGCAAGAATTAGAAAATTGTATACATTTATAACAAATAGATGATATGGTTAAGGAAGCTAACATGTAAATAGATATGGCGTTTTATATTTACAACAAAGTACATTACAATAGCATTATAGAAAGACAAAACCTTATTTATGCACCATTCTTACAATTGAAGAACAAATCTTGTACAGAGACAGCAAGCAAGCGAGCAACAATTAGGTAAAGTTTTTTAGATTTTTAGTACCCATATCGTTCAATAACATTCTTTCTTTTCTTTTTTTTTAAAAGACAACTTCCGCATTAGGAATATATCCTGTGTCGCAGGGGACTTTACAAACATACATGAAACGGACACAAAAAACCTCAGACTCAGAACCACAATTTGTGGATCACACAAATTGTCGTCCCATGTGGGGATCGGACCCACAACACTCAGCGTAGTAGTAAGCGGCGAGGTGACCGCTTAAACCACTACGCCATCCGTGCAGTCTGCATAACGAATAGTAAACCGGTTGTAAATATCTCACACACGGTTGTCTGATCCCAAACTAGGTAGAGCCTGTACTATGGTAACCAGACTGCTAATAAAAAAACTTCAATATTGATAAATAGATGAATTACACACAAACAAAGAACAAACGACCGTGCATAACACAATTATTTGTCTTGGGTGGGAATCGAATCCACGACCTCTGGCATAACAGTTAGGATCACTTACCATTTGGCTAATACGCCTATCAGTTAGTCGCGTTAAGCTTTGTGAGCTGTAGGTGTATAAAAGCCATAAAAAAATGTAACTGTGCATTACTGAGTTTAATTCATCATTTTAATTTAGTACGTAGTTTTACTGCAAAGAGAAGGAAAACTTGACACAAACCCTATACCAACCCGTCTGGCCAGCGTGGTATAGTAGGCCAAAACCTCCTTTCTAAGGAGATATATATGTCCAGTAGTGATCTATTAAAAGCTGTTGATGATGACGTAGTTTTAAATTCGAATTTCAAATATGATTAAAAAAAAATAACCACAAAGTAAATCAGACACGTATTTGTATTAAAGAGAAACACGCAAAACAAAGAATGAAAAGCATATTGGCCACATTCAGCTAAAGCAACATTAACTAATCAATGTGTGAAATTTCCGGCCAAAGTGGATAGTATACTTTGTCCGGAATGGAAATATATATAGATAGTACAGTGTGTAAATATACAACTTTCATTCGTGTGGCAGTGACGCGGTGCTCGGACGACGACTGCCACACGAATGAAAGTTGTATATTTACAAGCCCACGCACACATAGGGCCGCGCGCACGACTGAGTTGAACTATCTATACAATTTTAGCACAGATTAAGGAGTAGGGTAGAAATGAAGATGAGATGTAGACACATCGTCAATCCATGCTCATCAAACAGTCAAGACACATATGACAAACGCAAGACACTTGGTTCGAAGTCGTTTGAAACTCTCGTGTGTTTTTACAAGTTCTGTATGGTACGAAAATTTATATTTATAATTATTACTGACAGAATTTCTAATAAAAATACAGTTTACCCGTGACCAGGAAATGTTTGGTCAGTTTAATTTTCTTTTTATTGTTGTGTAACGGTGTTTCACTTTCCCAAGAGGTCCAACAATTAGCATTTTTCCATATATTTTTTTTAATAATTTAACACGTTTTTATTTAATTTTTTGTGTAAATATTCAATGCGAAACTTCAAACGACTTCAATCAGTTGATTGAGATTTGTAGACTCAAAAATTAAAAACTAAGACTGAGGGTACATAAAAAGATAGAATAATAAAATATTATTAGTCGACAAATCCCAAAACAGTAACAAAAGTGTTGACGTACGAACCGGAGGGCGGCGTGGATGGGAAGGAGTGCGGGCGCGGGACTACCACCGCGCCGGGCCCTTCACCCACAACACAGACAACGTACCATTATATTGTGTTAATATTTAAATTAAACATACTAGTATCGAAAATTTATGTGAAATTTAAGCTTTCTTGGCTCATTCTTATCTATAAGAAAGACCGGCACAGATCACACTTTTAATCAATTGCGTCCCAAAATTATAACAAACACGTACAATCACCGTTTTCACCAGTCAAGGTCATTTTAATCTTGTTATTAGCATACTTTCATCGATTTCCTTATTTTCTATAGACTTTTGTACTAGGTAAAGGCAGCTTTAAAAAAACATTTAACTCTTATCTCAAAAGTTACAGAATAGGGTAGATGCCTATCAAGTTAAATCTGTATCTTTTTAATGAATGTTTTTCTTTTATGTTAGAGGAAGCAGACGAGCAGACGGGTCATCTGATGGAAAGTGACTATCGCCGCTCATGAACGTTTGCCACTCAGGAGTCACAAACGGCAGGTACTTTACTACATTTTTGAAATACCACGGCATGACGTCACGTTAAAGTAAAACTGAACGACTATTTCCACGGTATTGTAAGGAGTTGTGAATTTGAGTTATTAATTTTTTTATTATACCATAAGTATTTCTTTATTATTATTATAAGTATTTCTTATTTATTATATATATTTATGGTATAAGGGGGCAAACGAGCAGACGGGTCACCTGATGGTAAGCAATTACAACCGCCCATGCACACCTGAAACTCAAAAGTCACAGGTGCGTTGCTGCCCTTAGAGTCGCTTGAGTCAGCGGTCGGGGGGATTTGCCTTTCACTTAGTAAGTGAGTACCGGAGCCCAAATCCCCCTCAAATATATTTGCGAGAGTATTAATTTTAATTCTCATTTATAAAGAGCTAGATTATCAAAAAAAAAATTAAGACGACTTACAAATACTATAATATAATTAATATCAAAGATTCTACGAAATGCAAGCCGAAATTGTGTAGAATACTATTATCTGTTTTAACTGTTAAGTATCTAAAACCAATTGTGTAAATATCATATTTAAATATCTGTTGTATCTAAACGAATATATTAAAAAAAAGACGTGTGTCACTCGGGGACTGCCGCGGTAAAGCTATTGCATAGCATTTTGTATCAACTTATGCAATTATAATTATTTATTTATTTTATTTATGCAGTATTTCTTTTTCTTTGATATTAATTCAAGTTACACTTTTTGAGCGTGGTGACCGATAAGAAAACAATTTTTTTTCTTTTATTAAATAAAAATATTGAAGCATATATTACAATTTGTTTTTAAATAAATAAATAAAAAATATTATTATTAAATCAAATTACATATCCATGTAAGATTTTTCTGCATTATGTTGACGATTTTCCTTTGACGATCAGCATTTGATTTTGGTACTGTTTTTTGTTTTGTTTTTAGCGTGAGGTTTTTTTTCGTTACGGAATTTCTGGATTCGGTCCCCGCGCTCAAGGCCCTCGATAGAAGCTATGCAATAGCTTAAAAAAAATACTATTTACAATTAAAGTTACGTGAGATTTCAGTATTTACTTATGTGTACTTGTGATAAAAAAAAATATAATTCAACGATAATGTAAAGATGACAACTCACCGGGCAGGTTGATTTTATCAACGTCCATATTGAGCAGTAGACAGTTCTCGTCTAGAGCCTCCGTCTCCAGAGGATATTCTTGCCAACCTTCCCCTGAGTCCTGGAAAATATTTCGACATTGTTATATGTGTGTATTTTGAAAAATTGACTATCAGCAGTTTGATTCCCATAGTACAGGTTCTGTTTGGGATTATACTGTCGTGTGAGAGATGTGTGAAATTATTATTATTACATGAAAGTGACTTAGCGAAGAAATTGTGATCCAAGAATATTTGGTCCAAAGACAGGGCGTTTTAAAAATTTCTGATTGTCATTTTAATTCCATATGGTGACAGATTACCGTGGGTGTCGAAAACATCAGCTGCAAAGAGAAAGAAAATTCGAAACAGACCCTTTACCAAACCGTCTGACCAGTGTGGTATGGTAGACCAAAACCTATTTCCTAAGGAGAGGCCTATGTCCAGCAATGAACTATTTAAGGCTGTTTATGATGACACCAAAAAAAAACTTACTTCTAATAAATCAGGTAACGCAAAGGTAACGTTTAGTGGCTTCATTACTTTGCTCTTGTAATTATGTTCAAGTAACAATGGCGTGTACAGTATGTTCTTCCATTGGCGACTGAGGACTATCACACCCTGAAATAAAGGAAATACATTAATAATTTTTTTATGCATCATCATCGATTTCCCCTCGGTTTTAATTAGGGTCGATGCAATATCTAACATTGCTAATATAGCTGTTTGCTATTCTCGACCAACTGTTTGACGTCCAAAATTTCTGGAAATGGGATAGTTTTCAGATTGAACTAAGAAAAAAGATTAATAGTGTAATTTCAATATTCGTTGGTCTTACTGGATTTTAGAAATCGTAGAACCGTTAGGGAATGCCCCAAGGCGGCATATTAGGGCCAAGTATATTAACCTGTCTGAGCGTGGAGAGCGAAGGCAGGTGCCGCTCGGCCAGGTCGGCCTGCACGGCGGCCGCGTCGGCCTGCAGCGCGTACCGCAGCAGCACGGCGCACAGCTGCAGCGACGGCTCCTCGCGCAGCTGCTTGCCCATCGGCGTGTGGCGCCCGTACCGACTCTGAACGACAGTCAATACCACGCCATAAGGGTAAGGTCAATCTATGCGATACTCTTTCATATACTTCCACAGAATCGATCGAAAAGTTGGTTAAACAGAAGGAATCGAAAAAACAAAAAAAACAAAACACTTTCGACTAATACAAAATTTATATTTTGTGGAATGAAGTTTTTTGGAAGTGTCATGGCTAGTTAGGATCGAGTGTAACGGGTGGTACTGCGACCTATATATGCACTAATAGCAGTTCACTATCGAAGAATCTACCTTCGGTAAAGTATGGTGCGAAGTGAGATCCAATGCAGCGGCCATGAGACTGGCGGCAGTTGCCGTCAACCGTCTAGCGTATGCCCTGTACAGAGCTACGACCCGAATGCCGAGTCGGTTGCACGGGTTCATCCATGCGTTGATGGCCGGAGACGCAGTGCTCAATAGATTCCAATCCAGTCTGTAGAAGAAATAAATCTTAGAAAAATGGCCTGTTAAATTTAAACTGCACTGAATTCAATTTGTTATTTTATTATAAAGCTGAAGAGTTTGTTTGTTTGTTTGAACGCGCTAATCTCAGGAACTACTGGTCCGATTTGAAAAATTATTTCAGTGTTAGATAGCCCATTTATCGAGGAAGGCTATAGGCTATATATCATCACGCTAAGACCAATAGGAGCGGAGCACCAATGAAGAATGTTTCAAAAACGGAGAAAATTTATTACTATTGAGAGACGCAGACGAAGTTGCGCGGGTCAGCTAGTTTTATTATATGACATCTTAAAATGATGGCAAATGACTTAAAACCTGCAGTTATCTTTTATAGTAAGACATTGACTTTATTATATTTTTGTGTATTCAGTTTATTTATATTGTTAATGATAATATGATCCTAAATATAAATCAAAATCTTTAATTCATATTACTTTAAATTGACAATTAAATTAATATATGGTTGGTATTATCCGAGATTTTACTAAATCCGATAACGAATAGGCATATACAGGCAATAAAAACGATCAACCAACAAAGCAGGAACGATCACCGAACTATTTCTTGTAACTCGGAAAAAATACTATTCCCGAGCGGTAAAAAAAATCAGCATAAAGCTAGAATATTAATTTCATCACATTTAATTTTTAGTCAAACAATATCCGGAGCCGTAGTAGCCAGGTCATATCCAGGGCAAATATTGTGTGATGAGCACAGTCATTTGTTCTGTGTCTGGGTGAAATTTATCTATAATATGTATGTATTTAAAAAGTATATATGTATTTATATCAGTTGTCTAGTACCCATAGTACAAGCTCTGCTTAGTTTGGGACTAGATGGCGTTGTGTGAATGTGGTAGAATATTATTATATTATTATTATTATCTTCTCACCTAAAAAAAGAATTAAGAGTGTAAAAATGTTAACTCACGAATTTAGACTTGTTCTAAACAGTTAAGCTATAGACATGACATGACATGATTTTGTGAGTGTCCTATTCCTTTCAAACATCCAAGTGACTCTATTTCAAGTTACCTGGTATAATCAATCTTCTTCGTAATCGGAGTCCTCGGAGGAGCAGCGAAATTGAACCACACCACTTTGAGGTCGATGGCGCACGACGACATATTCCCATTATCCTTTATAGGAACGATAGTACAACTGCTATCATTATTCGAAGGCTCCTCAGGTCCAGGAGTTGACGGCTCCGGAGGGGGAACAGGTGGTGGTTGGGCATTCCCCAAGTTTGGAGTACTAGGTTTAGAGTTGGAATCTTTTTTTCTGAACAGATCTTCGATCCCTGAAGTTCTGTAACTCTTAGTCTTTTCTTTATCAGGCTTCAACTCTTCGGCAGACTTGACGGATTCTCTGCAGCTCTCATTGTCTTGTCTGACGCATTTTTTGTCCTCATTCGGCTTGTGGGATTGGGAATGTTTTGACACCTTTATTGACACGCCTTCTAATCCACATTCAAACATGATGTAGCCAATAGGGCTGTCTTTTTGTGGTTCGGCTGTCCCATTCTGGCAGCACTAAAAGAAAAACATAACCACATTAACATAAATGCCTACATAAGCTTAGTTTATTTGTATGTGACGTTTATATTATAAAATTATAACGAACATTATAAAATTGTGCAAACAATTTATTAGGGATACAGAGAAGGACCAGAGAACCTCCACCAAGGAAAAACTCTACATTCATGCTAGCAAAGCTGGTTACCATAATTTTCTTTTGGAGCTATTCTTTTGGGAAGGGAGGGGGGGGGGGGGGGGTTGGGGGTTACCTACACCCTACCTAAGATAACACTTAACAGTACTAAAAAAAGCGGTAAGTATTTTTGTAGTGAGGCTGTGTCTAGACGGTAGGGTAGGCACTCTCACCGTAGATTCGCATCCTTTGGCGCATGTATCAACCCTTATGAATTTGAAGCATACTTTGGAGTGTTGACAGGGGATCCCAGTGATAGTCACGTCTTTTAGTTGAGAAGACTCGTTGCGTATGCGCCGCAGTTGACCGTGGACCTTTCCTACATGAAATAAACAACAGTCATGAATTATATTATAGTATAAAAACAATACAATTTCAGCTTAGATTGAATTAATTAAAACTGTAAAATTGCTTTTTTAAATCGATTATACTTAAATGTTTTGTACGTACCGACATTCAACGTTATAGTTGTATCTTCACACTGTTGTTGTGATGCCTCAATATAGACAGGCTCTCCTCGTTCTTGTCCACGTTTTCTCGAAGACTGAGCTGCAATCAGAGCCCTCGGACCTTTCATTATTCCAAAAGACTTCTTACTGCCCAGTGCTCTCAATGTCGGTCTATAATAAAGCTGGACAGACTCCAGATTTTTCCTCGAACTGACATATTTTGCTATAATGTTTTCGACTGACACTCCAAATAAGGATACACAAGTCAAATCCTGGATGTTGTCCAAAGCAGAGAAAGAGATCATGTCTTCCACAACTGAGGATTGTATGAATATCATGTTGACTTTAGGAATAGTGACAGTCGCTTGTAACTGTTCACAAATCGTTTCCTCGTAAACATTGGAATGTGGTATCGTGGCCAATTTGCATTTGTCGTCCTTGTCCGACACCAGGTTGGATTGACTTCGGGTTTGCATTTGCGGTAGCCAATTTTGTACGTACTGCTTCTGTTTCAGTACATTTGCACTTGATACGGTTGATATACAAAGCAAACGTAAGTGATTAATCACTGTTATCGGATGTATGTTGGCCAGAACAGGAGTTAGGGATTCGACAAATTTCTGTATACTTTCCAAGACTAGAGGTGTTAACATAATGTCTATTTCTCCCCGCAATTTGATAAATAGGCCGCTTTTGCTGTCGCTCGTGGTAGTAACTGTCGATGTGGTACTCTTCTCCGTTGTGTTCTCTTGGCTATCTTGCACTGTCTGCTGGATGTCCCACCAACCTTGAGGATACGGATGAGCTTTAACTTGAGAGTTAAAATGTGGTGGTAAGTTTGAGTACGGGCCATGCTGGTTCTGATTGTTGTGATCTTTCTTTGATACCAGTTTCAGTACGTTAATTTTACCGTGCGATTCGAAGCATGGAAGATACTTTTGGCCAACGTAAACTAACGTACCGTCATCCGCTCTTCTGAACAGAGGCAAAGTGAATACGTCACTGCCACTTGGGAGAGAACAAGTGTTCCAGTTTGAACATTTGTACTGAGGCAGGTTGTGCATGTAGCTGGCCATTAATAAAGGTGAGTCTACAATAGGCTTATTTGTCTGCATATGAAGGTTAACAAGCGTCATATCCTCTTGTGACGATATAGCTGATATAAAGGAGTTTGATGATACCGAGCCGCTTTCTGAATCAGGTTGAACTCCTGTACTTAAATTGCTTATCGTATCGGGTATTTCAATCGGTTCCGATTTAGGCAAAGAACTATTCCATTTTTCGTTAGATATATCGTTAATTCCAAAGGAACTTTTATCCTTATGGTTACTGTGCCGACTGCCGAAGGAATGTTTCAAACTCGAAGAACGGCTGGGGAACATATCTTCATCAGCCGAAAAGAAAGCTTCTGAATGATTCTCACTGGTAATTGACATTGTTCTTTGGACTTCTTGAGGAAGACCATCCTCAGGTGGAGGTTGTGAATTCAGTGAATAATGAGATTCAGATACAGCCACGCTCTTGGCAGGCACTTTTGGTACTACGAAGGTTTCGGCATCCGCTGGACCTGTCTTTTTACTCATGACGTTACCATTGTCTTTGGCCGCACAGCTTAGAGCTAGTTTCGAATCGGAAACACTACTCTCCATTTGTGGAACATTCAGTATGCCTTTATTAAGTTTAGAATCACTGTCGATTTTTGTACTTCCTAAAGGCACGCTGGCATCTACTAAGCGCGCGTAGGGCACGTCACTCTTTGTACTCGATACGAGTACATTATTACTTCCTTTACTCATGCTGGTATAAGAAAATCTTCTTGTAAGACTTCGACGTTCAGCGCTTAGAGGAGACTTATTTAAATTTTGTGGTAATGGAGAGGGTATTAGTGTAGACACATTTGTAGGCTGCAGGCATACGTTTAAACTGTTGTAGGGTGGAGTGTGGAAAACGAGCTGTCCAGAATGTAGTAAGCTTTGTCCATAGCCATATTCCCCTGGTGTCGTCTCTATTATATTAAATATGGCCACGTTAATTCCTTCATTAAGATCGCCTGAGCTCGGCTTCAGGAAATTGGGCCCATTTCTATTAGAACCAAAGAATGCACAGCCACCCGTACATCCACACTGGGAACTTTTTCCTTCACTTGGCCAAAGGAACCATATCCTTTTAGTCTTTTCATCGTGAAGTTTTAAGAACTTCTGTTGTACTAAGTGGAGATTTTTAGGCGTTTGTGGTAAGGATGAGGCAGCTTCAAGCAATAAAGGTCCTAACGTGACCGACCCGACACCGACCCAAGTCTCACTCTCTGGTTGTTTGGCTTGACTAGCGTTTGTATTGTTACTTCCATTTGAATGGTGGTGTGTGTTATTTTGCATATTCGTCTGAGTAAATAGAGATAACTTTATGTTAGGCAACAATCCAGTTAATCCTGTACCGAATCCTGAACCGTGTAAGTTGCAAAAACTAAGTCTTGCTGGCGATATCCACGTCTGTAGCGTTGTATTTGAATCCGCGAGATAAATATCAATGAGATCAATGGCAACTCGAATCATTTTGTACTTGATTTCGTTAGATGAAGGGCACCGATATTTTAAAGTACGATCAGTCTCACCGCACATAATACTATTTAGTCCATGGTGACATTGTTTCGCCGTGTTCGGCGGCACTAATTCGTTTTCACTGTCTCCTAATAATAGTAGGAATGTTTCTAATGATGATATTATTTGGTATAGTTGAGGTAACGTTAGACGTCCTGTTAACTGCCCTAGTTGAAGTTCCATCATCCAGGCGTATTCTACCGTCTCTTCTTCTACAGTGCGATTCATATCACTGAAGAAGCCGTTACCTCTCAGTTGGAATGACGAAAGCATTAAGTGGCCTTGATACAGTGCTCCCGAATTCATAGGGTTGGATCGCGACAAGTTGTTCGCAGATACTAATATTGATGGACTCAACAAAAGTTGTAATTTCGTTTCCCTAAAGGTTTTGTCCATTTCAAAACCAAATCGCTCGATCAATATGACCGGACAAGGTGGTTCATTTTCACTACAATTCTTCACAAGGTGGGCTTGAATATCGTGGATGATAATGGAAACAGTGACGTCTAAAGGTCTATACCGTCGAGGATCAAACGGTCCCTTGCTCGAATCCGTCGAATCATCAATCGATATGTCAGTATGTTGGTTGATACTGCTCTTATCATTGAGTTTTGTGCTCTCACTGGACCAATAAAACGATTCCATGTTTGGCGTCTTTTGCATGTCTGTGAATGTCTGGTCTTCACCAAAAATATTTTCTAGTAGGTTCAGGAAACTTGTAATAATAGTTCCATATGCTAAAAGGATTGAGGGTCCAACTTCTAGTTCTAAACTAACTTTATCAGGTGGTAAGGTGGTTCTATCGAATTTATTGCCATCTAAAGTCCAATTGATTTGAGGCTGTTTTCGCATCCTTGGTATTCTCATCGGTGAAAGAAGAATTTCTTCCTTTTCAGGAGTGGTTATATCTGCTTGTGGCTCAGGTCCTAATGGAGGGATTGGATGGTAATTGTATCTCACACTTAGAGCCACTATGGGAACAGACCAGCACTCTATCCAACCTTGTGACTTCACGCATTTTCTCCGCCATTTTGATGCTTTTAGTCTACAGGGGACTAGTTTCATGTTTTTATCAATAGATAGAAGTAGCAATCTCGATGTATGTACTTCAGGCAAGTAGAGGCTCATGTCAACAGCTTCACCTTGTACCCAGATCTTGAGTGGAATAACATCTGGCAAGAAATCGACAAAGGGCAAATCGAAGGACACATCGAGCAGATCACCACAAAACGCCACGTAATTATTTTCCTGATTAGTAGAACTACAGTCAATCCAGTTGAACTGGTTGCTTACAGTGACCACCTCGCATTCTTTAAGTAGAAGAGAAATTTTCCATGTGTAAGGTACAAAGTGTAATATATCAGGGCGGGCTTTTGAGGCCCAGTCATTTATGAGATCTTGGAAGAAATCTATGTGTGTGTAGACGAGATGTGTGGTTGCTTTGCAGCCTGTTAAACTTAGCTGCCAACATTGGTGATGGTTCCATACGAGAGGATAGTGGCATTTGACCGTGTACTCTAAAGTTTCACTCTCAGCTAAGCTTCGGTACTGAAGACTAGTTGTGGCTTCTAAATGCAGGAGCTGTCCAGTGATCTTTGTCGTATATCCATCTTGCAAGACAATCCAGGGCAGTGTCACTTCGAGATACGAACCAGCACCAATATTTATGTGTACAGCATTCGTTTCTTTATTTTTCGTAAATAAGATATCAATAGTTGCTTCATTTAAAGTTGAGAGTCTTATGTCAAAAGATTGTGTTTGTCGTCTATCGCCGGGTTTTGGTTGTGGAGTCACTTCTAAACTTTTAAAATTCGGTGGGAAGAAAAATTTAAAGAGGTGATCCCTTTGTCGATCAGCCCAGGGTCCATAACTGAAGTCCGTTCCTTTTCCGCATTTAATATCTACACCCCAGATTGGAGGAGCTGATTCGACTATATCGCCATTGGCTAACTGCAGTAAAACAGGCTGTTCTGGCACCAAACCGGGCTCATCCATATAGAAGTAGACTTCGATATAATTGGAGCTCATTATAACGAAGCCTTCTCCCATATATCTCGGTGGTTCATCAACCATTGACGTGTAATTAGGACTAGGGGCGAGCATTACTTTACAATTTTCCGCTTTGGCTTTGACGAAGTGCATTAAATGGTCTAGACTGGAAGCTGGTGGCTTTGTGCTATAGACTAAATGGGATTCCTCAATGCTGATCGAGAGTGTTGTTGGTACCAATCTGTTGCCAAAAACGACTCGTCCTGAGCAGATATCTATCTTTATAACAGGAATTAAGTCTCGCCATGTCCTCGCCATAGCTGCTTCTGATCTCACGGTGTCTTGCGCTCGTCTTCTCTTCTCGTTAGCATCATTCATGGCTTTGTCACGGTCCGCGCAGTCGTCGTCATTCTGTTGTTTGATAAGTGGCTCGAGGCCGAATATTTTTTCTAATTCATTGTACATGTCACATCGATTATAAAAGTGGAGCTCGAAGCCATTTAACATGATGGATAAACGAGTGTCGGAGTGTGATAAGTCTGTAAATTGATAAATTATTTTATTTAAGAACTTAAAGTAGACGTGAGAAGTGTAAATAACGGTTTAATAAATACAATTTTTTTTTTAATAAGTATTATGTCATCTGGCGGCCAGACCTAGCACCTTGCGTGATTATTGGTCGAATCAAATACGCTTCCTGTTACACATTTCCGTTGCTTTTTACAAAATCACTCCACAGATTGTAGGAATGCGATAGGAAAGACGCTACACATCAAAAACTCCTAATTGATAACGATTGCTTTCATTGAATTACTGCGTCTGGAGGACACGGTCGGTCACTACAACTGCATTCTGTATTTTTTTGGGGAAATATTTTACCGTTTCAGAATACAGATTGATGATTACCAACTATGCAACAAAAAATCGAACACCAGTGAAAGTAAAAATAGCTTTCGTTTTAAAAAAACATATTTTTATATAATGTGTGTTTGCTAAAATAAATATCGCTTTAAAGTGTATGAGAGATGTTTAAATTGGTTCAGTGTTCAATAATATCGTTTGCCACTTACGTTAACAAGTTATACGAACGAGTAATAATTTAATAATCAATCTCGATAAAACCAAGTCTATAAATTTTAGGCATAGACAGTCAACACAAAAAATAAATCTATTCAAATAAATAAAATTGGAGTGTCTGTTTGTAATATTAAAATAACCGGTTTTTACTAAATGCATATGTATGTTTACACGGTACATATGCCAAAATAACATTTTTTACAATTTTTGTCTGTCTGTCTGTTTGTTCCGGGTAATCTCTGGAACGGCTGGACCAATTTCGACGGGACTTTCACTGGCAGATAGCTGATGACATAAGGAGTAACTTAGGCTACTTTTTTTAGACTAGCTTCGCCCCGCGGCGTTGCCCGCGGTTATAACAACAAACGCGGGTAACACCGCGGGTCTCAGCTAGTATCAAATATAAAGAGCAAGTATAAAGAGTACGAAATTTCTAGGAATTTACGAAGACAATAAAATGTCAGCATACAGAACTAGTAAAAATTAAAAAGTTATTCGTCTGCCTTAAGAAATCTCATTAAAGTTGTCGACATTTAAACTGCCTTAACATCGTACCACGGATATGTATCGTCAACTCTTCGCTACGGTATTATAATGTGGGGTAACTCACCCAATGCAGACTGACATACATGAATACAGAAATTTTGACATAATATAATTATTAGAGTTATTATTTATTTTCATTTCTTTATTTTATATTATTTAACTTTAGAATCGTAATATTATTTAGAACAATGACACAACTAGATATTCTTTTGTTTCTATTATAATTATTGTTAATTTTTGCATGCTGTGACATTCAGTTATACGAAACTAGCTGTATCTGATCCATCTGTTTATTGTTTTAAAGTGTAATTCAATTTCAATTGCTTTAATATAAATAATATAAATTGAATTAAATTGAAAAGCCGCTCTAAGGAAAATATTTAAGTTAACTTGTTTGTTTTACTACAATAATTACTGTGTTACTCATGATTGTTTCCTTTCCCACAGTCCATGGCAATGAAATATATTAACAGCAAACAGCACGTAAGGTAATTACGTAAAATAGTTTATTATTAGTTTTAAATATTTAAATTTGTATTATATTGTGTCTATCTATACTAATATTATAAAGCTGAAGAGTTTGTTTGTTTGAACGCGCTAATCTCAGGCACTACTGGTCCGATTTGAAAAATTCTTTCAGTGTTAGATAGCCCATTTATCGAGGAAGGCTATAGGCTATATATCATCACGCTAAGACCAATAGGAGCGGAGCACCAATGAAGAATGTTTCAAAAACGGAGAAAATTTATTACTATTGAGAGACGCAGACGAAGTTGCGCGGGTCAGCTAGTTTAATAATATGTGAGGCAAATTACTGGTACCTTTTTAACAAATAAAGTTTTAGTATGGCATATGGGCAAGCGAGTGTCTACTGATTGTAAGTTACAACCGCCGCCCTTAAACATCTACAACTCCAGAGATAGAATTAGGGAATTAGAACTTCCTCCAGAATTAAGGAGAGTAGGGGGGCAAGCGGCGGTAGCTTAGTGATTAAGGCGTAGGACTTGCGATCAAGAGGTCGTGGGTTCGAATCCTGACCAGTACACTACCGACGTGAACCCACTCCTAACACAGGCGGTAGAGGTTAACGGGAATACTAGTAATTTCGGTTGCTAGTAAACCTTTATAAAAAAAGATTTTTGTAAATAAATAGATACGAACTAAACTATTTGTAACATTTCCATTTCACAATTTACAATCGAATTATTTCTTATTTTTATTCGATTTGCTTCTTAGACAAGTTTTTAATCGATCATTTATGTTATAATTATTAATATTTTATAATTATTATTGACCTCGATCGTTTATAAGTGTCCGTAAATGTATATAGGACACATTGAAGTTAGAGGGGTGGCGGCGGGGCACCAGGGATTTCCTTTCTACACCTGGTTCCCCGCCTACTGGTACCTGAGACGGCTTGCGGTTTTAGTCGGTTCGAGTCCGACATTGCCACCGGTAGGGGTGGCGGCGAGGACGCGCTGTAAATAATTCAAACCCAACCTGTGACAGTTATTTAATCTCATTACCACGATTACGACGATATTTATGCTAATATTGTGAAACCTTCTTAATGCTTGTTTCCACTCTACGCAAGTAGATACATGTCTAGACCGACCACTTACAAATAAAGAAGCCTGATCTGGAGTTGACAAGGTATTATACACTCGTACACCACGTCCGTGTGCTGACGGATTAAGAATACAGAGTGTCACCACCCCTATTCATCCCGTGGGTGTCGTAAGAATCGACTAAGGGAGCAAACTACGCACGACAACAGCAATGCAAAGAGAAGGAAAACTTGATACAAACCCTATACCAACCCGTCTCGCCAGCGTGGTATAGTAGGCCAAAACCTCCTTTCTAAGGAGAGGTCTGTGTCCCGCAGTGGACTATTTTAGATGATGATGATGACACCACGACAATATTTTTTAAGATATTTTATAAAAGAAATACTATATGGACGCTAATGGACAGTCATAAATTAGGCACTCGCAACTAATGTATGTTACTACTTGTATTCTAATACGGAATACTATAGGCTAATTTTAATTGTTTGATCTCTCAGTAGGTAAGCCTCGAGTATAACTTTTTTTTTTACGTGTGGAAACCAGCTCGGGCCGTCACCCCACCGGGGTTTGCGGCGGTGTGGTGTGTCGGAATCAGACTGACTAAAACCACGCGGTGTGCGAATCTGCGCCTGTAATAGGAGGGATCCGGGAACTGCTGATTAAGACATCCGGACCCCTCCTAGCACCTGCCCGCGACGGCGCGGGCACCACCTTCGGGTACATTCTCCATTTAGGCGACGCCCGGCACACGCGGACATCGCCCAGTCGCGGCTGGCCTTTATGGCGGGTGGAGGGAAAAACCCGTCTCGTCCACCCGCGGCCACACTCAGGGCGGCATGAGGCGGTAGTAGGCGCGCCCCCGCTGCCCGGTTCGACAGCGACGGATTGGGTCCGAGTGGACGTTGTCCTCCCGAATCCTCGAGTATAACCTGGTGCAAGCACGCTTGGCGTAAAGGGTTTCCCACTAAATTGTTGTTGGGAAATCGCGGCAAAACCAATAAAACTTAGTGTAAAGCGTGCGAAGTCTCGCACACCTTTATCTTCAATCCCAAGTGTTTTCATGTCGTTTGGTATGAGCATGGCAAAGTACACCAACACCTCCTTTCTAAGGAGAGGCCTATGTCCAGCAGTGGACCAGTGATGTTGATAACGTAGTACTATATACTGTCAGTATTTCTATTTAAACTTTCTCTACTACTGATTACAGAGACTGAGCCAAGGGGTGGGCAATCAGTCAGCTTAAAGTTAACATAAACTTAACAACACAACCAATCTGTGGAACGGGTTATCGTCTGCGGTATTTCCGGACCGATACGATCTTTAAACCTTCAAGAAAAGAGCGTACTCCTTCCTAAAAGGCCGGCAACGCGTTTGTGACTCCTGAGTTGCAGACGTTCATGGGCGGCGATGGTCACTTTCCATCAGGTGACCCGTCTGAACTCTGAATTACACGCTATTAAACAACGAAACTGAGCGTTAAGACCAAGTTTAACGAACTCAACAGTTGAGTGGCCGTTAAGTTAGTTATATAAAACAAATAAACTTAATTGCAACTTTAAGACGTAATTGCAAAAGGGTGATTATGCTTCGACTTCACCGCGAAGAGCTACCCTTTGAAATATGAATCACATTCATATAAATGAACCATGACGCTCTATTGCGACGAGAACGTGTTATCACGTTCACTAGATAACACATTTTTGTAGCAAATTAATGATAATGACAGGCTGATGTATTAACTTTTGTGTTTCATTATTTACAATTAATATGGGAATTAGGTGACGTTTCGACCAGGTTGTACTGGCCGTGGTCATTGGCTGTATCAGAAGACAGGACGTTAAGTAATGGGGTAGATGACTGTTAAGTCAAATCAGTAACTTTTTATTAAACGTCAAAAAATAGACTCTTTACAGGTGTCATTAAAAACAAAACTCATTTTTTTTTATCGATTTTTAAGTCGGTTAATAAGTAACCGACTTAAAAAGGAGTAGGGTTTTCACTAGGACTCTCCCGAGCCGCCAGGCCCGGGAACGGGCCAGGTACCGCAGGCGACTCAGGCGCCGGAGGTCGCAGAACGACATCCGTCCTCCATAAGCGCAGGCCTGGGGGTGACAGGTGAGGCCATCTGTCATCCTAGCAGAAGCAGGCCGGGGTGGCGGCGAGCGCGTTGCGAAGCGCGCTCGCTTCCAGGGAGCAGAGGGAACACGGGGTTCCCACACGGGGGGGTCGTCTACCTGTTTTTGTAGATGGCCCGAGGTATGTCGGGGCACCAGGGACTTCCTTTCTAGGGTATACCTGGTTCCCCGGCTATTAGTAATCGAGACGGTGTGCGGTTTTAGTCGGTTCGAGTCCAACATGCCACCGATAGATGGTATCCGAGGGGATTTCCGCACGGAAAAGAAAAAAAAAGAGGAGGTTTTCACTGTTTTATTTTTCATGTGAAATTGACCAATTGTTGACCAAGTGCATTCACCCATTATATATATTTCAGAGGTGTTATACCGTGGGAGAGCCATGCTACGGCACGAATGGGCCGGCTCGACCGGAGTGATACAACGGCCTCACAGAAAACCGGTGTTAAGAAATTCTTTCGTTGACTTTCCAAATCCCCCCTCCAAAGGAGGGACTCCAAGGGCGGCAACGCACTTGTGACTTGAGTTGCAGGTGTCCATGGGTGGCGGTAGTTGCTTACCATCAGGTGACCCGTCTGCTCGTTTGCCCCTTTATGTCATAAAAAAAAAACTCGAAACTGTCGAATATCGAAAACAATAATAAAAGTTGATTGAATGAGTAGCTATAATAATCCCTTATAAGTTTAATTACTTTTTTGTCACTGCGCTATCAATCGATAATAATGTAGAAGAAACGTCAAGTCATTTTCTATTTGTATTTTCCTTAAAATTTATGAATAACCGAAATTATCCGAAACGTCGGATAACGCGAAATAATTTATATCCGTAACTGTATCTGAAACGATATAATCATTATGATTACGATATATTCATATATATGAAAGACTAGCTGAGACCCGCGCTGTTACCCGCGTTTGTTGTTATAAGCGCGGGCAACGCCGCGGGGCGAAGCTAGTATAAAAAAAGTAGCCTAAGTTACGTTATGTCATCAGCTATCTGCCCGTGAAAGTCCCGTCGGAATCGGTACAGCCGTTCCAGAGATTACCCGGAACAAACACACAGACAAAAATTGTAAAAATGATATTTTGGCATATGTGTAAACATACATATGCATTTAGTAAAAAGCGGTTATTTTAATATTACAAACAGACTCCAATTTTATTTATTTGTATTGTATAGCCGCTCGTATGCCCCTGTCATGGCGCCCGCGGCGTCCAGAGTGCCCGCGACTCGCGAGCGAGACCGTCTAGATTGCCCCGGCACAAATACCGACCACCCGTAAAGTGCCCCACTGTTTTTTGCGTTATCGACGCGCGCGCCGTGTTCCACTTAATCGGTTCTTGTGACTAAAGTTTGTATTGAAAGGGTGTCAAGTGTTATATTTATTTAGTTGCCTATGAAATTAGCTAAACAATGTTATCTTTCTATTTACAGATTACGGCTCTGGTGTTGAGTTACACTGTGTTGAAATTGAGATAACGTCTTTTTAAGCTCGTGTTGCACTTCGAAGCTCATAGTTCAAAAATGAAAGCGATGACCTATGGTTTTTAATGTTTAATTATGTTGTTTAGATAGTAGTTAATATGTTATGAAATAAAACCATATACTCTCCCATACATATTTATTTATTTACAGGCCTCTAAATCCTTACCATTATCGGCCGCCACGCGGCATAATTTATGTAAGACTTAACAAGGCATATCGTACACAAATATCATTGTTAGGAATATAAATAAGGTATAACTATATAAGTAGTCTTATATTCTTTTATTACAATCAAAAACAATAGGGATAACATACACCACTTTTGAATAATATGAACATTTCTGAAACAGTTCCCATGCTCTCAGTAACATAACTTAGTTTTCCAGATGTTTTTTGTTCTACATACTAAACAAAACAAAAATAACATTAACATTGCCTTATAATACATTTAATAACCAATGTTTCATGCTAAAATGTTTTTATCTACAAGATAGTTATTTACATACCTATTAAAACTTTAAATTTCACCAACACACAAAATAATATCACAAAGAAATTCCAACACAGTCACTGCACGGAACGATTCGAAGACCGATGAAATGACAGAAGTTTTATGACGTATAATTCTTTTTTTTACTAGTGTTTGCATGCTCGACTGAGATTAATACCATAGAAAATATATCAGACTATAGAAAAAATATTACTAAAGAGCATTATGTCAATACAATTACTGTCAAATACTAATTAATCTGTGGCAGGAGCCATGTAGACTACCGGTCTACACGGGCACTTTACGGTTTTATTTTTGTAGACTACTAGTCTACACGGGCACTTTCCGTTTTTATTTTTGTAGACTGCTAGTCTACACGGGCACTTTAGGATTTCGTTTTTGTAGACCACTAGTCTACATGGGCATACTAGCGGATAGAAGACTGAAGAAATAAAAGATTACCGCATAAACATAGTTTTATGTCTATTATTATTTTTTGTCGCTTTTTTTTTACAACGATTAAAAACTATAATACTCGATGATTGACGTCAACAAAACCATATTAAAACTATACGAGTATGTATAGTGACTATTTACAATTACACTTACCTTCAGAAACGTCTTTGGGTACGTAAGAGCGCCACCATCTGAATATCAAATACCCGTCCTGTATTCGAAGTGTGTAGTCACAGTTGATGTACACTATGTCGCGGAACATTATCTTACCGGATAGAGCATTTAATGTAAAAGAACCTGTGAAAGAAGGATAACAATTGAAGAAACAACATAGGCCTTTGTACCATATACCTGGTTCCCCGGCTATTGGTACCCGAGACGGCGTGCGGTTTTAGTCGGTTCGAGTCCGACATGCCACCGACAGGTGGTATCCGAGGGGATTTCCGCACGGAAAAAAAGAAAAAAAAAAAAAAAAAAAAAACAGTTTGATTTCCTACCGTTGTGACTAGATGCTTTTGTGGCATGGTTTACTTGTAGTAGCATACCTGTATTGCAGATAGGGCCAGTTTCACTCTGCAACTGTGTAGGTATGAAACTACAAGTACTTTTGTAATAAGATTGGTTAATTAATAAATTGAATGTATTTATGAAATTATATTGAATTGATTTTATTTATTCATTTTACTAAGTTTCTAATTTGTTATTGTCATTATTAAAAAAGAAATGTTATTATAATTATTTCTCTAATTTAAGATTTATTCTATTTTTAAACTGTAACCGTCATGATATTCTAAGCATGCGGTGTTAACCTTTAATGAATTGTTACACTTATGTTAGCAATAAGTTTGTAAATAAATTGTAAGGTGCAGTGTAAATAAAAATAAATAAATACAAGTATCAGACGGCGAATAGAGGTCGGACTAAATCAGTGGGCAGCCGCGCGTCAGCCGAGTCATAGGTTAGTTCGATCACACACTCTATTTGAGGTAAATGTATATGACATCATATTTTTCTTTACTGTATTCAAAAGAATAGAATTCCGAGCCCAACTTTTTCGAAAAGAAAATAGTAAAGTGGCAAATTGTAGGTGAACGCTGTGCGAACAGAATTACACTTTATTGCGTAGGAATAAGTCTCGCAATTTGATGATTTTACACTGTGGAATTACTGTACTAGTAATATTAAGTATTAAGTGAGAGTGTAGAGCAAAAAAGTTAGGTCGTTTCAAGGGGATATGTTGTGATTACTCTCAAGTTCATAGTAAGAATGCATGTCCATGCGTGAAGGTTCCTAGGTTTTTTTTTTTATTTAAAATAGACAACTCTAACATTATGAATATAGCCTGTGTCGCAAGGGACTTTACAAACATACATGAAACCAGACTCAGTACAACAATGTGTGGATCACACAAAGTGTTGTCGCATGTGGGGGTTGGAACCACAACGCTCAGCGTAGTAGTAGGCGACGAGGTGACCGTTTAAACCACTACACCATCCATGCAGTCATAGACTTTCATTTTAACTGTGGCAAATGAAGGAAAATAGACATTTTTGTTCTCTGCAGCCAGATATAAACATGATTTCTAACTTAAACAATATTTTTCCTCTTCTAGATAGTAACACGGATTCTACAGTAACGAGACTATGATATTTTGCTAGTTATGCCTTTAGTATTGGTTAACTAAACACATTAAATATCTCAAACTCTTTTTATTACACTCTTAAAAACAATTTAAAGAAAAAAATTACAACTAAAATATTTGAATGTTAATTTTCACAAAATATACATTATAAATACTGTCTGCGATTTTATTCTTAAGTGCATTATTTTTTAAATTTATGTGTTATGTGTTCAGTATAAATAACAATTTCATCTATTTACTAAAATATAATATCTGGGAAAGTTCTTTTCTTTCTTTGTTTCTTTTTTTTTAATGAAACAGACACAAAGAACACCCAGACTCAGAACAACAATCACAAAACAACAACAAACAAACCGATTTCAATAAAAGAATAATGTTTCTTCTTTCGAAACTCGTAATTAATCTCATAAACTCTTTTGATGGATAAGAAAAAATTAATGTATTTCACTCACTTTTGTACTGATATGATTTTTTTGTTAATAAAAGAGCCTACTGTAGTTGCTATAAACATTGTAGAAATTATAAACAGAGGATGTCATAGTGAAACGACACAAGACTAGTGATCGCCCAAGAATAAACAAATAATTTTAAGGGTGTATTTTATTATATACATATTTTATTACTTTTATTTAATATTGTTTACATTGTCTGGAAGTGAACACTAAATATTGAATCGGATTCTTATCCATCAAAAGAGATTTTATTTATGAGTTTCGAAAGAAGAACATTTTTCTATTATCGAAACAAGTTTCGAAAGAAGAAATATGATTCTTATAACAAAACTAGTTTTGAAAGAAGAAATATTATGCTTTTTTCGAAACCTGGTTTCATAGGTGACCGAAAAGCATATTATAGATGACTGAAAACCTAGACACAGAACCAATGACCGCACTGATCCCACCATTATTTGTCCTGGGTGGGAATCAACTGACCACTAGTCCAGCTAGGCCAGTCAGAATTTAAGTCATAGCCTCTGATTTCTCATATATTTCATTCAATAGGATATATGTATTAATTTTAAAAATAAAACATATTTTTGTATTTCTTATCTTTCACATGTATTGATAACAATGTCTGGTTTGGTCACCCATGTCAAAATTGCTTACATTTTTTTATCAATACATGATAATCTACAACATGATAAAATGTTATTAATAACTTAAGAAGTAACAATTATGTATGTGATTTTTTAAATCATAGAATTTGTATTATTGTATTCAAACAGAATGTATAAGTATTGTTGTGTGTACAAGGATACTGTTGCTTCTGTGACATTAAGATTACATCTTCATGGCCAAGAAATGACCATGACAGTGACCTAACTAAACATTAAATTATAGAAAACAAATAGGTCACTCACCAATTTTGAAATTGTCATCCTGGAAGTAAAATTTGTTGACCAGCCTCGTCAGTATGTATCCCAAGACACGACTGTTGTAATAAGTTATGTAAACTATCCATAGTATCGCAGATATAAGGGAGACAAGTAGGAGGGCAAAGTTTCTATCCATTGTTATTTCAGCGAAGTCTATCGACGACGAATTCCATCTTTGCGCCACCGGATCATCCATTAACCCGGTGAAGTTCGCCCTAAATACAATAATAACACAATTGAAACACTCAAACAACGATTTAACATCACCATTGAACTTAATAAACGAAAATAAACACAAGTCAATCACAAAGCTACGTAGAAGGCGTTCACTTACATTGTGATTTCTTAAATACGACACTGAGACCTCTCACATTTTATACAACTAAACTGCCTTAAAAAATAATATACCATACACATTTCTAATTGTATTATTCTATTTTTTCTTATCGTAATCATAAATCACTGCCCATTCGTGGTTCCGAACTTTGACAGATACAAATACGTTCCGTTATATCACACATTTTCTGCATTCAAATAATTCATAGATGGAAATAGAACTACATAAGTATTAAATATCAGCGCTTTGGAGTACAATATTATTTAGTTGTTTTATTTGGTAATTACAAGTTATTATATAAAAATGCACCAAGTTTGGCACAAATAGCAGCAAAAAATGTATCAGGTGACTGACTGTCAATTACAGTATAACATTAAATAATTGTAAAATAACAGTTGCTAGGTGACCATTTAGTTATAGCGCAATATTTGTGTTTACCTTGTAGATTTAATTTTCTGTATGATAATAATACTAAAATAAATTATGACAGAAACAGTAGAGGACAATCCTGAACAGCCGAAATATAAGCCTAAAGCCGGGTGAGATTAATGCTTTAATTGGCTTATCAATTTTAGTAGTAAACATTTTGTACAGTGGACCACTTCAGAACACAAGAGTTAAACTTTAAAAAATCAGTTGATCTCAATGATTTTTCATGAGCATTTTGGTTGCAAAGAGAGACCTACACAAAATATGTGATGTCACAACTTTCTTTATAAATATGACAAAGACAAAGGTTTAAAAAGTTCCAGAATTTGAAAGAAATGTAAAATAATTTTATTTTAAACTTTACGCTAATGTGCGTGAGTACAACGGAACATTCATACTTGCTCGACTGTGACTCATGTTTTGAAAAGAGTTAGGTATTACTAATTAAAACAAGTATCAACCTCTTTGTCTTGTTATCGGACTTAGGAATGCAAATTAAGTAACATAAGAAAAATAATAGAATAGTAATTAAGTGAATATTAATCTCAAATGACATTATTTAAACTACAAACTTAATTCCTACACCAACTTTTACATACCCACTGGCTCTCCGAATTCCTGCATTTGTGTCACAACTCTGTTATATTGTTCCAGCTATAAGTTATAAGGAAATTGAAGTCCATTTTATCCAAAACATTCAAAAGCAGTCTCGCTGCCATGATTACTATTTCCTCTTGAACGAATTTCTGCTCTGTTTAGCTCCGACTTTCATAAGCGTTACTGTAATAGAATTGAATAAATTATTTTCGTTTTCATTTTAGTGAATCTGTAGTAAAATGCTTCATGAAGTAAATAGCAACAGTGCTATTAGCTTTCATTGATAGACGTAAAAGGTGCAAAGTCCATAAAATATAGAAAGTTAGTGCACAACAGGTTTCTGCTAGAATTGGAGCCGTCCCATAAACACATTACTGTACAGTTACAATTAGCTTAGGGGCGTATCCAGCTTTTTATTTAGAGGGGAGGGGAGTAATATTTTTTGTGTAGTTCCTGACTAAACCGAAACCAGTAGGCCAAAACCTCCTTTATAAGAAGAGGCTTATGTTCAGCAGTGGACAAATTAAGGCTGTTCATGATGATGATTGATGACACCGAAACCTGACTGAGGTATGTTTCTACCCGGGACCGGGATTTAGGCTCTGGATTAAAGGACGGCAACGTACTGATATAATAATAATCTTGAGTTGTAGATGTACATGAGCTGTGGTAGTCACTTACCATCAAAAAACCGGTCCGCTCGTTTGCCCCCTATGCCATTAAAAAAAATGGTAGTATTAAAGCAAAGTTAACCGCCCTTAGAGACAAAACTGTGGCTTATTTTTAATTATGGAACCCTCCATTATTTCGGTTTTAAAGGGTTGTTATCGTTTTAAACGGATTGGTTTAATTGGTTTTAAACCGGCCTTACATCTATACCTCTACTCTACATATTTTATGAAAGACATAATTTTTTACTGCACAGATGGCTTAAACCACTTAAGCGGTCCAACCACGCCGTTGAGTTGAATACTACGTTGAGTGTTGTGGGTCCGATCCCCACATGAGACGACACTTTGAATGATCCACAAATTGTTGTTCTGAGTCTGGGTGTTCTTTGTGTTCTTTTTATGTATGTTTGTAAAGTCCCCGAGACACAGGATATATTAACAACTCCGTGTAGTCGAAAGTCGTAGTAGTCGTGTAGTTTGTTGAAATTAATAGAAATTTCGTGTTTTTTTGAAAAGTAAAAACAACACAAATACTTTGAAACTCCGTCATTTTTTTATGACATAAAGGCCAAACAACTACCTTATTACCTGACGATATTAAGTGACTACTGTTGGCTATAACTGCAGCTCAAGAGTTAAGTACAAGGGAATTGCTGGCCTTTGAGGTTATATGTTCTTTTAATGAAGGGTTGAAGATCTTTTGTGAATCGATTAGGGAAGTTCTTTGTATTTCGGAATTTATGCTTTCCATTTAAAACTACAATTTATAAAATTAGGAAATGAAGAAGAACAGTTTATTAAAATTCGTTATGGATTCCATTGAGAACAGTGACCCTTTATTAACATTTAATTATTTGTGTAAATACCTAATTGTCTTTTATGATTTCAGTTGGACGATCCCGCACCGGCTTGATTTAATGACGTTCATTGGCAAGGAGGTGTTTGTTGTAGCCAATGACGTTTATATTATATTTCTTAACCTAAAAACTGCCCAGGAGATAGTGTATACGGCTGACAGTGCTGAGAAAGGTGATGGCGTCGACGCGGTTTGTGGTAATTAAATCTATTTCTGCATATCCGAGCTGATTAATAAATGTCACTGCAGGGATGGCGTAGTGGTTTAAGTGATCACCTCGCCGCTTTCTACTACGCTGAGTGTTGTGGGCTCGATCCCCACATTGGACAACACTTTGCGTGATCCAAAAATTGTTGTTCTGAGTCTGGGTGTTCTTTGTGTCCGTTTCTTTGTTGTTGTACAAATATCCCCGTAATAGCGTATTGCTTGGAATCTTTATGTTACCCCAGGACAAAGAATCTGTTTTGTGATGTTAACAATAAATAGTAGACGCAATTTCTTTTTTATTATTCAAAATTAACAAATAATCACGGGATGCTTTGCCGTAAAATTGTACATCTTGGCGTACCCTGGTCAAAATTAGTTTAACGCGTTTTTTCTTTGAGGTAAAACACAGTGACCTATATTTTGTGCTAATTGGTCTCACCGATTTTACGAGTAGATCATTTGCCGTCTTTGGGTGTAATAGTATTTTTACACTTAAACCTGGTAGTGGCTCTTCGAGGGTTACGTAGAAGTAACCAATGTCATGGCAAGCCTATCACTCAATTTCTCAAGCCCGGGAAATCGACGCGTTCGTTTCTCGTGCACGCTTCGCGGCGGCGAGCAAGGATTTGCTTTAATCTTAGTTGAATAAGGCTTTTTAATCTTAGTGAAATAAGGCTTAGTTTAGCTTAGTACATTATCCGGTTCGTCTATCTCCCCTTGGCAGTAGACGTGGGGAACACGAACAAAATATATCACATGATCAGAACGTAAATAAATAAAAATGACTGGTAAAACTTTCAGGGCACCGGTTGAATATTTTTGCGTTTGCTGAAAAGGTGAAACATGCAAGAATATTCATTTTGAGTTTTCCAAAATTCAATGTCATGGCAAAATTGCATGGTAAGGTCTTTTAACATTGTACTATTCTAATCTATCTGTTTTTATGGTGATTATTTTGACGAGCCTGCTAGTCTGAACTGCTTAGCGACCCTTGCAGAGCCAGTGGCCGTGGGTTCGTTTCCCATCCAGCTCAAATCATTGTGTGTAAACAAATGATTACGATCATTTGTCCTGTGCCTGGATGTTATGTATCTAGAATATGCATGTATTTAGTTGTATAAAAGTATGTTTATCAGCAGTCTGGTTACTATAGAACAAAATTGGTGTCTTAAGTCTTTAATAATATTGTGAACATTATATTAATAATAATAATAACCTCACACATCTCACACACGGCTGTCTGATCCCAAACTGGGCAGAGCCTGTGCTACGGTAACCAGACTGCTTATAAACATACTTATAAATTTCTAAATGCATATATATTATAGATAAATTACACCCAGACACAGAACAAACGATCGTGCTCATTACACAGATATTTGTTCTGGGTGGGAATCGAACCCACGACCTCCGGTTTAGCAGTCAGGGTCTCTAACCACTAGACCAAAAGGCCCATCCAGGCAGGTTATTGTGAATATAAAATCATTTATTTTTAGTTTATTTTTAAAGATTATGAGTGTAGTTAGTTCACTTCTAGGAGCGACCTCGCGAGAGTACCCTCTTGTCCGTTGCGTGACCGCGTTTCCTCCGCGTTGAGACATCCTTTGCCAAAAGGGCTGTCTGTCATATGATTGTCTGGTTGCTAGCTATTGCAAGCTGCTTCGCTCGCTTGGTTTTATCTTATTTGGTGTTTCTAACTTTGAAACTGACGAACTTAGAGGCGAAATATCCAAAAATCCTTTCTTTTTAATAAATATATTTCTAACTTGTTCGGTCCCACGTCATATAATAGTTTTAAGTATGAACAGTGTCCGATAAGTCGGTTGTTGTTAATCTTACAAATTTAAAATAGTGTCTATGTTCTTCCATAGACAAGGAAGTGAACAGATACAAAGGCTTATGTATGATGGAGGGGGAGTTGATAGCGGGCTTCACTGGCTTCCCCAATTACATCTGCACCATATGGAGCTGGCGAACTAATCAGCGGTTGGTCCGCGTGTCAACTGGCGTGATCAGGCGAAAGCAGATTTACATGTAAGAGAAATGATACTGGGAACTAATGACTGTAAAGTAAGAGACAGCTGACTCAGCTGAGCTCATGAAAAGCGAGACCAAAACTTTAATTAAAAAAAAAATTAAAGTTAACATGAAAACTTAAAAATTTCAGAAAAGATGTGGCAGCGAGGTGTATGTCAATGTCTGGTTTGCTTAATATAAAATAATTAATATCAATTTTTCTTTTAAGTACTTATTTTACTTATCAATTTAGTAGAAACAAAAATCCACGAGGTCGCGCATATAGACAAATAGAATCGATCTGGTACTTTAAGAAACAATACAGGGATAACAAGGCATAATTATACTAACTATTACTTTGTTTTCTATTTTTTTTAAATGAGGGTAAAAGCTTCTATAAATTCGGGGACACAGCCATGTTTATATAATAATAATAATAACTTTATTTCCATAACACAGTCACACAGTCACACAATCACAACAATTATTGTTGGAGACTCCTTTTAAGCATGTAAGATGCTTGTGCCAGTAGTCTCCGCTTATCTCTGCTCTTATATATGTGTATATTACGTGATCCGATTTGCCTTAATAGTCAAATCAATTTTTTTAACGGTATAGGGTTTTAAACGAGCGTGCGGGTCCTGATAGTAAGTGACTACCGCCGCCAAGGACATCTGCAACTGCAACAAGAGTCACAAATTTTGACTGGCCTGTTGGTCTAGTGGTTTGTAACCCTGACTGTTAAGCTAGAGGTCGTGGGTTCGATCCCCACATGGGACAAATATTGTGTGATGAGCACGTTCATTTGTTCTGTGTCTGGGTGTAATTTATCTATAATATATACGTTTTAAATATGTATATATAAGTATGTTTATAAGCAGTCCAGTCTACCAGTACGTACCATAGCACAGGCTCTGACTAGCTTGGGATCAGACGGTCGTGTGTGAGATGTGTGAGGTATATTATTATATTACTCAGGAGTCACAAGTGCGTTACCGCCCTGCGAGAATCAAGGGGAGAATAGGATTTGGGCTCTGGTATGCTTACTGACTCGTTAAAAACTAACAAAGGAATGACTTCATACCGGTTGTTATTTGTTAGATTTGGTCGAGAATATTTTAACTTTTTAAAAGCGTGTTTAATTTCACAGGGCAAGTCGCATGCATATGACTGTCTGCCAATGCTGGGGAGAAGGTTTGATTGTATGGGAGGTAGGGCAGTGCTACAAGAAGTGTTTCTTACTACGCCGAGCGAAGGAGGAGGTCACCGGCTGGGAAATCTCTGAGCCAACGCTCGTAGACGTGTGTTGGTGCAACGATGGAACCCTGTACGCTATTGATTCCCTGGCTAACCTGTATTATGTAAGTTCTTTACAAAGTTGTGACACAGAAACGTTTCAAAACATTTTTTTTATGTTAATAATAAGAATAACCTCACACGTCTTACATACGGCCATCTGATCCAAACTAGACAGAACTTTTATTATGGTAACTGTAGTTAACTCTACTGCTCACAAACATATTTATATATATTTCTAAATACATACCTACGTATTAAAGATAAATTACTCCCAGACACAGAACATATAATTGATTTAATTGAATATTATAATAACTATATACTATAGATACTTATATTTTGAAATATTTTTTTCTGAGAATACGCTTGGCATACTATATATGCTTTGGTAAACCTCCTTTGTTGGTTGCAACTCTAACGTGCTATATTATGGCGTGCTTTGTAGTTGATTTTGTTTAATATACTCGTAATTAGAACGAGTTCTTTTCCAAATTACTTAAATACCAATCTCACTACCTATTCCCGACTGTGAAATACCGCCATTTTCCACAAGGCTGATATACAGCTCCTAAATTCATAAGCTACTAATACAGGTTCGCTGGTTTTCCGAATTCCAAATTATTTAACTTTTTGCAGATAGTGTCAGACGGCATTGCCATGGTTGCTAATTTGGAGTTTGAGATGATATCCTACGGGAAAAATCGACCTCACATGTGCGCTTTCGGCAACGGCCTACTTGTTTATGGACCTGATAAGAATATCAGAGTGAGTTGGTTTAATGAAATCAGTAAGACAAAAGTTTTGTAGCGTTTTGTTTAATAATTTTAAAGGTACATTGGTTCGTGAAGTTCGAACTCTCCTTGATTTCGGGTATCTATCTTCGTCATTTGCGTATTTGATCCATGTCATGGGAGAGCCATGGGAGAGGCAAGTATGAGCGTATGAGCCTCACATTTCTGTGAGGATCCCTCAGGAACTCAAGAGAATAAAAGTAGAGGGAGACTACAAATAATAATAATAATATTTTCACACATTCCAAACACGGCCGTCTCATCGTCTGAAGTCGGTGCGGATCGCTAGTACCATATAAAATAGATTATTTTAAAATGAATTATACGACATAAAATTTGTCCTGTTTTGTTCTGCTTTAAACTGCGTTACCTAAACATTTTTATTTTATTTGTGATGCCCTTCAGTCTTTGAAGAAAGATGACGAACATAAAAGCTGGAAGGTGGTATGGATGTACGAGGTACAAGACGTAGTGGAGCGATTGGTGAGCAACTGCACCTGTGACACAGCCGTCGTATGGACCCGTCTGGGTTTCGTTTACAAGATCACGGGTGATTCCGAGGAGAAGATTGACATCCACTTGTTTACTTTTAAAATGAGGTAGTAAGTTTCTCAGATCAAGCATGATTCCAATCTTGTTGATTCTCTTTCTGGCCCAGCTGTGGAAAATGCACTGTTGGAGATGTCCTAACTTTTTCAACCGCCAATTTAGTTGCTTAAACTTCTGCTTTCGTTTGACTTAAATTTGACATTTTATTCTTTCATGCCTGCATTTTTTACACACAGATACGTACACACACACGCGCGCAAACACACGCAACCATGTTCACTCATTTACACGCACGTAAGTGCATGCACGCACGCACGCACGTGATAAGAAATGGACATCCGGCTAGAACTGGTTAGATGAGATGCCGGCTCCATCTTCTGCTAGTTTGGCATACACATAAAAATATTTATGCTGAAAACTATATTCATAAACGTATTTAGATTTTTTCAATCTAATGCAGGCAAATCTAATGCAAGTTCCAGTTGATCATAAACGGTTAACGCCACTGTTAAACACTAGCAATGCCAATAGTGTAAAGTTCGGTGCTAAAATTAGTTTATCGTCACCTGGTTCTCTTTCTTCCACTTTATAACAGTCGCCTATTTGATGAATTGGACTACACGGATGGCGTAGTGGTTTAAGCGATCACCTCGCCGATTGCTACCATGCCGAGTGTTGTGGGTCCGATCCCCACATGGGACAACACTTCGTGTGATGTACAAATTGTTGTTCTGAGTCTGCGTGTTCTTTGTGTCCGTTTCTATGTATGTTTATAAGTCCCCCGCGACACAAGATATATTCTTAGTGCGGGTGTTGTCTTTAAAAAAAAAACTTCGTTCACAAATTCCCTAAATATTGTATTTTACAGATACATAACAAAAATCCAACTGCTCGCCCCTGACTACAAGTATTTGGCAGCGATGAACGAATTTGGTACACTGGCGATATATGATGTGTATACTACTGAACTTGTAAGTATTTCGCATTCACTCATATACTTACGCTAACATCCACGAAGAGATAAGCAGATGTGTAGTAGAATAGTCAAATTTGCCTATTATTTTATAATTTGAATGCCACCTACTGACGGATTAAGAATTCGGAGTGTCACCACCCCTATTCATTCCGTGGGGTGTCGTAAAAGTTGACTAAGGGACAAAAGCACTGCAAAGAGAATAAAAACTTGACACAAACCCTATACCAAGCCTTCTGGCCAGCGTGGTATAGGTGACCAAAATCTCCTTTCTAAAGGGAAGCCTATGTCCAGCAGTGGACAATTAAAGGCTGATGATGTGATGATGCAACTTAAGTAGCAGCGGGCAACCCTATTGCGGCAAACCGAGCTCTTTAAGGATTAGTTGAGAAGATTGTGAGTATTTTGAAAGCTAGATAAATAAGAGCAATGGTAGGAAATGGGTATTGCTTACACAATATATGCACTGGGGAATGTAGTTACAGTCCGAGCAGGTCAAGACCTCATATTTGTAAATTTAATTGACTAATGGTAGTTGATAAACCCAAGGTAGAAAAAAAATTGTTTGTTAGAATTCATATATTCCATTGTTATGTTGTGTCCCGCTTTATGGTTGCTGCTCTTTGTTTAAAGTTCCTTACACATTGTTAAGTCTTTTAAAAACTTCCTCAAAATTTGGGCTCTCGAAAGCTTATAAATAAATTTACGCAGATAGCCATACTAGGTCATCAACACACACAACAGATAGAGTGGCTCTGATAATTTCTGAGGACTTTGTCCATTCCAGCTCCTCATGAGGCACGTGATAGGCAACGATATATCTTTCGTGGTGAGCCCCACTGAAATGCTTATATTGATATTTGGAGAAGTGGGGGGCAACTATGGCATGGCACTGTACACGTACAAGCCTACGGATACATTGGAGCAAGTGGCCAGAATGTGCCTAACGCACCAGATCGTGTCAAGAGTTACCTTCTCTGCTACGGGGAGAGAAATCGTAGCGGGGGCTATGTCCGCTGGGCATATCTTCATCATTAAGGTAAAATTATTTGTTTTTTTTTTCAAAATAATGGCGTGGACGACTGTGAGTATCTTCGTGTGTGCCGTAACAACGTACGACACGACCCGACATACGGTCTTCATGTATCATTTACTTTTAATATTGCTAACCTAAGAAGAATGATTGAAATAAGGGCGTATGACAATTGGGTTGATTCCTAGGTTTAAACTAAATTATTTCGCCTGCATTATTAAATGTAACATCTTAAAGTACAACCTGAAGTGTCATTCATTATTAATTTAATATTTTTATTAATTTGATATATTCAAATCAACATTAAATATAAATGATTTGACAATAGTATTTCGTATGTTATTTGATATGACGTCACGAAATAGTATTTCATACAAAAAATTACAGCAGCTATCGTTATGAGATGTTTATTGACTTATCTTCAGGAAAATGCAAAATTTTGAGATTAGGTGACAATCTAAATAACTGAACCTTTTACGAATTACTTTGTCATGGGAACAGTGGTCTTGCACCAGGTTAGATAATGGGATGTAATACTCGCCGTACTTTGCAACAGTCGTGTACTAGTTTTCTTGTGTTTTTGAACGGTGAAGCAAAACGTTGTATACTTACACAATTACGATAGAAGAACTAGCATTTATTTATGAGAGTTCTTTACAAAAATCGCCAATACTAGTGAGATTTGCATATCCTGTTTCCTGACTAAACTGTGTCTGTCTGCTGTTTGACAAATTTTATTATATAATACACTTAAATCTGACAATGATTTGTTGCTGTCCCGACCGCTATTTGACTCGGCCCTTATTACATTCATAGTAAGAAGAAACCTACACGGAGCTTAAAAATCCGTTTTAATATTGAGCTTCTATAAATTAGTATGATTTTGGTTTCCATGAACAGCTTTCTGAAGACTACAAGTTGACCCTGGTCAGGTACACCGAGATCGGTCGAGGTCTCGCTGATCTCTTTCTCATGAAGGTCGGTGATGCCGTGAGATGTTTTTCACTCGTACTGTTCTCTGACAAATACGCCATAGGTAAGTAACAAATCATAGTAAATTAAGTTATAAGGATAGATACAGCAGTGGCTTGCAATGGCCTAATAGATTCATTGATTTTTGATGGGTAACGTGTTTCCTTTTGCTTTCCTGCAATCTAAGTCATTTCGTGAAAAGCTAGAATCGGATTAATTTTCTGCGCAGGGGAGCGAGTAGTCTGCATAAATGCCGAAACAGGGAAGGAGAATAAATTCGCTGGCAAAATGCAGGGTCCTTATGCTCAGTTCATGCCTTGCGAAACTAAAGACACTCTGATAGCAGTACCTCATCTCAGCAGACAATTACACGTATTGAAACTATCAGGAGACGTAAGTACTTAATTTACTGCTAGTCATACTTGAGTGTGGCTATACTAAAGATTTATTTACGTGCGTGTGTCGTATTTTAGTTTTACTTACGAGTTTTGGTCCCATTTTCAGTCCTTTTTTTTAAACTAGTTTCCTGTGAGGCCGTACTATCAGTGCACATGTGGATGACTATCCCATGGTAGTTGTAATAATATTTTTTATAATTTAGAAAGGGGTAACAGTTGCAGTGAAGATGGGTCCAATTATTGACACAGGACATCAAATGAAGCATTACGAGACCTTTAACAATAAGAGCGCATTTCTGACATTCGGCTACGAGGGCCATGTTATACTCAGGAAGCCTCATGTTCCAGAAGAATATGGTGAGTTCATCATCATCATCAGAATTTACTAGTCAACTGATGGACATGCATGCGAGCACTTACGACACCCATAGGATAAATACGGGCGTTGACACTCTGTATTGTTAATCCGTCACCACACGGACATGGTGAGTTACCTTTACTAATTTACTAAGGATCAAGCATGACTCAGTCCCATTCTGTTATGTTCCATGTCGCAGGACATGAGCTTTAATTTTGCTTTGATGACTTCCAATATGATGGGTATTTTAATAAGAATATTAGTATAAAGGTACCCAAACAGCTTTTGTTCTATAGTAGTATGTATGTTTCAAAAACTAGACTATGAAGAGACTGAAAAACTCATGAACAGTATTGAATTGAATAATAGTTGCAATAGTTGCAAATAGGACCACATTATAGTCAAGCACATGCACAGACTAGATTGATTTTATATTGTATAGCTTACATACAATATATAATAGTAAGGCTTAATGTGAAATTGGGGAGTTGGCGCTGATAGTCGAAATACAGGCTTCGCCTAGTTCGACTTCAGATGCTTGATACTTTTAATTTTAAGACATATTAATATGGATGTTTAAAGATGTAACCTGTAAGTTTGTGTGTGTAAATTTATAAATAAAAAAAAAAGTAGTTGTATAGAGTTTGAAAAACGTGAAGACCATATTCCACCAATGGATTTGTGTTAAAAAAAATCAAAGATTAATAATGTAGATCTTGGCGGTTAATTTTTTGATCAATTTCTTCTTTACCCCTTCTACTCTAACACAGGCCGACTCCAAAGGTTTTTGGTACGCTGAATCTGAGGTCCAAATTACCCAATTGGCTCTGGTTTCTGAAATATCCTAACCTAAACGTGCAAATATAGCTGTTTTTGGCCATTTTTGAGGTTATGTAGCATCGTAATACAATATTCCTCTCCAAAACTGTTAAAAGCATCTTAAAGTATAAGCCTGTGTGTATGTGATGACGATGATGATGAAGAGAGAATTGAGTTTGCTCAGGTTGCTGGGGTACGGGATTATCGGGTTTGGATTGTGAGGTTTAAGGTTGTTAAGTTTAGGTTTTATGCGTTTTTGATTTGTGAACATGGATTCTCTCTTTTAATATAAAAGCATATGGTTTGTAGGATTTTAAAACTAAGAAACTTTAAAATGTGACATCTCTGCAAAAAAAAACGATATCTGAGCAAACTCAATGCGATTTAAAAGGTTAAGGCCTATACCATAGGAATATAAGAAATGGACCAAAACATTGACCGGCAAGATCCACATTATTAATCTTTGTCATTTTTTTAAATTCTAGGGATAAAATAAAATCACAATCACATGTGATGTTTCATATGATTTATAAATCATATCACAACTGTGACTGATATACAGAACATCTGCTACTTAATTATTATTATTACGCTAGCGAAAGACTGGTAGAAATTCTAAATCTAAGAAAAGGTCGTAGTCTTTGATAAAGAAAAAAGACTTCATTGATTTTAATACCATTTTTCTGTCAGGAAATCACAATCACATGTGAAATCGCTGTGACTAAAATCGATCATTTCACCAAATGAGTATGATTTAAGAGTATAATAATAATAATAATAAGACAAATGTAAAACTCACTCAATCAACCGCGGCAAGACAGAATACAATTTTTATACACTTGATACAGGTGAACAAATAGAACCAATGGATGAACATACGACGTATAAATATTTAGGATTCCGCCAGTCTAGACAGATTCAGCAAAAACAGACAAAATTAGAGTTAACACAGAAATTCAAAGCCAGAATAAGTCAGATTTTGAGAACCCAATTAAACTCACGCAATACCATCAAAGCCATCAACACGTATGCAATACCAGTTCTTATTTATTCGTTTGGGATTTTAGCCTGGTCCCAGAGCGATCTCATTAATACAGCGCACAATCAACACACACATGACAACCAATAGGAAACATCACCCCAGATCGTGCACACAACGTCTTACATTACCACGGCAAGATGGAGGGAGAGGTCTCATCGACATACAGAATCTACACAACAATCTTATAGATAAGTTACGCAAATATTTCTACGCCCAAGCCGGGCAATCCCATCTTCATAAATTCTTAACCGATATAGACAAAAAATTAACTCCGCTCAACTTAAACGACACAAACATTCAACCAAAATTATTGAGCAAACAGCAGAAAATAGACTTATGGGCACAAAAGTCTCTACACGGCAGACATCTCGCCGATCTCAGCCAAACACACGTCGATAGAAAAGCGTCGAACGAGTGGCTGCGGCGCGGAGAACTCTTCCCAGAAACCGAGGCTTTTGTGATCGCTATTCAGGATCAGGTTATCGATACTCTTAACTATAAAAAACACATAATCCGTACCCCTAACCTTCCTACCGACTTATGTAGACGATGCCATAGCAGTTCCGAAACCATCCAACACATCACTGGTTCTTGTAAATCTATTGTACAAACTGATTATAAACACAGACATGACCAAGTTGCAGCAATAATCCATCAAAATCTAGCTCACAAATACTCATTTATTTCAAAAAAAACTGCTTATTATAAATATAAACCCAGTACAGTTCTAGAAAATAATGCATTTAAAATATATTGGGATAGGACAATAATTACCGACAAAACCATACATTATAATAGACCGGATATAACAATACTAGACAAAACTAACAAAATAGTTTTTATTATAGACATAGCAGTATGTAACACACACAATCTCCTCACGACGCACTCAGAAAAGATGACTAAATACACAGACTTAGCAACGGAAATAAAAAGGCAATGGCAGGTAGATAGAGTTAAAATAGTACCCATTGTCATATCTACAACTGGTGTAGTACCGAAGACTCTACAAGATAGCCTCAACACATTGGAAATGCCGAAATCCTCTCTCATACTCTTACAAAAAGCAGTCCTTCTTAACACATGCCGTCTCACACGCAAATTTCTCGCTTCATCTTCATCATCTTAACTTCATATCATCATCCCTTTTTGGCACACTTGGCTAAGGCCCGTGTGTTAGATTTTGTTACCCCTTTAAAATAAAAGGGAGACCAGACAAGGTATAAAATGACATAATAATAATAATAATAATCTACAACATACACACAACGTTATCTAGTCCCAAACTAAGCAGAGCTTGTACTATGGGTACTAGACAACTGATATAAATACATAATATACTTTTTTTTTGTAAATACATACATATTATACATAGAAACACCCAAACCAAATCAAACAATAAATGTTCATGCACACAAATGTTTGACTTGAGCGGGAATTGAACCCGCGACCTCTGGAATAGCAGTCCGTTACACAAACCACTACGCCATCCGGTCGTCAAAGTAGCAATAATTTACATGTCTACACAATCCCATTGGTGGAATTCGGTCCTTACATTTTGCATACTCACTTACCTCTAGCACCCGGTCTACTATAAAAGTAATTGGTCTGTCGTAGTCCAATAGAAAAAATGAATAAATAAAATTCAGAGTGATCACTTTGAACAACAACAATTGTTAGACAGCTAGGGACATCACATCAACAGCCTTTAATAGTTCACATAGACATAGGCCATTTTTAATTATACAGATTAAAAAAATCTTCTGAATTGGAAAAGACAGGTAATTAACGGATTAGAGTGGCATTACAGTCATGAAAACTTTGCTCGTGATCGAAACGAAACTTTGTGTTTGCCTGATTTACAGATTTGAAGTTGATAGTGACGCACCGCTATGGTAGCGGTGGTCGTGGTGGCATTAAGCAGGCGCTCATCGACGACAGCAACAAGTTCATAATCTCTTTATCCGGCAATAGTACCTTATCTTGCATCTATCTTAACAGCGACGAGTTTGACCAAGAAAATGTAAAACATAAAGCCCCAGATACATCTATACTTGGAGAACAGGAACAAGACAAGCTAAAAATAATAAATGAATATGATAGTAAGAATTGTTTTTCTGATGTTCTATTACCAAAACAAGTCCTTTTTTTTTCTTTTTTTTATTGTTGACGGGGTGGAAAATCCCTTCGGATCTCCTGCTCCTTGGGGGACTCAGGAGCCAGGAGTATGTGGTGATTCCACTAAAAACCACCCCGCCGGCCGGCCTTAGGTGTCTTACTCTGGGAAGGACCCGGGCCATGTTATTTCAGGTCCTACCCGAATTGACACCATGCCTAATCAGGCCCTATCCCAGGGGAAAACACTGCTCCCTTCACCAAAACAAGTCCTAGATAAACAGTTTACCAATGCCGGCAGTACCGGTACTGTAATTCACCTGTTGCAAATCATTCCCCAAAAAGAGTTGTGATCATTGTCGTAGATACATTCCAAGCGAGCAAATATGACTTAAACTTGCTAGGTATTTATTATTTAAAGTTATTGTAAACGGGTTATTTACAATGTTTTTTTTTCGGTGATAAGTTTCCGATATTTCTCACTGATTCCCGAAAATAAATGAAGTATCCCGTTTAAGATAACTTATCAAATAAAAATGACCATAGTAGTTTGAATCAATACATAGTTATTAAAAGATCAACTGAACTCGATTTTTTGACAATTCAATTTTAATGAATGTGCAGTACCTACTGGGTACTTGCATCCAAAGACTGAATATTTTAACGAATTTCTAATACTGAAATGTACAATTAAATTTCTTGTTCAGAAAACTATCTTGACTTACAAGAAGAGAAGAAGGTTTACGAAGAAACGATGGACTTCAAGAGGCAGCGAGATGAAGTTTGTAAAACATTCGCGATGTTACAGAGCAAGTTAGTGGAATTGTTAGAGGAGAATATAGCTGAGATACCATTACACCAATTGTCACTATCTGAGTTCAATCTGCACCATGAGGCAAAGAGAGAAAGGATTAAACAGGTTAGTTATTGTCTTAACAATTATACTTATGTGGAGATATTGGGGTTCACGGTCGTATCTATTCATGGTAAGTACACAAAGTCATAAAATCTATTTAAATATATGCTTAATGAACGTTACGTACAAAAGTGGACTTAATCCCACTGGTATTAAGTATACTATAAAGTGTCTCAAAGGCAAGTTTACATTTGTTTAGCTGTCTGCATGAAACACAAAAAAAGCATAGGCCATCAATAACGCCAAAAAACGTGAACAAGCAAACGGCAAGGACGCGGTTACAGTAAATTCAGAATTGGTGGAAATTTAGAGACATTTTCTTGGTGCCTGAACTGCGAAACTTCTCCGGCTATAACCAAAAAACATAGTTCCAGCAAGATGGGGCAACCTCACATACGTCAAATAGGCTCTGCCAGGAATAAGTGGAATTTTCCCTAACAAATTGATCTGCAGGAGAGCCGACATAAACTGGCCTCCACGCAGTCTTAATTTTCCTGAACTTTTACCTGTAGGGTTATCTCAAATTTAAAGATAATAACAATAAACCTATTTCTCTAGCGGATTTTAAATAAAATAGTCATCGCATCTATCACGGAGTCGAGTCACGGAGCCGTCATTGGAAATTTTACCGTTGACCACTAAGTGAATGTTGTGAACGTGAAGGTTTACATTTTACGATGATATTATTAAAAAAAAAAATAGAAATTTCCGACTACTTTGATAGTTAATGAACGAAAATTTCATAGAGGTCTTATTTTTTATTTTATCGTCTCACTAAATATAAACGTTCTTTTGAGACAACTTGTATTAAGAATAGTTATAGATAATTACGATGAATAGACTCGACCTCCGAACCTTCAAGAAAAGAGCGTACTCCTTCCTCAACCTCTTGAGTTGGATGCGTTCGTGGGTGGCTGTAGTCGCTTTCCATCAGGTGATCCGTCTGCTCGTTTACACCCTCTCCCATAAAAAAAAATATATAATTGTAGATGGGGCTGAATCTTTCTGTAGTAGAGACCGTATGAACTTGTAAGCGCAGCGAATTATGTGTACAAAAACAGTGAATGGCTAACCTTAGAAAGATGGCAGGTTGAGGATAGATCTAGGCTAGTTTTAACCGGTCTTCTTGGAAGACCTGTGTGTAGACTGGTGCGATCGACAACATTAAGTAAACCTGAAAAAACAAATATTAGAAAAAAACATTTTGGATACATTGTGTTAGACGGGCGTTTTGAAACCTTTTACTCATAGTTGACAGAAGCAATCGTCTGAGGTCAGATCAATTTCTTCGCAGGCTGAAAAAGAACGAGAAATGATACGGCTAGAGACGGAAGCTCTTATGAAAGCCCAAGACAAAGTCACCGCGTGGATCAAAAAGTCTTGCTGGGATTGTATGCAGTCACAAAGGGTCAAATTATTCGCCGTATTTAGTCACTACCATGTGAGTATATCCGTATCCGTGTGGTGCCTTAAAGGCCTTCAATGTACTTTTAACTCTTGACTTGCAGGGTCTATGGGCGGTAGGAGTCACTTATCGGTGATTCATCTGCTTGTTTGAGCAATATCCCCTAAAAAAGTAAATACCACAACTCACTGCTGGCTGAAAATATATCTATTCTATATCAGGTGGAGAATTTTGCTATCCTGCCAACTCAACGAGACAGATGGCCTGAGCTGACTCAAGTAGAGGCGCTTCGCACAGTCCAAATGGAAGGTGAAGAAGAATTTAGACCTTGGGAGGAACCTGAGATAATCGTCGAGGCTCTTACGGAAGAAAATCTGTGAGTATTTGCAAAACTAAAAAAGAAAAAGTAAATCAATGTCAATTTATCAGTTGCCGCTTAGTATTATAAACGTACCTACATAACACATTCTTATTTTCAAAAGGATATGATTATTGGGCAGCTAATCCTGTATCTCAACATGACACCCGTTCCACCACAAACTAATAAACTTACTGCCACTCTTTTCAATAATCCGATAATTATGCAATTTAGAAAAAAACATGGGTCTCCCCCAAGGTTCGCCACAACAACCGATCCTATGCTGCCCGCCTGCCCACATCAAACAGATTCCCGCGACCTCCAAAAGGTCAATGGACCACCTTGTTGGGGGCCTACCTACGGTGCATTTTCCGATACGCGGAGAGCTTTATGGCCCATTGGCCATAACTCCTGCGAGCAATTTGTAATTACAGTAATAACTTATTACTGTAATCTGCATAATTATACTAAAGTGAGGTTGTCCATTGGTGTCGAAAACTTTGACTTAAATCTTACCCACTAGTCCCACTACATGTGTAGCTAACGCTTGCTGTCAACAGGTTAAATGCACAGTCAGAACTAGGCCAGCAGTCTTCTCATCGCAACGTTGTAGACGATGAGGAGGAGGGAGTTGGGAGGGAGCTTTCCGACGCCGAGACGGATGCGCCGGTGGAGGAGTCCTACGCTCTCTCGGGTTCAGCCGCGCACCACTTTATAAAGATCCTCCCGTTTGCCATTCCGCAGACACTAGCCTACAGCTTCTTGCACATGAACTGGCTTCAGCAAATTACCAAGGTGAGAAGTATTTCCAATCCCATTTTTATAGTAGGAAACCCCCACGGCTCATCAACTCACTGGGGATCACAGTGAGGAGATATGTCGGAATCAAACCGACTAAAACCACAATGTTGTTCCGTTCCATGTGACTCTATTGCAATGGACTCGGGTATAACTTAGGAAGGAAGACCCTGAGAGCCCTGGCAGCCATTGGCTGGCATAGGCAGCCACCCATTTAGTGCAGGGGGCCTTGTTTTCTTTCCGGTTTAGAGAGGCGCGTACGGAACACGACACGACTCCGTCGCAGTCATAGACCTGTTTCTGCTAGGGTATTAAGCCGTGGCCAGCGAAATTTTCGAACATCTAATTTATAAATTAATTCCTTAGGGAATTAACTAAGCCAGACTGCATCTGGCCATTTATCGTGTTAATGATTGAAGTAATTAATAAATATTAGGGGTTAAATTATGAAATATTGAAACTCGTTTTTTCTAAGATGTAACATATTTATTTAATCAAAATATTTACTCTCATTATCCATAAATTGCTGCTATCTAAACGGAAGTTCATTTATGCCTTTACGATAGAACTCTGGGGATCTTATCATATCATCCTATCACATCAACAGCCTTTAATAGTGAACATAGACATAGGCCTATCCTCTCCTCAGAAAGGAGGTCAGAACTCGGATTTTCGAAGTATCTTTCACGTCTAAACTTAATAAAAAAACAATTGAGAATCGAATGTTGCACATTTTTTAAAAGAGGAACCTCATAGCTATCATGTGAAAAAAGTTTCACAGGAAATCTCACACCATGAACAGTTTATGTCAATTCAAACTATCGCAGTTCCATTTCCCATCCGAGATTTGTGCTAAAAAAGTGCAAGTCTAGGGTAAGGTTCTCGCCTATCAGCAAGACCCTTGCTTAAATATTTTCCTTTTATCTTCTTCCATTGTTTCGTCTAAACACGATTATATTCCCAGGAGCGTAGTGGAGTCATGTGGCGTCTTGGGTGGGCTTCAGGTAATGTTATCCAGCAGCTACAATAATAAAATTAAGTAACATACTCGTACCCCTACAGAAGCCGGGAGGGGGAAGAATGGAGTCCCTTAGGGGGGAAGGAAAGATCGATTTAGGGTCTTTTGTTTAACAATAATTTTATTATTATGCTATTTTTGTTTTAGTTAACCACACAACATTTACGTCAATGGTTCAACAAACAATTCGACGACCTGATGGCTCTGAAGGTCAAGGAAGTCGGCCTTGTCAAAGAGAGAAACGCAAGACTCAGATTTATAGTTGAAGGTACCTTAAAATTCCATTGAATTCAAAACCCTGAACTGAAATTTTACATCGTCCCAGTGTCATCTGTCACTACGATATCTTATATATAAAATTCTCGTGTCACAATGTTCGTTCCCGTACTCCTCCGAAACGGCTTGACCGATTCTCATGAAATTTTGTGTGCACATCGGGTAGGTCTGAGAATCGGCCAGTAAAGTATTGAGTATTGAGTATTGAGTATCGGCCACCATCTATTTTTCAATGGTAAGGGTGACCCATCCCTAATTTTTTTTTTTTTTTGCAATACGTTTGCCGGGTCAGCTAGTAATTTATAAATGTTTTAAAGATTGAAATCATGCAGTATTATAACAGTGTATAAAATAAAACTAAAAGAAAAAAAAATACATACAAAACTGTAAAAATGTAATAGCAGATCATTAAGTTTTACATAGTATTTTGACCATTTTGAATTATTTTCTTTTCTTTTTTTAAAAGAAAGTAGGAGAAACTTTGATAAACATTGGATAGTACATTTAATGGAGATTCAGAACAGGATAGAAGTAGCCATAGAAAATAAAGTCAACATCATCTAACAATTTCCAAACCTGTTTTTGTTATAATTACATTTAAATATGTTTGACTACAAATAGGAGCCTTATTCTTGTAGCATAGCAAAACGCTCGCCATAACTTCTTTGGACTACTTAAGTACTAGACAGAAGTTTCGCTCTTTCGTTGTCAAAACAGCCGACATTCCAGACCTTGGTGATTTGGACCATAAAATACTTTTTGGTTCGAGTCACCGCCAGTCTGGAATGAGTTGCTTTATAATCCTGGAAATTCCAGAGCGTGGATAAATGTTTACCATCTATGTGTTATCATCAGTTTCCATCAGATGAGTTGGAAGACAAACGCCAATTCCATACCAAAGAAACTATTATTTAATTTCAATAGTGCTTTTACGTTCTGATGAAGATTATGGATATATTACTATGTTTTCTTTCTTTTACTCTATGTTTTTTTCTAACTATAACTTTAGATTATAAGACACACCAATGTATGCAACCTGTATTTTCAATATGTATTTATTGTACAATAAAGAGTTATCTATCTATCTATCTATAATTTTGAATTAAGCTAAACACATAATTAATTTAAACATACTAATATAGCTGTAAGTTGAAATTTTTACTAACATCTTTGAGTCTTAGTTACACCAATAAGTAATTTAATAATAAAATAATATAACACGTTATAAACATATTACACAATTACTGCTACTCTTTCCAGAACTTAACAAGCTCTCCGATTTGCGAGGCAGTTTCCATCATCTTATCGTAGAGATTAAGGACCCGGAGTGGAGACAAGAGGAACATACTCACAAACTAATCAAAGTTGAGCCTGAGGAGGTTGGTTACACAAAATTTTATTTCAATATTTCTATAATAATACTATTATACAACATGGATTTGTTTACACTCTAAAATCCCTCCGTATCTGCAACACCTTTTTTCCATTGGTTTCTCTTCTTTTAAGGGTTCTGTACCTCAAAAGGAAAAACGGAACCCTAATAGGATTACTGTGTTGTCCATCTGTCTGTCAAGACCCTTTATCTCGTGAACACGTTCAGATATTAAGTTCAAATTAAAACCATATACTCAGGTCTACGGTCCCTTGAAGCTGTAAAATAGGTTAACTCTTAAGTTAAAGTAAAAAAAAAGATACGGTCGTTTGTGCCGCAAAAAACGCATTAGAACTATGAAATTTTGAAGTTACATTGTCTTATACTACAAGTACAGGGAAAAATCTAAAAAACTGTACATTTGTATTTAAATAATAAAAAATATAGTCTTTATTTAAAGTACGTTATCATCATAGAGGTATATTTTATTTCACTTAAATAACACAATAATATAAGTAAGTATAGGTTTAGGAAACTTAATTTCGGGCAAAGCTCGGCAAAAACTGCGAGACTCGATTCTTGAACTGATTATAATAAGAACCTACAAATTTGTACGGAACCCTCGGTGGGCGAGTCCGACGCGCAATTGTCCGGATCTTTTTACCTATATTTCTATCCATGCTTTTTTTAAATTTAATGATCAATAGACTTACTATGTTACATGTGAGTGTGATCCCTTTCTAATTTGCAAGGTATGAGTATTGAATACGCCTCTCCGTATTGAATATTCCTGTGGAGATACAGGCCTGAGTGTAGGTATAAAATTTGCCTTTTTGCAGTGAATTTATTCTTATTTCATGTTATATTTAATTTATCTATCTTTAAAACTTGAAATGAAGGAATATTTTGGTCATAACAAACAAATCCAAATTTTATGCAAATAACGCGCTTACAAATAATAATTCAGAATCTTGGGTTTATTAAATTTCAATTTGTTATTTAGAATTGGTATAATATTAAAACATGAATTGTGAAAGAGATTACTGGGAACCTTGAAGAAATGTTTGAACTGACGTGACATCAGAATAAACAATTAATTATGGTTTTAGATGATGTTAACAAGTATTTTTTTCTTTTTAGTGTTCCATAGAGCCGTATATTAGCCCGAGTCAAATTGTTATTATACCTCCGGATCCTGGACCAAAAGACGACTTTAAAGAGCGTGCACTTATGGACATGATGGATGGTGTTCTGGAGAAACTTTGGCATGAAGAGATCAAGAAACCCATACCGGTGCCACAATGTATGGTGAGAATTATATAAATTTACAAAATTTTAATGTAAAGTCTCAAAGAAATAATGGAATTGATGCTGATGCGATTTCGGATGTCTGAATAAAAAAGTCAACGTTTCGATCGTCTAGGGCGATCACATCATTGTCTTTTTCGACACAGAACCTCTTGTGTCTGTGTGCCCTGTTCTCAGAGCACACCGGAAGAGAGAGCTCCACACTCAATTTTAATCCCTTTTTTGTTTACAGCTAGAAAAAGCTCCAGAGCACTTTAATGAAGAAGATCTCCGCTTTGTGTTTGATTATGAAGCGAAAGTTGCCTTCCGCAACGAAGAACGAGACAAATACCGCAAAATGTTGCATGCCGAGTATGCAAAACTATCCGCCACGCTGAACGAGGGAATAGTCAAATTTAACCAGAAGGTAATTGAACTACATTTGAGCCTGTTCACTGTTCTTTGGGTTGTGTGTAAAAGTTTTGGAATGACGGACTAATGACGAAAATAGTGAGTAACAGTAGGGATCAATATTCTAAACGTCTTCAGTTTAGGATTCTTAAAAAATGCTCATATCTAATCTAAAACCGTTTCGGGAATGTAATTGAAGTACAACTATTTACAAGCTAGTTGTTGAATGTCGGGACATACAAACTAAGTATTTTTTGACCTAAAAGTTTATACTTTTTACAAAAAAAAAAAAACCCGGCAAAGACAGACAGAGACACACATCAAAAAAGTCTAAGCAACACGCACCATTTTCAGGAATTACATATATTTTTTTAGAATAGTAGATTGGTATATAATATTTTTTGTTCTCGGAAACATATACTTGCTGATTTTAAAAATAGAAACTCTTCAATTGTATTTGTTTTCGTTAAAATAAAAGCTAATTATTTTTTCTCGATTTTTTGTGTTTTCGTTGCTTGAGAAATTTGGTATCATCTCACTTTTATAATTATGAGACAGTATTTGAAAAAAATTAGTGGTGAGTCATTTTTTACGTAATGAAGTGACGCCATTTGACTGCTGATGAAAGCTGAAGAAATGCTACAAGCGGGATGAAATCAGTCCCAGGTATCTCGGCATTTTAGGTTCAATAGGCTCGGAGGAAGGAAGTAAAAATAGTTCAAAAGTTCAAAACCAAACATGTTGCCTAAACTTTTTTGATGTGTGTATATTGCTCTATTTCGTTTTCTTCTGACAAAATATGGTGAGATTTGTCTTAAGGTAATAATAGTAAAAATTACAAAGCTATATTCTATATGTACTATACAAAAAATATTTTAATGGATGTCTAAGCCTGGCATGCAATTACATTTCATCCGGAAATTTTGTTCTTTAGGTGAAAGAAACGTGGCTTTTAAGGCTGAGAATAGATTCAGTTATTGGGCAGGAGAATCTAAACCTATTGCGTCTGCGCAGGGTCAATCTGGACCGTATTGAAATGTCCGAAAAGATAGAAAAGTACAGGTAAGAACAACTGCTAACTGCTGTGTGGGTACAATCACTGAATGGAAGCCTGAGTTTAAATAAATTAGGGTAGTCTTGTATTTTTAAACTTGATTGCTTGTTTACTAAATTGATTAATATAACCTTTTTTTCTTTAAATATAATAATGCACAGTCAATGCTTTTAAACTATAAAACTAGAAAATTACATGTGCAATCTTACGCGTTGAGAATTTGTTGTTTTAATGTTTTTGTGACCACCTACCTATTAAGGTCCGTGTGGTGACGGATTAAGAATACAGAGTGTCATCACCCCTATTCATCCCGTGGGTGTCGTAAGAGCCGACTAAGGGAGAAAACTACGCAGAACAACAGCACTGCAGAGAGAAGGAGAACTTGACCAACCCTATGCCAAACCGTCTGGCCAGCGTGGTATAGTAGGCCAAAACCTCCTTTCTAAGGAGAGGCTTATGTCCAGTAGTGGACTATTAAAGGCTGTTCATGATGATGATGGAGCACCTAGAAGCACTTACTGTCAAACAAATCACTATATTATATTCTTAATTCTACCGCGTATCTTATTTCACGTTTCTCAACATTCATTGAACAGAGAAGAAATTGCATCATTAGAAGAAGCATTGGAGGTTCTAAATCGTGAATTCCAAATAATACAAGAACAAGCTAATGAATGCCAGAATACGTACGATCAGCTCACTTTGAAAGACAGATCGATGGAGAGGACTTTCAAAAACCACTTTAACGATCTCTCACCAGTCATCGTGGACCAGTGCTATAAATTTTTCAAGTAAGTATATTTATCAATTGTATTGGCTCCATAGGTGGTACTATGAGATTGTCTAATAATATCGTATGAATACACCTCCTAGGATTTAGGTTGCCAAGTTACTAAGCACCCCAACAAAGGCTGATGTGGTGAGGTGATTAGGTCATATTTGAATGTATTATTCACACTGTTCATTCTGCCATTTAGCCTATTCAAGATCTGTCTATTCGGCAGATGTTGGTCAACTGACAACTATATACCCCACCCCACTATATACCCCTGCACATATATATATGTGCAGCAGGGACCTGGAACAGCTAATTATTATTACATATAATTTAAAAGTCATGCAGCAATAGGAAGGATCTGATTCTAAAAGATATTGGAATTTAATCTTAATCAATTTTAAATAGTCTCGGTTTAGATAACATTCGGATTTTTTCACAAAACAAAGAAAATTAGGAAGTTACATGTAATTTTAGGAGGCTTTACTATTCTAAAATAATGCCAAATAGTAATTTATTTCACAACGATCACAAGGGTACCCGAATAGCAAAAAATTATATAATCCCGTTAAGAATAAATTTTAGGTGAGGAAAATCAATACTAAAAGTTAGCCAGTAATAATAGTCTTATTGTTATAAACATGCAGAAAGAGACCGAAGTGGCACCAGCGAGCTAGCCTCACGCCTACAGTTCTGTATGAGCTGGCGCAAGCTGTGGCCACCGGTGTCTGCGTCAGAGCGCTGCATGCAGACTGTGTCGACTTCTTCAAGTCGTAAGTACCTAATCCTAATACGTTTACAATACTACAGCATACTCCTAAACATTTTCCTTAGAGTTCCATGGTATGATTAAGAAATCCTAAAAAGCATTTCCGCTTTTCCGGAATCGATCTTTGCCTTTTTCGAAGATATTTTTTCTGACAACCTTGTTCGGATAGTATTCAACTGCAAAATGTAATCAAATCCAGGATAAAAGAAGTGAGTACAATTATGTGTGTACGTAAATTATTTTACAAGTTATTTGTTTATTACAGACTGGAACAGATGGATAATATTGTTAACATGCCACCAGTTATGGACGACCAGCTTTGGGCCACCATGTGTAAACTGCGCCGAGCCAAGGCTGAAAACGAGATTAGGGTAAGACTTCATTCATCATCTATACTAATATTATAAAGCTGAGTTTGTCTATTTGTTGGGTTGAACGCGCTTATCTCAGGAACTACTGGTTCGAATTGAAAAAATCTTTAAGTGTTGCCCATTTGTCGAGGCTATATACCTTTACAATACAGACAAAAGAAGCCAAGCAATGAAACATGCAAAAACGGGAAAAAATATTCCCTGTCAGTAAGTGGCGTAGGCGAAGTCTATCGTCGAAGTCGAAGTCGAAAATCTACGAAGACTAGACGTGCTAATTTATTTATTTATTTGTCATGTATATTTAATAATAATATTTTCACACATCTCACACACGGCCGTCTGGTCCCAAACTAGGCAGTTATATCACCTCTCTTACAGTTTTATCTAGCTCTCTTTTTAAAACGGAAAACCGGGAGCGTTATAAGTTTAACCTGTGAATCTGTGCATCTGTCTGTCTGTGGCAACATAGCTCCCAAACGGGTGGATCGATTTCGATGCAGATTTTTTTGTTCGAAAGCCAATATAATCGAGATGGTTCTTAGCTAGAAGATCATCAGCTCACTTCCTAGCTGATGAGTGGTGGCTCTCCGATGACAAAAGTCAGCCTTTAATCAGTGGCTCATAGGGATGATCAACATGACTGGCCATTATCATCATCACATTAACAATAAGGTTTATCACGACAGATGCGTGCAGTGGCCCAAGAGATGGCGTACGTAGAGCATGTGGCCCAGGTTTGGTCCCGGGCTATTCATGCGCGTCGTGTCGCACTCAACGTCAGCCACAATAAGGTTACTGAACATCGTTTGGAAGAAGAACTCACCGCCAGGAACAAAACAATGCAGGTATACTTGTAGCATATTAGGTATTGGTTAATAGAAGTGTTGGCTATTCTACTCGTAATAGAAACATACGCTATTCGACATAAACTTGGCGAAAACATAACTCTGCTAAACTATTTAATAACTGACATTGTCAAACGTAAGTGGAATTTGGCGGGTCACATTACTCGCAGAAGAGATGGTCGATGGGGAAAAAGAGTTATCAAGTGGTGGCCGCGTACCGGCAGACGGAGCGTCGGCAGCCCCCACAAGGTGATCCCATCACCAGGTGGATCACGGGAAGTCATTGGATGACGGCAGCGCAGGACTAGTTGTTTTGGCGAATCTTGGGGGAGGCCTATGTCCATCAGTGGGCGTCTTTCGGCTGAGATGATGATGATGATAATTTAGTAATGAGTAGCATTATACAATTTCCCAACATCCACTGTTGGACCTCAATCCGCCAAGAAGTTATGTAGCCTGGTCCTCTACAAATATAATACACAATACTTCATACTAAGAAATAATATTCTAAACAGTATTATTGCTATTTTCAATACAGTACAGTATTCAACTTGCTAAGCGACACTTCTACTTCTTTGCCCCCTCATTGTATAACAAAGTAAATAAAATTTTGAACATTTATCCCACTATTATGCGAGAATGTAAATCGCGAGTTACTGAATGGCTGCTTGGTCTTACTTACGAAGACACCGAAGACTTAGTCGCATCTATTATATAACGCAACACGCACACTCACATGCACTCCCACACGCAAGCACGCTCACACAGATACACATACATACGCTCTCTCTCTCTCTCACACACACACACGCTCGCACAGACACACACACACACGTGCACACACACACACACAACACACATACACTTTCAAATCCTCAACGTTTTACTCCACATGCTTAGTTTTTAGAGTTGTAATGTGGTAGAATAAAATGGAACGTTTGCATCAGATCCAAAGGTTAGTGACTGCGCCACAGTGTTTCACTAATGCAGTCATTATCAAACACATTTGAAATATTGTAATCTGTGTTTTTTTATTATTATTTCTACTCGTATAATTCATTTTCCAGGAAAGAAATTTGTGAGGGAATTTCAGTTTCAGTTTCAGAAAAAACGATGGACCGTAATGGCCTTTTGATGTTTTCCAGCTGGTGCTGCCCGCGGGACAGGTCGAGATAGTAACGACAGGCCATATAGAGGACTTCGAAGACGCGACACTTATCCTTCGAGACGACATTGAAAAGATCAACCAAGTTATTTTGGTAATTAATTAGAATAAAAATTATTTACAGTTAAAAGTGTTAATTCCGTGGGGTGTTGGGGTGTCGGTATGGTGACGGAATAAGAACACGGAATGTCACCCCCCCCCCCTCCCCCCTCTGCCGACTAAGCCGACTAAGGAAGCAAACTACGCAAGACAACAGCACTACAAAGAGAAGGAAATTTGAAACAAATATCAAACCAACTCGTCTGGCCAGCGTGGTAAAGAAGGTCAAAACCTCAGTGGCATGAATGGTAATCCATGATTACAATGTTTAATCATTATTTTAATAACTTCATGACAATAGGTTTAGCTTGAGGACTCATACTCACCAGTAAGAGCCAGTTCGAGTGACAAGTGTATATCCTAACCTGTTTTGGCTTACACTGTCCAAATCCATCAACATTACTAATCATCATCATCAGCCTATCCACTGCTGAACATAGGCTTGTCCCATTACACGCACTTAGTCCGATTTTGGGCTTCCCGCATCCAGCTTCTTCTAGTCTTCTTGCGCTAATCGTCACTTCACCTGGCCTGTGGGCGTCCTACACTACGTTTGCCGAGACACGGTCTCCACTCAAGAACTCTTTCTCCCCAACGGTTGTCGCTTCTGAGGCTAATTTGGCAATGCCACTGCCACTTCAGCTTGCTAATATCTGTTGATGACAATAGGCTTGGCCCCTTTTTTTTCTGTGCGGAAATCCCCTCGGATACAACTTACCGGTGGGAATGTCGGACTCGAACCGACTAAAACCTCACGCCGTCTCAGGTACCAGTAGTCGGGGAACCAGGTGTACCCTAGAAAATAAATCCCTGGTACCTCGGGCCATCTACGGCGGGTAGACGACCCCCCTGTATGGAAACCCCCATGTTCCCTCTGTGCTGCTGGAAGGGCGCGCGCGCTTCGCAACGCGCTAGGCTTGGCCCTGGCGTGAGTAGGATTTCAATAATGGTCGGCAAATGTAGGCGTTTAATTCTCTCAGCCGCCTCTCATTCAAGATGAAAGTCCGAGCTCGCATTCTGGACACCCTAACAGATTCATTATAACCTTAAAGTTTTATATATTATTAATATTATTATGTAGGTTTATGTATGTGTATGTATTTGGTATGTATGTATGTATATATATTTATCACATTGTTTCTGGTTAACTTCTCAAAAATATTCTTTTAATTTACATATCAATGTCTAATGCACCTAGTCATACATTTAAGCACCACCCTAAGATAGACTGGGAGAAAATGCCTGTGGCATTAAGTCCGCCATTGTACAACTCATTTTTGCACATAAAGATTTAAAAAAAAAATCGCTCCTGTCTAGTCCTTCGGTGATACATTTGTGAGACTATGTATTGTTTATATGTAATTTCCATATAGGAATTTAGAGATTGCTAAGTAATTAATATTTTTGTAATAAAACATGCTGTAAGTTTTATTATCTGTATATATTAAAATGTTAAGTTAGTTTGGGTACCTACGCTTCAAAAACTTAATGTACTGCACCGATTGAGCTCAAACTTTGACACAATAATACGCTTCATAGATGGTTTTTATCTTTTTTACATGTCAGTTTAGTTTCTAATTTCTCATCAACGCAACCGCAATGTGTCACAACGATGCTTGACAGGGTACACGGTACACACCAGGGACTTCCTTTCTAGGGTATACCTGGTTCCCCGGCTATTAGTACCCAAGACGGCGTGCGGTTTTAGTCGGTTCGAGTCCGACATTCCACCATGATAGGTGGTATCCGAGGGGATTTCCGCACGGAAAAATAAAAAGGGTACAGGGTACAGTACAATAAAATAACGCTTCTTGAAATAGCTGTAGTAATAGAATAACAACAAAACAACAATTGTTTTTTTGTGTAACTAGATTTAGGTTATTTTAGAGTTATTTTCTTTTCAAATTATTATAACAAATACCACACTACACATTCAGTAATAAGTAAGTATACACAATATATTATAATTTAAATAATTATCTGCTGTTGAACAGATTAAACACAAGTGAATCATATTAATGTTTATCTTTGTCAGAAAGTAGGTGACATAAAGTTACGCATGATGCGAAAGCAGATGGACTTCCGCAAAGGTATCTTGAGCAAGGAATGGGAGCACGCACGGATGAAGCTGAAACTGCGCCACATGGAGCAGGAATTAAACACCTATAAGAATCTCAAGGTTCAAAATCTTATGTTCTAAAAATAACTTAACACATCTCACATACGGCCGTCTGGTTTCTAACTCTGCAGTTTCTGTACTATATTAACCACACTAATGATAAACATACTTATATATTTCTCACAACGGATACAAGGCACGGATGGCTTCCTATTGCGCTAAAGTGTTGTGAGTTCGATTCCCACATGAATGAATTTGTGGATCACTTTGAGTGATCCACAAATTGTTGTTCTGTGTCTAGGTGTTCTTTGTGTCTGTTTGTAAAGTCCCCCGCGACACAGGATATATTCCTAGAGCGGGAGTTCTTTTTGAAAAAAAGAAAATATTACACCCAGACACAATTATTTATCCTGGGTTTGAATCGAACCCACGGCCTCTGGCTTAGCAGTTAGTGTCACTAACAACTAACCCAATAGAGCACGTTAATATATTCAGAATGTGATGGGCTTTGAATATTTTATGTGTTTCTAGATACCAAAAGAGCTGCAGAGATATTTGAAGGACAAAGAGCGTGGCTTCACTGACGAGATGGACTACATACGCTTGGAGAGAGAGTTGGAGAGCAACAAGAACTCTGTCAACAAGAAACTCCAAGACTTGATTCGAAAGGTTGAGGACGCTGAGGTATTCAAAGGCAACCCGTAACAGTTTAAATATCAAAACTGAGGAGAGACAATCAACCTTCAGTTTGATTAGTGTTTTAAGGGGAAAAACTGAGCAGCTATTGAATTTACAGAAAAGCAAACGTTAGTTTGCTCTTCTGGTATTACGTGAAAAAGATGTAGTCAGGATTTACTGTCTTACTGACTGAGTGGGGCATTCAAAAGGAGGCAACTTATCTCTTGAGTTGCGGTGAGCGGTGATCACTTGCCATTGGGTGATTCGTCTGTTCGTTTACCTTTACCTACCATTAAAAACAAGACTTGTTTTCGGGTATGGTAAAGCTTGCCTTAAATCTTTGTCAGTCAACCACTGCGTACTTAAGTTATTTTGAAAATACCATACGTCTTCCGGGGTACGTACGGGTTCTCTTTACGTCTGCCAATATTGTAATGTTAAATGTTGCGTCGACAAGAAGTAGTTCGTTTATCCTGGAATAAATAAACCGCATCTAGACCATTTCCGTTTTCAACTGTTATTATGTTAAAGTGTCTGGAAACTTACAGTACCAAGAATTATTTCGAGGTACATACAGGTATACATGAATGATACTGTTACTACGACGAAGCATTTCTTAATATTGTAATTAGTTTAGTAAATTAAACTACCGGGGAAAAAGCTCGTTAGTTCCATTTCAGCAAATTTACAACTAAACAAGTTTTTTTCTTTTTTTCTGTGAACTTTATTTGAATATAGGTATTATAGTATGAAAATTATAATAAATCACGATTTTTATTCATGTATGAGCTTTATTTATGAATGAACATACGTTAACTTAAAATGTAAGTTTATTTTAACAAGTATTTAATTATTCCTCACTAAACACCAACAAATTGTTCGCATACGGTCCAGTTAGCCGCCTTTGCATATTTTCATCATTCATCTTTTTTACGAGTTAATGTATGTACGTAAATGTGTTATAAAAATGTAACATTAATATAAATGTTATTAATCGTTTTGTTTAAGGTGTATTTAATAAACATAGACGAACAGGTGAAGAAGGTTGATAACCTAATATTAAAACTAAATCTGAATGTATCCGAAAAACGTCTCAATGAAGACCCGCTGGAGCCTATAAGGATTCGTAGGATCTTTAAAACTAGGTAATTTCTTTTCGTTTAAGTTACTTGACCATACAAAAGTGCCTGCATAATACTTTTTATTTTAAACTAGCTGACCCGCGCAACTTCGTCTGCGTCTCTCAATAGTAATAAATTTTCTCCGTTTTTGAAACATTCTTCATTGGTGCTACGCTCCTTTTGGTCTTAGCGTAATGATATATAGCCTATAGCCTTCCTCGATAAATGGGCTATCTAACACTGAAAGAATTTTTCAAATCGGACCAGTAGTTCCTGAGATTAGCGCGTTCAAACAAACAAACAAACAAACAAAAAAAACAATCTCTTCAGCTTTATAATATTAATATAGATTAATAATAATAACTTGACACATCTGACGCACGGCCGTCTGTTACCAAATTAGGAGTAGTCTGTGATCTGTAAACCAAAGTGCTGATAAACATACTTATAAATACAAACATATTATAGTTAAATTATGCGCAGGCATAGAAAAAAATGATCGTTTTTTTGTAGTGGGTCGGAATCAAACCCATAATCTTTAGTTTAACAGTCACGATATCGATTACTAACAATAACACCAACAGGCCAGTCAAAGACAAAAATCAAACCAAGCAAAGTTCTCTACTCACTCTTACATTTGTGGGAAACAGGATGGAGACACTGATAGCCCGTAGCCAGTTGATCCGCGAAGTCCAAGCGAACCATTCCACCATCGTGATGTTGCAAACTGAGCTGGAGCTGCTACGGCTGAAGACCTACCCGACACTGGCTAGCTTCCGTGAACTCGATTAATTTATTGCTAAGTACATTTTCGCATGTCGTTTGAACTGAATCTTTAAATCTCATTAGAGAAACAAGTTAAACATCTTACTAGCTTTTGCCAGTGACCTCGTCCGCGTGTTGGTCGACATCAAACATCGTAGAGGATACCTACGCTACTACCTTTTTTTATGGTATAAGGGGGCAAACATGCAGACGGGTCACCTGGGCCTCAATTCTGTTATTTTATGTTCACGCCAAGCCAGTGTCATACCACTGACACGCTATTGAGATGCCATCGAGTAGCCATTGGCATCGGTATAAATATCGGTAGTCTACACTAACTCAGTGTCTTAACAGTGGCGATGGAATGGCAGTGGCTCATCAGTGGTGATATCAAAAAGATATTTGAAAATTAAAAATATATAAATCATTTCCTTATAATTTGAAAATATATTACGTTTTTTGAGGAAATGATTTATTTATTTCGATGGCATCTCAATAGCGTGTCAGTGATATGACAGGGGCTTGGCGTGAACATAAAATAGCAGAATTGAGACCCTGATGGTTAGCAACTACCATCGCCCATGGATACCTGCAACTCAAAGTCACAAGTGCGTTGCTGCCCTTGGAGTCCCTCGCGCTCGAGTCCTAAAAATAACGAAGTTTTATAAAAAAAAAACAACCCTCATTTTATATCCTTAGGGGTGTTTTTTTTTTAATCCTTTCTTAGTGCACACCTATATCACCTAAGGAACATTTGTGCAAAATTTCATGCTTCTGGACCCAGCGATTGCAGCTGTGCGTTCATCGATCAATCAGTGACTTGATTTGTCAGTTCTATTCTTTTATTGATATAGATTTGACTATAGATCTTGGTCTTGGATCGCTATAGATAATGGTGTCCAACTGTAAAGCTTTTCTCGATAATAATATGTTAAATAACTTCCGTTGATGTAGGTAAACTCAAAACTGCTAGTAAATAAACCTACATAGATTCAGATATTCACATTTTCATTGTATTACCTATTTAGAAACTGTAATTCGTATTGAAATAAATAAATAATTTTACTGTCGACGTAACGTGTTTTATTTATGTTGAACCTTTTAATAATAAGTGGACGCAAATCACCTAGCCACGTCAAGACTCATCAATGCCTCTGAATGACTAATGTCAAGGCGCGTAATAGTTGTTTAATTTCTACCGTAGGAATTTCTATTTTAGGTATTCTAAAATAATTTCAGAACAGAACTAATGTCGAGCAGGGATACTGTCTTCATAAAAATGAAGTCTTAAGGAAGATAACCCTTCTGACCCTTTGCACTACCAGTAGTGTCATTTGGAATATATTTCCCTTCTGCACTACTAACCAGTAGCGTCAAGGGCCCATTAGGAGAACGGATGAGAGACGCCTGAGCCTAGCCGAAATGCGAATGCTGAGATGGATGTGTGATGTGAAGGATGGACAAGGTGAAAAGACATATGACAATGGATGAAAAGTTAAGTAAAAGGTTATCTTGGTATGGATATATCATGCGGAGGGATGAGGAAAATGTGGCGAAGAAAGTCTTAGGTGTGGGAGTTGAAGGGTACAAGAGAAGAAGATGGACAAAGAACAGGTGGATGGACTGTGTGAGTGACGATATGGCTAGGAAGGGAGTAAACAGTGAGAAGACGAGCAGCGAGACGATGTAATTTGGTAGTGCCATGGGTCAGAAGGGAAAATTAAAAAAATATATATTCTTATAGTTAAATACTATAGGATACTACTATACTATAGAATATATGTATGTATTTTTTTGTAAACCCAAACATTGAGATCTTTTTTAAGAGATGACCCTAATTGACCTTTAATACAAATTTCTATAAAACTTTCCATAAAGAGCAACTCATATGTCTTAATATCAACTATCGTGTTGCGTAACTATCGTGTTACGCAACTATCGTTTTGCGCAACTATCATTTTGCGCAAATATCTGTCAGCACATTTCTTACCCGACTGCGCTAGGACGGTAATGAATTCGAGTGTATGTATATGTATGTAGGTAGTGTGTATCTTTGGAACGCCCTAGAGCCTAAATGGCTTGGTGGATTTTGACGTTTGAGGTGTCGTTATGCGTCTTAATTGCGAGATTTTTTCAATGTTTATATTATATTTGTAAAAATTGAAATCGACGATTTGTAAATTTTAAGTATACATTTCCATGCAGTCGAGTTTTATTTTTTAATAATTAGCTATAGTCCATCAACGTCGTGCGCGACCGTCCTGCGGGGTGACAGACGGTGGCGGGGACGAGGTACTCAAGATGTCAGCGGGTAGCGGGTGGTGTAGCGGGGAAGGGAAACCCGTGTAGCCGTGTGCTAGAATGACGCGCTACCTCGCCCCCGCCACTGTGTCACCCCGCGGGCAGGTCGCGCACGAGATTGCCAGGTTATAGTTAAACTATCTGTCATTAGATATCCTAAACAAATACAACTGATTATTAAATGAATAAAAATACTAAAGTTGGTTACAAAACTTTTATTTTCTTACAACAAATCTACATTTACTGATAAAATACATTCAATTAATATTTCGACAGCTCAACATTTATAGAAAACTCAGATAAAATTAGGCTAGTGATCGTGACCATGAAACCTCTGCGATCATTTTAAGATAAAATAACCGTACATTTGAGGTCACGAACATGTCTTAAGGCCAGGAAGCCTTCTATGCACATACATAGTCGAAACATGTAACAGTACAGTCACGAACAATCGGTATCGTAATTTAAATTAGGTACTATTTATTTACCTAGCAAAGTAATTGGATGTACAAAATCTACGGGAATGCAAAAGCTGTCCGCGACTGAACAATAGAAATTTATTTTAAAAAGTTAGAATTAGGCCACAATTTCGTTTAACAATTATCACACAATTTGCAATCACAATTTCGCCAATAATCTGTACAAAATAAATTCTTTTAGGTACGTTTATTTCTGAGCAACAAATTTTTAAGATTAATATTGTTATTATAAAGACAACCGGAATTGATAATTTATCTATTTGATGTATTTCTGTACATACGAGAGCAGAAAATGAGGATGTGTATTATGCATGCATGTAGATTATGCGTTTGCATGCATGCATGATAGATGACAGACACAGTGGTGCTAATTCTGTTGTCCGAAAAATCTCTAAACTAAACTAAAAATCACTAAAAATTAGTTTTTAACTAAAAATAACTTTTTCAGAATACGAAACATTATTTGACAGGACTAAACATTTTTTTTGTGATTTTAAGTTTAGTTTGAGAGTTTTCAAACAACAGAATTAGCACCATTATCTAGATTTTTTTGCCAATAATCTTCCCCAGTAACACATCAAATGGATAGTAAGCTCTAGGTGTGCGCATTAATCTATTACAAATATTACAAGTAAGTACGGTACATTACTGGGTACTGCTATTAAATACGTAGATATGTCTGGGAGAGTTAGGAAGCCTAAGTACGAGTATATCAAGAGTAAGTACTTGTAGGCACCCTGACGATCCAAATAATTTTGACTAAGATTCTGTGTCTATGACTATATATGTCTGATTAAGGTACAGTCAGCGACAAAAATATCATAAAACGAATAGAATACTAATCCTAGAATAGTAACTTTCCAGAACTATGTACGGCAGATAAAAATTCTGTAATTTGCGAATAGGAAATTAAATTTCGCGATTGTGTGTAGTATATACATGAAATGTCATACTGGTACTGTCTTGAAACCTAAACGTTCTAGTATGTGTTCATTGCAGATTTCTTTATCTAATGTAGAATTCTGCAGGCCCCCATATTATCATCCGTTATTGAAATTGTTTCCAGCGGTCTTTAGCTGGGGCTACAGTCGGCGAAGCGGCGCAACGTGGCGTGAGTAGTTTGTAATTTACTAGTTACATGATGCTCCTGCCCAAGCTGATGCCATGCTCAAGACATCATTTAGCGCCGTCCGCTGTCTGCCCCAACTTTGAGGAAATAAATGTTGGTAAAACATTTATTAATCCTTCAATTGTCAAAACACTTTTGAAAGGATTTCTTTTTCGGGCTATTGCCACTATCTGATGTTTTACATCCACGTATCTAGAATTTAAATCTTTTGCATACAGAGTGTACTTTTGTGAAAATATTTCGGATCGTCAGTGCCCAAGATTAATGTAAACATTACAAGCAACAATTAATTTCATTACTTTCAGTCATATCCAGAGATTGAGTCCAAAATGACCCTGTCGTAGTCTGTGAGCATTCAATTTATTGTCTTACAAATTCTTCATTCTGAAATCCTTGATTTGGAAGATGTGTTCAGAGCCCAATAGTTTGAGCGGATTCTATGCTCCGTTTATTCCATCAGTTCTAGTTTTTCTCTCTAACTCCATTTCCTACATCTCTCTATTTTGAGCCAAACCTAGCCAGCCTATTTAAATTTTTAAACCGACATGGTCCTATTCTTGTAGTCTTTTAGCCCAACCTCAGGCTAATTTGTAATTTGACCTTTTTCGTAATTATCTTATCAAGTAATTATGGGCCAGAAATGTATGTTCGAATACAATTTTTCATAATCATGAATTAAAGTTATATAGTTTTACTCTTGTTTGTATTGCGGGTACACCTGATATCTAACGCGGCAAGACGCTTCTCTTCTTGACAGAGAGCCTTTTGGACCCGGGAAAAAAAGAATCCCTGAAAAATCCACACGAGAGTAAATCGTATATTCTTAATTCATAGTGTCTAAATTTGAGTCTCATAGTCTCGTTGAATATTGTTCCTCGATGGGCGGTTAGTAGTTTCTAGAGTGCAGTTCGCTGGTCGTAGACGATGACAGCATCAGCATCAAAGAACTGGCTGTGTGACTTGCTGAGGGCGATTATTGCAGCGTGTTCACTGCGCATACGGTTCTTGTATTTCTTGCTTAAATTCACCTGTTAAGGATGATGTTTGGACTACAGATCTATAGGCTGATACATTTCGAAGAAGACTTATTTAAGATTAAAAAAACTTCTCATAAGAACTGAAAGTCTACTTGTAATGAGATATCATAAATATTAAATATTTATTCAACATTCGTGTGGTGACGGATTAAGAATAAGGAGTGTCACCTATTAATTCCGTGGGTGTCGTAAGAGCCGATTAAGAGAGCAAACTACGCAGGACAACAGCGTTGCAAAGAGAAGGAAAACTTGACACAAACCCTATACTAACCCGTCTGGTCAGCGTGGCATAGTAGGCCAAAACCTCTTGCCTAAGGAGAGGCCTATGACCAGCAGTGGATTAATAAAGGTTGTTGATGTGATGATATTGCCTAAATATTTGGCCTATGCTACGTTATATTACCGACATTTTGTACAGATGTATGTTTTCACACTCTTTTATGTATTGTACAGCCGTGCTCCCTAAAATAACGTCGTTTCCTTCCATAATTTTGTGGAGTGTTTCTTAAACCATGTGTTGTTTCTCTCTGCCGTAAGTGTATTTAGATATGAATGGAATTTATAATATAACAGCAGAATTTAGTAAAATTCTTTTAATTACCATTAAGAAGCGATTGTATACTCATTCAATCAGACTTGCATCACAAAACCATGCGGTACAGTATTCAAACTTAACTAAATCACATAGATTAGGTAGGTGCTTGAAATGTACACGTGTAATACTGAATTTGTTGCGAAATGCGACACATGTAAACAATTAACTTGTGATAATCTGTGCTTTAATACGTAATCAAAATTCTTTGTATTATCACTGAATGTTTGGAATGCTTTCTTTGAATATTTGCAGATAAAGTGCAGAAAACTAAAAAATTTAATGTATGCTAGTTATGTAAAAATAATAATATGTATGACTGCACGGATGGCGTAGTGGTATAAGCGGTCGCCACGCCGCTTCCTACTACGCCGAGTGTTGTGGGTTCAAAACCCACATAGGACGACACTTTGTGTGAACCACAAATTGTTGTTCTGAGTCTGGGTGTTCTTTGTGTCCGTTTCATGTATGTTTGTAAAGTCCCCCGGGACACAGGATATTTTCCTAATGCGGGAGTTGTCTTTAAAAAAAAAAAAATATATAATGTAAAAATAGCCATGTAAAACTAAGCAGGACCAGTACACATTGACCCGTCATTGTACAAAAGTCGGTCCAAATTATACTGGTAATTGAAATTAAACAATACATTCGTCGTCCGTCAGGCGATCTCCAGAAATAATCATCATCATCAATCGGTCTAGGGATTGTTTCAAGTTTTCCTTCTCTTTGCAGTGCTGTTGTTCTGCGCAGTTTTCTTCCTTAGTCGGCTCTTACGACACCCACGGGATGAAGAGGGGTTGTGGCACTCTGTGTTCTCAATCTGTCGCCACACCAGATATAATAAAGCAAGGTAAGAAGGCTCAAAGCCTTGGCAGCAGCTATTTCGAGCTCATAATCCCAACTCCAGCCGTATAAACAATATCTTTCTTATCATAGCTTTCTATTCATTTCTATCTTTCCTTTTAATTTAATCCCAATGTTCTGTTGTGTTATCCGTGTCGTGATTGAGTAAGAACACGTAGTGTCACCACTCCTATTCATTCCGTGAGGGTCGTAAGAGCTCACTAAGGGAATAAACTACGCAGGACAACAGCACTGCAACGAGAAGTAAAACTTATCACCAGTAATCTGTTAATACGCGTCTGCCTTTCCTGCGGTGCTTTAGACACGAGCCTGTGTGTGTTTATTAAACTATGAGAGATAACTCTTACCTTGGCATAAAGTTGTTGTAAGTCGTCTTCAGTGGAGAGTGGTCGTGGTTTGGGCCTCAGGAAAGCTGGCAGAGATCTGGTTTTTAATGCGTCTATGTTCGCTGCGTTGTCAATTTCGTCTAACACTATAACACATTAAGCGTATTATTAAAGACATTCTTACTGGGAACCATGGGGACTAACTTTATGTACAGCCTATGTAGTCCACTGCTGGACATAGGCCTCTCCTTAGAAAGGAGGTTTTGGCCTACTATACCACGCTGGCCAGACGGGTTGATATAGGGTTTGTTTAAAGTTTTCCTTCTCTTTGCAGTGCTTTTGTCCTACCCACGGGATGAACTTCGGGAAGATTCCGATTTTGTAGGGTGTTACGCGATTTTGCCGTCAATAGTGAGCAAAAACCTTCATTTTAAGCGGAGGCTAATATCCAGCAGTGGACAGATTGAGGCTGTTGATGATGAGGAATGATGATCTGATGTTGTGAGTTGTTTGACTGTGAATTTCGTATCGTGGGGTCTACTTAAATATACTAACTGCTGCTAGAGGCGTACTGCACGGTGGAGTCCCGCTGTTCCGGGACGCGGTTCACGTAGCAGTGCGCCGGGTGCCGCGCCTCCCGCGCACCGCGACATTCCGCGTCTCCCGCGTAGCTCACCGGCCGCGTATGGCGTTGTACTTGAACCTGGCAGTACACGTAGACTTCGTTGATAAAAATTTTACCCTGTTGCTCTAGTGGAAATAGTGATCCTGACCGCTAAGTCAAAGGTACCCCCAGGACACATATTGGGTGACAAGCACTATCATTTTGTTCTGTGTCTACGCCCCATCCCTCCTCACCTCAGTCAGTCCGCTGCGCAGTGTTGGCAATGTGCCGTCTCCTTGCGTCCGATACGATTTAGGTCCTCACCGAAGCAACCCTGCCCAGTGAGTACCTGCGTCATTCGGTAGGTGACGCGACCTCCTTCCCTACCTAGCTTCGAGGTTAAGCAGAACAGCGTCGACAGCGCATTGGCGCGTTTTCCGCGGCTGTTCCAGCCGCGCGCCCCACTGCACCAGTGCCTCTCGGTGAGCGCTCCACCGCATTTCAAGCTCGTCCTGGTCTTAACGGCTCGGATCGGAACCCCGGCGGATAGTGCGAGTCTGGTCGTAGACCTTCGCGTCCATATCCGCCAGGATATCAAAAGGTGGGCAACGTGTCGCTGCCTCCGACGATATAGTGCGGTATCCCCGTACGATCCGAATAGCCGTTACCCGCTGCGCTTGATTGAGTTTAGCTCAGCAGCAGGAGGAGGTCGATAAGCGATTTGTAGAGGGAGAGGGCCAGTAGAGGGCCATGGATCGTATCACCCCACTGTAGAGGCGGCGACCTTCCTCCCGTGGACCTCCTAGATTAGGCAACAGCCTCTGAAGGGAGCCCGCCACTCTGCGAACTCGGGGGATCATCCGCTCGAAATGCGAAATGGTTTGAACTCCACCTCTGCGTTTGCTATAGCAACATAGGACTTCCGTCTTATTATCCGTCTTATCTTATTAGGTGCAACCCTTAGACCCAGACCGCTGATCTTTTGGACGACACAACCCACCCCTGACTCGGCAAGCTCCACACTCACACGCCATCATTTCTAATAGATTTCACTATGAAATACCATATCCTAAACCGAACAATTTTGAAGAAATTGGACTTTTAAGATTTTTTATCCTATATATAATAATTTGGTTGGGTGGCTCGTGCGGATACGCATATGCAGTTTCCGTAACAAATCAGAACATCAGAATATTCCTCCTTCGTATAGGTCGTCATCTCCTACAGTATCAGAAGCACAATAAGTTAGCAATAGTCATGAATAAAAAACGAAACAGTCCAAACAAAAATACAAGCCAAGTTTTCAACTACTAAACTACTACGTACTCTACCGGGTTACGGGTACGCTAATTCTTAATACTCCCGGTCTTTCATCTAAGTTTTTTTTCGATGAATTCTGAAAGTATCCTAGACTGTTATACCTTGTTAGATAGCTGACAATACGTACATGTTTTGCAACATATCTGCAGTTTAACTGTCTCCGATTATTATTTTTCGATATTACTACAATTTTAGTTATGGAAATTATGAAACAATATTTTAACTACACAAAAGCATTTTATACTTTTTTTATGGCAGAAGGGGCAAATGATCAGACTTGTGATGACAATTGAACGTGCGTGTGCACACATATGTTTGTATTTTTTAAATATTTTTCGTCGTGGTTGTAGAGCATTCGGATAAATCTGTCGATTGCGATGAAATGCGGCGATATGCGGATTGGTCTTGGTATTTATTTATTTTATATTTAGAAATTTAAAATTATATTTAAGTAAGTACTTTACAAGTAATATACGTAGGTACCTATTCTAAAAACAATGGCACAAATGATGTTTTGGGTCTAGATAAATGTGTAATGTTTACAAGAATACGTAGGTATTATACATTATTATTTTGATATGTAAATATCTACAGAAAATTATTTACAAGTATGTGTTAATATATTTATGAGTTAAAGATTTTTGATGTGTATTGGCTTAACATGTGTTCTAATTATTTTTATTTGCACTTACCTCAGCATGTTTTATTCTATAATTTTCCTGACTAGAGTAAGCATGGTTTTCTTTAATGGCATAATTCTCTTTGAGATATTGCTCATCTACAAGAAAACAATAACATTAGTTAGTTAGCACTGAAAAAAAATACAAATTAAAAAAAAAACTCACCAAACGATTTCTGATGGCGCGGCATTAGGCGGCAGTAACAAATTATAACTAACAAAATAACAACTCCGCAAATTCCTCCTATAAGCCAAGATAACCAAACAATTATAACGCGACCCTGTAAATAAACATTTCATTTAAATCTACATAGTTCTACACATCAGTTATTGATTTTACGCTTGCCCACTATTACCTGCAGAAACATTTCAGTTAATAAAACAAAAGCGATACTCGCTTAGTTTTGTTCCCTTACTATAACGTTTTCCTAACATTTTAAATAATTATCTTAAGCAATTTCTACTTAAATATAATAAAACTATGATAAAATACTATAGTAAAATTACGAAATGAACATGTCCATTTTTGAAATGTACGCGCCTGCGTGTTTAGCGCTTTCGTTTAGAAATAACCACAATCGTTTTCACAAAAAACTTTAAATATTTGGTGAGTAAATCTGAATTATATAATGTTGAACATCGTAAAAGTTCTTGTACCTTTTGAAAAACCTAATAATTATACAATTTGGTTTTTCAAAACGATATTAAGGTACTTTGATGCCCACTTCCGAAAAACAATTCAGTATAAAACGTTTCAGAACTCTTAATAAAATATCAATCGACATTGACGTTTACGTTTCTTTTTATGTATTTAAATTATTGGACGATTATTTTAAGATAAAGTAAATAAAAATTGATCGTTATTTAGATTTTCAATAATTATACTTTTATCACAAATTAGTAAATAAATGACAATATCTGAGAGTAGCGACAAAGTAATTTCATATTGTAAATTAGAACCCTTATTCTCAGATTTTGACGTACTATTGAACGTAAAGTATAATGGATCATTATATATTTCAAGCTGTGCCGTTCTGCTTCTGCTACTTACTGTTACTATAGATGGAACGTGGTTGGCTGTCCGTCTGATAAATGAAATAATTCAATTGTTTTGATTCTTCGCTGATTTCAAAACAAAGTTGTTGACGCCAACCATTACCAGCTGAGTGTGAGCCGTTAATTAATTTTATCAGTTACAACCCCGCCGATCCGATCGTACGATATAAATACGTCATTGTACCTCTGAACTGCAATGATTATAATTTAGCAGCAACTACAATCGGACGTTAGTTGCGTAAAAGTATTAATAGTGTTGACGATACCAATTTGTATTTATGAGTGACATAGTGGTAGGGGAAGGAAATGACTAGTCCAAAACTGAGTTTTCTTGTAATTTTCATTTACGGTTTTCTTTCGCACAAATCCCAGGGTCTTTCGCCAGTGATCCTTAGTGAGTATTTTGATGTCAGTTTCTAATTTTTTTTAAATGTATTGTAAATATTAATTCCTTATTTTTAAATATAAAAAGCAATTTTGTAGCCCTTAGTTTTTTGATTATAATATTGTTTTTAAATCAAAAACTATTCCTATCTAATACGGGATACAATTAAAATATAAGGTATGAGCATGTACCAAAATAAAATAGAACTTTATTACCTAAAACATTTCATAACAGATTAATAAACATTCTTTATTTAATTTCCTCAGTACCTGGAGATGGAGGTTCTCAAATGGAGGCGAAGCTAAACAAGACCCATGTAGTCCACTACATATGTGAGAAAACATCGGATTTCTTCAACATTTGGTTAAATTTAGAGCTCCTGGTTCCATTCATAATTGACTGCTGGGTAGACAACCTAAGGCTGGAGTATAACAATGTCACGAGGAGCACATCAAACGCAGCTGGGGTTGAAATCCGTGTACCAGGCTGGGGTAATCCAGAGCCTGTGGAATGGCTAGATCCATCTCGTGACAAAGCTGGAGCATACTTCACCACTATAGCTGATACACTAGTCAAGCTTGGTTACCAGAGAAATGTGTCCATTGTTGGTGCACCATACGATTTCAGAAGGGCTCCGAGTAAGTATTTGCTATCAATTTGTTTACACTTCAGACACAACCCCTCTTTTTTTTAGAATACAACTTATTTATTTTTAAAAATAAAAATAAAATAAAATATTGTTATACTCGTAATGAGCAGCTTTCCGGAACTTTATTATGTGATTTTCTTAACTTTTTCTCCTTTCTGCAGGTAAAACACAGGGTCTGTGTTTATAAATATTTATCAGTGCTTAAAAACAAAACTGTTTTTTTTTTAAATAGAACAATAGAGTAACAGAACAGTTTATATGTATTATTACATATGTAATAATTAAAGCTATGGATTTTTTTATGAACACAGACCAAATATGTACCATATATATGCTGCACGTAAGGTGCTAAGGATGTTATTTTGGATCATACTATAGCCAGACCTCATCATATCTACCTGGAATGTTATTTAAACATCATAAACAAAAAATATTGTTATAATAAGCTCCATTGTTTTTTCTGTCCAGCTATCTATTCAAGAAGAGAGGTGTATTTTTATCAGTGTAGTAATAATCATATTTTATAACTATCTATGTCCATAGATACAGTTTGTTGTTTATGAGTCTAGTAAGTTATGAGATAAGCATTTACATTTATCAAAATAAAAAATGTCCTATTGCAATTAAGCATGAGGGTCTATGTCCCCCCGGTCGAAATGCTACCCGAAGTGTCGGAAAGTCTTGTGACACATTTTTGGTTACGCTCCTAAACCTATAGGGTAAATGAACAGACGTAAGTAAATGACTCATGGACTGCTGCAACTCCAGAGCCCCCCAGTATCGAGGGGAGGGGTGGGACTCCGGTTGCCGCAGTAACTCAATGAACAGCTACAAAAAAATAGCTTGAAAGCGATTTTCTGTGTTATCACTAATCGAGCCATCCTATTTTTGTCAAAGTGTAGCTGTCCCACGGTGTAAATCTTTTTCAACCATTTTCTTAAACAAAAATTTTTATTACCCAAACAAATTTATTCAGTCACAGTAAGTAAAAGGCGTTCTTTAAAAATAATTATTTACACAATTGTTCATACAATGACATGAACTTTTCTATACCAAAAAAGAAATGTTATACCAATAAAATACCTTATATCAGAAATATATATGTACTACTCAGTAGTACAATATTTACTTGCAATTTTTTTGATATAAATTATTTCTCAGCTGTTTTTTCTGTTAAATATCAGATAAAGCTATTTTTCACGCCCGCAACGCACATCACTTATAATATAGAACTAAATTCTTTTAAATAAAACTTAATTATTTAAGTAATATTTGACGTCGTTTTAAGTTTTGTGCACCTGATGTTCTGTTACATAAAAATACTACGCATAACTCTATACCTAATTTCAGAAAGCTAATTTCTCGTAATAGAGATTCAGTCAAAATTCAATTCCGAATCCCGACCAACTCGATTTCACAACTGTCATAAAAGTTATTTTCGTAGAAAAGTATTAAACATCCAACGTCGACTGTAATGTGATTATATTGTATTGTGACTTTGTGACCTAACATTGAATCAGTTATCTGCTAGTCTTAGTAATACTTCACTACTTTAATACGAAAATACCTTTTATGACAGTTGCGATATCGAGAGTTGATCGGATCTGAATTGTGACCGAATTTTGATTACGAGAATTGGCTTTCTGGTCTTAGAACCAAGCAATTCAATTTAATTATATTTTACAAGCAATGTAACAATTATAGTGTAAGTACTTTTTTATCAAGGCGAAATGAATGACAAATAAATGTATTTACATTTAGAGATACGATATCAATGAACTCGAGAGTTCATTAATATTGTACCGAATTGTACTTTCCCTAAGTAATACGCTAACTACCACGGATTTTCGCAATCGATGAAAACTTTTTTAAATTTCCTTTCAATGTGGGCCATAAAGTTCTATTGCTTATTTTTTTTTAACTAAGTTAGGACACAGGCATATGTCACTTAACCAGGGTTTCTGTAAACGACACTACTCGCGTCGTCAACCCTATTACGATATTAAGATACTCTGTAAAGTATATATAGAATAATCTATCATAGTGTTGTTTGCGATTTTTATAGGGTTTACAAAAGTGTTTCTAATTTCAGGAGTGCAAATACTGTGCTGTCTCTTTCTTCATTTAACTTTTTTCATATTTCTAATGCTTCTTATATTTCATTTATAACAATGACATGCATTAAGATCTCGATAGTGGAAAAGAATTCATTATTGCACGCGACAATAAAAGTTATGACAAGTACCTAAATATATCTTGCGTGATTATCATAAAATTCACATTCCAAATTAAGTTATTGTAAAATAAAATAATAATGTATTGAAATAAATAAGTTAATTATGACTATATATTATGAACGCACTGTTTATAGTTGAGTTATACAAACTTGATAGATAGATAGGTGCGCTTTATTGCACACCATAATTAGGATACATGCGATGATACATACAAAAAAAGACAGTGATGCAATGGGCGCCCTTATCGCAGTCTGCGATCTCTTCCAGGCAACCTTTAGATGGACTATACCATAGAGTAATACCTATGTAGCAGTGGTGCGCATTTACAACTACCGTATATTAACAAATGTTTACATACATAATTACACATACACGAATATACATTCATACATTTACATACATACATATATAGATACTAGCTGAGACCCGCGGTGTTACCCGCGTTTTTTGTTATAACCGCAGGCAACGCCGCGGGGCGAAGATAGTCTAAAAAAAGTAGCCTAAGTTACTCCTTATGTCATCAGCTATCTGCCAGTGAAAGTCCCGTCGAAATCGGTCCAGCCGTTCCAGAGATTACCCGGAACAAACAGACAGACAGACAGATAGACAGACAAAAATTGAAAAAAATGTTTTTTTGGCACATGTACCGTGTAAACATACATATGCATTTAGTAAAAAGCGGTTATTTTAATATTACAAACAGACACTCTAATTTTATTTATTTGTATAGTATATATGTATGAATACATACATACACATACCAATATAGCACATAGTTATTACCGAGAACAATTATTAACGATCGAACGACGAACGTCCCTTATAAATTTAAATTGCAAAATCTTTAGGCTTCCTACATCTTAAAAATTCAAGGAAATAGTAGGTTTTCTAGTACACCATTAACTTTATAAATCTTCCACAGATGAAAATTCCGAGTTCTTCGTAAACCTCAAGACTCTGGTGGAGGACACGTACAATCTGAACAACAAGTCTTCTGTGACTCTCTTAGTGCACAGTATGGGCGGTCTCATGGCGGTGCACTTCCTACGGCTGCAGCCTCAAAAGTGGAAGGACCAGTATATCAGGAGACTGGTCTCGCTCTCTACGCCTTGGGCTGGATCTATGAAAGCTGTCAAGGTATTTGCTATAGGTAAGTAATCACTCTTTCAGCCATGAATACGCAACCGATCGTCATGAAATTTTGTACAAATGATGTCAAGAATACAAAAAAGGACATAATATCTTTTTCATCCAGAAAGCAATGAGAATAATTCAGACTGCACGAATTTCGTAGTGGTTTAAGCGTGCACCTCGCCGCTTCCTACTGCGCTGAGTGTTGTTCGATCATTGAATGATTGTGTGATCCACAAATTGTTGTTCTGAGTCTGTGTGTTCCTTGTGTTCGTTTCATGTATGTTTGTAAAGTCCCCCGCGGCACAATTCCTTGTCTTTCTTAAGAGAAAGAGAGAAGAGAGAGAATGTTGCCGAAGGGTAACCGAATGACAAATTGCACTGTGTAACAAATTTATATTAACACAAACGAAGCGCTAGTAACACTATAAATGTATATGTGAGTTTGTTTTTTACGTTCTTTAACACATTAACTACTCAATTTGGATGAATTATAATTATAGTTTTAAAAAACTGTAAAACACGTTTTCTAAAGAAAACTTGTTTTTTAGTTTTTTTAAACTATATTTTTTTTTTATTAGTGTATTGCCATCGGTCCTCGATATATCTAAAAAGTTTGAACGAATTCTGACCGTTTAAAGTCAGTCAAAATCACGCCCAAAGGAGTCGGTTACAAACATACAAGTGAAGCTAATATAAAGCGTGTAAAAAAAGCATACTCGTTTTGTTTTAAAAAAAATCTGTTGACAGACTACGAGCTTCTTCTGGTACCTATTACTCAGGATGAAGGTTGAAACCTGGCTTTATTGCGAATTTTATGTATATTCTATATAATAAAAATGAGATGCTGTTCGTTAGTCCCACTAAAACTAGAGAAACACTTTATAAATACAGGACAAGATGCAGGTAAAGGAAAAGGAGTATTATTTATGCAGAATACTGGTTAAAGTGCCTTGAAATTTTAATATATCAGCCGTTCACTTCATCAGCGTGCTGGTTATGTTTTATTGAAGGTCTTTTTGTAGGTAATATAATAATAATACAAGAGCAAAGCTCGACTGCACGGATGGCGTAGTGGTTTAAGCGGTCGCCACGCCGCATCCTACTACGCCGAGTGTTGTAGGTTCAAACCCCACATGGGACGACACTTTGTGTGATCCACAAATTGTTGTTCTGAGTCGGGGTGTTCTTTGTGTCCATTCATGTATGTTTGTAAAGTCCCCGGCGACACAGGATATATTCAAGGATTAATGCGGGAGTTGTCTTTAGAGAAAAAAAAAAAAAATAAAGCTATATTAAGACTGTAGTCCCCAAGCGTGAGAACTCGAAATTGAAATCGAAACACCCCCATTAATATTTTACATGCACACAGGCGCATCGCGCACTATTATACTACCCTTTTTTTCCGTGCGGAAATCCCCTCAGATACCACCTATCGGTGGCATGTCGGACACGAACCGACTAAAACCGCACGCCGTCTCGGGTACTAATAGCCGGGGAACCAGGTATACCCTAGAAAGGAAGTCCCTGGTGCACTATTATACTACCCTGGAAACAAATCAATCTACTTTCGGTTTTTCGTATAAGGTAGATATTCATCACCTCTTCGTCTTTGTATATTGTTTATATATTTTAGGTTTAAATATTGTGAAACTCGCGGGGCCCGTAGTGACTAGCCGGCGACAAAGGATGTGGTACAAGTGTACGCTTTGTGGGTATTATGTTAAAACTATTAGTTTTTATGGGTTATTAGAAATCTCAATACTGAAAAACTGTGGGTTTCATAGATGATAATTTATTTATAAAAAAAGAAATAAATACAGATTAAAATAAACACAGCGATTTAGTCAAAGTATATTTATTTAATAATATCTTTTTTCTTTTTATATCATCTCTTATGTAAAGTCATAGATCCACACACAATAAAAGAAATCTGTTTTGTCTAATATTTAGCAAAATAAATGTATACCTATAGCAAACTCGTTTCCAAGGGGTAGAGCCTTATGACCAGAAAAGACAAAGAAACTATGGGCCAATCTTTTTAAATTACCATTTTTTTTTGCATATTCATTGTTTTATCTTACGTTTAGTTGTTTCTAAAATAAAACTCACATTCTTAGTTCCTCTAAATGTTGCTCGAAGAAAATAATAAATTAGCAGTAGTGAGAGTCCGACACTCGCAACCCACCTTTCTGCTTGTCCAAACAATTGATTTAATATATGAATATTCGGGTGGCACTGCAGTTTTTGCGCGCGTGTATTCTATATTTGTTGCACATTACGGGACACAATTTCTACGTTCTAAAATGTATGGACAACGGGGATTTTTTTTTCGCTAAAAAATTCATGATTTTTAAGCTTAGGTAATGGGTTTTTGGTCCTAATTAGTAAAGAAATTTAACGGTGAATGTATTAGCCACACTTTTTCCCGCCGTTAAATAAAATAGAACAACGATTTCGATGATTTTGGCCAATGCGAAGATTTTTTTTTCTCGAAAATAAAGAATTATTTTATAAGTTTCACGCGGTAAAAATGTAGAGTAACTGAGATTTTTTTAGTGTAATTTAATAAAGTGAGTACTTTTAAAAAAAAAATAGTAAGTGCTTATTCGCTTTTCTTAGGGATGTGCCTCTTAAGTTGGAATCTTAACCGTGAGAGTGGCATGCTCTGACACTATATGGACTGGCTCGAACTAAGTGACATCACAACCTTGTTAAGAAATTCTTACCGTGCATTTTACCGAGAGTGTGAGGTGCCCAGAATTAGGGGGCTTAGAGCCCCCTAATTCTGGGCACTCAAAAGTACTTAGCTTTTGAATTAGAGGTGTCTATGAATGTAAACACTTAACACCCGAAAGCCAATTCTCGGAATAAAAATTCGAACACAATTGAATCGGTTATTTCAAAAATCTAGTCACATTTTTTTTCATGTTTTTTTTTCTTGAAAATGATTTAAATTTTTCGGGGCTACACGCCACGTAATTCAATACATTCCTTCCTCTTCAAATAAAACCGCGTGTAAGACGTTCATCGCATAAACAATATTAGTCAGTGACTAAAGAGGTTTTATTTATATTTACATATCGCACCCTCGGTGCAACAAAGTCACAAGTAGGCAAAATTGCCAAAATGACTTAAGTATGCCAAATTGTCTATAAACCATTTCTTCGTTTGGGAAATCAAAGACAGCTGCGAAATTATTTGAATATATCGATAGATGGCATTAGTGCCTTTGTCGTTCTTGCTACTTTTTCGACGAATATTGGGAGAACAGAGTATGATTGGTAAGTAGTGACCCCGCGCCCGCATGAGTCAGTCGTGACTTGGAGCTACACCGGCTTAAAGGTATTAATGACAATTTTTATTCACGTATATTGAAATAACAAAGTGCCAAATAATTAAATTATATTTGTACCTGGTGCGACATAGTCACAAGTTACGACTTTTTTTTTGTTTCCTTTGTTTTTTTCAATTTTCTAATAAAATCAAAGAAATCTTTTTACATGATACTGTAGTTAAAAGAACAAATAATATAATTTTAATGAGATATCCCGGCTGCTGTAGGTAGTAATCTAAAAAAAAGGAAAATTGATCGAAAAAAAACTTTAAAAGTCCGTTCCTGTAAAATTACAAAATGACCTGTTGTGACTTTGTTGCACCGAGGGTGCGAAATATACATACAAATAAATTAAAAAAAAAACACTAAAAAAAAGAAAATAAAACAAACGAATAAATGTGAAATAAGCAAAAAATAATGGTTTTTGAAAAGACCGATTCAATTCAGTTCCGATCTATTCTCGGTCTCACTAAAATACACAAATAGTAATAATGAAAATACTGAAATAGTAAAACTAAGACTAGCAGATTAGCGATTCAAATTTCGATCACAACACTGTGTGTTCAGAGCACAAAAACGGTGTATTAGAGCTATTTCCTGTCTTAAGCAAACAGATTCATTTAGAAAGCTAAATATTCTAACTTTACCTTGTTTATATGTATACGAAACAGCTATATTTATTAAGTGTAATTTACATTTATTTGAACACCGTACAAGGCAACGTCATATTAACAAATTATGCATTAGACCATCTAAAACTGCACTACTTCATAAAAGTATATTCTGCATGGGCCCAAGAATATATAATAAGATACCATCAGATTTGAAAAATGAAAAGAACTTAATTTTATTTAAGAAAAAGTTACATGCTATTCTAGTTGGTAAAACTTATTATTCGGTAAAAGAATACATGGAAGATAATATGTAGAATGATGTAAATAATCTACTACTTACATCTTCCTTTGACATACATCAGTACAGAAATTTTGACGTATTAATTTGACATATTATAGTTTGTATTTATTATTATTTGTTTATTATGTATTATTTAACTTAAGGACTGTATTATTAATAGAAAATGACACTACTGGATATTATTTTGTTATAATCAATAATTATTGTTAATTTTTGCATGCTGTGACATTCGGCTTAATATGGTGAAACTAGCTGTATCTTTTCCACCTGTTTTTTTCTTTTTGTATAACCCATATTATCGCAAATAAATTGAATTGAATTGAATTGAATACGATAAAATCACATTACAGTCGACGTTGGATGTTTGATACTTTACTACGATAATACCTTTTATGACAGTTCTGAGATCGAGAGTTGATCGGAATTGAATTTTACGGAATTTTTATTACGAGAATTGATCGTATGCTGGTTAGCTTCTTATACCGTAAAAGAAAAAATGTACAGAACATCAACTACTACGATAATCAAGTTACCGTAAAAACGAGACGCATGTGTATGCATGCATAAAAGCGAAGCATGCAACACAGAACAGGGGCACACTGCACGGATGGTGGTTCAAGCGGTACGCTGTGTGTTTGTGTTTGTGTTTGTGTAAATTCATATTTACTTGTTATTAACGTTGGTGTCGACAAGAATAAGATAGTTTCCAATTACCTAGAATAATGATCAATCAAATTAATTCAGATAAACATTTGATTACTTAACTATTTTATAGCTTTTTAAGATCAATAAAAGTCGAAACATCAATTGTCATTTTCGATCAACAAAGTAAAATTTTTGCTCAACATACTTTGATCTAGTACCAATAAGCTAGGTTTCAGGAATCTGCATATTAATCGACATAGACACCTATTGGAATTGATTTTTTTAATGTTAGTGTAACGGGAGCGAGGAAGTGTTTAGGCCTTAAATTCCTCAGGGGTGATGGTGAGGGGTCCGAGTAGTTATTGTTATGGGTCCTGTCTGTTTTGTGTCTATATTATTACGTTTTTTGTAATTCGTAACTGATACTGTACTACTGTACTACTGTACTGTAACTGACATAATACCTCGTGATAATATTCTGTATTGTTTTGTGCACTGTAACTTATCTCTGTTTTATATAAGTGAGGATTTGTAACTATTGTGATTATCATAGCTGTAAATCCCCCATAGTTTGTAATAAATAAATAAATAAAATCAAAATAACTCAATCGTGAAATAATGACTAGAGATCGTCGTTGAAACTTCAAACATTGTTAACACGATAAGGATTTCTCAAGGATTCCATCTTTTGTTAACAATATAAAGAAAAAAAAATGCCTTGAACCAACAATTTATTTGTGACATCAGCAATGATACAACTTAATTTGAGAAATTACGTCTTAGTATAAAAAGTTAATGGTTTATAAGGTCAGTAGCCTTAAGTTTTTACAGTTTGTGTTTACAAGGTCGTTCTTTATGACCGTGTTTACAGTTTTGTGTATATTAGTTATTTGTACTAAATTCCTTTCCTTGAATTTTCCCCAAACTAGATTAGGGTCGGTCTACTACGATACTGAAATTAGATTTTTACGCGGAGCGACTGCCATCTTGCACAAAACTAGGAACGCACTAATCTATTGAAGTCTTTTAAAAATACTTCTAATTCAAGATGTATATCTTGTTATGGTTTTTTAAACCTTTTATCATTGATGCAAATTGCATTCGACGGTTTTTTTAGGGCTTTGGCGTGTAAGATTCAATGTTCACGGTTGCAATACTGCAAAACATAATGGTTACATAATTAATAATAAAATTTGTTTTTAATTCTTTGCAATGTCGGTAGATAAGTACTTGACATTTTTATCTAAATTATTACAACTACCAAGATCCATCCCACAAAAACCTGTAGCCAATATAACCAGCCCTTGCGCTGCTGAACCAGGTTGTTTAATCCCGGGAGCACTATTGAATATTTTTCTTTAGGGTACTTTCATAATACAATTATTATAATACTTACATATGGTCTTTTAGCTAATTTGATGTTAGGGTGAACTCCCAACCTTTTGTCTACTCCTCCAGATTCTGGGAAGGGTCTTAAATGGTGGCAACGTCGGTAGTTCCTTACCATAAGGTGACTCCGACTGTTCTTCTGCTCCTACAACAAAGTTTGTATGTATGTTGGTTACCCAATAACAAAAAATAATTCCACATACATTTGTGCTTGTATTTGTAATTAGCGAATTTATTATTATCTTTATTCAGAAGCAAAAGATATTACGTAAATAAATTATTTAAAAAAATACTTATGACGTAGTTGACAGATAATACTGTCAATATTATTAAATATGTTTTGTTAATTAATAAGGAAATAGCGATTAAGTTTAGAATTGTTTATTTATGAACATTTGACAGTTTTTATACGGATGTATTGTTATTTAATGTACTGAGTTAGTTCGAGATTCGATTTCAATGACATTTGATAGCGTCTTCGTAACGAGGCGGGGAGTAACGGTCAAGGCCTCGGACGCGTTATCGTGTGGCAGTGAGTTCAATTCCGCTGTAGTGATTTGAGCTAATTCATTTTAATAGATTCGAGGAGCGAAAGTAAGGCCCGTGATAACTCGTCTGTAAAGTGTATTTTGCGCCAAATTCGTACACATTTTATTGACCAAGTTTTTCGACGTTAAACCACGGACGTTGAACGGCGATGTAATTTTTAAAACTACCCGAAAAATTACAAAAGTCACGTAAATAATTATTTAAATTTTATTAAAATATACTTGTTTAATGTTAATATTCGATTAAGAAAGGTTTTAAGTCACAAATGTAATAAAAAATACCATTATTATTCAATGTTAAGGTGTGTAATGTACATATATATAGGGGTGTTTTTTTTTTAATTTTAATAGTGATTCTCGTCGGATATCTTTATGACAGATTTCTATTCTCTTTAGATATTTAAAATGAACAGCTGATTCCATTAAAATAATATTTATACAACCTAACAACCTAACCTACAACACCTAAACAAATAATATTTATTTAAATCGGACTAGTAGTTTTTGAGAAATCTTTCAAAACGTGTAAAGTTACGGGCAGCGGATGGATGCGGATTGACCAAGACTGGGATGGTTGGCGCTCCATGACCATGAGAGAGGCCTTCGTTCAGCAGTGGACAGCAATAGGCTGCTAATGATGATAATGAAACTTACGGGTCGTTATTCAGCTTTAAACGGGTGTAACTAATTCACTGGCATTGGGATCACACACACACATACACATATGTACATAAACATTCACAAACATATACAAATGGTTTGGTCTTCACTAAAATTAATATCGACCATCTCTTTGTCATTTTTGCAACATAGTGTAAGGGGATGACTACATGCTGAGATACAGGTTTTATAACCTAGTTCTGTAGACGCGCCCATCACTCTTTGTAACGTGTAATAAAACGTCTTTGATTTTATGTAGTTTTGCCATTGTATAAAACTTGTGTAGAGCTTTCTAATTAACTATTACAGTACCTGGATGACCGAGCTTTCCTCTGTATTATTTTTTTTAATTTCCTAAAAAGGAAACCTAGCTAGAACGATTAATCGCCCCCGAAACCCTCTGCATACTAAATTCCATGAAAATCGTTCCGCCGTTTCCAAGATTCAGATTATATATATACAAGAATTGCTCGTTTAAAGGTATTAGATTTATGAAAAAAAGTTATGTCATGCAAAAAGCAGCTTTATTGCATTGTTAGAATATTTAGAATATTTATGCTCATGTAGTATGGTATACTTTGTACCAAACAGCAAATCGAAAAGTGTGAATATAGTGTCAGCGTAGTTTACATGTTGTTTACAAAACATTACTTGTGACAACACAAACACATTACACAGGATGCGTCAATTTGTCATGTGTGCAATATCGGGGCAATGTCCCTCGCTGATTCTGAATCGTCATTCGTTAAATATGAACCCTTCGTATACGTAATTTTGTTCGTTTTAGTAGTTTTAGTGTTCCTCAGTTGATAGTAAAGTTGCGACAATATTTATGCAAAATTTCGTGGTAATAGGTTGCGTAGATAAGGCTTCTAATGTAACAAAACTATGTTGTTTCAGTATTAAGGAAGTAACGATGTCTCTGCCCAAAAAAGGACGCTTAGACGCTATTATAAGTCAATGTGCACTGCAAAAAGTTAAATTTTATCACCTAATACGTTGCCTTACGTAAGATGTTCCATAAATCTTTACTTACAGTTACTTTAACAAATGTCTCTATATCATCGCACAGGTGATAACTTAGGCAGCGTGATGTTGCGGGAGAGCATAATGCGTGCACAGCAGGTCACGTGTCCGTCGCTGGCGTGGCTTCTGCCGTCCCCTCTGTTCTGGAAGTCGAACGAGGTACTCGTCCAGACTGACAAGTTTAATTACACGATTCAGGACTTCCAGAAGCTGTTCACGTGAGTACCTTACTGTTTTTTACTTAAATAGTCCACTGCTGGACATAGGCCTCTACTTAGAAAGGAGGTTTTGGCCTACTATACCACGCTCGCCAGACGGGTTGGTATAGGATTCGTTTCATGTTTTTCTTCTCTTTGCAGTGCTGTTTGCTTGCGTAGTTTGCTCCCTTACTCGGCTCTCATGACACTTACGGGATGAATATGGGTGACGACACTGTATTCTAAATCCGTCACCACAGAGACAAGTGCGTTCATATGATGGAAATTTGGAATCGAATCTAATAAAATCATAAGTTGTGTAAGATTGCTCCTAAAACAAGTGTACCATTGGCTTCTGTTGAGATTAAATATCATTAAAAAAGAGCTGAAAATAATTCTATGTAATTGCAACCGGTTTCCAGTTGCAAATAAATGGAATAAGGTATATATTTCATTGACATGTTAAAAAGAGCTCGCGGACTTTGCCGCTATGTCCAAGTTGGCCCTTAGGGTGCTTTTCCACAAGAGATGGGCTATGCTACGTTGCTATGGATGCGTTTGATATCCACCAATCATATTCATTGGTCCATATAGTTTAGAACTGGTGGAAACGGGTTCAACTAACCTTAATATTGATGGAAGCATGTTATAGATGCGTGCTATGTATGGTCGTGAGTGGTGTATCTACGTGCAGAGCAGAACAACTACAGAATTCGTACTGTCCGTAAAAACTACAGACACTTTAACATGTCAATCAAATATATACCTTATTCCGTTTAATCACTACTGGAAACCGGTTGCAAATTAATAGATTTTTTGTTGTGTCTACCTACCTATACCTACTATGTAAGTATTATCTATACTATGCTATGTAAGTATTATCTATATTACACACAGACAACACCTTTTCATGGACTAGACTAAGTTTTTTTAAACATGACAGATAGATTTTTTTTTATTTGTACACCGTTTTACAAGTAGTATGGTACATAAAAATGACATACGTATACATGTAATGTACAAAGGGCTGCCTTATTGCTAAGAGCAATCTCTTCCAGGCAACATTAGGATTTTTGGAGAGACAGTAGTAGTTGAAGGTGCATTGAGTTTTGTTAGGTTAATTACTAATGAATGGTCCGTGTGGTGGGTTAAGAATACAGGGTGTCACCACCCCTATTCATCTTGTGGGTGTCGTAAGAGGCGACTAAGGGAGAATACTACGCAAAACAACAGCACTGCAGAGAGAAGGAAAACTTGACATAAACCCTATACCAGCCCGTCTGGCCAGCGTGGTATAGAAGGCTAAAACCTCCTTTCTGAGGAGAGGCCTATGTCCAGGAGTGGACTATTAAAGGCTGTTGATGATGAGATCATAAAAGTGGTAAAATTAGATAAATATTTACACATAAAACACATATTTATACAAACCCACAAATATACAATATACACACATATACATACATAACTTATAAGTATACCACATTAAAAAAATGGGAAGTAAAGAAAAAAAGGAACATTCTTATCATTTATTAATACGTAACTGACTTAATCAAAGATACATGAAATTCTCGAACCTGAAATTCTCTAGCCTGATGTTTATCGGCAATGCATTCCACAAGCGTACAGCTTCAACATTAAAAGAAAGGTCATCAAATTTTGTGGAATGCAGAGGCATCTCCAGTCTCAAATCCTCGGATGACCTCAGACATTTTTCATGTGTGTCATTAAGGAACTTGAACCGTTTTTTAAGGTAGAAGGGGCTTTAGGATTGAACAAGATGTTACAAAGAAAAATGAGGATATGAGTATTCAGGCTAGAGCAAATCGGAAGCCACTCGAGTTTTGATGGAAGTTAGAAACGTGATATTAGCCACTCGAGTTTTGATAGGAGTTAGAAACGTGATATTAGCCACTCGAGTTTGATGGAAGTTAGAAACGTGAAATTAGCCACTCGAGTTTTGATGGAAGTTAGAAACGTGATATTAGCCACTCGAGTTTTGATAGAAGTTAGAAACGTGATATTAGCCACTCGAGTTTTTATGGAAGTTAGAAACGTGATATTAGCCACTCGAGTTTTGATGGAAGTTAGAAACGTGATATTAGCCACTCGAGTTTTGATAGAAGTTAGAAACGTGATATTAGCCACTCGAGTTTTTATGGAAGTTAGAAACGTGATATTAGCCACTCGAGTTTTGATAGAAGTTAGAAACGTGATATTAGCCACTCGAGTTTTGATAGAAGTTAGAAACGTGATATTAGCCACTCGAGTTTTTATGGAAGTTAGAAACGTGATATTAGCCACTCGAGTTTTGATAGAAGTTAGAAACGTGATATTAGCCACTCGAGTTTTGATAGAAGTTAGAAACGTGATATTAGCCACTCGAGTTTTGATGGAAGTTAGAAACGTGATATTAGCCACTCGAGTTCTGATGGAAGTTAGAAACGTGATATTTTCTTAGCCCAAATACAAATCGTATACAGAGATTTTGAAGTCGCTCAAGCTTATCAAGTCGTATTTCAGTAAGATTCAGATAGCTATCTGACATTAGATATCATATTCAGACATCGGCATAGTCGAGAATTGGGAGGAGAAATGCTTGTGCAAGTTCAGTCGGAAGAAAGTTTCGTAGTCTTTGCAGGGACCCGGCAGAAGAAATAACTTACGACTGACTTCTTGTATTTGTGGACCCCAAGGAAAGTACTATCTATATAGATTCCTAAATTTTTGACACTAGTACTGATCTCAAGTGTGGTGCCATCGAATTGAATTAAGGGCAGTTGTGTCCAATTAATTCTTGAGACCAACCCAGGGCTACCAATTACATATACCTGAGTCTTGCCAGGATTATCTTTGAGTCCATAATTATGACTCCGTTCACCAATGCGCGATAGGTCTGCATTGATTTTGGTGAATGCCTCCGATAATAAGTTAAGCGGAGCGTAGAGGAGTGTATATATTTCTATATTATCTGCATAAAGATAGTAGAACGAACTTGAAGAGATGGAGTTTATAAAAACAGCGAAGAGTAAAGGAGATAAAACGCCACCCTGTGGTACACAAGCAGAAATACTGCATCAGGAAAGACAGGCGTTGCCGGCGATTACAGACAGGTAACTATGAAACCAATCAATAGTCCTTGGAGATATGTTAAGACACCGCAGTACACCAAACAAATGTTTTCAATTTATTTGAGTTCATCCTATGTATGTAACTCTCTGAAGTACTCGCTTAATTACGATTTAACTATTGTCAGTAGCTGAATATTACATAAGTAAATATTCTGTAACAATTATTGAGGAATGAAGGTGAATTCTTATCACGACTCACGAACGACGAACTAGAATCAGCCCAGAGAGGGTTGTGAGAAGGCTTGGAAGAGGGGGCCCTGGATCTGCGTTGCGTTGCGTTTATTGTGTTTTTTTTTGTGTTTATAGTAGTATGTTTGATGTGTTTATAGTCTTTATCTATTGATTAAGACTATAAACACATCAAAAAGATTTAGCTTGTAAACTTTTTCTACTTAAAAAAAAACAATAATCTGAAGACATAAATAACTAAGTAGTGGGTACGCGTTATCTGTCAGTTTGGACGCTCAAATAAACAATATAATCGTAGTATATGTGTGAGTCATAAAACATACATCACTGACACACTAAACCGTTCGACAACAACCACTATTCAATTGGCACTACAAAATCTACGCACAAATCTTCACATTGTAATCTTACTAAAGGCTAGGCGCACACACACTGTTTTAGGGCAACTCACTGCGCCGGCGCCTCCCCCGCCACTTTATAATGCTTTATTTGTTGTTTCTAAGGCTCTCCTTAGAAGCAACAAATAAAACAGGCCTCTGCCTATGTCCAGCTGTGGACTAGTAAAGCATTTTGATGACGATTTGTTTAACGCAATTTAAACATCTCTTTGCGAACAACTTATAAGTTAATTTTAAATGGCAAAAAATGTCGTATCGAATTGAAACTTTGGATGCGTACTATGGATGACAATACTGTAATTTGCCATCTTGGAGCTGACCGGATGATGGCAGACTAGAAGGTGTAGTGGCGAGGATGGGTCCGCCTTTACATCAGAGGGGAGAAGTTATTTTTGTGTATTTAAACTCATGACAAGCTCCAATTTGATTGAAATAATAATAATATATCTCACACATCTCACTCACGGCCGTCTGATCCTAAACTAGGCAGAGCCTGTACTATAGTTACCAGACTGCTGATAAACGTACTTATATATTTTTAAATAGATACATATTATAGATAAATTACACCCAGACACAGAACTAATGACCGTGCTCATCACACAATATTTGTCCTGGGTGGGAGTCGAACCCACGACCTTCGGTTTAGCAGTCAGGGTTACTGACCACCAAGACCAGTAACTAAGGGAGAAAACTACGCAGGATAACGCACTGCAAAAAGAAAGAAAATTTGAAACAAACCTTATACCAACCCGTCTGGCCAGCGTGGCATAGTAGGCCAAAACCTTCTTTCTAAGGAAAGGATTATGTCCAGCAGTGGACTAGTAAAGGCTGTTGATGATGATAATAATAAAGAGAAAAACGGTGAATAGCAGCTCTTCTTTGCATTTGCAAGTAATGAATGCACTTGGGATCTTTAATTACTACCTGTTTTTTTTAGTTTTAGTAAACTAAGGTATTGTCGAGTGACTAAAAACTCAATGTTCGCTCAGCCTTGTATACTACGTCATTACTTTTGATTGGTTATTGTTTTCCTTGTTAAAGATGACTCGTAGCGCTTGGTTGGGACATATACCATATATTGTAAGGTATCGTGTTGTTTATGTTCAGGAAAAAATACTGATGTTATCTTTTGACTGCAATAATCAGGAAGAGAAAGGAAGGAGTAGCTATAACCTCGCATGCGTTGAATTTTATGATGTCATAACTTCCGCATCTATGATGATGTTTAATTTTAACAGCACTATAATTAATAAAATTGACGAGTCCCCTCTTTAGTACTTATAATATGTGTTTAGCTTCAGGTAGTCGAACAAAGATGGAATGTTAATATAACCCCACCAGCAATTCAATGATTTTAATTTTTTGAATTTCAAAATAGAAGCTGCATGATTTCAAGATTTTTCTTTATCCATAAATGTTTATGAGATCTTGCAAATAAATATTTATTTTTAGCATACGAAATACTATAAGAAAAATATATGTTTTATGTAAAAAAACTTTGACGACGGATTAATGCGTGTGGTGACGGATTAAGAATACGGAATGTCACCACCCCTACTCATCCCGTGGGTGTCGTAAGAGCCGACTAAGGGAGCAAACTGCAAAGGACAACAGCACTGCTAAATGAAGAAAAACTTGAAAGAAACCCCTATACCAACCCCTCTGGCCAGCGTGGTATAGTAGGCCAAAACCTCCTTTCTAAGGAGAGGCCTATGTCCAGCAGTGGACTATTATAGGCTGTTGATGATGATGATGCTGAAAAAAACTTTAAAATCAAGGTCCTAATGGCGAAGGTTACTCTGAAAAACTGTTATTCCAATACGTATATGCTACTTATGATACATAAAATTAGATATTCTCTTGGTCTAGTTTTTGAGAAACCTAGTCCCCTGTTCTCGGTTTATCAAAGTCTGGTCCATTCATACTTTCGAAAGGGAGATTAGAATATTATATACCTTTACAGTGACATGGAGCTGCCGAACGCGTGGGAGATGCGCAAAGACACAGAGAAGTACACAAAGGACTTCTCCGCGCCAGGAGTTGAAGTACACTGCATATATGGGTACAACGTATCTACTGTTGAGAGGTGAGGATCATTGTTTTTATTACTTTTATGTATAAGTTGCATTGTTGGTGCCGTAAAAGTAGCATAATATGTTTCGGTTCGGTATAATTATTATTTTAAAAACTTGTAGTATCTGCCAATTTGTTCGATTTTATAATAAAATCCCCAATAATGTTCAAAACTTAAGTATTAAGAAATTTAAATCCGCAATAAAACTTAAATTATGTCAGAAAGCCTGTTACTCAATAGTGGATTACATAGAAGACAAAAATGCTTGGGATTAAATTAGCGCAGGCTATTTCTTCAATGGAAATGTGACGTGGGCTAGGATGTTTTTGTTATTGTTTTTTCTCATTTTTCTCTTTATTGTGTTTTAACCTTTTTTTAGACCTTAATAACGGACATACTGGCACACATTAGAACAATGTTGTGGTATGTTTAACGATGCCAATGCATTTATCTGTAAATTGCAAATAAGTGGTCATGAGTTTTTTGTCCTTTCTTCTCATAAGAGTCAGCCCCTTGGAAACGGGCAGTTGTAGATCGGCACAGGCATATCATAGATTTACGAATGGCGTAGTGGTTTGTGTAACGGACTGCTATTCCAAAGGTCGCGGGTTCGATTCCCGCTCAAGTCAAGCATTTGTGTGCATGAACATTTAATGTTTGATTTGGTCTGGGTGTTTCTATGTATCATATGTATGTATTTACAAAAAAAAAAGTATATATGTATTTATATCAGTTGTCTAGTACCCATAGTACAAGCTTTGCTTAGTTTGGGACTAGATGGCGTTGTGTGATTGTGGTAGAATATTATTATTATTATTTATTATTATTATTTTGTATCATTTTTATTAAATTTGTTTTTCTAACTATTTGACAAAGAGAGATTGTTGCTTTTCTGTGTGTGTTGATCTACGACTTTAGAGTCTACATATAATACGATTTGAAACAATTTAATTTTTTTTATGTAATAAAGATAATTTGAATTTGAAAACCTATTATTTTGACATTATGAGCAGGCGCTTCAATTTTCTTCATTTGTAGAGATGTAATACTTACTAAACTAAAATTGTTTTGTCTGACTAGTGACTAAATTACACAAATAAAATTACTTAAATGAAAAAAAAAAGTTGAATAAATTCAGGTACTAAGTTGAATGTTGTTTCTTTTTTTTATTTATGATAAATATACTAAATAAAGGCATTAACTCTTTCAGACTCGTGTACAAATCCGGTACATGGCTAGATGGGTACCCAACCCTTGCAACGGGCGACGGCGACGGCACAGTTAACCTGCGCTCGCTCAGCGCCTGCGAATATTGGAGAAAAAAGCGCCTCAGGAACGGCCATTCAATCAAGTCCTTAGCTCTGCAAAATGCTGAACATCTCAAGATACTCCACGATCAGCGAGCGCTGGACTATATCACGCTTTTAGTCAAGAATTGAGGGTAGTTCCACATAGTATTTAAAATAAGAAGACTGCTGTGATCACGATGTGCTTTCCAATTACAGCTACGACAAATTGACCGAATGACTGAAGTGAATGATATGGCATTCGAAACTTCCACTTTATATGCATTCAATTCCAGTCTATTTTAAATGTTAAATATAGAATTCAATGAAGTGGACGAGATATTGTTTAAATAATTGATTGTTATATTTAATGATCGGAAAAAGTTGAATCTTAATATGAATTAAGACGGGCCTGTTGGTCTAGTGGTTAGTGACCCTGACTGCTAAGCCGGAGGTTCTATTCCCACCCAGGACAAATATTTGTGTGATGAGCACGATCATTTGTTCTGTGTCTGAGTGTAATTTATCTATAATATGTATGTATTTAGAAATATATAAGTATGTTTATCAGCAGTCTGGTTACCATAGTACAGGCTCTGCCTAGTTTGGGATCAGACAGCCGTGTGTGAGATGTGTGAAGTTATTATTATTATGAATTTAAGTAGCAAAATAGTTCATACAACAACGACAAGTTGTATGAAGTGTGCTACTTTAGAACGGTTTATATTAAATATTCTATAGTACGTAAGTAAAATTACCTGTTAAGTTTGTCAAACGATTTTATGAAAATACACATCAAACTTTTAAAATATTAGTTGTTTCATGTTATCTGTAATATTACTAGATAGTAGAGGCTTGTTGGGCTTGTCAACCTAATTTTCTCATGAAACTAATTTACACAATATTCTATGTAGTTTTTGTTTTTAAATTCAAAGAAAAACATTAAGTTAAGCTCAACATACAAATAATTATTTCTTAATGAAAAGGAATAATATAATTTTTAACCAACTTCAAATACAGAGGTTACAGATAAATTTGTAAAAATTTGTAAACACTAACAATCTCTAATTGTGATAAATCAAAGATCTGTGTTTTGTTGATTGTTTAAGCGTTACATTTATTTGACTTTAGCTTGAATATTATAAAAATTCATATTTTGGAAAAACAAACATAATTGATTTCTGTGAGCGACTGTACCAGAATATTTTTCTAAAAAAGAAATTAAAAAATAATTATACTTTGCTCATAATTTGAGTAATATGAAATTAAGCTCTCTTAAATAAGTTGACCAAGTAAATATGCAACTGTTAGAAAAAAAAAAAACATAAATTTGATTTTTGTGAGTGACTGTACACTATTATTTGTTTCTAAACAACAAATTCATTAAAACAAAAGATATTTTGCTCATAATTTGACTAATATGAAATTAAGCTCTCTTAAAAGCTGATTATAGAATAGATTTAGCTAAATCTTATAGACCTTAACACATACTTTTTATCTCACGAAGTTAAGTCAACCTGTTTGATCATGTTCCGTAGTTGTATGCGTTGCAAAGCTTCGGGCTTGTTGTCTATTGCAAGTCTAACATATTAAGCTATCGTTCACACGCTTGCGAGTGTTAAATTGCGAAATTTTAAAGATGTGTTATGCTTATTAAAACCCGTGATCTCGTGAATACCCGTCACTGTAATTTTTGCCTTTCCGTTTTCGTGACAAATAGTCTACAACTGTAATAGTCAAGTCTTTAGTAATTTAAAATTGTTTCAGTACAATTAAGTGACAAGCCAAGCTTTTACGGCTGTGATAACCGCTCTGTCAAACGTATTTGACATTATATTTTATTATAATGTAAAAATAATATATTATTTATATACAGGTGGTTTTTACTTTACTTCTAACAGATGTTTTTTTCATTGTTGCTGTAAGTCATACTAATAAAATTGTAATATGTCGTATAGTTAAATAGAAACGGTGAATTCAAAACTAAAACTACATTTTTAATTTCAATTTTGTAGTTAATTTGACTACACTTTTTTTGTCTTGCGGAAATCCCCTCGGATACCACCGGTGGTTATGTCTGACTCGAACCGACTAAAAACCGCACGCCGTCTCGGGTACCAGTAGCCGGGGAACCAGGTGTACCCTAGAAAAGAAATCCCTGGTACACCGATGTACCCCTGGGCATCTACGGCGGGTAGATGACCCCCTCCTGTGTGGGAACCCCCACGTTCCCTTGGTGCTCCTCTCTCCCCTCTTGGGCACGCGCGCTCCGCAGCGCGTCTCGCCGCCACCCCGGCCTGCTTCTGCTAGGGTGACAGATGGCCTCACCTGTCACCCCCAGGCCTGCGAATTTGACTACACTTTGAAATATCGACATACGCACATAGAAGGATATTTAAACTAACCACAACACTTATTTTGTTTAACATATAATTAAGGGTTGTTATTTAACATAAAATATATTCAAATAATAACAAATATAACAATGACATGTGCGAAAATAGCTAATCTTCAAGTCTCAATCCCATTTCGAGACTTGTAATAGCCCTTATTATGCACTTTGTCCCTTCCCGATGGTCTTGTTAGAATTAACATTCTTGTTAAATTCTTTCTGAAAACGATTATATTCCCGGAGAGGTTTTCGAGTCGAGCAGAAAGCTGGTCGTGAAAGAAACCAGACTAGACTTTTATTTTGAAAAATCCGTTTTGGCTGCCGACGTCGAATAAATCTGGAATAAAGCACTCAAATTATAATGTATCACTATGCTCAGCAACACTATGTTCAAACGTGCTATTTTATCCTCATAGTGGCTAATTTTTGACTCTAAATCCTAACTACTTTCGAGCATTTGCCTACAATTTTTTTAATGATATTGCATTTTAATGTATTTTCATTTGTAACAACAAATTAATAAAGTTGATTATAAGTACTTATTTCTATTAACATACAGTAGTGTTAGTAATTTGTTTCTTCTATTTAATTTACACAAAATTATCATAACTCAGAAGTCACATACCGTGACTTTGAACAAAGTGTTTTAATGTTACAGCCATTTTATTTTATTGTAAACATTTTGACTGAACTGCATATATTAACATATTATAAATTTACTTCCTTTTAAGTTTTTTAGTTATTCCTTAGAAATGATAGAAAAAAGATTTATTAAAACAAGATGTATATTTATGTAAAAATACTCACTTCAATTTTAAGCTCAACGGACACGGGTCTAGTAGTTGGTACTACTGTGTATTTATGGAATTAAATGAATTAAATAGTTACCCATATTAATGCAATTTTATTTATATAATATTTAATATATGTTATATATCTGTGTAGTGACGGATTAGGAATACGGAGTGTCTCCACCCGTATTTATCCATGGGTGTCGAAAGAGCCGGTTAAAGGAGCAAACTACGCAGTACAACAGCACTGCAAAAGGAAAACTTGAAACAAACCCTATACGAACCCGTCTGGCAAGCGTGTTATAGTGGCCAAAACCTCCTTTCTAAGGAGAGGCCTATATCCAGCAGTAGACCACAAAAGGACGTTGTTGATTTAATGTATTATATTATATGTTTGAATTTAAAAATGTGGGCAAAATCGGATCTCAGATGTCACATCGCTCGAAGAGATGGCATAAGGATCGAATTAGATAGCGCTATTTATTATTGAAGTGAAAACTTCTTTAGCAGCCTTGTACACTTTTTTTTTTAATGGGTAAAAAATGTTAAACTCGCGTCAGGACACATGACCTGATCGAAAATTCGTAAGACGGAAGGAGAGTAGACAGCCGGCGCGGCGTAGGAGAGGAAGTATCCCCCTCTCTTTCTACGGCGCGGCGAAAATGTATGCCTGCGCCTGCTGTTTCGTTTAGGCGGCGCAGGGCGCTTGCGCGAATGTTCGTTTTTCTGAGAGATAAACTTTTTAATGCAATATAAATTGTCATATTTGTCTACGATAGCGCAATAAATAAATATTGTATTCTACCACATAAATGATAGTACTTTTATACTGATAATTAAAGCAATTCGTGCAAAATTATTCCCTAACCATTCCAAAAGATCAAAAATGCACAACGTTAATATTTCACTTCTGCCGGCACTCCCGGAGTGCAACCCGTCGTTTTTTTTTGCACCTTTTCTAACACCCTGTATGAGGTGCAAGTGTGTAATTGATTAGCTTAATGAGGGTTTTCTGAAATGTTCCACGTGAGATGGCAGCACTGTAGCGTCAGGTCCAACTACCTGTCAAAACACATACACGATTTGTATTTTTCGATAAATTTTTTGGTTTATTCTTTCTTAAAAACGTTACAAAAGGAATACTGATTTCTAAAATTCCACAGTGTTGTGCAGTGCCTATGTGTGCAAATAAAACTTTTGCGCCTCTCTTTTTGAGCTCAATCTTCAGTTCGGCAACCTTTCTCTGTCCGTAATCTATAATAAACTCAATAACACTGCCGAATTCATAGAATTTCACTAAAATATACGTTAAATATATATAATACGTTCGGTAAGAATGTGTGCTATCTGACAGCTGTTTGGACCTGACGCATACGAAGCGCCCTCTGGTGGCAGAAAAAGTATCGAAGACCCTCATTCTGTGGTATTAGTAATAGTTTATATTAGTGCAACTAGTGAATAATTATAATATAATCGTTGCGTGGGTGTGATTTAATGAATTCAAAACTACTTCACGTTAAAACTGCGTTTATTTAGTCACAGAAGGGCACCGTGACGGTTTATTATAATATTACTTAATAGATTGGTAATAGCAATACGTCTTCAGTTATCCATATCAAGTTACAAGTCTGTGCTTCAAGCTGCGAACGGTGGTACCAGAAGACAGTCTCAGAGAGCTGCAATCATCTGGAGGAACATGAATAAGGCGCTAGGTAGAGACGGGAGTTCATAGCCAGGACGTCACAGAGGGCGTCATAGGACTGCGTCGATGTTGGAGTTTGGATGTAAAGCGAGGTCAGTGGTGAGGCAAGTGTCAGTGCCACAAAAAAAAACTATGAGTACATTTTCCAATCTTATAGTAAAGAAGATTTAAACATACGTCATATTTAAGTTCAAAATCGGTGAAGATTGAACTTTAAAGACTATGGCTTGTGTAAACGAGAAACATTAACATTTTGCTGGTTAGAGTTAAGTATTTACTTTTGTACTAAGTAGTTTAGAATATGTTTAATTTTAAATGAAAACCTGTTGGAACGGCGAACCTATTCCCCAATTTGGGCCCCAGTAGAAGTGAATTGAAAAACTCGAAAATTTGCATTTTTAACTTAAAATATTTAAAGTGCCATGATTATCACAAAAACGGTTTATGCATTATGTCGAACACAGAAACAGTTGACAGAAAAATTGCGGCATTTTAAAGGTAGCTCTACCGAGTCAGTAGTAGAAAGTGGCATTCTGGCTGTTGTGAAGGAAGGGAAGTCAGTAGGGTAAAATTGCCAGAAATACTATGGCTTCCTTTTCTGGCATATTCGGAACGGAATAATTTTATGGACTTAGTTTAGCATAATGAAGCTTACCTTAATTCAAGACAGTCGTCTTAGATTAAAGATCAGGATAAATTGACTATAGTCACCTCAGGGCATTTTCTCCTGATTGAAATTATGAGCGCTGTTATATTGGCAACTCATCGAGATGGCAGCTACAACGACGCATGATGCAGGATTTTTTGCGTAGGTGGTCTCAAGACTATCTAAATCATTTTATTCAACGGCATAAATGGGCCCATTACACACCAGACTCCGGATCCAACTGAGGGTGATGTAGTTTTGGTTAAGGAGGATGATCTGCCTGTCAGCAGGTGGTTGTTAGGTAAACTCGAGAAAAAACATTCTGGTCCGGACGAAATCACTCGTGTCGTTACATGAAAGGTCTACTTCCAAACTTTGTGTCTTACCTTTCAAATAATTAATTGAGGTTTCACTGACTCTGGCAGACCAACCATCATGAATTTTAATTGTGGTAACGAAATAAATTCGACAAATTAACGACAAAATTTAGGTGAAAACAAATCTTCGCTAGGTGCCCTAGTGTTTGACATACAAGCGTGGCCCTGATGGAGAGACCGACTCCAGTGACCGACAAATTCTAATATTTGGCGACAAATTTCGACAAATTAGCAACTAAATTTTTGTGTTATCAAAATTAAAATCCATGATGGTGGCCCTGCCAGGGTCAGTGACATAATTGAGCTATTTGATTAATATAAGCTTGTATCGTATATTGCAATGTATCAGTTTCTTTGTTTTTTTTTTACTGAGATTGATTGAATGTTACCCTGTTAATTGTTGAGTTCAACTCAAAATATCTTTTTTTCATAAAATGTTATTGTTTAAAATCGTGTCTTGTGTAGACTTTAAAGTCATAGATCAACACACACAATAGCACCAATCTGTTTTGTCAAATATTTAGCAAAATAAATATATACGTTAATACGTATTAAAAATGTATTTAATGCTTGTACCGATCTAGAACCAATCAAGGGGTTGAACCTTATGAGAAGAAAGGGAAAACAAAGTCACTCAACGTTTGGATGAATGGAAAATAGTCCTTTTGACAGTGTTATTTTAGGATGTAATTTTTTCACTGTGGGCGGCATCTATGTAAAGGACATTATTCAGGATGTACTTGGTGGACTCAATATTTGGATTTAAAAACGTGGACAAAATCGGAACTAAATTGTCACATAGCTCAAAGACATGGTGTTAGGATCGAATTAGATTGCGCTATTTTTTATTTCACAATTGATCAAGTTACAAGTGTTTAATTGTTCAGTACTACTCTTTGGAACACTAATCATTTACATTTATGAATTTAGAGGCTAATATTATAATAAATCCTCAAGGTGCCTTCTGTGACTAAATAAACACAGTTTAAAAGTTTGTGTATTTATTAACTCCCGCTTCTGGAACCTGGGGTTTTGTTCAATAAATTTTTCATTTACTCCCTGAATTAAAACTCCAAACTGTTTTCGCGCCTTCTGAAATATTGAAACCAAATAAAGTATTAATTTAGAAACTGTGTATATTATATAAGCTAAAAATGTTAGTATTTAATTCATGTATACTATGATGCCCGTGTGCAAATTTATAAAAGTGTGAACCACGCTAGCGTGCAATTTAAACTCACCTTATTAGATCAAGGTAATGAAGAGTTGGGTATAACCGTGTATCCTTAGACATAAGCGCACCATTGCACATGTTACTATATTTATCTAATCTAGTTTAAAGTTGTATGGAGCACGTCAGTTAGGACGGAATAAACAATAGTTTAAAATTAGCAACTCGTCGTCGAGTTTTTGGTTCAGAAGTATCATATACCAGATATTGTGTATATTTAAAAGGCCAAAGTGTTTATAGACATCAAATTTAATACGTTGATTGCCTAACGTGTTAACCATGGCTTCACGTCCAGTACATCCTCGTCGAAACGTCAGATATTTCAAAAATACTTAATACACTACAGTATACTACAGTGTAAATCTGGGATTTTGTATAATCAGATCCCTGCATTTCCAAATTTAATTCAATAACGGGGCTACCAACAACTAGTATAAAAATAAAACACAGATATCTGTAATAAACATGTATTTAACGTTGCATTCTGAGCCGTATTGACCTACGCCATATACTAGTTCATTTACGAGCCTAACCTAACCAATCTGCAGTATAATACATCCATACATAACATAAACTTCATTTGAAATACCTATTTTCATACTGTAATGTCAATTTAAGTAACAATAGACACACCTGTCAGACGCTTGGCGCTCATTTTTGACATTGACGTTTAAACCTGTCACGAATTAGCGCAATGATGCCACGGTGTTGTCGGAAGTAAGTGATGTATCTATAATCGATATTTTTTCATTACTCGTAGTCCGACAGTGTACTTAAATAATTACAGTAGTGTAATAGGTACTAATAAATACAATGTTACAAAGCTTACAATGTAATACTAGGGCAGTGACTGACTTTATTGACATATGTAGTACTAGTTCTTTTTAGGTTATATTATAACTTTCATTATATTCTGTGGTAAAAACATCTAACCTTAACTTGCAATAAAAATCCGGTGTGGCCTATTTTCGTTTTTATTAACTTTTTAGTTTTTACTATCCTGCAACTGTTAAATTATAATTTATATATGCCATGACAATAGGGTAGATTCCTGGGTTTAAAATAAATTATTTCGCCTGCATCGTTAAATGTAACATCTCAAAGTAGAACCTGAATTGTCCTCCATTATCAATTTAATGTCTTTATTGATTTGATATCTTGATATCAACATTAAATATAAATGATTTGACAATAGCTAGGTATGACGTCACGAAATAGTATTTCATACAAAAATGTACCGCGTCTAGCGTTTTGACGTTTAAAAAAAAGTTACTGATTTGACTTGACAGTCATCTACCCTATTCTATTGTTTCCAATGAGAGCTAACTAGCTGTGATGCCAGCTTATAACTTTTGACAAACTGTCAAAACACACAAATTTCAATTAGGTACAGTCTGCCACTAATTATTCTGCTAACAAAACTGTATTTGTTGAGAAACATATTTTTTTCAAATATGGTTCCAAACAACTTGCACACTGCATTCAGATTCAGAGAATCACATTTTTTTAATAAAATTAATTATTGACAACATTAAAACAATATAAAAACGATAGATACAAGCCATATATATTATTTGGTTTCTTATACATAAGATATACATATTTACAAATCACAGACATTTAAAAAACTTTTAGAGAAATACAGTGAAGTACATTATTTAAGAAAACAATTTCTATGTTATCTGTCTACCCCCAGAGCGAGAGTTTTTCTGTTTATCTTGCAATCAGTGTTGAATGTTTCAAGTTTATATTCAAATATTGTTAAGATCGATGAAATCTATCTAGCGCGAGTGTTTTACTCTTTAGTTCAAGCCGCTTGTAATCAGCAGTTCGTCTATAATAGGAGTAAGAGCTGCATATTTGTGTGATAGTCATGTACTGTCTATATGGGTAGTTCCAACAGAACATATGTTAGAATTAAGAAAGTTAAACGCATCTAAAGGAGATAAAGTACAGTCATATACAAAAATTTAATTTTTAATTTAGAAACTACTAAATTTTTACAACTGACTGTACTTTAATTACTCCCATTTTAGTGTTACTACACAAGTTAGTGAAATATCAAAAAAACTATCAGTATTTTTTAAATTATTATATAAACAATTTAATTCCATTATTATAACGTACTTAACCTAACAATAGGAAGTGCTCAGTTCTAATGCATACAAATTATAACGAATAGTAAATGCTTGTATTCCTACTGACAGATCAGGCTGTCAAGGTACTCAACTGTCGAGGAATGAACATAAACCTATAGATTAAATTAAGAAATATCACATTTTAAGCAAAATCATGATGTACACACAAAAAGTATCCTGATAAATAACAATTTTCAATCCCATATACAAAACAATAATTAATTTACAAAAGCCTCAAATTACGTGGTTAAAAAAAAACATTGGTCCACCGATTTTGGTGTACGACTGTACCGCATTATTTTTTCTTAATCATACCCATCACTTAATACTTTAAAAAAAACTAAACATATATTTACAAACGAATATTTAATCGATTCGAGGTACCCAAACGAATTTTCGCTACTTTATATCTCACTTTACACAATCATGCCAATTTATGTGTGTTTTATAATAATTTTACGCTTCCATTTCTAACTATAAGTAAACTCCATGCAACGTGTCCGTAACCATTCAACACCAAAAGCTGTACTGTAATAAATTAATTATTGTAATAACGGTTGTGTACGATCTCAGTTCTATGAAACAATATAAAATGGCTTCCACACGATACATACAATTTTGCAAATCTGATTGGCGATTAAATTGGTTTACGAATAGATTGCCTGTACACACGTATACCAAGAAATCACCAATCTTTATATATATAATTCTTCTGTGAGTGTGTATGTTACTGAACTTCTCTCAAACGACTGGACCGATTTTGATGAAAGTTTTTGTGTGTGTTCAAGGGGATCTGGGAATGGTTTAGATTCACAATTTTGAATGGTAAGGGTGACCCATCCCTAATTTTTTTTTTGTTGCAATACAACGTTTGCCGGATCAGCTAGTTTCTATATAATTTTGTGTTCAGTGCTGGACGGATACTGTGTATTAATCTTTTAAACAACTAACTGATAAAACGTTTAAAGAAACTTGGCACAAATCAACACAGTGTGCCCCCTGCATGTCTACAATGACGAAATAGTTTTTTTAACCGACTTCAAAAAAAGGAGGAGGTTCTCAATTCGACAGTATTTTTTTTTTTTTTTTTGGATCATCATTCTCCAGAAATAAAGCTCAAAAAAAATAACAAGAGCCATTATTACAAACAACATAATATTTAAAAACCTTGTCATCATAATGCTTGATTTAAATATTTTTGTTAGTATTATAAGACAATTATTCACAACTAGCTAAGACCCGCGGGCAACGCCGCGGGGCGAAGCTAGTCTAAAAAAAGTAGCCTAGGTTACTCCTTATGTCATCAGCTATCTGCCAGTGAAAGTCCCGTCGAAATCGGTCCAGCCGTTCCAGAGATTATCCGGAGCAAACAGACAGACAAAAATTAAAAAAAAAGTTATTTTGGCATATGTACCGCTAAACATACATATGCATTTAGTAAAAAGCGGTTATTTTAATATTACAAACATACACTCCAATTTTATTTATTTGTATAGATGAACTCAATTTATACAGGAGGACAATGACACATCATAAAAATTATAGATTATATAAGACTAGCTGACCCGCGCAACTTCGTCTGCGTCTCTCAATAGTAATAAATTTTCTCCGTTTTTGAAACATTCTTCATTGGTGCTCCGCTCCTATTGGTCTTAGCGTGATGATATATAGCCTATAGCCTTCCTCGATAAATGGTAGCCCATTTATCGAGGAAGGCTATAGGCTAACACTAACAGAAACACACTAACACTGAAAGAATTTTTTAAATCGGACCAGTAGTTCCTAAGAACAAACAAACTCTTCAGCTTTATAATATTAGTATTGATTATATTTTAAATATATTTCTATATATTATATATTTTTGTGCCCTGTCCTAGTACACTGAAGTTGAGCGATACGTGCGAGGCATTGTGAGAGTCCTATCTACCGATAGAGGGTCATGGAGGCATACCCACACTTCATTTACGAGATTTTCTTAGTAAATTAAATTATTATCGAAATATGAGATACTTTGTACTAACGCATAGTTTCTGAGAGTTATTTTATATTATTTTCGGGAACCAGGTGTATGTGGTAAGTGCGTGTAGTGTAAAGAATTGAGAGCGTACGACAGCCGTTACTACAATACCTATTTATAATTGATTTAATTAATAACCGTGAATGACGTTTTTATTAGGAGTTCTTATAATTTTGGGTGTTAATAAGCGAGTTTACTTAAATGTGTCTCTAGTACTTTACAGGATATTTCATAGAAGATTGCACCACGAAAGTGGTCCTGTAATGTATATAAATAACAATATATATATATATATATGTATATATATATATATTTATATAAATTGCACGTCAATTTCTAACATAGCTCCTTCGCACTTTCAAACATATCGTAAAGATTTATCGATTGTTCGCAATTAAATAACTATAAGTCTTAATTTTATTATTATTATTATTACTGCAATATATTTTAATGATGTCTTTAGATTTTAATATCTGAACCATTTCTTAGTGAATTGAATAAAAATGTCGATTAAACATTTATACTTAACATGTTATTATCATTACAGATATTATTTACTTAATAAAAATATATTAATTTTATAAAACATAATATTTGACGGGCCTGTTGGTCTAGTGGTTAGTGACTGCTAAACCGGAGGTCGAGGGTTCGATTTCCACCCAGGCCAAATATTGTGTGATGAGCACGGTCATTTGTTCTGGGTCTGGGTGTAATTAATCTATAATATGTATGTAGTTAAAAATATATAAGTACTAGCTGTCCCGGCAAACGTTGTTTTGCCATAAACATTATTTCTAGGATATATTGAAAAAAAATTTTTAGGGGTGGGTCACCCTTGTCATTTAGGGATATGAAAATAGATGTTGGCCGATTCTCAGACCTACCCGATGTGCACACAAAATTTCATAAAAATCGGTCCAGCCGTTCCGGAGGAGTATGGTAACTAACATTGTGACACGAGAATTTTATATGTAAGATGTTTATCAGCAGTCTGGTTGTCATAGTACAGACTCTGCCTAGTTTGGGATCAGACGGCCGTGTGTGAGATGTGTGAGATATATTAAAAAAATAAGTTATTTTTATATTTTACAGACCATTTTCGTAGTGCAATTTTCTCTGAAATATCCTTTAAAGTTCTAGAGACATTTAAATAACTCTCTTATGACCCCAAATTATAAGAACTAAGAATAAAAACGTACGATATAATGATCTTACAGTGACTATCAATATTCGTAATCCAGTTCTATAAAGGCTTAACTCCCTTCACTGCAGTTAGTAACAGCTATGTATAAGTATATATAATACAAATATTATATTACTTACAAATCATGTAAGGCATTTTATATAATTTAAGTCTTAGATTTAAATTAGCACATCAAGCTAAATGTTACCAAGTGACAAATATTATTATTTCGTATTTAAAAAAAGTAGTAAGTATCTTTAAAAGTAAGTTAAGTTACCCCTTTTGGTGTAACAAAGATATATTCTATAAAAGAGAATTTGATTTTCGAATAATTCTATTAAATTGTGTTCACCACAGATGAAATTAAAAGAGCCCTGTGTGATATTATATACTACTTAAAAAAATTGACATTTGACATTTTATTAATTGCAACACTGAAACTAGCAGAGGATCACATGTTTTAACTATTAGCGAAGTTAACTATTATACTTTAATATAATTTTCTCAGCCTTTTTTGTATTACTAAGTTAGCAAATAAGGACGCAACGTGCCTGCCTGGACGCTTATCCTCGATTATAAGCATACGCAATGGTTACGCTATAGAAATTACAGTAGCACTGATCTTAAAGACTATGGTGAGTCTCGTGATCTGTGTTCTCATATTTAAGACATCAGATTATACCATCATCAGTGATCTTCATACTTCTCGATTTCAAATAAATTCTAACAAAATAATATTAAAGAATGGGAACCCAAAAAAAAACCAGATGGTACTATACAGCTTTGGTAAGACAGTAAATTGTTTCTTCAATTCCTTTAAAGGTGATCTTTTCAAAAGTCTGGGTGTTGTATCTGGTCCATCATCACACTAAACGAATAAAATAAACAAAAATAAAATCAAAACGAGCTACGGGCACAATACTACATAAATGAACAGAAAAAAAATTGTTTTCCAACTTAGTGGTGTAAAAGGGCGCTCTCGAGTTAAATTTTGTTTATAAATTTGCACACAGGTACAAACATTTAGCCTAATGGGCTAAGCTTATATTCTATTGTATAATATGTAGGAATAGAGATCTCTGAATTAACATGTTTCTATTATACACTTGAAAATATAAGTGGAGATTCACGATTGATCATGGGTGCATATAACCGGCATTTATAATAATTTTATCATTCATATGTTTTTAATCTTTTAATTGTGTCACTGGTAATTCCAAAATATAACTTAACATATGACATGTACAACCAATTTAAACGTAAAAATTTGTTAATATATTGAAAATTAATTGAGTATGTGTAACTTTAAGTACATCTATCGTTTATAAAACATTAAAGCAATTTTTCGAAAGCTTTTTGCAAAAAAAAAAACAAACAGAATATTTTTAGAATCAACAACAATAGTCAAGTATTCCGTAAATTCATTAATTAATAATTATAATTGGTAATCAAAAAAATTCATAAAAAGAACTCTATTCCTAAATATTCTACACTTACATTCTACCTTAACCGACAGCACAAATTATATCCCACACTAAAGCCAATGTCTTTACACTATAATGTCTCTTATGCGCAAGCGCTAAGACCCACATTGGTCTGATCACTTTGTCCACCTCCAAGCTGATGACAAGCGATGACAACTACTACCCAAGCACCATGTCCCATGTCTCAATGGAAGGAACGCACACTTTCGACTTGTTGACAACTAAATTCCTTATTCAAAAACTAAAAAAACTAGTCTACTAATTTAAAAAAATAGCCAATCCAGAAATTCGCGTTAATCATTTATTTAGTAAAATTATAATTTGTTATGATAATTGTACGACTATAAGTTGTTGTAATGATGTTGTAACATCTGATACGCAGTTTCTAGAGGTAATGTTCACAAAACACTAGCTTATTGATAGTTTTGAAGTGACGTTTTATCTCTCCAAGAAAAAAAGGGGGTTCCTCCATCCAGGCTATTGTCTAGTGCCCAACAGTTTTTATAAGAAAGTCGCGATAAACACAATGAATGCAAGAACTTTCATTGCGAGCCACGTTATTAATAATTCCTAGATAGTACAGATTCTGTTCACCCTTTTCTGTATATGTATAAACAATTTGATAGTCTTGACATCAGCTTAAATTTCTCTCCCTTTAGAAATTACCACCAGTTCAAGATTCACCAATCAAGTCACACACTCACTGACTCAAGTCTGAATCTCCCTTCACCTCGTAAAAGGCTATACTTAACAAGCCCGCCCAAGTTTACAACAATGCTCTTAATAAAAAAGTAAATTGTAAAACCCGGGTCAATAATTGTACCCAAAAACAAAATATAAATCCGTTATTCTATTTGAATTTTATGGATGACTTTTTGCCAGAAAAAGTTTTGATAAAATTCACTTTCTGCTATACGTTGGCCTATGATCAACAAACAACTCGCCTTTTCTCACAAAACAAAAAACAGTAAAGTGGGTATACAAACTAGTTCACCCCCCCCCCCCCCCCCCTCCTAGTCAAAAATAACTTAAATTATTGTATTAGGAATGGATAATCTCTGATGGCATCTAATGCAAAATCCCCCCACCCATTCCTTTAGGCTTTATTCTTCTTGTCCTTATTCCAAATTTATTTAGAGTCGGCGAAATAAGTTTTCTTCGATTCTATGATTCATCAGATCACTGCTCTACCTTACTTACTTTTGTATCACTCAAATTCTATACATAAAATTGCCTTCACCATATTATGCTCATCTCTTAGTATCATATATAGGATAACATGCTACTCCTCAATTATCAAACAGCGCAAAACCCCCTTCCCCGTTAAAAGTTTTGTGTCTCCCACTCCTAGCACATTGACGGTACTAGGAGGGTCCAACACATAGACATAATATATATAAAAAGAGGAAGCGTCACTGTATATTCTTTTGTAAGTGGTAGCGTAGTACCAGCAGACAGAAAAAGAAGACTGTTTTGGTTTTTCATCTCTCTCTCTGCACTGATTGGCTGATACTAAAGAGGGCATTTAAAATGGCCAATCAGTGACAAAAGCAAGACCAAAACAATCTTCTTTCTCTGTCTACCAACCATATGCGATAGCGCCTTGTTCGCTTCCTCTAACATTTATAAAGTTGTTTATTTATCAACATTTTTTTACAGGAAATTATCAATAAATCGAAAGTGTGCATTATAAGTTAAGATAAAAACGAGTACGCTACAATTACTTAAATATCATGACCTTGATGTTGTAATGGTAAGCAGTCTTGATTACAATTTGTTTCATCATATCATATAAGAATCATAGCAATATTTATAAATAACCAATTACATATACTGTGATGTTGATGATTTATAATTCATGTTATTTATTTTAGTTATATATTTTAAGTAAAAAGTGGGTTAAAACGAAAAACAGAACCCCACACGATACAATTTTACACTCGAATAGATTTTCGATTGAATTGGTAATTTTTTTTGTCATGATTTTACTTTCTGTGATGGACAAATTTATAGTATGTTCCTTGAAAGCTAATATGATAGAATTGACAATTAACGTCTGCCATTTTGATTTGATATAAGTTGATATTAGGCAGACAAAATCAATAGTATTAAATTTGGCCATTTGATTTCACACGAGAATATTCAATTGTAATTGGACTTAAATTGTGTCGTGTGGGAGGGGTTTTAGGACATTGAATCATAGTGGAGGGTTTTTGAAGACAATTTTAAATTTATTTTTTTACTTAATAACATGCAATATATTTCATCAATTTTTATTGATTGTGATGATAATTTAAGATTTTGTGTACATTGTTTATTAAATTGATTGAATGTTGTAATATTTAATGACAAGTTTTGAATATAAATATGACAAATATTTTAAACAGGGATTGTGGGACATTATTATAATATCCTTAAATCTTATTGTTGTATACGAATTTTCATGTATTTAAATAACAGTGGATAGATATTTTAGAATATTTTTTTCTTTGAGTTTCTTGTAAATTTGAGAACACGAGTTTGGGTTACGGTGAGATGTCGATAACGTGCCGGGGTCGTCGGAAACGGTTCGAGGAATCTAGGGAAATAGGAACCGAACGCTGTAACGGTTATTCAGCGTAAAAAATGTAATATAACCGATGAGACACATCGATCGAGACGAAAAACGATATCACGTAAATAAGGCGGCGGGAGTCCCCGAACCGGTTCGTCGGCCCCCTAGAGCCGGAAGAGAACGAAGCGATAGGCGTGGCGCTACCTGTTGAAGAGCAGGTCGGGGCGGTAGTACACGTAGATGCCGAGCAGCACCGTGGCCGTGGCGAACACGGCGCGGCGCGACAGCGGCAGGCGGCGCAGCGCGGCCGGCACGCACGCGCGGACTCGAGCCGACAGCGACGCGTGCGCAGCGCCGCGGCCCACCACGCGTCTCCTCTTCAAGCGCTCCTCGTCCAGGCGGCGCTGTTCCTCTCTGATACACCACGTCACGAATTTAAGAAACCGATCGTTCATCATGTAGTATATAAGATGTACTTAATGTAAATAAATCAGTCATTTTGCTCATATCCCACCTCTCACTGCGGCCGAGACACCTTTTGGCCGTCGGTAGATCGGTCTTGTGAGCCTGCTCGACCGGCAGTGAGAAGATCATCTCCTAAACCCCGCTCCTTTCACGTCTCCGTCTGTTACCCTAGGTCTCCAGGTAACAGACTTCCCGCACTATCTATATATCTATATATATATCCTCACAGCGAGGTCACATATTGATAAGGCTAGGGAATCTAGGTATTTAGGTACTTAGGCGTAGGTTTCGTACGAGTATTGTTCGGTTCATTACGGTGCCCGCTCGATACACGTACTTAGGTTGTATTTAAGATAAGCTTTCGGTGTTACACGTACGGGTGCTGATTAGTGTACCACGGTTACCGATCCGCACCCGTACAGTCATCGACAGCCTTTAATAATCCATTGCTAGACATAAGCTTCTTCTTAGAAAGGAGAAGCCTATGTCCTATCATCACTTCGGTTAACAAGTTAAGTGGGGAGATGTAGTGTAGGAGTAGAGGATTTCCGAAAACAACATAGTTGATAGAACGAAGTGGAGTAGACCGACGAGGAAAGATGACACCACCACCGTGTGGGATGAATAACTTGGTAAAAAGATAAAAGGCTCTACCATTCGAATAACAGATATATATATATATAACCTAAACCTACTCCAACTATTATTCCTCACGGTCTCCGATCTCTCCGTATAAACTGCGAAGAGTTCTCGTAACCCTAGAGCACGACCGAATCGATCGGCATGAGAACTCTTTATGCGCGATGCTAGATTAACAGTTAATTACTCCTTAGGCCACTGTGTCTTCGTTGGGTACCCTTTCCTACTACTTTCAAAGTATGTTTGTGCCAATTTAATATATTCCCAAAATCTAATCCCTAAAGCACCCGGTAAGCCACTACAAAACCTCACCATATTACGTAAGCAAAAATATATTTTTTTGTCGACAAAGGAGAATGCCCATCCATGGTTTTACTTTTAGACGTTCGCGTCATTATATCAATGTTTAAAAAAATGTTCATTTTAAATTGACTTTTCGATCCTAAATCTCTTCTACAGAGCTTAATTTGATATTAAATCTTACAAGTACTAAAACATCGACGACCAGATGGCGTAGTGGTTTGTGTAACGGACTGCTAATCCAAAGGTCGCGGGTTCGATTCCCGCTCAAGTCAAACATTTGTGTGCATGAACTTTTAATGTTTGATTTGGTCTAGGTGTTTCTATGTATATTATGTATGTATTTACAAAAAAAAAGTATATATGTATTTATATCAGTTGTCTAGTATATCTATAGTACAAGCTCTGCTTAGTTTGGACTAGATGGCGTTGTGTGAATGTAATAGAATATTATTATTATTATTAACAAAAAACACATGAATCCCTGTCCGTTTCCATTTTAAGTTAAATGTTGCCATTATATAAAATAAACCACGGTCGGATGCAAATAAACATTGCTTTAAAATAAAATGGTCAAATATATAACATACGTGATAATAATTGGTATTTTCACATTGAAATATATTTGAATGTATTTAGTCGTAATTTATTTAGTAAATATATACTTCAGTGTTATAATTTGGCTATAATTTATCCATGGTATCCCTGTCAAAAACACGATGCCACAAACATTGTAAAAAAAACTCTAACGTCAGTGTCACAATACTTTGTCGTTGTAAGTATTTTCACATTTAATTTCCCAATGACCACAAGTTCTGTTACAATATACGTTAATATTTCAGATAATCCTCAATGCAGGGTTAATAATAATAAATAAATAATATTCTACCACATTCACACAACGCCATCTAGTCCCAAACTAAGCAGAGCTTGTACTATGGGTACTAGACAACTGATATAAATACATATATACTTTTTTTTTTGTAAATACATACATAATATACATAGAAACACTCAGACCAAATCAAACATTAAATGTTCATGCACACAAATGTTTGACTTGAGCGGGATTCGAACCCGCGGCCTTTGGAATAGCAGTCCGTTACGCAAACCACTACGCCATTCGGTCGTCGAATAATGCAGTTTATACGTATTTGACTTAGCAAAAAAGAATGAAACTGATTCTCATACTGAACTGGGCATTCTCCTTTCCGTCACGCATCTTCCTACCCCTTCAAAAATATAAACCTGACTGTGTCATTTTAAAATTAACCACAAAAAAAGTTAAGTAGTTAAAAACTCACTCTCTCCTCTCTAGTGCCTGCACCTCAGACTCGAGATCAATGGGGTCGTTTTCTTCGTACAGCCTCTCGGCGGTCACTAAGATGTCTTCGAAAGGTAAGTCATCTGGTAACTGCAATGTAATGGTAGTTCTACATCAAAGTTAACGCACCGCGAAAGTACCAAACTATGTACACAAATATTGGAAATTAATTTAAATTATTATCATATTGAAATAAAACTTCCCATGTATATGTGGTTTACATTTTTTAATTTCTTTATTAACCTTTTGACCGTCACAGTCATATATAAATATATATTAGGTTCTTACATATGAAATTAGCGTTTTGTCGTACTGACCACTTTGATCTGAAATATCTCCTCTTTGGTTAAGAATTCCAAATTCAAATTTATAAATTAATTTAGCTGGTACATTTGAGTTTTGAAAAATTCATTCATTTGTTTTTTCCTCATTATTTTTTTCTTTATTGTCGCTTATTACCGCACAATGGAAAACATGAAATATCGGTATATTTACGAGTACTACCGTGGCACCAGTGCTGCAAAAACAGCTCGAAGGAATTATTTGTGTACGGCGCTGGTGTCGCAAAAGAAAACACGGTATATTTTTGGATTCAACGTTGTCGTTCTTTAAATTTCGACCTTCAGAACCAACCCGTGGACGGCCGGAGATCAAAATGGAAAATAAAGAATTAAAGGCTATTGTGGGAGCGGATCCATCACAAAGCACTTCAGAGATAGCTGCAGGCTTCGGGGTAAGTGATAAAACTGTATTAATCCACTTGAAGCAAATCGGGAAATTAAAAAACCTTGAACGATGGGTACCTCATGAATTTAGTGAATCGAACTTGCAAACACGCGTCGACTACTGTGTTACTTTGCTCCATCGACACAATAATGAAGGGATTTTAAATCGAAACATTATTGTGTGCTCGTCGCAATGGCTGAACCCTAGAGACCCACCCAAATCCTGCCCTAAACGAAAATTGACTCAGAAAAAGTTACTTATGAGTGTTTGGTGGACTAGCGTCGGTATCGTTCACTACAGCTTTCTAAAATCTTGCCAAACGATTACGACAGATATCTATTGTCAGCAACTGCAAACCATGAAGGAAGAACTAGCTGCTAAACAACCGAGATTGGTCAATCGCTCTAGGCCACTGCTGCTTCACGACAACGCAAGACCACACACGGCGCAACAAACAACCACTAAGTTAGATGAGCTACAATTATGACATCCACCGTACTCCCCGGACCTTGCTCCAACAGATTACCACTTTTTCCGGAATTTGGACAACTTACAAGGAAAAAAAATCAACTCCGATGCGGCAGTGCAAACCGCCTTCAAAGAGGTTGATTCTCGCCCCCATGGTTTTTTTAGTAAAGGGATCAATGAACTACCTATGAGATGGCAAAAGTGCTTAGATAACAACGGTGCATACTTTGATTAATTAAATATATTTTACAACAAAAAAAAAAGACTTTATATTCCACCCGTACATAACGCCAATTTCATATGTAAGGACCTAATACATATATAGATGAAGCAAAATGTGTCCAGCACGTCACGACTGCATGACATTATTAGCTTTCAAACACTAATAAATCTTATGAAAAATAGCTTTTTCTATTTGTTTTGTTATTATGTAGCTTCCTAATTTATATTATGTAGACTGTATACTATTTTTTTTCAGCATAAGATCACAAATATGAAAACTAGTTAGGTTTGAAATAGTAGCTTAGCGCCGAGAGCACGTATTTTCATTTTTGACGTGGCGGTCAAAGGGTTAACAATTACTTCATTTTTCAGTAAACGGAAGAGTAAAATTAGTGACAGAATGCTACCTTCGGGTCAGAAAGCGAAATGGGAAGACGGCTGATCAAGAACGGATATGCATTGTCAAAGAGAAAACAAAATGGAAAAAAAATTAGTTGACGCAACTCACCCTTGACAACAAACAGTGCAACATGGCCATATCACATTCGCAGTTATACACTTCATCAGCTCTGTACAAGACGATGGCCGCCGTCACGTACACGGGAAACAGCGGCGGGGCACACAAGAAGTAGTCGTACAATCGCACCACGTCCGTGTACTTGTTGAGGCTGTGGCCGAACCAGGTCAGGTACCAGGGTAGCGCGAACATTGTGCCTACTTGTGCTCTGGAAAATAAGAACGAACTATGTGGCACATCTGACAATTCACTTACCATTTTATGTTCAACTAAACTATGGAGGGTAGAGGCAAGGAGAACCATCTCATTTGGGGGAAAGTTGAAAAAGTGACCAGCTGTTTACTGAAAATAGAGGTCGTTGGCGTACGAAAAGCTACGATATGAACATAGCTGTTGTAGCAAATATTATAATAATTTTATTCTCTGAAAGTTATTACACGTTTATTTATCGTATTTAAAACTCATTGACTATTTTCGCTGTCTAGTATACAGTGTTTAATTATTATTTAAACCAATATATGTTTATTACAATGTTTTTCTTTCAGTGTTTATTTCTCTATCCTACTCTAAAAACTTTTGCTACTAAAGCACCACCAATTTAACGCATTTTGACGAACACTTTTCGTTCACAGAGATGGTTCTCCTCACCTCCACCCTCCATAAACTAAACAAAATGACCTGACCAATGAGTATACATGACCGTTTACATACATCACTCCCACAGAATACAGAAAAGCAAGAAGAAACATGTTAAACATAAAAAAACATTCTAAACTTAGTAAAGAGCAAATACCTAATACCAGGTCACAGAGTAAATATATCTATGTATAACGGTAGAAAGTTTAAAAAAAGTAAATTAGTAATTATTATGCCTACACAACAGAATAAGATACAAACCATTAAGTCTAGAATTACTATACAATAGAGATATCATTTCGACCTTTACTCACGATACCAGATTCACATCACAACAACAGCCTTTAATAATCCACTGCTGGACATTGGTCTCTCTTTAGAAAAGGGGTTTTAGCCTACTATACCACGATGGCCAAACGTGTTGGTATAGGGTTTATTTCAATTTTCCTCCTCTTTGCAGTGATGTTATCCTGCGTAGGTAGTTCCCTCAGTCGGCTCTTAGGATACCCACGGGATGAATAGGGGTGGTGACACTCCATATCCGTCACCACACAGAATACGATACCGAAACTATACTAGATTACAAATGTATTATATCAAGATAGGGGCCACAATAAATCCCCATCACGATTTGCCGAGATGTGATATGGTAAAAATAATGTTATGTTTGTAAATATATTACTAAGAATACAGAGTGTCACCACCCCTATTCACCCCGTGGGTGTCGTAAGAGGCGACTAAGGAAACAAACTACGCAGGACAACAGCACTGCAGAGAGAAGGAAAACTTGACACAAACCCTAACCAAGGCCAAAACATTATTTCTAAGGAGAGGCCTATGTCCAGCAGTGGACTAGTAAAGGCTGTTGATGAAATATATTACTTCGTTTTCAGCATGATTTACCCATTAGACTGTTAGGGTCCCTATTCGGAAGCTCTGTAACGTCGCTGAATGCAATACAATATTAAGACTCTTTACGCAGGCTCATTCGAGCTTCGAAGAAAAACTTAAAGGATTATTGTTCTTGCCGACTTCCAATTGGCAGAAGCCAAAGCTTTCGTGTTAGTACCAAGTCATGTTATCTTGACCGGTCGTACTTACTTATCTAAGCATTCAGCAAGCTTCCTCTCCGCCCTGCCAATGACTGGTAGCATATAGTTGAGAAGGTGCTGTGTCGGCTGCATCGTTGTCTGCATGAAAGGAGCTAGGGGTGCGGTTAAACCGTACGACAGACGGCAAAGCAGGGGGAATGAGGCTCGATCTCCACAGACTAATAGTAGCGTGATGGCTACGTCGTGGTAACCCTGAAGAGAAAAAGAAACCCTGATCTTAAGTAAATGGTATATAAAGAAAATCTGTCTGTGAAAAAATATTATTTACTATTAAAAACTGTTAATGTATTTTAATTCATGAACCTACACATGTAGTATTTAAATAGTAGACTTTACAATTCTACCGATCATTCTGTTTAGAATTTGTTTCAAATTGTCTTGCGTTGTTCAAAAATTTAATCCTAGGTAAACCAGCGAGTCTTGATTCATATTGCAATCGTTCTTAGATAATAATTATAAATGAGCATTATTACGAAATGCTTTTTTGTAATTAAAAATAAAGATAATCGCCTAAAAGTATATGACAGCTCTTTTTAAGAGTTTTTATTTGAGCCGAAAGTGAGTAAACGATAAGTGGCATAACATGCATTTAAAATTTACATTTTAAATCTTTTACCATTTGGGTCACGATGTCATCTCATCACCACGATTATATACTTAGCGCTAAAATTATTGCAGTTTAAATTCTCCATCGCCAAGATGGAGATAAAACGAGAATTCGCATTCCTTCCTTCGATTCGATGATAGCAGTATTTAAGTAAAATATCGAAACAATTGTAAAAATGTCCATTGATACTTCAGTTGTTATGTTTCGATATTAACTGACGTGATGATGTAAAATCGTGAGGGATTGAGGATAGTAAGTAAAATTTATAAATTACTAGCTTTTAGGTATGTCGGTTATCGCGATAAATAGTAGCCACTATATATATAAGTAATATATATATATATAAGATTTTACCCGCTATGTTACTCGCTAATAATGTAGCTATAGAATTTTTGAAATCGGTTTAGTGCATTGAGCGTGACACCGTAACAAACAAACAAACTCACTTCCACATTTATGTATAATACTAGCTGGTACCTGCCACTTCGTTTGCGTGGAATTTAAAAAGCTCAGTCTTGGTGGGTTCGATTCCCGGACTGGGCAAAATTTTAAAGGGTTTTTCTGAGAGGAAAATTAGCCTAAGTTACTTCTTATATAGACAGCTACCTAGTAGTAAAATATTTTCAAAATCTGTTCAGCCGTTTAGAAGATTACCCGGAACAAACAGACAGACAAACAGACAAAAGGTTTTTAGGCATAGGTATCCTACAATGACCGTGTGAGCATTGAAAATACCTATTATTTTGACATTACAAACAGACACTTCAATTTTATTTATTTGTATATATAAGTATGAAAGTATAATTATAATAGGGATGATGACTGTCAAATTAAATCAGTATCTTTCTTTAAACGTCAAAACACCAGACGCGGTACATTTTTGTATGAAATACTATTTCGTGACGTCATACCTAGCTATTGTCAAACCGTTTATATTTAATGTTGGGTATCATGATATCAAATTGATAATAAAGGACAATTCAGGCTCTGCTTTAAGATGTTACATTTAATGATTTATTTTAAACCTTGGAATCTACTTTATTATGTGATGTCTAAGACGAGCAACATAGGTCGCTATATACACTTTTATTTATATCAAACAAAAAATGTAGCCATCACAGAATACCAAAAGTATATACCTACTTTGAAACTTAACAATCATTCTTTAGATTTCTACTACTGACTATTAATGACTCTATGGGTGAAATCTATAATGCGTATTAATTCACTAATAATACATTATCGCCACATACTTTGGTAGATACACTAAGCGTATTGCGTTACCAACATGTCCTCTAAGTACGCAAATAACACAGATACGGTGTTTAGTAAAGTGCGACTATCGTCCTAAAATACATATTTAACTGGTAAATTTAAACATATATTTTGGAATGTGTTTAACAGAAATCCATAATTATGTTAAAAATGTGAAAGTGAGTTAATTTAATAGATCTTAATAATATGCTACAATAGACAGCAAATTAATATGGTCGAAAATATAAAAATTTTAGGTCTCAATCTCGATACAAATTAAATTGGAAATCTCAAGTGAAAGACACTTGTACTAAATTGAACCAATTCTCTTATGCATTATTTAGACTTGGAACAGTTGTGAACCATTCTACTGTCATCACTGTATACCACAGTTATGTAGAATTAGTGCCAAGGTACGGTGACTTTGCGGTAACTCTGTAGAGAGTGATATAATATTTAGAGCACAAAGATGTGTGTAAGGGCCATTGTGAAGTTAAAACATGGATAGTTGTTTTATTAGTGTAAAACTGTTAACGCTTCCATGCCTTTAAGTGTATGAGGTGGCCGTCTTTGTTATTACACGTTTTTTTGTTTATTTGAGCACCTACAGAGTAAACGTATTACGTAACGTAACGCAATTTAGTAACAACATATTTTGGATTAAAACGCGAATTTATAATCATTTACCACTGTACCTACACATTGAGATGCCCCAACATAGATCAGTTTAAAACGCTATTGATGCAATTTCTTGTTGATACTGCAAAGTGAAAGAATATTTTTAAGACAAATATGAAATCGAATAGTTGGTTGTTTCATGGCTTATAACTAACTAGACTTACATAATAAAAAAAAGACTTGTCAGTCTTTACAATAAATTATTTTTTATTTTTGATTATGTATCTATGTACAGTGTCATAGGCCTCCTAACAATGGAGAGACGGGTTGGTATAGGGTTTGTTGTAAACAACAGCTCTGCAAAAACAAGGGAAACTTGAAACAAACTCTATACCAACCCGTCTCTCCATTGTTAGGAGGCCTATGTCCAGCAGTGGACTATTAGGGGCTGTTGATGATTGATGAGAGGAAGTTTCAATACTTTAATATAAAAGTACCTAATGAAATGCCAAATGAATCTAGCTGCACTAAATGTTAATTCTATAAATAATAAAACTATGTTAACACAAGTTGTAATAACCTGTTTTCGCAATAAACTATTTGAATTTGAGTTTCTTTGTTACGCTTTTATGCCTAAACCACTAAACTGATTTTAAAAATTAAGAATACAATGTGTGGAGAGACGCGGGCGTGAAATGGGGAAAGCGAAGAAAAGCAGTCACTGTGGTAACTTCCATATACAAGGAAAGATAAACAAACGTCAGACGAAGACACAACGAACTACGGAATATCAAATATAGAATAATAATCGTGAATTGCGCTATGCGTGTTATTTGTTTTAAATATCATGTCAAATTGCACGATGGTAGGACCAAACTGAAAGATCACATCACTGGTTTTTTAACGATCGCTACTTACCTATACTAATAAGAAACAAGTAATTGAGTAAAACAACGAAATTATAATCAATTAAATAATTATTGTATAACAAATATCTTGAAATATTTTAAGGCACAGAAATCAAACATTTGTTGGGTTTTTTTTTGTGGGTTTACCCACTTTCATAGCTTCACTTTATTGGTCCAATATACATCGCTTGATCGTCGTTAATAAATCCACAATTCTTAAATTAAACAGGAGTAGTCTCATGCAAACGAAATATACACTACATTCACCTTTGTACAAAATATTTTTACAGTCACTTAGCATTGCAGAACTCGTAGGTGAAACGCCGTGTCATCATTTATGGTAGAAAGTACAAGCGTGCTTATGCGGCAGGTTTTTCTTCCGTCACGGTGGTAGCGGCGGAGGCCACTGAGCCAGCCTCGTCTGGTGACACGCTGCAAGCCAGCGCAGGGAACTTCTTGTACAAGGCAGCACGATACTTAGGATGGCTGATACCATACACAATAGGATTGTACACGGCATTAGCTTTCGCAAACAGCGAGCCCCAAATAGTAGCAAGGGGGCTGATCGGCGCACTCTCGAAAACACCCGTGTAATTGATCACGAGGTATGGGGTCCAAGCCATAAACCATAGGGAAATGGTCATCAAAGCCACTTTAGCCAACTTGCACTCTGCGTTGGTGTTGGCCGCTTCAGATGACCTCAGAGAAGCTACATTCATTTTCTTAGCTTGTTCCCTCATCGATCTTTCGTGAGCGGCGACAGCCTGGACGATGAAATAGTAAGAGTAAATGATGAGCAGAAGCGGCGTGAAATACACGAAAACTGAGTATACTAGAATGTAGCTGCGGCTCAACCAGTCCTTGGTCAAGTAATCAGTTCCACAAGCAGTCATGTTACCTTCAGGTACGTAACGGTTCCAGCCAAAGAAAGGCGCGAGAGTCCACAGCAGCGCAAAGAACCAGATCCCAAATATACGTAAGAGTGCTCCATTATTGGTCATTGGCTGGGCGGCGATACCTTTTACGATAACGTTGTAACGGTCGAAGGCGATCATCGTCATGGACCATATGGAGGCACAGCCGAACAGAGAACCAGCGCAACCATAAAGTTCACAAGCAAACGGACCAAGGACCCATGTTTCGTAGTAACAACTTATAACCATAGCCGGAGACATGGCGCACATCATGAGGAAATCAGAGAACGCAAGGTTAACCACTAATAAGTTGGATGGTGTTTTTAGACTTTTGGTGGTCATGAAAATATAGACCACCATGCCATTTCCCATGATCGAGATGAATCCGAGAACGCCGATAGTAAACCCGAGGAGTCCATGCCAGAGCGGGTTCATAGGAGGAAACTGGTACCAATGGGGATCAATCAAGTGAAGCATGTCAGCAGGGACCTTGTCTACGACGGTTTGATTACCCCCATATCCTGCAACTTGACCACCCCATGATTGCAGGGCTGCTGCCATTGGTCCGTGATCTAAATTCATCGCCATTTTCACCATAGTTTCTTGGTATTTGAGAAGGTGAGCGCGCTGAGAGATGGTTACTACAAAAGTACTGAAGAAAATCGGTACACGAACTACTCCAGTCTTAAACGCGAACTAATCTCATGATACGGCGACGATGCCGAAACATTGGAGACTAGTCGATGTGGGCTACTTTGCATACGTCTTATATACCAAAACTTTGAGGATTAGAAGTGACGTAGCGACGAAAACCAATATTCTTAATGAGATTACTAATTTCTAAGAAAGCGAACTCGATACTTTTAAGAACATTCGGCAAATATTGGGCTTCGAACTAAGTTTGTTACATATATTCATTAGCTTGAGTTTTCATAAGGAATAAGTTACATTACAAGTACTAACTCTCCAGAAGAACGCAATTCAAAAGCAGCCAATTTTTTAAATAACAGTAAAATTGAAAGATAAATATAGTGCAATATCTAAAAGTTTCAGAAGGTTTGTATGTTGTCGTGAATAACAGCAATGCAAACCACAGAGAAATATTGGAATAATTACGTTCGTGAGTGATCTTTATATTTATAAAGTATACACGATTTTACTCACATATTTATTTTTTTATATAGGAGGCAAACGATAAGAAGAGAGAGAAGAGAAGAGTACGTGTGATGACGGATTAAGAATACAAATTGTCACCACCTCAATTCATCCCGTGGGTGTCGTAAGAGCCGACTAAGGGAGCAAACTAAGCAGGACAACAGCACTGCAAAGAGAAGGAAAACTTGAAACAAACCATATACCAACCCGTCTGGCCAGCGTGGTATAGTAGGCCAAAACCTCCTTTCTAAGGAGAGGCCTATGTCCAGCAGTGGACTAGTATAGGCTGTTGATGAAACGATAAGACGGGTCCATTAAGGTAAATGACTACCAAGGCCCTCGGACACCTGCAACTCATATCACAAGCCTAAAATACTCACGTTAACTTATTCTACTGAACAAACATTTAAGATCCTTAAGACGTCGAAACTTAAACGACTTTTATAAGCTGTTCATCAGCTCCTCGTCGTCAATCATACGCTTCTTTTAAATTTAAAAGTTTGGAGATTCTCGGTTGGCAAGGACCTGAGGCGACGTCGGCAGGTATGCAGTCAGACTCAGATTGAGAAGCAAACTAACTTTCACGTTGAAAACTCAGTCCGTTTAAGCAGCAAAACATCGTTGGTAAAGACCTTTGCATGGAAAATATCCTATGAAAAATGGAATGTTTAAAGAGGAAAAACTATTTATAACATTTTATTACTTGAGCGTTCGAGTGAAGTTTTAGAATAATCTAGAAACAATTTAATAAAAATATGGTCCCTTGATTAATTATAAAGTGTGCTTTTACTATCGATAACCGAGAATTTACTCCTAAAACCGCACGAAGTCTCGGGTACGAGTAGCCGGGGAACTAGGTGTACCCTAGAAAGGAAATCCCTCGTACCCCGACGTACCCCGGGCGGGTAGATGACCCCTCCTGTGTGGGCACCCCCATGTTCCCTTGGTACTCCTCTCTCCCTTTTGGGCACGCGCGCTCCGCAGCGCGTCTCGCCGCCACCCCGGCCTGCTTGTGCTAGGGTGACAGATGGCCTCAACTGTCGAGGACGAAAGGTCGTTCTGCGACCACCCCCAGGCCTGCGCCTATGGAGGACGGAGGTCGTTCTGCGACCTGGCCCGTTCCCGGGTCTAGCGGGCCGGGAGAGTTTTAAACCTCTCCCGGTCCCGCTCGGCGAATTTACTCCTATTGTTTGTTCTGTAGTAATATCAGTAGATGTCTGTAGATATTGAGTTATCTGAAGTATAGACTGGTTATGGGGTCAAATGGAATGATCTTAATTCTGAAGAGTTTTGTTTAATTATACCTCTGCCTAAGGCTGACCTAAATTATTAATGGTGTCCTTTTTCTAACTAATGGATGATCGAATGTTTTTGAATTAACTTTTTTAATTATGTTGATAAACCTTCTTTCTAAAGAGAGGCCTATGTCTAGCAGTGGACTATTAAAGGCTGTTAATGATGAATTATGATGATTAATCATCCATTTTCGCTGTGTATCATAAAGATGAACGTCTTGTATCGTAACATCAACGCGTTTGTCATTATTTTGCGCCAGGAATAGTGGTACGGTTACTGAGTTACCAAAGCGTTACAAAAATAATACAGTATATTTATTTTCATTTCATACCAGTAGGTATATGAGTCACCGGAACTAAGTATATTGATTAATGCAATGGACATGATTTAATATTCAGGTTGTGAGGTGTAACACTGTTTGGAATACGGCGGCGTATATTGTCACCAATAAAACTTAGGTATTGGGAACAAAGCTATGATCTTTTTAATTTAAGTTATATTTTTACTGTCCGGTCCCGTTCGTCTATTGCAGGGATACCCAAAGTGGTCGATCTCCCCTTGGGGTCGAAATTGGTTACCCAGGTGTCGACATAAACGAAAACTGATCTTGGGAGTCGGCGAGGCCTAAAAATAGACCAATATTTAAAAAAAACCTTCAAGATACTGTATTAGTTGTGTTACGTATACTAACTTGTTATAAGAATGACTACTATTATATTATATTAAAAAGTATTATTGTTGTACGTTTAAAAAACTCAATAAGTCGATACCTAAGAATTCAGTAATTTGGCTGGGGGGTTTGAGGTATCTGTTCATTTTAGAAAAGGGGTCTATTGCTCAAAAAAGTTTGAGAATCTCTGGTCTATTGGTTAGTGATCGTGACTGCTAAGTCTGAGGTAGAGGTTTCGATATCCCACTCGGGCAAAATAATGGTGCGATGAGCGCGATCATTTATTATTCAAAAGAGCGTTCTCCCTCCTAAGAGGCCGGCAACGCGCTTCTGACCCCTGAGTTGCAGGCGTTCATGGGCGGCGGTAGTCACTTTCCATCAGGTTACCCGTCTGTTTGTTTGCCCTCTATTCCATAAAAAACACTTATCATAGTGTGTGTCAGTGTCAATCATAGGAAGCCTCACCTCACCTCTGTCCTGAATCCGAGATTGGAGGTCCCAGATTACTTTTTACTTCCCATTTTACTTTAGCTCTTCCACAAATTTATTTACGAAAACGTATATTTTCTTTACTACAATTTTCCTTTTGACTTTGTCCCGTCTTAAAATAATCACAGTTCTAAGGAGGCAACTAAACCGGGGTTGGTCATAATATTAAACAGCAATGTTAGCGCCCCTTGCAATGTTCTTTCATTGACCTTGAGTTTAATAAGGCAATAAATATAATTATGATGGTAGCTAGTTATTCTGATCTATCCTATCACCAAGAAGTTCATTAGTGAAATGAATAAATGTTTTATCTTTGCTCCTACCGCATCATAATTCTACATCACCTCATGGCATTAAGTTCGCCTTTGTACAGCATGTGCATTAATCTATACTAATATTATAAAGCTGAAGAGTTTGTTTGTTTGTTTGTTTGAACGCGCTAATCTCAGGAACTACTGGCCCGATTTGAAAAAATCTTACAGTGTTAGATATCCCATTTATCGAGGAAGGCTATAGGCTATATATCATCATGCTAAGACCAATAGGAGCGGAGCACCAATGAAGAATGTTTCAAAAACGGAGAAAATTTATTACTATTGAGAGACGCCGACGAAGTTGCGTGGGTCAGCTAGTTTTAAATAAAATAAAATAAATATTATCTAGAAATATAGAAGAAACCAACTTTCCCTGTTTATTATACCTCTATTTAAAAAGTTTTATTTAGATCGATAGTTAGAAGTTGATTAAAATTGACTACTATGACTCGTTTTTGTTAGTTAGTTAGCTAGTGTAGCTAATAAAATGTTACAAATGAAACTAATTTCCTTTTTTAAAGACAACTCCCGCATTAGGAATTTATCCCGTGTCGCGGGGGACTTTACAAACATACATAAAACGGACACAAAGAACACCCAAACTCAGAACAACAATTTGTGGATCACACAAAGCAGCGTCCCATGTAGGGTTTAACCCACACCGACGGCTGCTTAAACCAATACGCCATCTATTCAGTCATTGTGCATGACTCATATGTTTACACAGTATATAAATAGGTATATAAAATAGCACAGTATTTATACAAGCAAGTTAGGCATCATTGTGTACTTGAACAAACAAAAATATGTATTGAACTGCAAAACCTGTGTTCTTTGAAGACCGTGCGTGAAAATGGATAAACGTTTAAAATTTACAAACCGAATATGTTAATTTCGTATATCCAGTGTTACTCTCACAATTAATACGAATTTAACGACACCTAAAATCCCGAAATCCATCAAGCCTTAGGCTACGGAGCATGAGGGACCTGAAATAGCATGACCCGGGTCCACCTCTGAGTACCTGAGACCGGACGTCGGGGTGGTTTTTAATGGAAACACCACATACTCCTGGCTCCTTCGTTTCCGAGGAGCCGGAGATCCGAAAGGGTTTTCCATTTCGTCAACAAAAAAAAAAGATTACATAAGCTACAGATCGTGCCAAAGAAATTACGAACATACGTATGTACATAACCTCGAAAAACAACCCTCCTTCTGGCGTTGTCCGGTCAAAAATATACTTGTAATTTTGTGACCTTAAAGTAACTCACCTGGTAATATTTGAGATGTGGGTACTTCATAATGACACGGAGTATTAACACTGTGAGCTGGTCCTGTAACGCCACTCTCTGCTCGTACGGAATGCCTGGAGGGAACCGCTTCAGAGATCGGTTTACATCTAACACCACCTGGTAAATAATATGAAATATTTATTTATATTTTTATATAATAATATCTATGGTATCTTTTCGATATCCGGATGAAAGGTATGTCCGTTGCTGTAACTTTGGTAACTTGTTCGTTTCACATGTCTTATGAAGTTCGAAGATTTCCTTTCCATATGATTTTTTCTGAAAGAAAGCTCTTTCTCTAACAACAACAACATCATCATCATCATCATCATCATCAACAGCCTTTAATAGTCCACTGCTGGACATAAGCCTCTCCTTAGAAAGGAGGTTTTGGCCTACTATACCACGCTGGCCAGACGCTGGCCAGACGGGTCTCTAACAACGTTTATGCAAAATTTTATGGTGATTGATGAACAGCAAGGCAACACATAAAATACTAGTGAATTTACATATTTTTTTTATGTATTAAGAAGAACATTTAACCACTTTGTAGTCTTAATTCCATATTTAATTATACAAATTTTGCGTTTGGAGCAGTTAACAATAATTGGCAATGAAAAACTCATAAATAAGAAGCAACTTAAAATATTCTCATTTAGCCCTACGTTTTCTACTAGTTGTCGCAAAAAAAAACACCTGTACGAAAACGAATTCTGCTTTGTTTCAAGCAGATATCTCAAAAGCAGTAATAGCATGAGTAATCGCTGTACTACTACTTATAAGAGAGTTAGTATACGAAAGGTTTTAATTAAATCAAACGATCAAACCATTTCACAGTTGTATAGAAATGTAAATAAAATGTGCACCACCTAGGGAAACCCAACTTAATGACCTTTTTTGACGTTTTTGACGACCGAATGGCGTAATGGTTTGTGTGACGGACTGCTATTCCAAAGGTCGCGGGCTCGGATCCCGCTCAAGTCAAACATTTGTGTGCATGAACATTTAATGTTTTATTTGGTCTGGGTGTTTCTATGTATAATATATATGTATTTACAAAAAAGAAAGAAAGTATATATGTATTTATATCAGTTCTCTAGTGCCCATGGTACGAGCCCTGCTTAGTTTGGGACTAGATGGCGTTGTGTGAATGTGGTACAATATTATTATTATAATGATTTGAAAGAACTGAGTCTCCATCACGCTATAAAATTTGGGTATCATGTTCATTTTTCCTACTAATAATTAATACACACAATTCACACTCTGCAGTTTGATATCAAATTAGGCAGAGCCTGTGCTATAGTAACCACACTGCTGATAAACATACTTATATAATTCTAAATTCATACATATTAAAGATAAATTACAGCCAGACACAGAACAGATGATTGTGCTCATCACACAATTTTTATGCCTGTATATAGCCGACTAGCTGACCCGCGCAACTTCGTCTGCGTCTCTCAATAGTAATAAATTTTCTCCGTTTTTGAAACATTCTTCATTGGTGCTCCGCTCCTATTGGTCTTAGCGTGATGATATATAGCCTATAGCCTTCCTCGATAAATGGACTATCATACACCAAAATAATTTTTCAAATCGGACCAGTAGTTCCTGAGATTAACGCGTTCAAACAAACAAACAAACTCTTCAGCTTTATAATATTAGTATAGATTTAACAAACTTCTGAAGGATACCAAAATATGAAGGTCATTGTTATTGCCTTAAAAATAAAAAAGTTAACGAGATTCATAATTTGCGATTTGCACAAAGAGCGTATTTCGGAATTATTCCATTATTATATTTTATCAAGGTTATAACAGTTTAACTAGACCTAGGCTGCAAAAAAAGTATAAATTAATCCTATTTAAATATTTATTGCTGATATAAATATTATTTATACATCTATTGTAGTGATTTACTTATATTATTTAATGTTATAAAGTATAGTTAAATGAACTAGTTTAAAATAAGATCAAATTGAAAATAATAATTTAAAAAACAAATCACCAAAAAGTGCAGTCGGAACATGTGTTACTAACTGAAACGGTCACAACAAAATTTTAATTTAAACATTATGTAACAATTAGCACTCAACTTACAGAACTGTGTTAACGCTTACAAGACTTGAGGTTTTTAAATGTTATGTTCTTAATCTCATTTTTTATTTTTAATCTTCATAATCCTATTTAATATTATGTGTAGATATTTGTAGGTATTAATTGAAATATTGTTAGTCAATGACACTATTTCAAGCTGCATATTTTCAATAAGGTGTAGTATTTGCGAAGTGCGATCAGTGTGGTGACGGATTAAGAATACAGTGTCAGCATACCTATTCATCCCGTGGGTGTCGTAAAAGGCGACTAAGGGAGCAAACTACGGAGGACAACAGCACTGCTAATAGAAGGAAAACTTGACACAAACCCTATACCAACACGTCTGGCCAGCGTGGTATAGTAGGCCAAAACCTCCTTTCTAAGGAGAGGCCTACGTCCAGCAGTGGACTATTAAAGGCTGTTGATGATGTTGATGAATTAACTTTAGTTTACAATTATTAAATTATTAAATATAAAGTTATTTATGGATTTCATCCAAAAACATGACTGTTTTTTTTTAAAGACAACTCCTGCATTAGGAATATATCTTGTGTCACAGGGGACTTTACACCAGGACTGCTTAAATCACTATGATTATAATTACTGAGTAAATCAAAGAAATTTTAACTTTGTTTTTTTTATACTACAGATACAAATTGAAGAATTTTAGGAATTTAACACATTATATTAGGTCCTATTGATCACTGAAAATTCTGGACCCAAGCTTTATCTACAACGAAGTAGACACAGGGACAGGGGCTTAATAACGTCTTGAATGGACTCGAGAAAATAATGATACGGCAGTCCCTTTATTTTTGTTTTATCCACTTGGTAGATTCTTCCTTTTATAAACTTAAATCAATCATGTAAATAAGTTTCTGCGGGACTGAACTATAGAAGTTTCTTAGAAAGTAGTCAGATTCCAAGAAATTTTGGAAATGCTTTTTTAATTATTATGAACAAGTTTGTTGTTCGTTTGACCTGAAGGTAGGTAGGAAGTATGAGTTATTTGACTAATTGGATTTTTCGTTTTTTAAAGAGAACTCCCGCATTCGGAATATATCCTGTGTCGATCGGGACTTTACAAACATACATGAAACGGACACAAAGAACACCCAAATTCAGAACAACAATTTGTGGATCACACAAAGCATCATCCCATGTAGGGTTTAACCCACACCGGCGGCCCCTTAAACCAATACGCTATCTGTTCAGTCATTGTGCATGACTCATATGTTTACGCAGTATATACATAGGTACTTATATAAAATAGCACAGTATTTATACAAGCAAGTTAGGCATCACTGTGTATTTGAACAAACAAAAATATGTATTGAACTTCAATATACTTTGTTAATATTAATTATATGGTAGGTACTTTATAAATTAAATATATATGTATATAAGTTATATAGTACCTACCTACCGCCATAACAATATATTTTTTATTAAAAACATCTTTATCATCCTAATATTATAAACGTGATGGTGAATCTGATTATAACATTTTTACTCATTAACTACTCAACCATTTTGATGTAATTTTGCTTACGTAAATAAATTCCTAATTCAATTTAACATACCGAGTTTAATTTTAGTTCCAGTCTTCTCTTGGATCTCTTTAGTTCTTGACCAAAGGCAACAAGAACAAAAGCATGCATTTGTCCACACAGCTTCTTTTACTGAACTATGATAATTATTTCATACAATGTTAAATTATCTAGTATTGTAGTAGTAGTTAGTACCTGGTTATATTCACTATGCGTAGAAAGTTCATCAAGTGACGGAGGATCTGTCAATTCTTCCTGTGTCACACCAACTAATAACGGCCATATTTTTCTTCTATAGTCATCTAAAAGAGATTTTTAAAAACTATTAAATTTATTGTACACATAATTAGAACTAGAAAATAGGGACACTATTAGAATTAGAAATATTTAACGTTTTAGGATATCATGAAAGTCAAAATAAGCTTTTAATAAATGTGGAAAGGTATACTACTAGAGCTATTGATGTCGAGATCAGAATATAAAAATTTATAAAATAATAATATTATATTCCAACTCGCAGCAAAAAAATGTGGAATTCTAATAATATATTTACATATTTTACACACGGCCGTCTGATCCCAAACTAGGCAGAGCCTGTACTAAATAATCTAATAATTTACTAAGTAATTGATCTATTATATGTATATATTAAGTAATACAAATAAGTATGTTTATCAAAAGTTTGATTACAATACCACAGGCTCTGCCTAGATTGGAATCAGACAGCATTTTATAAGGTGTCTAAGTTAATATTATTGTTATGCCTGCTTTTAGAGACTTACACACATGGTATGAACTCACTATATAGAGTATGTCATTAATATGTTAATACATAAATTATTGTTCATTCTAATTCAAACTCACCACTTATAAGTCCAGCTTTGCCTTTAGCAAAGGCCTGCCATTGTTCTAAATTCACATAGTCCAAGTTTTCCAGACATTTCTCTATTTCTTTTTTCTTTTCCTTAACATCTGGATCCTCATAGTCTGGTTCTAAAAACAACAAATGACATGTCGTAAACAACTTTCACTCCAATATTTTGAGCGAACCGTTATGAATGATGTTCATATTTGATGCTAAAATTACAGGCTGATACATCAGAGATATTTATTTACAGGAAGTAATGAAATAGTCGCAATATTTGTTTATAATACCTTCATCGAATTTTAGCTCTGATGGTGTAGAGATGTCATCTATATTTTTAGCGTTATTCAAGTCGAAGGGTTGTTTGTCGAGGGCCGGTGCACAGTCGCCGTTCAAATTACACTTCTCGCCTGTATCGACGTCAGTATTATTAGATTCCATAGTTGAAAGTTAAAAATTAATCGAGCGAAAACATTACACCATCCTATTCCATAGAATAGATGTGATGACATTAGAAAAAGACCACAGTTCAAAAAGTTGTACAACGATATTGTAAATTTCACTAGTTATTCATGACTGTAACAAAGTTCATCATAAATTGATAATAGCTTACAAAAAACCAATCACTTTTTTAAATTAACCGTAATGTTAAAATCTAATTAGAAATTCATCTACAAAATGAAATAATATCGTAAGTAATCAAAAGGTGCAAAATTATCATTAGTTTTTAAACGCACTTATTGTGACAGCATTTTATTCCATTCCAAGCAGAAGTAGCAATCAATTTGACTTATGAACAGTAGTCTTGTTCCGTGAAGTTTTTGGATTTAATTCTAGAAAATTTAACAAAACAATATGTACCTGCATTTGGATGATATTATATTTTTAAGTCCTCTTCCCAAAAACCGTTCTAGGTATCGAATTTAGAGAGGATCCAGTTTCTATCGTAATAATAATATGTAGTGTTTTATTTTTGGAGCTACTATATTTTAATAAGTCTTTTATAGCAAAAAGTATAAGTAAAAGTAAGTGTAAGTATTTAGTAAGTAAATAAGTCTTTTTTAGAAAAGCGCTTCGCTATAATCAGGCCTTACATAAAACCATTGCAGATGAGTAAAAATTTATAATCCACTGCATATAATTTTCCATTTTTATTACCAATTAATCACAAGTCCGACGCCTAGCATTACACTCCGGCAATTTAAATATTTCCATTCTTCTTCGGCCTCTGTCGTATTTTAATTATTGGAATGTGCCAATCTTTGATTAGAGTGCATCAACGACTTTTGTATAACAGAAAAGTAATGAACAGTAAATACATTTTTCACCTTACGCCCACTTCTTCTTATATTTCTTTATTTAGTTCATTATTAAGGTCAAAGTTGTATATATTTTTATTATTTGTGTACTAATAGTAGTTTAAATACAAAATTATGGCTTTCTAGGACTTCAGGAAGTACCCTTTTTCTTTCTTTTTTTCTGTGCGGCAATCCCTTCGGATACCACTTACCGGTGGCAATGTCGGACTTGAACCGCACGCCGTCTCAGGTACCAGTAGTCGGGGAACCAGGTGTACCCTAGAAAGGGCCATCTACGGCGGGTAGACGACCCCCCCCCCCCCTGTGTGGGAACCCCCATATTCCCTCTGTGCTCCCGCAGGGACGCGCGCGCTTCGCAACGCACTCGCCGCCACCCCGGCCTGCTTCTGGTAGGGTGACAGATGGCCTTACCTGTCACCCCCAGACCTGCGTTATGGAGGACGGAGGTCCATATGCAACCTCCGGCGTATGAGTCGTCTGTGGTACCTGGCCCATTCCCGAGCCTGGCGGGCCGGGAGAGTTCTAAACCTCTCCCGGTTCCGATCCGCTATCTCCTTCGCAAGTATAACTTGCTAGCAGAAGGAGACGGCAGAGTTCCACGCACTCTCGCTCCGCACGATAGCCGCAATCAGGTTATCGAGCGAGAGAACTCCCACTCCGATGGCCGCCACGAGGTCTCGCCTCTGCTCCACTCATGCCGGGTATTCTGCCAGCGTGTGGAGCGCCGTGTCCACGGTCCGACCATCGCAGTGGTGGCACTCAGGCGTTGGCTCTTTGCGGATCAGACACAGGTGATCCCCGAAACATCCTTTCCCAGTGATCACCTGCGTCAGTCGGTATGAGAGGGTCCCGTGATGCCTCACGAGCCAATCCTAAATAACGGGTCTTACCGCCGCGATGACGGCGTGCCCGGAAGTACCCTAACAATTTTGATGATCATCAGCCAGTGACGAAATCAGGTATTTTTAGATATCAATAAAATCTAAATTATAAGGGCTATGCAATTGAAACTCATGTTTAACTGTTGACATCATATCCCGTGAATTTCGATGACCTGGTATAATCGAAACCCAAGTTATGAGGATTTAAAAAAAACGACGAAGCGATTCGAGAAAAGATATGTGCCCTTGCGTTTCACCTGGCTCGTCTTGGCGGGCTCACTGCCGTACCCTCAGACAACGACCAGATAATATAAATAAGAACTTAATATAAACTTTTTATGTGTGGTGTTTTAAAAATGAAAAATAAACAGTTCCCGTCAAAGAGTTCTTGTCAAAGAAAGCCATTCTGATTGGGTCATACATTAAATTTTTTACAAAATATTTAAATGCTAAAAAACACATAGTATAATGGACGTCGAAGTTCCGGCTCATAATGAAACTATTAGAAAAATAGAGGACATTATTGATATTCAGAAAGCAAATGGAAATTTCAGCATGCGTCAAGTTGCATTTAACCTCCCAGCTGACACAGAGTGCACTGTATCCGCTAACTTAGCTAAGAGTTTAGAGTCTGGCTTATCCAAATCAAAGTCAGATGACTCGAAGAAGAAATTTAAAAAGTTACGTTCAAACAGACAGAAGAGTCCACTACCTGATGTTGTTTCATGGCCCAGCGACTCCGACATAACTGTGCTCAGAATGAAACTGTGTTTAACTAACAGTAACCCAAAAGAAAGAGTGGGGAATATAATCCCAGGAGACGGTCTCCACCAGCGGGATAGTTCTTCAATGGTTAATTTGGCGACGTTAATACGACATTCGCAGCCACCTTCGAAAGCTGATTTCAATATTGAAGAATACCTGATGCCATTAACATCTTGGGATCGAGAGCAAGATGTTTACGCTGAATCGGAGAGTAAAGATCTCAAAGTTGATACTGATGAGACACAAACGCTTAATTTAGCTACAAAATTTGCAAATGACTACAATAATATTTACGAAGCTATGTGCAGTCACGAGTATGTAAATTTTAGTTCACAAGACACAAGTTCGGAATATTCTAAAATCGGTACTGTATCAAAATTTGCAAGGTTTCTGAGACTCTATTTCTGTCCTTGTTGCACCTGTCTGTACAGACTGGAGAAGATGCGAGAAGAACCTTCTGCGTATTTTACGAAGCAAACCTTTAAAGAGGTTTGACAATTGTAATGTTGATTTGTATGCCAATTAAATGTATGATTGTGTCAGTTATTCTCTATTTTTTTTAAATTTATCCCTATAGGACTGACTTTACAAAGTTTCAAGGTTTATGATTACGAAATCCTATAGCAAAGATTTGATGCCAAAATTATGACTTGGAAGAGTGACAGGTTTTTGGGACTCCGGTAACCCTCCCTTGGTGAAAATCAACAAAAGAATAATTCTTTAAGAATTGCTTAACACCGGTTTTCTGTGAGATCGAGGTGTCACTCCGATTGGAAATAGAATTATATTAAATGTAGTTAGGTAGGTACCTGTGCGAGTGCGCCTGAGTAAAGTGTGAGAGCAAGGCTTTTTGCTGCAAATTCTGCAACTGTAATAAATATATTAAGTAACATAACATGTATTTATAATATCCTAAATAATATATAAAAAGCAATAATATATAATATTTGTTTATTTGTCCGTATTTTATGCGTTGCTGTATATTTCACTCAGAAAAACAAGCAGCAGTACTGCTCCCGAGGAATGAAAAAAATCGTGTTCCACATGGTTACACACCAGGTTACACCTGTGTAACGACGAGCAAGACCTCATTCCTGTTGGAACCACCGCAAATTTTCCACCTTACATTTCGTCTAAAAATAAATTCCTAATGTCGTCTTTTTATTGTACTTATAATTCCTTTGAATTTCCAGCTGACTATAATGTCTTCTTTACTATCATTTGTTTTGCTTATTTTATATTGTTAGAACTACTAATAAGTTAAGGAAAATCGCCTATCAATTATAGTAATATCGATAATATTGATGGGAATAGGGGCTTCATCGTGGTTACTCTGGGGTAACAATTGGGTGAAACACGGGGTAGGTATTAGTCGAAAAATTGCTCTTACACAAACAAAGAAGCTTGCATAAGCTACCTATAGCCTAATTCTAACCACCTTAGTAATATGAAAGTAACTGTGTATTAGTTTTCATATTAAAACTTCTGAACCAATTTTAATGAATTGTATTATATGTACTTATGTGAAGCTATTGTAATAAACAAGAACTTGAAGGAGGACGTAGGGTTCTTTGTGTCCTGGAAAGAAACTTTAAAGAATACAATTTACATTTATAATTGTCATATTTATTTGGCTTTTGGTATTAAGATAAACAAAATCTGAGAAAACTGACTAATTTTGCGAAAACAGTCTTTAAAAGGTGCCAAAACAAGTGATTAAATTTTATATTTCATACTGCTCGGTCGGGATGAACTGGGCGGGATATACTCCTACAGGATACTAAATAAAAAACCTATTAGGATATATCTGACCTATATTGGGTCGGAACTAAGAGATAGCACTAATGATCTCTGCCCCCTCAAATCTCACCAAATGTACAAATAACACCAGAGGTCATTGACCTCTTGAGAATCTTAACATCGACTTATAAAATTGTATAACGCCATCTACCGAAACATACGGAATACAAAAAATAATATATCTAACTTAATGCTACTTGAACACATACATTGGTATAAGTTTTATCAAGTTTAAGGTTATTTAATTGCCTCATAAAATGAGTGTTCAGTATGGGTGCAGCTCTTGGACGGCGCAACGACTGTCAGTACTTTGCTCGTTTTTGCAAGTTAGCAAGTAAATATTCACAAAAGAGGTAGAGAATAGTAGTCAGAAGTGATGAGTTCTCCCTTGTCTCGTATCTGAGCTGGATAGCTGGATCATAAGATTTATAAAATAGGATGGATAGAAAAAAAAAATTGTCAACTAAGGCCGACGGAAACTAGTCACAACCTGTTTGATATTTGTTAATTTTGATATTCATTTTATATTTTATAGTTCCTGAGTAATTCAGGTCAAAGTTTCTCTACAGATGTAGAGAAACTTTGACAGCCGAGATATTGGGCTTTACGTCATGTTAATAAGATGAAAGGAAATAGCTCTTTTTAGGGTTTCGTACCTCAAAAGGTAAAAAGGAAGCCTTAAAAGATCACTTTCTTGTCCGTCTGTCACCGATTTCCTCAGGAACGGGTAGACCTAGCAAGTTGAAATTTATACCAGATACTGCGGTCTATGGTCCCCATTAGATGTATAAAAATCAAGGTCCTGAGTCAACACGATAAAAAGATATGGGCAAATTTCGATAAGAATTAATACCAAAAAATAAAAAAAGTTCAAATCAAGATAAATTTTTGTACTTACAAATTTTCGCGAAAATCTACGTAAAATCTGGGTAGGTCCCTCGGCGCACAAGTTCGACTCGTACCTGACCGTTTTTTTTTTATCTAAGTAGTTTTTATGATTATTATTATTATATACAACTATATGGTAGTATTATGTAACATATACTTTGAAAGGCCTAATTTCAAACTTCCTAAATCATTCAATTCATTCAAACAAGCATTCATATGTTTTGGTGATGATGTTATCTATGCTACCTTAATGTTATAGGAAATAAAATAACTTGACCGCGAATCAGTCAGACTCATAGGTCATCTACGTGTTGAAACGTACACGGGGAAAACACCAATATCGCACCAGATCTTAGGATGGCAAAATTACTGTCACAGGTTCGAGTTTGGTCGCGAAATTTGTAAAGTTTTAATATTATAAAAGTGTCTTGTCTTTTTCTCTACTCGTGACAACTACAGGTTGTGCAAAACTTAATGAAAATAGGTTGAGTAATTAAGCCGTTTGTGTGCGAAAATGTAACAATAATATATTTTTTTTCACACATCTCACTTACGACCGTCTGATCCCAAACTAGGCAGAGCCTGTACTATGATAAACATACTTATATATTTCTAAATACATACATATTGTAGATAAATTACACAAAGACACAGAACAAGCGATCGTGCTCATCACCCAATTATTTGTCCTGAGTGGGAATCGAAACCACGACTTCTGGCGTAGCAGTCAGGGTCACTAACCACTAGACCAACAGGCCAGTGAAAATGTAAACAAAGTAAAGCAGCGGTAGAGTAAGGTGTCGAACTTGAGTTTCAGTGGTTGCGAGTTTGAACCCCGTTCAGTACTCAATGAGGACCCACTGAGTGCAAGAGTGCACTCCACACAAGCATTTAACTTGGGTTTGAAGGTTACTAGTAAAAGTGACTCACGATTCACTTATAACTGTGGCTTCACTCTGCATTCTCTATAGCATATATCATAAAGAGTGCTCCGAGGAATTGTTCGGACTAATACCAGCCGCAAATTTCCGCCATCGTTCCACACGGCAAAATTTTCATCCTCATTACCTGGATAGTTGGCGCTCCACTACTGTGCGCTTTTCGAGACACTTTTTACCCCGCACAACCAATCTGCGGAACGGGTTATCGTCTGCGGTATTTCCGGACCGATACGACCTTCAAAACTTCAAGAAAAGAGCGTACTCCTGCCTAAAAGGCCAGCAACGCGTTTGTGACTCCTGAGTTGCAGACGTTCATGGGCGGCAATAGTCACTTTCCATCAGGTGACCCTTCTGCTCGTCTGCCCCCTCTAACATTTCTAAACAATTTCAATAAAAATTGCGTACAAGTCAATGCAACAATATCCATTAAACAGCGAATTTTTTTACTAAATGTTGCCTAAATCAATAATTGTAATAAGAACAATGTATACCAAACTAACAAGTACTACACAGCAGTAATAAAAAACTCTATCGGTAATAAATAAAATCGTGACTGAATTTTTGTAAACGCATCGCATGCTCGAATAGATTAACTCACGTAGAGTTAGTTTCACAGTAATTTCTTGATTTGCATAAATTCAATGTGCCTACATGTTGTAACTTCCTGAGTGTTATTCTAATCATTAATTTGTACTGTTGTTGGTAATTATCACTCTTAATGTAGGATGTCAGGGGTAACGGCTCTTGCCTGTTTTTTTTTTTTTTTTTTTTTTTTTTTTTTTTTTATACTGCATCCTGTGACTCATGTAAGTGTCACAGATCGTTATGTGCTTACATCTATTTCCTACTTTACATTAGATATGACCCTGGTAAGGTCCTATTCTAGAAGATCTAAAATTCAATTTCTAACTATAATATTCTCACAGGCTGCTCCTGTACATTCTAAGCCAGCGTGTGTGTTACTAAGAAAAGTTTTTTGGTTACATTTTCTTTACAAGCTGTCTCCTCACATTCCAGACCAACTTGTGCCTAATCTACCCTATTTTTACATTATTATTCCTAGTTTTAGCTTATCTATTTTTAACCTAGTGCTTACGTTTCTAATACATGTTTCTTAACTTAATGTTACAACATTCCTATGAGGCTTTGGATCTTATTGTATGTTCCACTGTCCAGTCCTTGTGCCTTTTTTCTTTTTTACATTTTAATTTGCTTATCTTTATATTACTTACTTATTCTAGTTACAATATATCTTATATGCTATTAGCCTTATCTTTGATAATTATTATATATTAATACTATATATAATCTATCAAATGCTTATACTACCTTATTTCTATTGTTTACTATTTCTACTATTTTTTTACAGTATTTTATAAAGTAACTATAATTTGTCTTACTATCTAACATTTTATACAGGTTTTCTTTGCATACTTTAATATCTAGTTGCTGCTCCAATTCAAATCTACTTCTAGAATGAATTGGGCATTCTAGTAGAAGATGCAATACATCTTCCTCTTTACCTGGATCGCAGGCACAGGAGGGATCGTCCTTGCACTTGAATCTGTGTAAGTAATGTGCGAAACCCCCGTGTCCAGTGAGCACCTGTGTCAGCTTTGGCGTGAGATTGATCCGCTTCATGGTACGGTACGCTGCTACTGCATCAGGAAGGAACACTTTCGTGACGGAGGCGGTTTCGCCTAACTGGAACCGTCTGTTCCATTTGTCCAGGGTATCCTCACGGATAGACCTTTTGACAAATGCGATCGGACACCGATCATAGTCAGGCCTCCTCCGACTCGAAAGTGCTGCCTCCTTCGCCAGATGGTCGGCGCGCTCGTTGCCTGCTAGACCCGCATGAGCTTT